ATCTATGTTTCACCATTCAGTGCAGGGGCAGCTAATAGTTCTCTCTCTTCGCCTAGTGTGTTATCGTAACATTTTTCAGTCTGTGTATATGTAAAATGACAGCCGATAAAAGTGAACATTGTTGTTGCTCTGATGGAAATAAAATGGGCTCTCTCAAGCAGACGTCTGGTTCCGGGATTGCAGAAATTGGATGACAGGCGAGGATGCACGCACAGATTGTCATCTGGGAAATCAAACCTGCTCAGTTCACTTGCTCTGAAAGTCGGTGAACAGGTACGCCTTTGCAAACAGGGAGGAGGAGAACTCCCACAGCAATTCTCTGTGAAACCTGGTGAGGCTGTGAAGGAAGAAGAGGGAAAGGGAGAAGGAGAAAAAAAGAGCGTGACAGGAAGGTGAGAAGAGGAACAGATGGAGGGATGCAGGGAATCTGCATTTACAGTCATTTAAAACAGGTGCTATACATAGCCAAGCTTTCAACCCATCATCTCATCTAAACGATATCATTACAGCCAGAAGTCATTAAAAAAAGATCTATGCCCCCAGACTGTATAGATTTCTTCCCTCTCCCTAGGGAGCGGGAATGAAAATGAATTTAAGGCCCCTCAAGTCATTGAATTTGCTTTTTATCACCAGATAGCCGTGCTACATATGTGCCATTGTGCTGTGTATAGGATTAGAGAGGATCTTTTCTGCCTGACTAGCTACCAGCTCTTAGCAACAACATGAGGATCATTTCCTCTGCTGAGCTTGTCTTTTTCCAGACAAACCCTCTGTGACACCCTTTAGATGCTCAATGTGCTTCTTCACCGACATACCAACTATCTTTATCAGCATGTGTGAGATTCAGGGTCGGAAAAACATTTTACTTTGAGTGTTTCTACCCATTTGTAAGTAGATGTATTTATTCAGTTTACCTAAACATGAGTTGTTACGGAAGCCCTAAGCAGACATGGTTTATTTTTTTTACCCCATTTTTCTGGAAATCACGAGAAAATCATCTTGCTATCTCCAGAAAACGAGGCTTTGTGAACATTGTTTATTTATTTTTCTACCCCGGTTTTCTCGAGATCACAAGATAGTTTTTACGTACCAAGAAGCACCGGAGCAACAGACTAATAGTTATGACTCTGAATGATTTTTGGTGATCTGTTCCTGTAAAGTTCAGAGAGTGTGCATCCTACCCTGTGCATTTCATCCTGCCACAGAAGGCAGACACGGCGGACACCGCACCACGTACAGTCATCAGCCCAGTGTTTCTAGTGCACCACAAAATTAATTTGTGATCTCGAGGAAACGAGGGTAAAAAAATTAAAAAATAAACCATGTCTGCTTAGGGCTTCACCACCAATCAAGCAGAAAAGAAAGTGTGTTTTTGGTCTTTATCATCACTATCACCCCCATCAGCCATGTTCTGTACGATCTGTGTGAGAGGTCATATTCTGACTTAATGAGTGTCACACCATCCTCTTGGCTCGCTCTCCTGGAAGATCTTTTGATGAACGTTTCTCTGCTCTTTGAAGACACCGTTTTCATCCCCTCAGAACTAGCGGTCGATATGAGCCATATGGAACAGGAGGCTCCTGAGCCCCGTGTTTGTGTGTTTGTTTGAGCCAGTCTGTCCTGACTGTTTACATCACATTTTTGGATGCACAATGGCTGGTAATTGCAACCACCATTTGCTTCCCCAAGCCATCTTTTGTCTTGTGATGGTGACTGGAACAACTGTTTGTGAGCCATGTTTCTACTTAGCGGTCGTTGCCTGAGTACCTGCCATTCAGTTATTCCATTAACTTGGTCATCTCAATCGCTCCTTCATTTTTTAAACAGACAGCTGTTTACAGACGGGTCAAGATGAGAGAAGAGGAATGAGTGTTGGACGCTGCAGCTATTTGTTGAAGTGTGTCATTGAGAATGATTTACAGTTTTGCCCTCTCTGACTCGGTTCAACAGCTTCCAAGAACCTGACATTACCCTTAAGGTTTGGTCAGAACAGAAGCATAAATACAGACATAAGAGGAGATACAAATAAGACTTTAAAAACCAGTCCACAAAACAAGTCACGTGTTAGTTACCGAGGAAATAAGTCTTCTGAAAGCAGTGATATGAAAAGCATGGCTTTAAAAACTGGTCTGTTTAGCTGTACCTGTCTTACAGATTGTGGCGATCTGGTGGTGATGCCTTGGCTGTTTGGAAGGAGTGTCTCCATCTTGGCCTGTTGAGTTCACATCAGCTGTGTCACCAGTGTTTGCATTATGTTGCTCACTGGCAAGTAAATTGGTTTTGTTGTTCAGTAAGAGGCTTCATGAGATTGGTTTTAATGATGAAACACATTTGTCCTTCCTGCACATAGGGTACAACTCACCTCTATATTCTTATTTCCTCAAAGGGATATTCCGGCGTAAAATTAAGTTAGGGTCAAACACATTTATGATCATTACTTTATCATTTCCTTTAAGTAATAATCACCATATTAATCATTTTGCACTGCAGACGCGGTAGTTTTTCTGCCTTAGCGTCTCGATCGGATTGCATTTCCATGAAGAAATGATCATAAATGTTATTCCTTGAGCTGTGCCACCCCACTGCAGTCGGTGATGGACTGATCAAGGTCTCGCTACAAACAAGCGGCTGCTGGAAGAGAGTTGGGTGAGTTGTGTTTAGTCTCTTTGCTAAAGAAATCAGGCAAAGTTAAAAAGATGTTTGGTGGCTAGTGCTATAGCTGGGACCCTATATGTACTGTTGATGAAGTTAGGTGCTGTTCTGAGCATTATTTGTGGCTATAGAGCTGTGTTTTGGTTGAGGTGTGCGTGTGGATCCATAGACCGCTGTGTATTGCTATGGTGTAGTCGTTACTAAAGTTGGTTTAACTAGAGAAGCAAGCGGTCGGCAACATTCATCTCTCGAGGGGGTGTCTAACTCGGTGTTCCGGTGTGTTTGACCCTTACTTAATTTTACGGCAGAATATCCCTTTAACTTTGAGGAGAGGGTTAGCTAGTGAAATAGAAATTAGATATTAGAAAAATGAAATAAATCCCTCAAGTTTGTCAGGAATGGGGTGATGTTAGGGTGCTAGTTCAGGCATGCAATGAAATTGCACTGATTTAACATTCCCCATGCCTCAATCCTTTGATCACCTGGTAAATGCACCTTCACACTACTCTGCTTTTCTAATGCCACTGCCGCTGCGCATCAGTGCTACGGCCCTAGCATCCTCCAGGAGGCTCTGTGAAGAGTTTGAAGAAATTATATCGTCATTCTTCCATTTCTGCATGTTAGAGTCTACATGTCAAATATAGAGAGTACAAAAGTTGTGCTGCAGTTGAGTTTCACTAATACAGCAAGAGTTAACTTCCATTATGGTATGAGAGCAACCGCATCCTTGCTACAGTCAGCTACTGTGAGGTTTGTTGCAGACGAGGTATAATTGCAAATAAGTGTCAAGCAACGAGTTCATCATCACTGAGGGACTAGGATGGTCTACCCAAGCATGGCTAGCTAAGTATCCTTGCTAATAACAGTGTGACAAAGCAGCCTGGAGGCTACTCAGTGAGCATGTTCTGCTGCAGAGGAGTTCAGTCATAGCAAAAAGTGCAACAGTGCAGTTATATAACATTAGAGCTAATGGGACTGTGCACTTACTGTAACCCTCAGCTAATTAATAAATCATAGTAGCTTTAGTAAAACGTTACTGGTCCAGTAACAACTATGTAACAGCCTAGTGTCCATTATGTCTGCTCATGCGGACAGTCTGGCCAAGGACATAAATTCCCAGCCTGAATTATTCCAGTTTGTTCTTTCAAAGGTAAGATATTATTACTTTGAGGTTTGTAAAATGTAAATAGGATGTAAAATATCTCCAAAAGAGCACGGTTTGATTAAGCAGGCAGCATTATCTCTTTAACTGTTGATACAAATCAATCTCATACAGACGGTGTACAGTTCAAAAGTGTGTTTTCAAAGGGTGATTGGTAATGATTGGGTTATTGGCCTTTAGAGTTGCATTTTTAGATTCAGACTTTATTGTCATTGTTCACTAAGTTACAATGAAATTAGTTTAAGATGCTCCTCCCAGTGTGCAACAAAAGCAATAAATATAAGAACAATAAACATAAAAACAAGAACAAGAACTGCGATTTAGTTTTGATAACAAAATATACCATTCCAAAAGAAAACTTAACCCTCCTCTCATCCACACATCATTCATGTATTGCACATACATTTTACAGTCACCCTGCAAAGCTGTGAGCTTCAAGCCAAATAAAATGGGAACAAGTGTGTTTCTCTTACATCAAACTGCGATTTAGTTTTGATATAAAAACAATGAAACACAGTCCACATGAGCAACACAGACATTAAAAACCTTATATTTGAACATCATTACACTGGAACATCATTTCAAACACATTCAGTGTTTATCAGGACCTGCAAACTCATCAGTGTGGCAAACAGAGAAGAGTTGGTCCCTGTTTTCCTCACAGCTTTTAAGTTCTTAAATGTTATGTTAATTCAGACACTGCTTATTCATATCTTGTTCTCCATTGGCTTCCCTGCTGCAATTTACTGCTAATGGCCCGACAACCCCCCCCTCCATCAGCCCCCCCAGCCCCCTTCTATACCCCCCCCCCCCCCCCCCCCCCCCCCCCCCCCCCCCCCCCCCCCCCCCCCCCCCCCCCCCCCCCCATTCTCCCTTCCTACTCTCTTTCTCTCAGTCACCCTCTCACTCCCTTTCCAGCCTTGAGGCGTCCCGTTTCAGCTCCTTCGCTTTCAGTCACAATGCTGTGGAGAGGGTGAATGGGTGGGGGGCATTTAAGAGAGCAGTAGGTGGGAGTGCAGTCTGACCGCAGAGGGTCTACTGTTTAAGAGGAAGGGAATTCTCTCTTTCACTCACTCTTCTACTCTACTCTCTCTCTCTGCTACTCTTCGTCTCTCTACCTCTGTCAGTCTCACCCTCTCCTCCTCCTCCTCCTCCTCCTCCGCCTCCTCCTCCTCTCTCTCTCTTTCTCTCTCTCTCCTCTCACTGGCTGCACAACATCAGCCGGCTCTCTAGGTAGACTCGAGTAAACACTCTAAGAGAACGGAGAGGAGAGAGAAGATGACAGAGCTGTCAGCGCTCTGAGAGACACGCACTGGTGAGAACATTTGTAAGGGTTGTCTGACGAGACTCTCTTCAACGCAGCCTCTGATTCAGTTTTTTTAATCAGTGGAAAGGCTGTGAGCATTGTGTGTGAGGTAAGTCACTTTCTTTACCTGCATGGTGAAGGTGCAAGCGTGTGTGTGTGTGTGTGTGAATGGAAGCAGAATGAATGAGCTGATTGCTTTATTCAATTAAGATGATGGAGACAATTGAATTAAAGAGCCCAGCAGCTTAATAACTCCTACATCCTCTCTCAGCTTATTTTCCACTTGTGTGAGTTGATATCAAAAGTTTTGGATGTAATTATCTTATGTTTAAGTAATTTCCATGAAATGTAGTGTAGGTATGTAACGAAGCAGAATTTTGCAGAATTTTGATGGTTATTAATTGTTTGTTTTTACTCAAAAGAGTGAAGTAAAAGCCATTTGTCATTTTAAAAGATGAATTAGTTTATGTGATATTGTTAAATAAATGAATAGCTTAAGTCTTTTAATGCCGTGCTGGATGCTGTTTCCTGAGTGTGATGCGATTAATAATTGTTCATCCATTCACCAAAGCAGCTTTTCTAATCCATCCTCATGTTTAACAAGCTTGGTATACTGCTTTCATTTTGCTCTTTACTGCTCGCACCTGGATGCCAATTATGTTTTCCTGTAAAAGTTTTTCTATTCCCCGAGCTATTTTCTATTTATTAGCAGAGATGGAAGTCTGTGATGACCTGCTGAATTATTCTTGTTGCATTAGGACTGCTAAGTTTTCATCTGATGGGATAGTCAGAAGGATGGGCAGAGTGTGTGTCCATACATGTATATATGTGTGTCCTGCTTGCCGGAGTGGGTCCAGCTGTACACTTTATGGTTGCCAGCAGACAGTAGGCTTGTGTAACCCAGGAGACAGACAGCTGCTCTGCATTAGATGCTGCTGGTTGGTTCCTCTCCAGCCTACACACTGCTGCCTGTAAACCAGCAGCCTCACTTCCACACACACACACACACACACACACACACACACACACACACACAGTGACTGTTCATCTCCATGTTCTTCCTTGCCTCTTTTCTTTGGGTCAGTTTGTCTGTCATCTCTGTCTAACGCAGAAATTACTAACAGATTATGAGGGAGGCGTTTGATGGATGAGAAAAGAAACTGGTCAGTGATTATGTTGGTCAAATGAAGGTATAACCTCTACAATTTGCTAAATTTTATGCTGTCTAGCAGAATGTTTTTCCTACAATTGTGCATAAATCGAAATAAGCCTTGTCAACTTTTGCTGAAAAATCAGCCATAGGATTTAGGAAGAACTATAATAAGACATATCAGCTGTAGGGATGTGTCCAGATGGGTGGCCAGGGTGGCATGGGCCCCCTTAAAATCTGATTGTTCGAGGGATTGTTGGAGCTTTAAATTGTAGAAAATGTTTCATCCATCAATTTCATTGGCGAGTGAATAAGAGGAACCAGTCTATTAAAAGTTGCAAGCAAACTTACTGTAAAAAACACAATTATAAGGAACATTTAGGCACAAGTTAATGTATTTTTGGACAGTTAGTTGGTTTGCAGGAGCTTTTTGACTCTATTCTGTGCATTATTTTGGAATGCAACAAATTCAAAATTTTCCATATAAGAAATTATTACTGTAGACAACCACCTTCTTTTGAATCCTTTCAGAATAAAGCTCTGCAGATGTATTTGTTGCACTCCAAAATAATGCACAGAATACAGTCTGTTAGTTGTCAAAAAGTCATTACTATTGGAGACAGAGACACATTTTGTGTGTGTGAGCATCCACCCCTGCCAATGTCCCAGTTAGGCCCTGTCAAAACAGTCTGGACCTGCCCCTGGTCACCTGCGCAGGTAAAGCTTAGATGATCACATAGTGCTGAGTCAGTGAATGACCTCATTAGTATCAGTTACAGATGAACAACATAGATGTAAAGGTTCCTTGCAGAATCAAACTACTTTGGATCATATCATATCAAGCGTTTTCATAAACTTTGAGGATACAGAATCAAGGGAGGGTACATTTATTTTAGCTTTCAGTTTTCTTTTTTCAGAATAAATGTTATGTTCTTGATTTTTAAGTGATATAAAGTTGTATTTATATGGTGTGCCTGATTTCCAGGTCTCCATTCTGAGTTTGAGCCCCACTAAAGCTCTTAAAGATAGGTTAGCAGTTCTTCAGTGAAGAGTCAGACAGGTTTTATGACTCTGTACACCCCTGAAGCTGTCTGTGGGAAATCATATCCTCATGACAACAGAACCCCTGTGTGCATCATGGCAAAAAAGGGTCAGAGTCCAGGAAGAGAGGTGGGGAGGAGCAATAGAGAGGGGAGTTATGGGGTGGGCTGTGATGGAGGAGACCCACAGGATACCAGGGCCGCGTCTGTTGGATGGTAATTGTGTATGATGAGGAGTTAGGGACACAGCGCAGGAGGCTGACTGTGTTTTAGCAGCTTCCAATTCAGGATAACTGAAGCTCATTTGAAATCTGTTTTTGCTGATTTTCATTGATTGCGATGACTTGATGACACACAAACATGTTTAACACGAGTGTCTTTCCATGCTGGCTGTTTCATGTCATTCACTGGTAGATGGCTGCACAGGATTGGTGTATGATTTTTTTTATGATGCCTTAGCTGAGCATATGAGTAGTCCCTGACAGTGACCCCCTGCATCATGAGGAGTGGGAAACGGGCTTTTGTTTGGACAGCTGTTGGCCCCCAATCACTGTGCCCTACAAAGCTTCATAAGAAGGTGACTGTCTTTGACCCCACTTGGCTCCTTCACCAGTGGGTGTTCAAGATAACCCAGGATGGCAAGACTCACTGGGGGTGCAGAGATGATTTGGTTGGAACTAATAAGTCATTATAATTCAGGTTGGTCCAAACTTCCATTGCTGCCATCTTCTCTGGCCTTTTCTCTGTTGAATCACTGGCTCTTGTGATTTTTCAGGAAATGAAGCTGGACTTGACAGAATTTATGAGTCCATATTTAGATTTCACCTGGACTGGGCTGTCTAGCGCAGGTAAACACCTGTAGTCCAGATGGTTACCCATACCTTTACTACAGGAAACCTGAATACACATACAGTATGGCCCATAAAACTGGGGGGAAGGTCCAAGGAAAGAGGGGTGTACTTAGAGTTTTGGTTTTGCTGCAAATTAGTGGTCATATGAGTTTAGACATTTATACACATTCTTCAGAGATTCAGAACTTCTAGAGGACGATTTCTACTGACTTTATAGGTAAAGTCAATTTATGTTACAAGATTATCAAGATCACTGACATTTAATAGATTTTTATGTCGCTATCAAACAAAAGTACTGCATTGGTGTACTCTTGCATTATCGAAAAATTAAAACGCTGTTTGCCTCTGTTGTGAAAAAAAAAAACTCATAGTGGCCTCCAATCATGTTCCATCAACTGGTGAACTCATTCACTCAGTGTTTAAAACTATGAAGGTCCAAATAAGTAAGTAATAAGTTTTTTGTTGTTGTTTTTTATTTGATTATAGATGCTGAGGGGCACACTCCTGTCCTCTGTAAATGTAAAAAAAGGGACACTAGAAAGTCTCCCCCAGTAGCAAGTGTAAGTGTTGGTAGTTAGATCTATTTTCAACTGCTAAAGTAAACTATTCATAGAAAAATAATTCAAAATCTCAATGACATTTCCTCCAAATGTCAAATTCTAAGAGTAAATTACAGATATAACCAAAGTTAGAGCAATTCCTCTCTTTTTTTATCCAATTAAGTGGTCTTTTAAGGTTCCGTGAACAATTTATCCCCACAAGTCACTGGATAATTTTCCTCTTTCCCACTTGGATGAGTCACTACCGAGGAATAAAGACCCCCCTTGAAGAAATCCTGTGTTTTAGGCACCCCAGATGGTTTTTCATGTTCCCTGATGCTAATGCGGGACGGGAAAGGAGTGAAAGTCTTGGAGCTGTGGGATCCGGGATGCCTTTGTATTGCCCAGCCCTCCATTGGAGTCATCCAATAGATGAGCACATGTGGTAGACTCTTTGCTCTGACACTTTGGCTCCACCAGTGACCTCGCACATTGGAATGCATGAGCCATAATGTTCTTGGAACAAGATGGGGGTTTCTTTTAAGGGGGACAGACAATTTAAATTGGGGAAAATGGTTAAAAACGGGGAAGCCAATGAAGAGCCGCCACCGGGGCCGGGGGTCATTAGGCTCATACAAGTGTTTGAATGGAAGGCACTCCCAATTTGGACACGCAACACGCTTCAGGCTTTCATCACAGACAAGGACAAACAGATGTCTGGGTACCACAGCCAACATGCTTCAATGTCTAGTGAAAAGGAAAAAAATCCTGTTTGAATGGAAGTAACCAATAAACCTCCAATGTGGAGTGCTGAAATATGCATTCTTTAAAAGCTTTTCCACGTTCATTCATCATTTTGAGCTGAAAAGGAAAAAAAAAATCCCTTAAAAAGGTACACAGAAAGAAAAAACCCAAACTCTGAAGCTTTGGATCACTGACAGTGCTCAATGGTGGAATTTTCCCTCTGATTCTTGCTATCTGACAAGTCTCCAAACTCATCTACAACCGGTTGCTGTTGCCTTATCTGAAAAAGCACAAAGGATTCAACTGCAACATTGAAGGCTCACAAAAGTGACATCATGTTCAGTAAAACAACCACAAGCTCCTTTGGGATTTCAAGGTGATTGTGCTCCCGCCTCACAGCTGACTACCTGAGAGGAAAGGTGTTAGTTACATGGTAAGTCGAGACAAGTCCCTGAAACTGACATCAATACTTCTGTGTAGCATTACAATACAGGCAGCTGCCAGGTACAAACCAGATTTTAGTAATTGCAGTGCAGTGTGAAACTGAGGAGAGGATTGTGGACAGAGTGGGGACCTAGATGTGATAACAAGTCTCTGAGAAAAGCGCAGGTGGATGTGCAGTAATGGTTATGCGTGGATCTTCCAAACCTCCACAGCATCCAGGGGTTAGACTAATAAACAGCAGGTCACCCGCTCCCAGCATGTTAAAAAGCTCACGAACAATGACTAGCATCCAACCCCTCCATCTGGACCCCGCAAGAACAGCAGTGCAAGATGGAGGCAGCACGGGAGCAGAAGAACCATAAAGAATATTGATGGGCGTCACAGCAAGTCGAAGCACAATGCAATAAAACTAAATTGAGATGCAACTGTCTGCTGTATGATAGACCTTAAACATTTGTTTTCTCTGTATCTCAGTGTCAAAGTCTAAAATTGGTTTTTGGTTGAAGAAATAGACTTTTTAGGGCGGTATCAGTCAAAGGTGTCAACTCTGGCTTCAAATCACGCTGGTGGTCATGTGAGTATGATACGGCTCAGCCTGGGAAAAGAGTTTTCTCGGAGTGTCTCGATAAGTGCTCGTGTCGGTATCTCAGATTCAGCCTCCTCGTCTGCCTTATCAGCCATGAACACACTAACCCCCACCACTCCCCCGCTATCTGTGTCATCAGATCCAATGGGGTCACAGCGGAGAGCCAATGAGTGCAGACTGGGTTTGATGAAACCCGTCTTCTTTTCATCCGTCAAAAAACTGCATATATCCCCATTTCATTTCTGTTTAGCAAGTCAAATTGTTATTTATTTTTCAGCCATTCGGGGAGACAGAGTGTTGAAGTGAAAACACTGTGATGCTCAACTGTTTGATGTTGGTGTCTTCAGTCAGGTTTGCAGAGGAACTGATAAAGATTTTATTCTTTGTTGAATATGATTGATATAAATACGATTGAAGCATCAACTTAACCTCATCAACAAAACCTGCCATTCCTGAAGTTTGACCCTGAGTCATCACGTACTTATAAAGTTTTGTCAAATTATTACACATAGGTAACATCTCTATACAAGACAAGGGTTGTCCCACTGGGAACAAATCAATGAGGTTTGAAATACAGGACTTCCCATCTGATATGGCAAGATTGTCAACCCCAGCCTGACACTTAAACCCAATATTTTGTATTTGATGAATCCATTAACCTCAGCTGACCTCATAGTAAAGCGTTCACATCAGCGATGTTTTCCGGTCCTGCGATATTGTGGCATTTATTTTTTTTTAGTTTTTTTTAAGTTTCGCATACTGTGTGTCCACTTCTGACCAATCAGATTTCGAGTTGCGACGTCAGATTCACCGGTATATCCAACATGGCCAACCGGCTGATTGTTTACGTGTCGGAGAACAGAGTGCGTTTTGATAAAAAACACAAATATTACAAAAATAACGACCTAAAGGACAACTTGTGGAGACAACTATGCTAAGTAACTTTAGCTCGTAAGCTAACCTGTTCAGATACAACATACCATATGTATTTTCACTGTCTCAAACTCAATCGTGTTGCTGTCATAGCACTATTAGGTCTTGGTTGTTACCTTAGGTTTATGGATTGTAGGATATGGATTATAGTTTAATGTGCTTATCTGATACTGACCCCGACTCAGTACATGCTATCATGACAGACAGACATCTCAACACTAGAGTCTAATCAGAACTGAAAAACAGTCAGTCTGCTGTTGTGTCAGTCTTCTCACTTCCACCCGGGACATGTCTTTTTCCCCCCCGGAAAGTCGCAAAATCACATTGGGCTTGATGTGTCAGGCATGTCAAAATTCTCTTCCAAATATTTCGTGATTTCACGTTCTATATTCGCATCAGCCTCGGTGTGTAAGGACCTTTAAACCCAATATATTGTATTTGATCGATCCATTAACCTCAGCTGACCCCATAGTAAACTTATACAATTGTGACATTACATTTACTGACCAAGGTCCAAAAGAGTTGGGACACTGCTAAAAATGTTAATAGTAAAAGAATGAGATCGTTCACAAATTTACTCATTTTAAATTTAGTGTTTGATTGTGATGTATCACCTCTTCTTTTAATATCACTCTATAAATGTTTAGGAGTTGAGGAGACCACTTTCTAGGTTTTAAAAGTGCAGGTTGTACCACTCTTTCAGGTCTGGGTCTCCTTTCCATGTTTTTTCTCTTCACGGTGCACCTGCTGTTTTTAATAAGTGACGAGTCATGATTGCAGGAAGGCTTTTTTTAGCACCCAGACTCTTCTACAATGGAGCCAAGCTGTTGTATTGTGTGCAGAGTATGGTTTTTGCATCTTCCTTCTGCATTACGCAAGTCTCTCATCAAAAAGACATTGTATAGGTGGCAATTCCCTCTTTGGAGTGGAAGATGTGATGTATGTGATTTCCAAAAATAGTCTTCAATTCTGTCTTTTTGGACCACATGACAGTTTTTCACTTTGCCTGGAACCATCCTAAATGGGCTCAGGTCAAGAGCATTTCTGGAATATATCTATTTATTGTTTCCTCTCGAGAGTTTTTACCTGTATATGTGGATACAGTGATCAGCTGTGCTCACTGAAGGTGGCTTTTGGAGGTGAAGAAAGCATGCAGAGATTTCATGTCTGCTTTTTGATGCTGACACAGTTTGTCACAGAGTGGTGAAACTCCTCCCATCTTCACTTTTGAGAGACACTGCCTCTCCAGAACGCCCCTTTCATGCCCAGTTATGTTTCAAATTAACTAAAGTAGTTTGGAAAAGGTCTTCCAGATGTTTATTTTAACAGTGTTCATCTTTCTCAAGAACTGGATCTTTTTCCAGACTGCTTTAGTTTTTGAGTTTAGAGTGAGAAAGGATGCATTGTGTTGTGACGACAAACGTTTCCAATTCTATAGAAATGAAATATTTGAGCTTAGGTTGCTCTATCTGACAAAACAGAGGCTGGACTGAATCAAAATTGGACTGTTCTACATCAAGTTGAGCGGAAGCTTGTCTTTCCCCATTTAAGTGTGTTTTAAATCACAGTGTGACCACATCACTGCACCAAATCCTACAACTGTGTCACCTCAGTTATTTCCTAACATGAAAGACTTGAAATTGAATAATTGCCTCAATGACTGATTATTCATTTCTTTTCCCTGTTGGTGGGTTTTGTTGAAGTCAGCCAGCACTCATTGTCGGTCTCTCACAAAGGGTACACAGAAGAAAGATGCCTTGTGTTTGTCAGAGGGTGAGATGATAAAATTTGAAAATCCTTTTTCTCAGAAGCAGCAACAATGAAACGATCGATCGCTCCAATCAAGCAGTCAACTAAAGGAATGCCTCTTCCTGGAAATTCATTTCTGTGTTTGATGATGATTACTCAAGGCTTTAGTGCTGTCCTCAGCAACTCACTATCTCACAGGCTCTGACCTTGGTGGAGATACAGGATCCAGATCAATACTCACCTGCTTTAGTTCAGAACATATGTGAAGGTTTCATTCTCCCTACAGGCAGGTTGATTGTAATGAATATATTTATCAGCAGATTTCATTTCTGGGGGATCAGTTGCTGAATCCTGAAATTTCATGAAAAAAAAAAAAAAAGAAGTTTATTGTCAGGTTCTTCACGTGCCACTATGTGTCCATGGTTGTGGCTCATTTCATTGTCATTTTCCTCTTATTACAGTGTGACCGTATTTCAAGGTGAAAAGGGCCCCAGACAATAACACTTCATTGAGTCCCTGTACCAGCGACCCACATTTGGAATCTGTACCAAAAGAGGGAAGCTGAGTCTTGTCATGGGTGACCTACAAAACTAGGCAAGCTTGATAATTTCTTCAGAAATGAAAAGAAAGCATATGCATCCTATCAGACCCGTTAGACAAACAGTCCTGGGACCTGAGTTGTAGGTTGTAGCAATTGAATATTTACAGATTTGGTTCACCAAGTGGGCCATGCTGCTTCATTATTCAGTTTGTTTGTTGCCCGGTTATCAGACGGAAGCCGCCTTGTCTGTTCACACTACTGCGATTACCCACAAATGGTTAGCTAATCTTTCTTTTCCCTTTAATAAAACACGTTCTATACCTCCATGTTGGTTGGCTTTAAATAACCCACCACACGCTGCTGTTGTACAGACTGATAACACTCGCTGTCTTTGTGCCAAAACAAATTGCTTTTTCTCTTTAGAACAGCTTCACAGATAACCAGTGCTGAATGCCTGCAGAGTAAGAGTTTTCCTTTCTGATTTATCTCAGACCTAACATATGGTAGGCTCAGCGAAGGTGAGCTATAGCGATGATTACGTTCTCCTGCCCGGGGCGCTGGCTGAGTTTAAAAGAAACCCAGACTTCTGTTTATGATGTGTGCAAACCTCCCCTGACAGAAAGTCTGCTCATCAAACAAAGTAAAAGTAAACTTATATCCCTAGGAGGGGAGGACGTATATAAACACTGGTTAAGTAATCACCAAACAGTTATTTTATTTTTTTTATCCCTGCTAAAACAGCTTTGTGAAACGAAATCAATTTTGAGTGATATTAGTACAGCTAAGATGATCTTTGTATGTAGTGTTGTAGGTACCCAATGAGGATTTATCCTTATTGAACTTTTCCTGTAGTTTTCATCCCTTCCTTTCTCTTCCTACTGAGCAATAGACAGCTATTAGACGTCTAGATTTTTTTAGACCTACTTTCAACCGTCTAGTTTCTGTATATTTTTAGATGTAATTTAGACGTTGCACTATGTCCCATCATTCGATAACTATTCATTTCAAGAGGTAACTGTGAGTTGCATAACTAATCTCCAAGTACTTAACCGAAATAATTATGATAGCTGTTGAGCGATATACAGTGTAGTATAGACATAGCCCAGATTTAGACTTGATCTAAACTCGGTCTTAATTTAGACATCTAAAAAACTTGTCGTCTAGGCTACATTAAGATGTCTATTAGACCTCTTTTAGACCAAAAAATGCTCAGTGGGTTGATTTAGTGGAGGATTAAAGGTATAAACTTGCACAAAATGACACAGAAAAAGAAGCTAGTAGCATGCTTTAATGTTCATGTTCTTGTTCCAGCACCAAAAGAGAAGGTTTCTGCTGCCTTGGCTGGTTGTGGGTGCAATGTTTTTTACATCAGACACACTGATGTTAAAATCAGAGTTGCGTGAGAGGATTTATGTCAATAGGATCCCCTGTGATTTTATTTTTCAAAATTTACTAGACTTACCTGTAGACATAAAGAGCCACCAGGGATAGATAGATAGATAGATAGATAGATAGATGGATAGATAGATAGATAGATAGATAGATAGATAGATAGATAGATAGATAGATAGATAGATAGATGGATAGATGGATAAATAGATAGATAGATAGATAGATAGATAGATAGATAGATAGATAGATAGATAGACAGATAGACAGATAGATAGACAGACAGACAGACAGACAGACAGAGATGAGCTGTCTCCATGATGTTGACATTTGAAAGTGAGTTCGAACCCATGCACTGATTCCTACTGCAGAGACATGTCTGCTCGGATTATGGCGATCCTGTGTTTTTGTTGGCCTTGTCCATTTTGTACAATGATTTCTTTTCAACCTGGTTTGGATATTATGTTCTGTCAGTCAATGATTTCCCAATTTCACTATAATACGGTTATTTTTTTAAACCCTGGAAATATTTGCTCAGGCAGTCTTCCCCAAAAATGGTGAAGCTCTTCAAATGTTAATACCTGAGAGACTGAACCATGCGAATAGCTTGTTGTGAAATAAACTTTTAAGTTAAGAGACGTTCCTGCAGGTGTATTTTCCAGTGTTTTATCATCCGTGTGTGCAACTTTGCATCTTTATCAAATGTAGATGTGCAGCTGTTTTGTAAGGGGTTCGAGAAACACTTTCCTCATTTGATACATCCTGACCATCCTGACGTCTTAAAGCATTTATCGGCTGACAACATGCAGCGTGTGTTACATATTCTAGAGCTTTCTGATCAACTTTTGTCGCCAGCCATCCGTCAGTTGACACAGAAATAGCTTTTGACCCCCTTGAATGGCCCTTTTTATGGTGTGTACTAAAACACAAACAAACCCCTCTGCAAGTGACAATATTTGTTCATCTCCCTTCAGAATAAGTCGAAGCAGTCATCAGGGTGATCCAGTCTCTTCAATGTTGTTTATTTTGTCACTTGAGCCACTGTCACAGGCAATTATGATATCAAAAACATCGAATTAATTAAATGTGTTGATGTTATCAAATTTGAAATGAGCATAAATCTTTACATCTGGGTAGTTGAGATTGATTGAACTGAATGTGTGATTGCTTGCAAGTTTTCCTCACATTCAATAACAAGGTTTGAGGACAAAAACCAAGAAACCAAGTAACAAAGCAGTCAGATCTTATCAACCCCTTTCCTACAGTGCCAGCTGCATTAGCATAGAGCCAGGGTGCATATGAGGGAAGTCGAAACAGATGGACCAGCTCCGTGTTTCTCAGGGTCACACTCAGATTCTCGTATTGTGATTATTCTGCTTTATGTTAAAGAGTTTTGAACTGGCGATAAGAAAAGAGAAATTCAGATTTCTCTTCCCACCCTGTGGAGGTTTCTTCTCTTCATCTATTTCTGAATTAAGCTGAGTTTTGCCAGAGCCACAGATTCTCACACAAAGCCCTGTTTTGGTCTCTCAGGGTTGCCTCGCTCAGAGGTCCATGTGGAGAGCAGCCAGCCTTCAAAGTGAGAAAGCCAACCATCCGCCCAGAACTAAAACCTTAGCAGCAACTCCAAGCAATTTTCTGGCTATGTTGATTTAATCCCTAGTTTGTGATGCTTGGGCACAGCAGTGTGACTGTATTGGTGTGCGTATGTGTGCATGGGGAGGGGGTAGTTGTACCCCTGAGGGCCCAGATCCTCAACGCTCCCATCAGCAAGCTACATTAGCACTTTTACAGTCAACCCATCATGGAGGTGCTCATCCCTGCCTGTCTAATCAGCGGGCCGGGGAGGGCTTGGTGATGGAGGCTTGATGAGAAACTGTGGGATCCCTCCAAGCTGAGCTCATCTGTCAGCTTGCTTAATCACATGTCAGCCTGGGATGAGGACACCAAGCGCCTCTTCCTGGAGTTTACCTGCTGACTGGCGCCCTCTCTGGAAAAAGCCAGCAAAGATGCTCTGTGTCTTTCCTGCACACATACAGTATTACTGTGAATAAGTCAGGTGCAGCAGAGAAAATGAAACACCCTCATCCGGGCTCAACCACACTTGCTGGATACAGTATGTGGGCCTACAGTCATGGATTTTCATGTCTGCTTATTCAGACATTTTTATGTTGGCTGCTAACAGCTAATTTTAACCTTCGTGGCTGCCAAGGCACACAGTGGTTTTATGAGAGGCAGGAAATTATTTGTGTTCACACCACTGAAAGGTAGGGTAAAAGTGGGATTATATAAGATTAGACTGAGCCAGACCCTATAAGACATAAATATCTTTAGTTAGCCCCCCGCATTTTTGTTCCATTTCTACAACTTCAGTTTCACAAGAGTCAAAACTCAATACTATATTTCACCGTAAATTGTGCAAAGACAACAAATCAGTAGTTAAAACTAAATAAATGTGTTGTTTAATGAGAATTCAGTGTTTGTTCTAAATTTGATGCCAGCAACGTGTCTCAGAGAAGTTTAAACAAGGATAATGAACTCTTAAAAAGTTGTGTGGACCTGGAAAAAAATTGTGAACATCTCCCAAATGATTGAGGTAAATATAACAGGTTAATGGTTATATCATAAAGAGGGCACTCCTGAGTGGCTGAGTCTCTAAGGAGTAGAGATAAGGAGAGGTCCACCACCCTATAGGAGAGATTGATCCACACAGAAACTCTGGATTTGATTTAAAAAAGCTTGGGCCCAATCAAATTAAATGTTATTTATATAGCGCCAAATCACAATAATCGTTATCCCGAGATGCTTTCCAAAAAAAAAAAAAAAAAAGGCAGGTCTAGACCATTGTTTGATAAATTACCAAGACCCAACCTTAAGATGGGACAGATTTGACCCATCTCATCTAACATGAGTGACAGTGGCAAGGAAAAACTTCCTTTTTAACAGGCAGAAACCTTGGGAAGGACCAGACTCATGTTAGACAGCCACCTCAATACTGCTGAGTTGGGGAGAGTGAAAACAGGTCCTAAAACAAAAATTGACATTCAAATCTTGGATGCATCCTCACTCTAAAGAGGAGAGAAAACACCCAGTCTGTTATCAATGCATACTTCAAAAGCTTATAAACACACATTATGATCCCATCTTCATCAGGAAAGTGTTCGCACATAATACGGTGAGAAGATGTCAAACTGCATTTTGCAGGCATTTCAGCAGCACAACTCCATGGTAGAGGAATCCAGGTGCTGAAGTGATGTGCCTACCTGCAGTCCCGACTTGTCCCCTAACAAAAACACTTGGCACATTCTGTTCTGCAAGAAGGAAGAAGAGGGAAGGGCAGATTGTTGCCAGACTTGTTCCCTTTATTTAATTTAAAAAAAAGGAAACAGGAACATCGGGTTTAAAGGCTACAACAACAACAACACACTTTCCTCGCAGACCTTTTAAAACAATCATGTCAAGCCTCTGCTACACAAAAGGAAACCTAGTGGTTAAAAGGAGTGAAATTGAAGGATGCTGACAGGACAGTTGGTGAGAAATTTTTGCAGACCTCGGTGCTTTACAGCAATCCTACAGATGGGCAAACCGAACACTTGTATTAATCATTCGACCTTGGTTGTGGTCTGGACTGCAAAGAAAAAAAGCAGCGGTTCCAGCATGCAGGTGTTGCCTGGGATGTCTGTGGTAACCTGTCACAGTGTGGTGAGAACCAGAAAACCTCAGATCCCTAAGGATGCACACTGTTCTTGCTGTACTTGCAGCTCTTGGTCCGTGGTGGAAACTGTGTAAAAATGTCTAATACCATCTGCTAATTGTGCGTCATGTCTGAAAAGAGCAGAAAGTCTGAAACAGGTCAGAGGATTGTTAGTGGACTTTTGTGCGGGCAAACACAAGACAGTGAAGTTGTTTTTACGAGGATGGAAACATTTCAGTCTATAGACCCAGTGTGGAGGAACACTATATTCTATTATATTGAAATTGTGTTAAGAATGCTGCGTTCCAGTTTCCTTGGAAGTTAGATGTTGGAGCTGGGAATGACGTTACACCTGAGTTGGCAGCGTTCCAGTTAACAATTGGAAAACCAAGATGGTCGCCTACAGTTACCCGTTGTTAGCTGTTATTTACAATTGTCAGCTGTCGTTAGCGGTTGTCAGCGGTTGTTAGCCATTGTCAGCAGTTGTTAGTTGTTGTTAGGGATACCAGTAGTAAACAACGCATAACACAGTATTTTACTCCTGCAAACACCACAGCACCGTGTTCACAGTTAGATGTTGGGCAGTACAACATATACCACTTACTTAATTTCCCAACAACAAAACAGAAGTGCCAATAAATAATATATTACGAGAGCTTTTACTGTTACTCTTAACTGTTGATGCACTGCGCTGCCATCGAATTATGACGTTGTTGTCAAGTCGGGGCTGGTTAGCATCGTCCAATTTTCTGAGTCGGAAATCTGTCTTCACGGGGGTGTTCCAGATGAATTTCTGACTCAGAGCTCGGAAATTCTGACTTTCGAGTACAACTGGAGCGCACCATAACTCTGCCTAGACTGGTAATATCAACCAGTAGATACAAAATCCCGCATGTTGCTTTTTTAAATGTGTTTCACAAAAAGTCCAGGAGATAAATTTCTAATTCCATGTTTTTTTTTCCTTCTGATTCCACAGGGAATAAAACCACCGACACCTTTTTCACTTCTTAATAGACTTTATTCTGCACACCCATCAGAAGCTGCTGTGCACCAGCGTCATCATGTTGATAAAAGGCTTGCTGTTCAGCTGCCTGACAATGGCCCTGCTCCTCCAGCTCTCAAACGCTGGTCTGGTAAAGAAGATAATCCGCCACCGCAGGGAGGTTTTGATGCCCAAGAAAACCCAGGAGAACCTCACCCTGCCTCACCCAGACCAGCCAGTAGTGTTCAACCATGTCTACAACATCAACGTGCCCACATCGTCCCTCTGCTCTGTGGACCTTGACTCCCCAGGAGGCACTGATCTCAAACACAAGACCTCTCCGATGGACATGCAGAACACAGAGCAGATTGAACACACAGAAGATGGTGAAAATCAGATTGTTTTCACACATCGCATCAATATCCCCAAGCAGGCGTGTGGTTGCAACAACCAGCTGCCAGACATCAAGGATATCCTGAACAGGCTGGAGATGCTGGAGTCGGAGCTGTCCAGTCTGAGAGAGCAGTGCAACAGTGGGTCCAGCTGCTGCGGAGCTCCAGTAACAGGTATGTTCTTACCTTTTACTCCACATGCTGTTATTGGCTACCACGATGAGTCACACTATCACACTTTCACCTCATGATTGTTGTAGCCAATATCCAATATTTACCAAAAACTTGGAGAAATCAGTTGGTCAAATAAAGAAGAGGCAAGAAAGGTGAAGGTGTCACATTTCTTCATGAGCTTTACCAACATGTTAAAAATTTATTGTGATACGTTTAATTTCATGTATTAAGGTTGCATCATACGCTGAACTGGTAAAACACTATTTTCAAGTGAAGTACGTGTAGTCAGATCAGGGTAGGCCTATGCAAAATTAAACAGAAGTTAAAGTTGTTAATTGTTTTTTTAAATTAATCTCCTTGCTAAAAGTTGATCTTTAAAAAGTAATGCTGATTTCTGTGCCCAGTTTTTCTCTAACTATGATTAAACTTGCAGCAATTATTCACAGTTTATTATTCAGATATTGAACCTAAAATGACATGGATTGCTTAAGTGCCTCAAGAAAGTTGTGTTTTATAGTAGAACGATTATGAATAAACACTTCAAATAAATGAAAATTGCAGCATAACTTTCAAACTGCCTCCACCAAGGAAATCCAGTTTTCCACTTTGAAACCATTTCCAATATTCTCTTCTCCTTTCCTGCTGTCTCTCAGGTGAAGTGTCCACAAAGCCCTACTGTAATGGCCGTGGGAACTGGAGTACCGACACCTGCAGCTGTGTATGTGAACCTGGCTGGAAGGGTCCCAACTGCACAGAGCCTGAGTGTCCCAACGACTGCCAGGACCAAGGCCGCTGCGTGGACGGCAAATGTGAGTGTTTTGACAGCTTTGGTGGGGATGACTGTGGACTGGAGCTCTGCCTGCTGGACTGTGGTGACTACGGCCACTGTGTCGAAGGGTCCTGTCTCTGTGAGGAAGGCTTCATCGGAGAGGACTGCACCCAGACCAACTGCCTGAACAACTGCCTGGGCCGTGGTCGCTGCGTCGACGATGAGTGTGTTTGTGATGAGCCTTGGACAGGTTTCGATTGCTCTGAACTCATCTGTCCGAACGACTGCTATGACCGCGGACGCTGCATCAATGGAACCTGCTACTGCGACGAGGGTTTTACTGGCGAAGACTGCGGAGAGGTCACCTGTCCTGGCAACTGTAACAGTCGTGGCATGTGTGTGAACGGTCAGTGTGTGTGTCAGACTGGTTACAGCGGAGAGGACTGCTCAAAACTCACCTGTCCCAAGAACTGCCATGAGAGGGGCCACTGCTTCAACGGAAAGTGCATATGTGATCCAGGATTTGAGGGTGAAGATTGTTCCGTACTCTCATGCCCCGACAACTGCAACAACAGGGGCCAGTGCATAAATGGAGAATGTGTATGTGACGTAGGGTACCAAGGTGACGACTGCGGCGAGCTCTCCTGTCCTAACAACTGCCAAGATCGTGGTCGCTGCGTTAACGGACAGTGCGTATGCGACAGAGGGTTCGCAGGGGAGGACTGCAGCATCAAAACCTGTCCAAAAGACTGCATGGGACGCGGAGAGTGTGTCGATGGCAAGTGTGTGTGCTTTGCTGGTTTCACCGGGAAAGACTGCGGAGAGCTGACTTGCCCTAACAACTGCCTGGACCGTGGTCGCTGTGTAAACGGACAGTGTGTGTGCCATAAGGGTTTCACTGGTGAGGACTGCAGTGAGAAGACGTGTCCCAAGAACTGTCTGGATAGAGGTTACTGCGTGGATGGCAGTTGTGTGTGCTATGAAGGTTTCACCGGACCTGACTGCTCCCTACTGACCTGCCCGAATGACTGTCAGAACCAGGGACGCTGTGAGAACGGGGTGTGTGTCTGTGATGAGGGCCTCATTGGGGACGACTGTTCTGGAGGTAAGACAGGATACATGGAAATTGTCAAAGGTAACCAGAAGTTTACTTCTGTTGACGAACTCCATGCTGTTTGAACCTCTTTTTGCATGAATGATGACAGTGATTTCTTTTTTAATTATACTTTGAATAATCCATTGTCATCTAGTCAAAACTTATCAGGGAAAAACCAGAAAACTAGAGAAAGTAAAACTGAAAGAGGATTGTTTTTTTTTTTCATTTTGCACCTTTAGAAAATAGTCAAAATGCACAAAAAAACCCATCTTGAATCATTTTTTTTCTCATATCTATTAAAATATCTTTATAGGCTGATTTTAAGCCACATTCTTATGAAAGTGCAGTAGAAGTACAGAAAACATTGTTTTAAAGATGTGACATGCCAGAAACAAGACCTTAGTTGCTCATGGGTAAAACCAAAATCTGCTGGTGGAATTAGAAACTTTGACTTTCGCTCGCTTAAAATAGGAAAACGTTTATAATATTTCAAGAACCTGTATTTTGTTTCTTATTTCACTGACATTTTTTCACACATTAAAAGAAATATAGGTCTTACATTTGGCTTGTGATATCTTAAGATAAGCCACTTTTCTGTACCTATCAGGTGAATATACCTTTAGTGAATTCCAATGAGACGTGCAGAAATTAGAAAAAAACACACTATGATTTGGAGAATTAAGTGGAATTTTAATTTTGCAAGCTAAGCAGATGGCAAGAATAGAGCAGCCCATTCATATGGTGATGGTACCAGCATGTAGTGAACCCCGTAAACAGAGAGAGGAGAAATGATAGATACATAGAACTGCAGATACCAGTAGCGTTGGGTTAGCTTCATGCTAACTTCGGACAACTTAATAGAATTTGTCTTTTCATTATTTTAAAATGTCATCCTTCATCATCTCTTCTACTCCTGCCATTATCTTGATATCTGATAAAAAAAATACAAAGAACCTACTGGGAATCTGTTGAAAACCAGCCATGTACACAGCACGTTGTGCATAAAATACATAGCAACTTTGATCTGAAAACTGTTGGTATGCACGTCGAAGAATCCAATGATTGCATTAGTTTAATTGAAACTGGATTTTGAAAAAACATGCAGAGATGTTAGACCAACTACAATCATGCTAAATCAAACTGTTGGGGATTGATTTTATATGCTTCCACTCTGTGTATGCTCCAAAGTTTGCATGCCAAAGTTGGGGCTTTGCTCCAGCATATAAAAGGACATAAAGACAAACAGTTGTGGTACAGAGCTGTAAAAGTGACAGTGTTTTCATTGTTCAATGTATATCCCATTTGCCACTCAGGTTTGTGAATTGTTTTGGTCCATGAGGTCCAGAAGTTTCAAGCTGAAAGGGAGCATGTCATCACCTACTGTAGCAAAGGTGGACATGTTTCCTTCAATAATCTGACTGTAACTGAGACAAGGGCAGAAGTCCAATTAAATCCTCTAATCGAGCTTTGACCATAGCTCAGTGTAACTGTGAATGTAAATATGCTGAGATTTATGCAGAAGTGAGACATCTCCACTTAGCAACCATTGACTTCTTTCTCATCTTCAAAGTTTGTCTTTTTTTCCTCATAATTTGGACTTTAGCATTTTTCAAGTCTTAGGAGTGAATGCAGAGCACATATCCACATGCCTCTGGTTACTGTTACTGTTACATGTGACTCATTTTCATCTTCTCTTTCCAGTCTCACCGCCAAAGGATCTAACAGTAACTGAGGTCACACCAGAGACAGTTGACCTGTCTTGGGAGAATGAGATGCGTGTGACTGAGTACCTGATCACCTACGTGCCCACTGCCCCTGGAGGTCTGGAGTTGGACATGCAGGTGTCTGGGGACCAGAAGACGGCCACTATCAAGGAGCTTGAGCCTGGTGTTGAGTACATGATCAGTGTCTACGCCGTGCTTAACAACAAGAGGAGTGTTCCCGTCAGTGCTAGAGTGGCCACACGTATGTATATCTTTTTTTTTAAAAGTAGTCTTCTAAATGCAATGCCAAGTTTAGATGCAATGGGATGAGAGTTTCATTCTGTACCCTCTTAGATCTGCCTGAGCCTGAGGGGCTCAAATTTAAGTCAGTGCGGGAGACCTCAGTGGAGGTGCAGTGGGACCCCTTGGACATTTCCTTTGATGGTTGGAACCTAATCTTCAGAAACACAGTAAGTCCTGCTTTTGGAAATGTAAATAGAGCTTCTGTATTGGAGTAGGTGGTTGAACTCCAACGATTTAGCCATTATCCACATTTTCCTCTGGTAGAAACCAAAAATGACCCGGTGCAGATCCCCCTCTTCACATTTCAGAAGGATGAGGATCAGGTTGAGTGTTCTGTGGAAAAACACGCTGCCAAGCTGATTCGTAAAATCACAGCAGTTTTAACCGTTAGCATGTCACGACAGCTCCAAAGACAACATAGCATACGGCCAATGTTACTCAATTTATCATCCTTTTTTTTAGTGCTCACAGAAACTCTTCTGAACAGTGCTGCTGGGTTCTCAAAGTCACACTACTAAATTGAGCCCCCTGTTGACTCTTGGGTCCAAATGCCACCCAGAGGGCCATTATGTATGATTTGACTGTTTTTTCTTCCCACTCTACATATGATGCCAGAGCTAGTCTTTGTAGTGGTTGATGACTGGAGGTTTTTTTTGGGGGGAACTGGCAGAAAGAGGAGGATGGTGAGATTCTCAACTCCCTCGGCCGTCCAGAGACCACCTTTGAGCAGTCAGGCCTGGGCCCTGGCCAGGAATACGAGGTCAAGCTGCAGGTGGTGAAGAACAACAAGCTTGGAAAGCCTGCCTCCAAGAGCGTTGTCACAAGTAAGTTTACACTTTCATCCTCTTAACTGGATTACCATTCTTTTGTTTCAGACTTACTCGACTGCCGTCTTTCCAAATCGCTCTAAATACACTTTCTTAACCCTCAACTACAAAAACTCTTCTACTATAAAAAGCATACGTAGCAACTGTTGCGTTATACAACAAAATCCATAAAACATACTGTAGTTGTTCCCTTTAGGTACTGTAAGTGAGGGGAACAGGGCGTGAGTGATAAGGTCAGCAACACTGTAAATAAATGTTATGTACTCAACTGCCATCCAATTCTTGGATCCACAATCCACCACTGCCTGGCAACAAAAACAGAGACAACTTTAGTCAAGATGATGGGATTAAAGGTCCAGGTCCAGAGGTGGTCCTTAGAGTACTCATAATCGATGCACAATTCATTTAATTCATATTTTCAGTTATTCCTTTTTTATTGTCCTGAACTTTCCAGCCTTTATTCAGTAATCAGGAGATTGATTAATTCAGGCTTTTTGTTTGATTAATCTCTTTAACCCCACATGTAAACAGCTTCCATATGATGTGATGATGAACAGCAGACTTACTCATCGATTATGTTACTGCAATGTGTCCTGTGACTTCTTTTTTCCACCATTGTAGTTTTACTCTGTTTTTGCTGTTTCATGATGCTCAGTCAAAAACTTATTCGTTCTGCTCTGTGCACTCAGAGGTACGGAAACTGAGAACGGCCACGGATTTTTCTTTTTTTATGTAGTGCTATCTCGTGATAACGACTTATCTCGTTATCTCCATATAACAGTTTGTTTTCTCTACTTATTCTTTTAGCTATCTCGATATAATATAGATTGTTTTCTCATGATAACCTTGGCGTATTTCTGGAACGCTACTGCCACCGTTGTCAACAGCAAGTCGGGGTTTTCAATGAAAACACGGACAACACGCTCCATTTTGCGCATTATAGCATTTTCACTGAAAACCCAACTTGCTGTTGACAACCGTGGCTGCTGCATTTCAGAAATATCCTAATATTGGAGGGCGTTTGTAAAGTTACTGTTGAGATCAGCTAAAACACCATATCTGTGATCTTGAGAAAATGGTCTATGCCATGCGGAGATAACAAAAAAATGAGCCAAGAAAACAAACTTTTTTATATCAAGATAACAAGGTAAGTTGTTGTGAGAGATATCAGTGCATCAAAAAGAGAAAAATCCATGGCCGTTCTCGGCTTCCATACAGAGGAACTTGATCTGCCTCTTTCTTTTTCTCTGTTGCATGTTGGGTTGTTTTCTTTAAATTTTCCCTAAAACTCTCTTCTGACATTTTTTTTTTAACTGCTGAAAACATAAATTGAAAACCTTTCGATGGACAATACTCTGTTTTTTCAGGCCAAGAAAAAAAATATCAAAGGTTTTTGTGGAAGAAATGCTTATGTAGTGTCTGATTCAAGCGCAGGTTAACATGTTCATGCATTCAGTCGAATCTCGAGTATTTGAATTATCCATCTCACAATCCCCAACAGAGTATTGAAAACATGCAGACATGTCAACCATGACTGATTAGTTCATTAAATTTCATTGCATTGTTGTGATTTAGCAGGGGTAGTAAAAAGAGATATGAATTTCCAGCCCTACTGGCAAGTTATTCCATACAGCTCCATCAGGCAATAAATGTCAGTAGCTCTTCTCTGGGGACCTCGGAGCTGGGGATCAATAAAAAAAGAGAAAACAGGGTTCAATTGTGAGCTTATCCTGCCTGACCAGCCATAAACCACCTGTCTATTATTTTTGAGTGTATATAAATATACACGTCTTGTTGAAGTTGTTAAATGTGTATTTTCTTTCAATCTAAGCCACAGCAGCAAGGAAAGCTAGTCCTTTGCTAAAACTAAGCTTGGTGTTTTCCCAAGACAGCTTCTATTATAACAAAGCAAATTCAGTCACAGCATTGTTACAGAGCTGTGTGTGATGAAATGCCATATGAGACTCGTAATTACCTTTTTATTGTCTGCTCACAGCGGGGGGAGCAGGCAGGTAAATTAAGGGCCAAGTGTAGAGAGAGTGCACTGCTTTTGTCAACAATCAAACTCGTCTGTCTTTACAAAGATGATAGAATTAGGCTTCAGTATTCAAAGGGATGAATGTTTCATAAATTAAGCACAGCATTGGTCCAAGCTCAAGCTCAGTGTATATCAGCTGACAGCTCAGCCTACTACCTTCTACACATTTGATTGGCACATGTCAAAACAGGTGTTCAATGACTTTAGTCCGACTTCTCTGGCTGCTTTTTCTACAAACTCTACAAGCTCTCAGAACAGAGTCAGACTGAAATGAAACATATCGCATGTAAATGACTCACTCTCTTGATTGAACACCTATTTCTGCAATGGCACCATTTTTCCTTACAGAACTCCATTAACCGCCAGCTCTGTAACCTTTACTTCTGCAGTGATTGATGCCCCCAGCCAGGTGGATGTACGTGATGTGACTGACACCACAGCACTGGTGACATGGTTCCAGCCTGTGGCTGCCGTGGATGGGGTCAGCATCTCATACGGACCCAGCTCTAATCCAGCTGATCGTAATGTGGTGGAGCTGTCATCCACTGACACCCAGTATCACCTGGGAAGCCTCAACCCTGACACGCAGTACGAGGTGTCTCTGACTGCTCAGAAAGGAGAAAGGACCAGCACCCCCGTCTATGAATCTTTCCTCACAGGTAATTACATTTGAAGCGCTTTGCTTTCAGGTCGAAAAATTAAATCTATCTGAATTTTTACATTAAATATTACAACCCTCTACGAGATGAAAAACAGCCCTGACCGTTAACTGGTAATTACAGCCAAGTTTAACGAGCTGTGTGTCAGCTGCAGGGGACAGGACCACACATGCAGGATTCATATACAACTACACCTTTATGAGGATGCATAGCTTGAATTTATGTGTCAGGATGTGTGTGTTCCTTGAAGGACCCCATATCCTTCAAAGTAAAGGATAATGAGGGACCTCCCCAGGATTGTTCTAGAGAAGAACTACTTCAGATTTAGGCCTCATAGATTTGAGTTCATGTCGATCTAAAGTACATTTCTGGGTTTCAGACCTTGACGCCCCCACCGACCTGCAGACAGTTGAGCTGACTGATGAGAGCATCACCCTGGAGTGGAAGAACAGCCGAGCTCAGGTTGAGAACTATCGCATAAAATACGGTCCTCTGTCTGGAGGCGAGCACGGGGAGCTGCTCTTCCCCCCTGGACTCAAAGGCAGCACTCAGGCCAAGATCACAGGTAAACACACACATACACACATCATGTTTAACCCCATCTCTAGTGGGACTTCCACCTATTTACTTGAGAAGAACACAATTTTAATAAGGTGTGTCACTTATATATATACTGATCCGAACTTTGACAGGTGTCTCTAATGTGCGGCCTCTTTGAAAATGCTGCAGGAAAGTTGGATATTTGTAAAAAGTTGTTGTTGTTGTTGTTGTTTCAGGGACTCAGCAGTCATTTTCATTCATCTAAAGTATGACCCTGCAGCCACGCACCATGCTGGAGCACTTAGCCCTGGACTATAATGTTTGCAGCTTCTGTTAAAAACAACCAAATCTTGCTAAGTCAAAACCATTAGGCTGCCTCAGAGCAGACATACTCAGTGTTTTCATTCTTTTGTCTGCTTTGGTTCACACCAGCACATTACCTCTTTGCATCCAAATGACACAGCTGAAAAGCCTCTGTGGGAAAAAAATACAGTGTGAAGTGTTTATTCTCTTAATTCTGCGGGCAAGTGTTTGTTGTCCTTAAATGGTCAGTGTTATACTGAGCCTGCTCATTTCCAGAATGGGTTGCCTTTGTTTAGTGTTGTGAAATGTTTGCCCGTCTACAAAAGGCCCACTTTATTAGAAAACCACCCAGGGGGGTTTGGCATTCAGACTTTAAATGGAATAACACTGCCGCTTGTTTCACTGTGAGATCTTGTTTAAAGGAGAGAAGCGGTTGTGTTTCATCTATCTGCACCGGTGACATTATAAAGCCATGCTTTGAGGCGGATGTGTTTTTTTTCCCCTCTGTTTGTTTCTACCCTATGAGCTGCAGCATGGTAGGATTAGACATCATGCAAAACCGAAAAAAGGCTTCCAAAAAAACGTCCTCATAGAGTCTTTGTCTAGACCAATTCTTTGTCCTTGGGGGGCCCATCCCATGGAAATAAAGCACTGTGTCCATTCAGCCGACGTCCCCCTCCACTCCTTACACACCTCAGCACTTCTTTCACACAGTTATTATCTGTAATTGCCTTCACGCTCGTGATTTTATTGATAATGAGTTTCCTGGGCATTAGGTGTAATTTCATGCTGCAAGACTCTGTGTGTGATGACCTCTGTGGGAGTTAATAAAGGAATTAGAGGCGATCAGGCCAAGAGAGGGCTTAATTGTAGAGACCAAAGGGCCTCTAGAGCCCGTTGTATCATAGCAAGAAGTGTTTCTGCTCCACGACAAGGGCCCTATAGAGCCATCAATGGAAATACAACACACAGGGAGCGCAGTCTTACCATGAAATGCAATTAGGCTGCAATCTATTGTGCAATCAAGCCACATGAGAGCATTTTTATGTGTGCCACAGGCAACTGGAACCATCAGACGAAACAGCTGGCCACTTGACTAGAGAGTCCCCCCCCCTCGTTGATTCAGTGACACACAAACATGACATAGCTTTTCAATTTTGTTACACTGTGTTTTGATGTTGCCTGTAGGTCTGAGACCGGGAACAGAGTACGGGATGGGTGTGACTGCAGTGAAGGTCGAGCGTGAGAGTCTGCCGACAACCACCAACGCAGTGACTGGTAAGATGCTTACCTTATCTACATTTTATTTCATAAACTCAAATTCTTCAAAATATTTATTCCTTTTTTTAAACTTTTTCTTCTCATACAAAGTAATACTGACAAAAAATGTAATTGAGGTGTCTATGTAGACAAAAAACAATATCTGTAATCCAATATAATAACACACCCCAAACCTACACAATTAAGCCCTGTCTAATGGGAATTAATGAAATAAATAAAGAATAAAAACTGTGATAGAGCAAATCTATGCACCTAAGTGACAGATATAGCATAGCTCTAGGGAAAGATAAGAAAATGGATAATAACAAATGAAAGAAATCAGAATAACTCTTCATTGATGTCTATTTCTATAACGCATAATAAGCATATTTATAACGCATTATTATCACGTTATAGCACTGTATAACTATAGTTATAAACACTCATAAATGATCATAATGCTTTATAGCAATAATCATAACACATTATAAAGCATTTTATCATGACTTACAAGGTCAGGTGTTATAATGTGTTATAACTGTTAACAACAGTTCTATTGCATTATCTATGTGGGCATTGTCAGTGAGTTCTTAACAGTTATACCACATTATAATACCTGATCTTGTAAGTCATGATAAAATGCTTTATAATGTGTTATGACTATTGCTATAAAGCATTATGATCCTTTATGAGTGTTTATAACTATAGTTATACAGTGCTATAACATGATTATAACGTATTATACAAATATTTATAATGCTATATAGAGATAGGCGTCAAATAAAGTGTTACCGAAATCAGAAATATACTAATAGATTAAATAGATTAAAACTAATTTTAAAATGAATATGCAAGAACTATGTTTACTATATTTAAAAGCAACCCACACTTCTCCCCCACTTGTCCCTTTAGCCCTAGATGCTCCCAAGGACCTGACTGTTGCAGAGGTGACAGAAACAACCATGCTGCTGGAGTGGAAGCGCCCAATGGCCAAACTGGACTCCTACAAACTAGTCTATGTGTCAGCCGACGGACACAGGAACGAGGACATGGTCCCAGGCAGCTCTGAGTCTCACACTCTGAGGAGCCTTACGCCTGGCATGCTGTACACCATCAGTATCACTGCTGAGAGGGGCCGCAGGACCAGTGTACCCACCTCAATCTCAGCCCCCACAGGTTAGTAATGTGAAAACACGCCTACGACCTCAAAAAGCAAAAAATCTTTCTTGATAAACAAAAGTGCTTTCTTTTGTATTGTGTTTTATTGCTGGAAAGAAATACCTGAAATCTGAAAATTTTGGTTTATAGTTATTAGTTCAGCATTTATTCAACAATTCCAGATAACATTTGTTCCTATATAAAAGTAACAAAGCAGGGGTTGCAGTTTCCTTTTTAAAGTTGCACCATTATCTTTAATGTGGCGTGCAAATAACAAGGCATAATAAACTACCCCCCAAATATGAGAATCTAAATCTGAAACTATAAACAGATTAAAGGATCGCCTGCTTTGCTAGGTTGCTCTAGAAGTAAGAAGGATTTTTTTAAGGGTGAATTGACCTCAAATCATGTAGCTATTATGTTTGATTCAATATGTAGCCCGGCTGTGACTGAGTGTGTCAGAGATTCAATAACTGTACAATGTGTGTGAAGCAAAGGCTCCTCTGAATGTTCCCCAATGTTTCCACGAGGGTTCTAGCTGGTGGCTCAGGCTGAGGGAATGAGAGAAGTACTCATTAACCAAAGGTTCATTTTTTTGTCCTTCAGTACTGCAGCCAAACCAAGGCAATGAATTGAATTCATTGTTAGACACCCAATGTAAGTCACTCTGTCTCTTCCCTCCTCCCGCTCTCCCACCTTCCCCCATAGGCTTATTTATAGCATGTGGGATTATCTTTCATTTTTCCCCCTATTTTTTTTAGTGCAAAACAAGAAAAGACAAATAGGATGATTGTGGCATATTTTTCTTGCTGCGGTAAGGGTGCCTCCAAGACAAATATTTTACAAGCAAATCTTCTAGTTATGCAACTGGTGCCCATTAAATGCATGGCTACTGGCAAAAATCGATATGGCATGAGGGAGAAACTAGTGAACAGCAGAAAAACTGTTTTTTGTTGCATTTTCTGGACTGGACTCTGCCAAGAAGAACAGAACACAGACTTCTTACTGTGTGTGTGGTTTGTGTGTGTGTCTGTGTGGTTTGTGTGTGTTCATAGGTTGCTATAAGTGCTTAAGTATATGTGTCGAACTCTTATGTCCACTTGCTTTTGTGTTTCTGCTTCACACGTGATTGAGAGACTGAAGGGCTAAAAAGACTCTGACAGTGAAACTGGAGGGTTGTGTGTGTCCTGTGTATGTGTGTGTGTGTGTGTTAGGGGGGAGAGGGGGGTGCTGGGGGGCTGGGGACATTTGTACGGACATGTGTGCACCCTGCACAATGTTCATTCATGTGATAATTGTTGGCATGAGCCCTGCTCCCCTCTGGTTTTGTGCGATTTGACCACGATGAACTGTGGGTCTGTCAGATAAAAGGCCACATGCTGGGACTCCTGTTAAAACATTGTCCCCCCAAAATCAGGAGCCCTCTAATCCACAGCCAGCCCAGCTGATCTGCACTCTTTATCTTCTCCAGACATATAGCTCAAACACAGATCACGCTGGTTTTACAGGAAGGAAAGAGGAGTGATGGAGCGAGATGTGACAAGGTCGGAGGAAGGTCTGAAAGAAGTTGGGGTTAATACTTTGCCCTAAAATCATGAAAGGTCTGTCCAGAAACTAGATCTTTACCTAAGAAACAAGATTAGGCAGATGTTAAAACAAAACAATCGATTAACAATGCACAGATTATGATAACTTAAACCATTAAGTTGTTAGGTTACCAGCAATATATAGATAACACCTTCATCAGGTGACCCGGCATGTTAGAAGAAATAAAGATCACGTCTGTTTGACTGTCTTCATAAATGACCAGCTGTCAAGTATGTTGTGTTTCAGCACTCACCTCAGATGCCACAACAACCTGGAACACAACAGTCAATTCATCCCTCCTGCATCCCTTAGCATCATTTTGAGCATCTTGCTTAATATGATGATTCTGCATGAACAGTTGACTTAAAAAAATAGAAAAGAAAACATGAGGCATGTAAAAAGCATGACTCGGTCCTGCATGCACTAACATGATCTGTGCATTAGGACTGAAAAGCACAGATCCCGCCTGGGTATAAAGCTTGACCCTCATCCTGACGATGAAAGGACTGCAGTAATATGAGAGTGTAAGTAATGGCAGATTTCAGAGTGGGATAGTGATATCACAGGAGAGTATTTGAGTGATAGTAAGTGTACTATCCACAGAGGATTTCTGTCAGCTTGGCTCTTTTATGAAGAAATTTCAGGTGAACCAATACAGAAGTTAGACCATGACTAGGCTATCAACAGCTACAGATGGGGTCAGCTACATTACATAATTGAACAAATATTAACAAATAATAACAACGCACTGTTCTCAGTGGAATCGTATGGTATAATTTGTTGTCTGAAAGCCCCTTTTTTTGCAATACTCTTGAAAGTGGTGCACATTTTTTCTTACCAGACTAATAGATGGAATATTCTGAAGGAGACACGACATGCCAAAGGAGATGGGAGAAAGTTCTCTGCTAACTGGAGAGCTGGTGGTTTCCCAGGTAACCTGGTGATGGTGCATGTGTATAAGCCCACACCCATGAACTGAGAAAACCACTTCCACCACAAATGGTGACAACAGTAGCCTATGTCAGGACTTTTCTGAATCAGAGGATACCAGCAGCTCACATGTGGCTGCAGTCTGCATGACTCATGGTCCAGGGTCCCTGACTCACTCTATGTTAAAACACATTTTCTTCAAATCTCAGAAGGGAAATAAAAGAAAACTAGAAGGGCTGAATCAAAGTGCCTCTGCAAAGAAAGTTTTCCACCCCCTCTGTATAATACACAACCTATGGTTCACATTATATCTACCTTATCAAAATACACTGTCTGTTGTTGAAAGGGAAGAGTGGGGTGGAATTACAAGCTCCACAGACATTTTTGTGTCCAATGGACTCTTACCAATACTCTTTGGTTTTTGGTGCTTAGAACTATGACAAATTGATATAACAAACTGTCAAAATTCATGAACATCATAAACCCGAACCATAGGACAAAAACGAATGGGCTTGAGTCCTGATGGCAAAGTGAAGCCCTGAAACATTTCAAATCGAGTTGTTGCTGACGTTTAGAATAGCGCTTTGGTTGATGTTCAAACTGACCAAATGACATGATGAAGCTGACTCCCTCTGCAGTGCTTGATAACCTAGCTTCTGTTCTGGTTCTCTTGCTAGTTTCTAGACATAATCCTAAATCTACTCTTGGCAAGTACCTCACATAGAACCACTGAACCATTTATTTAAGGTTGTATTTGTCAACTTTTCTTTTATTACCCTGTTTATACATATAGCTGTTGCAAACAGGACTCAAAACCTACTACTGCTATACTTGCTGACTCAAATCCTTCCCGGACTGAAGGGCCAGAAACTCAGCAGGCACATCATTCAAGGAATCCATTATCCTTGAAAATATGAGCTCTCACAAGGGATGATCAGCTGATTCCAGAAAGGACTCCCACCCCCCCACCATTACTATTGTCTACCATCCCATTTGTGCTCCATTCTGGCATATGGTGAAAAGGGGATAATGTGAGCCTTAATGTTTACCTGCACCATCTATCTCTGTCTCTTTCTAATCTGCTTTCTGAATGCTTGCACACTCAATAGACTCCAATTATAGGCTGCTGCACGTGGCTCTCCATAGGTTTGAAGTGGACGGCGTACTCCTGCCATTCTGGTCAGGCTACACTGTGCCTTCAAATGTTAATGGCTCATTCATAGCCATTAATGTGCACGAGCTGCATCAGCATGTCTGCCTGCTGATTCCACCTTTAAGTCTTCCCACTTATATGGAAATAAAGAGGAGATGGCTACAGGCAGCCATTAATGATGAGGCTGTTTTCTCTCTCGGCTTTTTGTAGTGGAAATAGGGGGAACATTTCCACTCCAGACAAAGTGATGGCGATGCTTTTTTCCCTTCTGACAGAAAAATTGAATGACTGAAATACAAATAAGAAATGATCAATGTCACTGAGGACTCATTATGCTGAGCGGTTTTGTTCTGTGTGTTTTCACAACTAAGGTTCAGAGACAACCGACAAGTTTTTGATGTGTGTATGTTTGTTTTTCAAGGTTACACTGAAACATGGTGGTGATTCTCAGTCTTAAACTCTGCTGTCAACTTACTGTCAGTCAAGTTGGGTCCCAAGGAACTGTGAGATCCATCCAAAAGAACAACAACCTGCATTTGGTCTCCTTTCTGTATGTGTGTCCCAGTCTGGTAACTTCATGTTGATGTGTTTGTTATCACCCAGAGGAGGAGAAGCCTGTTGTGACCAACGTCACTGTCAGCGAAGTATCATGGGACAGCTTCCTCCTGTCCTGGTCTGCTGAAGACGGGGCTTTTGGAGCCTTTGTGATCGAGGTAACTGACGCAGAGACGGGTGCTGAGTGGCAAAACCACACAGTGCCCGCTAATGCTCGCAGCCTCGCCATCACAGGCCTCACCCCTACCACCTGGTACAGGGCCAGTCTGTTCGGGGAGTTCAGGGGGGCTCTCTTAGACCCTGTCTTTGCAGACACCATCACAGGTATCAACGCCGTCAATGCTTGGGCCTCACTCTTTCCTTTGCTTCCTTCTTCTTCTTCTGCTGCTGAACATGGAAAATTAACCAGTGTGTTCTTGATTGGACGTAAACATCAGCTCCAAAGTGAAAGTCTGTCACATGGCAGTTTGTTGACTCTTCCAAGACAGTTATTTATCTATTTGACCACATTCGTCATGTCAGACAACAGAAATGCAAAACATTTCGAGTGCTTTAAAATGAAAGCCGCCATAAAGGCAAGCGAGGTCAACAAAATCTCTGCCATTAGGACTGCACAATGTAAATCCCCTACCCTGTTGTTACTCACGATGCACACATCCACTCCCATGATGCTGAGGGTGGTGAAACAGCCTAACAATCCCCACAACTGACACAAACCCATTTAATCTTTATTAGCCAGCAGTAAATACACATTAAATCCAGCTTGAAGCACTTAGTCTTCCTGTTGGTCTGAATCCAGCGTGAAATAGCACCTGGTCTGTTTTGTGAACAAGCAAGAACGCATACAAAAAGGTCAGTGTGCTCTTAAACTGGAGCACAACAGGTGTGCTGGTTTCCTCCCTCTTCACCAATCCTAGTCATTATCAATGATTAACATGCTGTCACTTTTAGCATGTGTCTAATGAAAAGGCTGTAAACAATGAAAACTAATTCTGTTTATGATGTCTCTTAGCACCTTAAGCGTAACCAAAATGCACTTTGTGGACCGACATCCTCAATGTGACCTGATAAAACTCTCCAGACTAGAGCAGAGGGTCAAAATAACCAGTTCTGGGTCATCCTACAGTTTTTTTTTTAAATAGTAAGAGCAACTATCCCAGAATTATCATTCAGCATTTCAGTGATGAGGATCAGTCAAGTGGAAGAAAGATGGGAGGACTGACAGAGGACAAAAAAATCCCTGAGGCGCTTTTGTCACTTTGTGTGAGGCCTCTCTTCTGTATGCATCCCCAGCTCCCCCAAGCCTGGACCGCTCTTCATTCTCATGCTGCCATTGCCCCTGGGCTCTGGTGCTTGGGTGCCAGGGGCTTCTGGGGCCATGCAGAAAATGGCATGAGCTCAACACAGCCCATTGTCTGCATGCTAATGACCGGCGAAACCATCTTAACATATTTCATTAGCATTACTTAATAAATAAAACATTCAAACTTGTGAATACAAGCGCTGACTAATTTCATTATGTTACGCACGGTGGTCATCACTCTGCTGGAAGAAGGGGAAAATAGAGTCCCCCTCTTGCAGGGGAGCGAAGAAACTTTAAAAGCAGAGAGAGAGAGTTAAATACAACTACTGACTGATGGAACCACAAAGAGATGTGGACAGCACCCAGAACAAGCTCAACTCAGTTGTGATTCATGTGACCACAAGCTGCTCTCGTAAAGTTATCAGGCGAGACTGAAACCAGCTCTGTTTGCAGACCCCATTTTCAGCAGGTTAGCTGGCGCCGACGCTCACCTCCTCCACTAACAGACTCGCTTTTGTAAGAGATGATTGTGTTCCCCCAGGCCTTGGGGGGTGTGGAGGGATATGGGATAGAGGGGTAGAAGTGGCGGCGGAGGGAGGGTGAAATCAGTAGCAAGCTAGCACATGTTAGCTGATGGATGTGGCCCTCCCTCTCTTCCACTGACCAGCTAAAGCTGCCCGGCGGCTAATGAAGAGTGACAGCTCCCTAGGATTTGTCTGCTTTGCTTCTCATTTCCACCGCTTCTTCTCACAACCAATGCCTCATGTGTTTTTTCTTCACAATAAAAAAGGGTTTCAGGCTAGTTCAAGGACCCCTGAGACCCTCGCATTTGGTGTAGTGTTTTAATGAGCAGTGGTGCTGGGCTTTATTGAGGCTGTCCTGAGCCCACTTATATCTGCTTCTGTCCAGGGCTGCTTTTAAAGCCTGTCCGGTCCATGCATCCATCTGTGCTACCGGAAGTTTCTCTGACTAATTAGCTTCAGCAGACTCATCCTCTGGAGAAACAGAGCTTTATTCTCCAGCAGCTGTAGACTCACGCTGCCTCTCTGCCTATCACTGCCATTATTAGCCGCTTCTAATGACTACTTAACTACCAGCTTCTCTGCAACCACATTCACACACTCCATCTGGATGCCACTAGTTATGTGACTGCACAGCACAGAATTGTACAACTGCTCCGAGACAGACAGCTGTTGTTTGACAAACACTCTTTACTTTGAAATCCCTGAATTATGCAAGAATGTAAGGTGAGGAAAGGTGTGACACTTTTTTTTCAGAAAGTAAAATGAAAGTGAAAACTGTTTCACTTTTAAAATCAAATTATCCAGTAATAAAAAAAGAGGAGGAAAAAGTTGTTCTTTTTGATATCATCTTTGAAGAAAGGTTGAAATGTGGGGAATAAAGACGAAATACAATTTCAATATCACACTTCTCCATAAAATGGTTCCTGGGTTAAAGTGCTCGATCACTTGTTAGAAGACACTCTTAATCATGCTTTAAAAAAAAATAGCCAAAACAAATGGTAAGCATGTAGAAATGCAACAAACTGTATGTTTATCTGCACAATTTGTCATTAAAACTCGCACAGGATTGACTTCATTGAGGAAATTGTGGTGATTGATGTTGGTCACCATTTTTTTTTCTTGACTAAGATAAACTACAAAAACATTGATGATCAACGTTGGGTAACATAACTTATGAACTTGTAAAAGTAACTGGACATCTAATATGTCAATCCAAGTGCAATCATTACATTACTGTCACAGGCTGAGTCAGTTTTGACTGGTCACTCACCTGCAATAAGTGCACTGCAGGTTCCAAATCTGCTGCATTGGTTCTCTGCACTCACGCCCTCTTCCTCGTTTTCAGCCATTGACTTTTCTCGAAGCATGATAGTGACAAAGACACAACCAGCATGTAGGAAAATGTCAGTTTAATGTTTGACATTTGCAGTTTTTTTGCTGCTATAACAGTTAATGGTGATAGCTCAGCGATTTAACCTCTATTCTCCTAGTTTTGGATCATGTTTAGAATGACATAGAATTTGATAGAACTGCCAAAATCACAAAGAGAACAAACATTAGGTTGGTATCAATTGTCCAAAACAGGTAAAACAGATTTAGCCATGTCTTACTCCAGATTATTACCATGTTTTACAATTTAAGATTTTACACATATCAGAGTATGAAACATCAGTGACTATACAGCCTTTATAGACACACAGTGTTTGAGCTCTAAAAAAACGGTCATAAATGATAGTCATAGATTCAGTCATAGATTCAGTCATAGATTTGTATCAGTGTTGCACCTTTTGGAGGGATTTTTTTATTTTAATTTTGACTTTTTTCTTGAAAATGAATTCTGACTTTATCCTCAAAGTTGAACTTTGAGTTTTTCCTTGACATTAAAACGCTATTTGTTCTTTCATAACTAAGAGTAGCCAAAGTAGCCACTTTAATCCCAGTATTTGGACTTCTCAGATTGAATAGGAAAAACATTCCACCTCTCACTTTTAATTTCTCACCCCTGGCTGAAAACTCTCCTGCTTAAGACATAAAGTAAATGATTTTGTTTGCGAAGCATTCATGTCCATTGGGTGAATGGACAATAGGATGATGGAGATAGGAAAGCAATAGAGTATCAATAGAATACCATTCATAGTTGTTAACTACCTTTCCTTTTTCTTAACTTTTCCAAAAGTACTGTTTAACTAAAAAGAAACACACATTTGCAACACTAATCAGTCTTACAGAAGCTGACATTTGGGTGCAGAGTAAGCTACAAAAAAGCATCTCCTTCCAGAGCATCAGGGACAGACTGTCATCATTTACACTGTGATTCAACAACATCACAAAAAAATTTAAATCTTATGCTTCATCCTAGGCAATCAGTTGCTGACAGGCATACTTTTCTGCTTTACACCCTTATTTATCACCTGCTGTTCACATCTGTCTGTTTGTCATCTCACTACAGCGCAGTTCTTCACTCTTCTGTTGTAAACTCTTTATTTCTTGACTCTCGCTGGTATCCCAAACAACTAATGCTGGCATATGCATATTGAATAACATGCTCTCTTTTAGCTGTCTTGTACCTAAAATGTCAACGCACTTTGACATAGAGAAGAAAAACTGACTCTTCCCTGTCACTCAGAGGCCGAACCAGAGGTGCAGGCTCTCCTAGTCTCGGACGTCACCCCTGAGAGCTTTAGTCTGGCCTGGAAGGCTGAAGAGGACGCCTTTGACACATTTGTCCTAATGGTCAGTGAGACTGAAGGCTCAGGCCAACCCAAAGAGCTGGTGCTGGGTGGGGAGGAGCGAAGCACGGCCTTCACAGATCTCAGCGAGGACACAGAGTACAAAGTTGAAATCTTTGGGCTCATTTTGGGGAAGCTCTCCAAGTCTGTGGTGGAGCGGGTGAGAACAGGTACACGGTGAAAGGACGGATCGAGATATATGAGCTGAAATCTTGACTGCGCTGGTCTTATCTATGTTTTTAATGTTTGATGTCAGTGTCGTTTTAGTAACAGCATGAAACAAGGTCATTAATACGTGTAATGCTAACATTTGTCTTTTGTATCACAGATAGTTTGTTGACTAACCAGGTAACAAAAGTGAGTTGGTATTTGTTTAAGGCACTAAATGCTGCAAACTGACCAAAAGTAAAACTGTTTGAATGTGGAGTAGTAGTCACTGAGGGTTAACGGCTGCATTGTGTGCCTTGTGTAGGTGTCTATGTGTTGGGTGTTCGGTGTTTCAGACCTGTGTCTCAGCGTTCTTGAGTGGTCAAAGCAAAGAGCAGCAGACGGTCTTTCATCCACACCAGGTCTACAGCAACATGGTGGAAGTCACACTCTGATTTCAGACACTGCTGATCTCAGGACACAGACTGCTGCTGCTTGGCTGATACGCGGTTTCACGAATATTAAACTTCTTTTAAAAATGGGTTTGGCCAGTGCAAATTTATCACATCCACATATCTGTAGACATTGTTTTTACTCTGTTTCAGCCTTTCTGCCAACTTTCCATTTAATCAAAATAATCAAGATGAACATTTTTAGAAAGCAAGGTGTCTGCTTCATCCCATGGTGATGACTCAGACAGCTTCTGTTTAGAGCTGCATTAGCTTAACCTTGCATCCACACAGTCTTGAGAAATGTTCTGCAGCAACAGAAGACAGTTTAAAAATACTTTACAAGAATTGTTTCTTTGCACTCAGATTTAGGTGTTGGTCACTCAAAACATTGATGTTACTTTTTAGTATTACTATTTAAAGTCAAGTTTTGGAGCTGCTTTAACATTTATTCATAGCTGGCCTGAAACCCAAACCATCAGAAGGGCCGATGAAATCTCATATCAGTCAACCCCCACTCAGGACAGTTACTCTGCTCCTTTCTTTGTATGGTCTCCTTCCGGTCGTCCTCCCAAATGTTGTCTTTTTTGACTGCCTGTCCGTGTGTCCGAGTCGCTTTTTGTAAAGTATATGTGTGTGAGTGTGTGTGTGTGATGGAGGGGGTGCTATTGTCTGTGTCACATGGAACGGGTGTCTATGGCTGTGCCCTCTGTCCTCCCTGGGGGCAAAGGCTTTACTCTTGGGTTGCGTGGCGCATGTTTCACTTTTGTGTTGCCATGAAATGGGGGCAAGTTAATCTCCTCAGGTCTGTCACGCAAGATACTGTGGCTTGCTGTTAGCTGGGAAGGGTCTCTCCATGAGCCCAGCCTTCCCCTCACCCCTTTTGTCTCTCTACCTCTCTCTTACGCACTCCCTCTTCTGCGCTGTTTTAAAACCAATGCCTCTAAGTGGTGGAGCTCCTCTGTCTGCAATAACAGAATACATGTGTCTTTTGTTGTCTGCTGCTTCCTTCTAAAGCTCAAAATACTCACCACTATAATCCTGACTGATTTAAGAAGGATGTACTCATGGTCACTAAACCAGCTGTTTTTTTGTGTGTGTGTCTTTCCTCCCACCTGCTGCCTCCCTCTTGTTTGTACCAGACCTCGGCCCACCCAAAGGCATCCGCTTCTCTGATGTGACCGACACATCTGCCACCGTGCACTGGGTGGTGCCAAGAGCCCGAGTGGACAGTTACAGGGTCACGTATGTGCCTGCTCATGGAGGTCAGTGTCCTCAAGTGAACATAAACCCCTAATTTCATTGCACTAAACTCTGTAAAATATACCAAAAGTAAAATGAGAAACTCAAGAGAAAGCAGCATTTAAAGCATCAAGTAGAAGTTTCTGAGCTGTTTACTATCACAGTGAGAGGGACTCTACAATGTAATGCATTAATTCCTCCCAATGTGTTGAGTCATTAATAAACATACACATTTAATTTAAGTTTTGACTATAATGTTCATATAGACATGTTTGCTGCTTGTTCTAGTTTGATGCTCATTCATTTGGAGGGCAAGTTCTCGTAGGGTTGACCGACATTGCCCCCTAGTGACATCTTTTGAGTACTTCTACTGAATCCATTTGTGCCCAAACATTTGTGTTTCTATGCACATAGTTCTGTGAAATCAGAATCCCATAAACATGCTCTGCATTTATTTCCTCCATTTCTTTTTTTTTGAGAAAATCCTTTGTCTGAATGAGTTGAAACTGTTGTTATTCGACACATGCATTATACAACTATAATAGTATAATTTGAATTACACCACAAAACATAAAACATAATAAGGTTTTCTTTTTCAACTGAAATTTCTCTGAGTGAGTTTGAGAACATACTGATTATTTCAGGTCCTAAACAGATAAAATGTTAGGTTAATTCAATACTGTTCTATTTAATTTGCGATTTTGTCTTCAGTTTTATGAGAGCTAACACCTAATTGTTCACTTTGACTTCCAGGTACTGCAAAGACACTGACAGTAGATGGCTCAGAGTCTCAGACTGTGTTGCCCAACCTGACGCCCGGGGTCACCTATGAGGTCACTGTGGTTGCTGTGAAGGGCCAGAGAGAGAGTGAGCCTGGATCAGACAGCGTCACCACGGGTATGTGGAGCTAACAAAACCAGCAGTGAATGTCTCTCCATGTGTGTGTTGATCTACATAAAGTACGGTGACCATATTCTGACCTCCCAAAAAGAGGACACAACTACGCAGGGGGTGAAGTCACGGAGTTGCACAATGTTAATTGTGAGAGTTTTTCGGATTGGATTGAGTGTCTTTTATGTGCTTGTAACTCAGTAAGTCCACTTGACAAAAAATCTAAACTCTCATACAAAACTACAGACATTTGAAAGATTTTATAAACTTCCCCGGACAAAGCTGGACAAGCCTGGAAAGCCCCCCAAAAAGAGGGCATGTCCGGGTAAAAGAAGACAAATGGTCACCCTAAGATAAAGCTACAAAGACTAGTTACAAAGAGGATTTGGTAGATTTTTGATACTGTAGGTTTTTCCTTGTTGGAGATAATTAAAGTGTTGATTCAATTAATTTAGTACTGATAGAGTATTGGATGAGGTCATTGAGAGCAGATCCAAACCTTTTCCTTCTTTCCCAAAGCAATGCAAAAAAAGTCTGATTTCTACCCTGTGTTAAATACTTCATGTGTGTTTCAGCTCTGGATAAGCCCCGTGGTCTGACCGCAGTCAACATCACAGACACTGAAGCTCTGCTGCTCTGGCAGCCCGCCATTGCTACTGTGGACGGATATGTCATCACGTACAGTGCAGACTCAGGTATCTGTTGTATACATAAACAAGTGGACACACCTAACACAAACCTCATTGATCATTACCCACATAATCAAATAATGAATCCATCACTCCAGTATAAGTCCTGATATGAGTTCTCCCTGTTTATCCTCAATGTCTGTTTGTTTGTCTCTTCCCAGTGGCTCCTGTGATGGAGCGTGTATCAGGAAACCAGGTGGAGTTTGAAATGAGCTCTCTGACACCTGCGACTTTCTACACCGTTAAGGTCTATGCTGTCAGGGACTTGGCCAAGAGTGCAGCCACTACAACTGTGTTTACCACTGGTGAGAACCCCTGCTTAAAAGTACATCCACCACATTGTTGTGATTGATTTGCTCTCAATGTTAAATCCAAAATGGATGTCTGTAGAGTTCTCAGTGGGGAAAACAAACTAGGCAGAAGACATGACAATCTCCTTAGCCTAATTCACAACAGGATTGCACAGCTTTTGCACCTTCTAATGAGGCAAAAAATAAGTTTCAGGATTGAGGATTGATGCTCCACAATCTGCACTGCAAAGCTGATCGGCTGGCTGTACACCTGTGTCTGCAGACAATTAAATGAGCTATTTTGTATTCATTTGGATCAAAATCTGTCCCCTTCCATGCAAATAAACCTCACTGCAAAAAAACAGGATATTCACAAACACAGGTGCTGACAGCCTGAACAGTCGGAGTGAAACTTTACCATCTGCTGAAAGTTGATGGTTATTGAGCAGGAGTATTTGTGAGTGCTGTGACACTTGACATCTTAAGTCAAGACAACAATTCCACCTCTGGATGACCTAAAAATAATGTATCTGTATATTAAGTCTGTTGGCAAGAGCATATTATGGGTTGCATAAGTCTTTGCCATTATCCACAGTGGATGATTTTGCTATATTTCTCCAGGAAGTAAACAGGATAACTGTGAAATTTGTATTCTAATCATCTCAACAGTAACATGGATGGTCCTAGCTTATCTAGTTTATCAAATGCAGTATGTGGATAATTTAGTGCTGTTATGGTCAGCACACACAGCACAACTCTGAGAGAGTGAAGATGCTGACAGCTCATCTAAGTCACAAAGAAATACAGAACTTCACAGAGCTGCAGAACTTTGTAGGCTGTTTTGAACAATAAGCAACCACAATATATTGTTTGTGATTGCAATTTCTGATAGTAGAGTAGTAGCAGGTACAGGTTATTTTTTAAATGGTGAAAGTAAGTTAAGGTTTTGTAAGGTTTGTTTGTGATGCTTCTTTTGCATCAGTCAACAAAGTTATTATTGGAATGATTTTCACAAGCCCATGTTTATTCAGGAAGTTCTGTCATTTTAGACTTAACTCAGACTAGAATAACATTCAGATGAGATCTTGATAGACCAGTTTTCCTCTTACATCTTTTGTCACACCCATAAAGCACTCTGTGTGTTTACTTTTCAACATTTCTTTCTTGGTGCAGGTCTATTTCAGTTACTGGTGTCCTTTCTCAAGCTTTCCAACATTTGAATCATGACTCCAAAGTTGAACCTGAAAGAAACTCGTTTAATCTTACATGAAAGTGTTTTAAAGGGAAAGGACCATCATGCCTACTAAGGAAAGGAGAAATATAGACCAGTTTTGATTAGTTGATGTAATTTTCCATCTTTGTTTAAGAAAAAATGTGGTCAAAAAACAATATTTTACTCACCTAGCAAAGTTTTTTTTTTTAATTCAATGTTGTATTGCTTTTTCAAACACAAGAGAGTGCTAACTAACACTAACTAACTGAGGACTAATTGCTGTTTCCAGATGTGGATGCCCCTCAGGACCTGGCAGCTAGTAACATTCAGACCGAGAACGGCTTGCTTACCTGGAAGCCACCTCGCGCTGATATCACAGGATACATCCTCAGCTTTGAGTCTGCAGACGGCACCGTGCGGGTGAGTCCAGGAGTCCACAGATTCAGGTCTGACTGGTCCCTAGTGCATACAATCTTTAGAATCTGTTTTTAATTGAATATCTGAACTTCTTTCAACTTCAGGAGGTCGTCCTAAGTCCCACCGCTGTGTCCTATAACATGGCTCAGCTCACTGCCTCCACAGAGTACTCGGTGAAGCTGCAGGCCATAGCTGGTCCCAAGAGAAGCAGAGTCATCACTACTGTCTTCACCACCAGTGAGTGGGTCTATACTAACATTTGTCTAGTTTCAGCCCAAGAAAGATTTGTGTCAGGAAAGTACTTCAAAATACATGAATAAGACTTGACTGGGTTAATTCCAATACTTTGAGTAATGTCTTTGGTGAACAAGTGCTCCGGTTTCAAATTCATGACACTAACCTCTTCAACCTTAAAACTTCAGAAGGAACCATACCCACAGAGTTACAGTAAAGCAGGAAGCATACAGAGCTAACAGAGTGTATCATTAAGATTTCTTGCAAGCTTTTATTTACCTTTTCTAAGCCATAGACTGGCACGCTAATGATGAACAGAACAAAATATATTCAATCAAAATGAATACTTGAAACATCTCTGTAGATTTTGTTGGGATTTTAAAATATTAACAGACTGTTATTTTGAAATACTCTCACGCCTTATTCTTTTTCACCCTCTGAAGACAATCCAAGCACTGTGTTGACCAAATATTCCTCTCTAACACTGGTTCTAACACATTTTTCCCAACATGCAATGCAGTATGAAATACAGATGTGGCGAGACAAAACAATTTTTTTCTCAGCATTTTCACAGAACAAACATCCAAACAGTTGAATGTTTCACAAATCACTCTGAAAAGCATATTAACAAAATAAAATAATTACAAGGCTTTAATCAATATAAAACTTCAGTAATTCAAAGAGTTTTAGGGCATTTCTTTTTTTCCAACTTGTTTAAAGACTGAATTAAGATTTTCTTACCTTTATTAAATGCCACAAAGTCTGAGATGCAGTATCAACATGACAAAGTGTTCACTTACAAACAGGCAAGAGAGGAGTGATGCTATCTTAGATTAAATCAGGTTTCAGTTAGGATGAGGTAGAGTTTTAGAGACATTTTTACAGAAGTGAAATTGTTTTATAAAGAGTAAAGTAATTTCTATGGAACAAAATTTGTTTTTTTTATCATGGTGATGACAGTCAGACATCTTTCTGTGCCAGGCAAATAAGTTATCTTCAATAAAACCAGGAATTTTAGAATTGTATTCGAAGGAAAAACTTAAATGTTTTTTGTTTTGTTTGTGATAATGTGTGTAGTACTTATTGCTAAATACAAGCTGTTATCTACTGTTGATCTCTGGCATTAAGCAATACATTCTTTTCATTATGTGATCTTTTACAAGTTTGAGGGTATGTCCAATAAACATTGTGTGTGTGTGTGTGTGTGTGTGTGTGTGTGTGTGTGTGTGTGTGTGTGTGTGTGTGTGTGTGTGTGTGTGTGTGTGTGTGTGTGTGTGTGTGTGTGTGTGTGTGTCTTTGTATTATGTAGCTGGTGTGTTGTACAGGTTCCCGAAGGACTGTTCCCAGGCACTGCTGAATGGCGACACCACATCAGACCTGTACACCATCTACCTGAGTGGAGATGAGAGCCAGCCCCTCCAGGTGTACTGCGATATGACCACTGATGGAGGTGGATGGATTGTAAGTCAGCAGGCACACAGATCAGTAAATCTAAAATAACAATGTGTCAGATAACACCGACTGGGATACCTAAGCTATACTGGGAAATGTCAGGGTCTACAGTACAGAAATGCGGGTAGTCTTTTTGGTGCTTAGTGAACCTTATTTTGTCAAACAAAAAAAAAAGAAAAGCTGCATCTGTCAGAGTGTGTATAGAGGCAAAGGTTTGCTTTCATGTTTTCTGTAACAGCTCAATAATGGAAGTACCATGTGCTTAAAGCTTCTTCCAGTGCAGCTTTAGTGTGTAAAAAAACAAAGAATGTTATTAGAATGTTGAGGTTGTCTTTTCCACAATACTACCTTTGTGTAAATAGATTTAAACCTTTGTGTCCTGTATGTCATAAATACTTCAATATTCTTTGCTTAACAAGGCTCAGTCTGAGTCGAAACTTATTGATTTAATCTAGAAACTCATATCTGCATCCTCTGATTTGGCGCTTTGCTTTTTCTACTGATGTAATGTTTCTTTTTGTCTGTTCAGGTCTTCCTCAGACGTCAGAGTGGTAGACTGGAGTTTTTCCGCAACTGGAAGAACTATACCGGTGGCTTCGGTGACATGAATGATGAATTCTGGCTGGGTAATTATGAGAAGACATCAGGAAAAACAACGCAGTTATCCAAACTAAGAATATGAATGACAGCAGCCACTCTAACATCATCATTTTTAAGCGATCAGTACTGCAGTTTGTCCAAAACTGTAATGTTTTTAGAACAAGGAGAGAATATGCAGACACGAGAGTTGAGCTGAGAGAAATGAGGGGTTAGCTAAACAGTTTTATTAGTTGGATGTAGAGTTGATTGTCATCTGCAGTAACTGGGATACTACTGAAGATGCCCAATGAAAACCTGCATATGTTTATGTTCAGTTATAATGGGCAGCCAACTTACTTGGACTGTCTTTTTAATACACTTAAGGTCTTTATTGAGGCCTGTGTGGTTGTGGCTTGCCAATCACAATGCCGCCAAGCGAGTCTGTTTTTCTCTTAACAGGGCAATAATTTTTTAAAAATGAGCATCTTGGGGTATAAAGAAAAACTTAAAAGTACTTGCCAAGGTTGTAAACTACAAAAGCAAAAGTTGATTTAAGTAACAAAGCAAGTAGGAAAATGAGTTTTATTTTTCTTTAAGCCCACATTTGGAAAGCAGGAAAGCCCCACTGTCATTTTAAGAGTTTAAATTTAAGGCTCTTTATTTTGGCCCAAAATATCCCGAAGTACTGCTGTCTACATTTCAGCCATAAAACAATATTTGTCTCATTTATCATTTATTCATTTAAAACTAAAAGTAAAAGAAAATATTATCTTACAATTGTAGCTTCTCAAAGTCATGCCCACCCAACTCTTATGAATGAATTCTCCATTCAAGGTCTATCCAACCTGCACAAGATAACAGCTGGAGGTCAGTATGAGCTGCGAGTGGACCTGAGAGACAAAGGAGAAACCGCCTACGCCCAGTATGACAAGTTCTCTGTCTCAGAACCCCGAACCCGATACAAGGTCCATGTAGGAGGATACAGTGGAACAGCAGGTATGACTGTCAATCAATCATAAACACTCTGCTTTGCTCTGCTTCACATCTTTGAGGGATTCTGTTTGGGTTGAGAACCATTTCATGAGCAGATTGCAGAAACATTTAGCTCTCTGTACCCTACCATATGACTTGGTTCTCAGTCTTTTTAAATATGAATGTTAAACTAAAAGCTGTATAATGTGTATTTAAAAAATATCTACACCAACACTAATAGACACATTGGTGGTCAAACATGCCAAAGGGTCATTCCTCTGCTTTGTTTCTTGAAGGTGACTCTATGACCTACCATCACGGCCGTCCATTCTCCACTTACGACCACGATAACGACATAGCGGTCACCAACTGTGCCCTGTCCTATAAAGGAGCCTTCTGGTATAAAAACTGCCACCGTGTCAACCTCATGGGAAGATATGGAGATAACAGCCACAGCAAGGTACAGTACTGTAGCAGATATTGTGTATCCTGACATAGACAAGGATTCCAGATTGATGTTTTCTGAGGAGTTTTGTCTCTCTGAGACCCTTTCCTATGGTGCCATCCCTCTGTGACTGCAGGATACTCCTAGATCCTGGAGGGGGAATACCTCAATTTAAAGCTATAGTCTTGAATATTTTCAGTAAATAATGCTGTTGTACTTTTTAAAACAGCATTCAGTGTACTCACAAGGTAATATTGAAGATAAAGATAACATATTTGTGACTAAACGCAGTTATTAGAGGGATATTCCGGCGTAAAATTAATTTAGGTTCAAACACACCGTGACACCGAGTTAGACACCCCCTCGAGAGATGAATGTTGCCGACCGCTTGCTTCTCTAGTCATACCAACTTTAGTAACAACCACACAATAGCAATACACAGCGGTCGAAGAAGCCAACGCACACACCTCAACCAAAACGCCACTCTATAGCCACAAATAATGCTCAGAACAGCACCTAACTTCATCAACAGTACAAATAGGGTCCCAGCCACAGCACTAGCCACCAAACATCTTTTGAGCTTTGCCTGATTTCTTTTGCAAAGAGACTAAACACAACTCACCTACTCTCTTCCAGCAGCCGCTTGTTTGTAGCGAGACCTCAGGCCAGTCCATTACAGACTACAGCGGGGTGACGCAGCTCAAGGAAGAACATTTATGATTATTTCTTTATCATTCCCTTGACGTAATAATCATCATATTAATCATTTTGCACTGCAGACACAGTAGTTCTTCTGCCATAGCGTCTCGGTCTAATTGCATTTCCATGAAGAAATGATCATAAATGTTCTTCCTTGAGCTGCTTCACCCTGCTGCAGTCAATGATTGACTTGTCCGAAGTCTTCCTACAAACAAGCAGCTGCTGGAAGAGAGTAGGTGAGGGAGTGAGGCACATAAGATCAGCCATGCCCACACAGTCTTGTAGAAATAGTCCAAACAGTAAACTGAACTGTTGTTGAGACTATTTTATGGTTGTCAAGGTTTCTTTGTTGACATAGATTTTAGAGATCAGATGGTGAAGCCTCTACTTTTTTAATGTTTTAAGCTAAATTTACCTTCCTTATCTGTAATATGATCAACATCATCTGTTCTTCTCGCCCAGGGTGTGAACTGGTTCCACTGGAAAGGCCACGAGCACTCGATCGAGTTTGCTGAGATGAAGATAAGGCCATCCAACTTCAGAAACCTGGAGGGCAGGAGAAAACGATCATAAGTGATCCACCATCAGCAAAACAGAAACAGCAAGAACAACAACAACACTGCTTCTACTCTGTCTGGACTCCCCATGAATCACCTCTACCCCCACACCCACACACCCTGCAGCTACCAAAGCCACTGCCAGGAGCCCAACACACCTTCTCTCCTCTCATTTGCTCTAAGTTCAGCGTTGACTCCATAAGCCCCTCCCTCTGTGTGTTACAGTTGTGGAAATGCTTCCAGTGCGGTAATCAATGTGCATGTTACAAACTGGACTTGAATCAAGCCCACACAAATTCTTCTCACGCACCAAAGAGAGCAACTCCATCTCATCTGACTCTGTCTCTCATGTCGCAGCATTTGTGAGGAGGAAACTGTGCTGCTTGGGCATTTTGTTGTGTACAGTAATTAACACATCTCCCTTTCTCACATCCGAGCCACGTTTGAGGTTTTAACAGAATGGACGGGCTGTCTAGAGAACAATGTGGTCTTGTTTAGGTTCAGGGCCTCTTTGCTAAAGCAGAAGATACAGTGATATTTCAACTGGATTGTCATAGAAATCTATTCCTTGTACAGAAGTGTACATGTATTTGAATTAAACAATTGAAAAGAGATATTCTTCAGATGGCACTGTTCGGAGGACAGATTTCTCTATCTAACTTGCCATTTGTTTGTCTTTGTGCAACTTTACCTGTCTAAGTGTCACTTTATCCTTCCCTGGTTTCCTCATCTCCTGCAGAACAAGCCAACAGCAACAAAAACTCTTGACTGAATAAGTATTTTACCTGCCACATCTCATTTCAAAGTGGATGGAAAATGTTTCCATTTATTCTGTGAGTACCTGAAGGCATCATATTAAAGCCACAGTATTGTGTTTTAAAAAAAGCTAAAGAAGAGAAAAGTAAAGCTTTTATTTCTCTTATGAATCTGAGGCAGGACCTGTAATTTAGTATATTATTAAATGAGGTGATGACATTTGTTTCTCCTTTCTTTTTGCAAAATGTGAATACAGTGCATATATGTGGAACAAGAGAATGTTATGTGTTGACACAAAAGATGTTGATGCTCAAAACATGAAAAAAGGCCAATTCCACTTGAATTCCATTTGACATTGTAAGGTCTCTATGCTTATGTTGATGATCGTGTTTGAACAGGCCAAACTTAGAGAACTAGTAACTGTTTGTACCTCCCCAGTCCCAAACCCTGAACCCCCCACCCCTCCCCAAATCTGTTGCTACAGCAGCATACTAAACCACTGACCTTCTAAAGAATGCCTGTGTAAGTTAAGTTTGTTTTGTTTTGTTTGTTTATAACTGGATGAACAGCAGGTGTTTCTCTGTCAACTGTATTACAATAAAAACAGTTTGTTAAAAAGAAAGTGGTAAAGGCTTTTTATTTTTCACCTTAAATGTCTGTATATGTCATATATTCGGACAAGGATCTACTGACTCATTTCCTGGATAAACAGTTTTGCCGAAGTAAGTTTTACTTATTGATTTATTTTTTTCATTTTTGAGGAATCTTTAACAAAGTTGTTAGAAAAAAAGAGGTTTCTCAATCATCAGATTACCCACATTGCACACCAACATACAAGATAACACATCCACTGGTGTTTTTACTCATGATCATATGGAACAACCATCATATATGCTTACTTAAATAGTTAATAGTTTATCAGCACAGTGAATTGTATCACCAAAAAGAAAATTCTTTGGATCCTTTGTCTTACATAAAAGAGAAGGATCCCCAGAATTATGAGAAAGGGATCTTGTAATTATGAAATGTCAAGAGATGCCATGACAAACGAGCTCACAGTATAATTTTTAAATGCTAATTAAGATGAGGTTCCGAAAAATATTTGTGCGCCCTGGTCTTACTTCCCATAAGTTTTATTTGCAGAAAGAAAAAAAAAACGTTTTGCGATGTATACCTTTAATGATGGTTGTAATTTCTTACCTTCGTAACCAAAGTTTCGTGGAAATAAGTCCTGATTTTACCCCGTGATCCCATGTATGGGGTAAGTTGAGCCGTAGGAGCGGGGTAAGTTGAGCCGTATCCCTATTATTTCCCCCCACCCACACACACACACACACACACACACACTTTCCACCCTATCCCTCCCTCACCTTCTCTCTCCCTAAATAACAGTCACTTCTTCTTCACATTCATGTATATTTTTATCTATTTTACACTATTCAACTGGTACAATTTTTCTTTTTATTATTATTACATATAACTGCTAAAAAAGCTGTTCTGTAAAAGGTCATTTTAACATGAGAATGTCTTTAAGTGATTCAGAACATTCACAGCTGTATTTTTGAAAAGAAAAAGAAAAAGTGACACATTTCAACAATCTGAACTGCAACTCTGATCCTCTCATCAGACTCCTTTACTTTCTCAGTTGAACCACTTACTTACCAGAACTACTTTTATGACTTTATTAGTCCTCTAAGCTAAAATGGTGGACTTATATATTAGGTTTTTGACCTCATGTTGTAGCTCATAGATACCACAATTGATTTATAAAACAAATTTAAAATGATCTTTTTTGGTCTAAACACAATTCTAATAAAACTTATGACAGACTAAATTCACTTTCAAGACTGAAAAATGTTTTTTGTAAATAAATGTCTATACCCTTTACCCATGTGCTTCTAACCTTCACAGACTCCATGAATTGATGCCCATCTCCTCAATATTTGGTCAATTGATCCATTTCTTTTACCAATTCCAAGCAACAGGGGCTGGCTCAACTTACCCCACTCCCCCCTATTTGTGAAACAAAGCAGTGGACGATGTTTATTTTTTCACTGCTGAATCTATCAACCACAGATAATCTGTGAACGGGTTTTAGACGCACTCCATGACTTTATTTTCCTGCCGCAGGACGGTCCTGTGGCTGTGCTGTCACTAACTCTCCCTCCCTCAAGATACTTCAAGAGTGTCAATCGAAGCCCCGCCCTCTTTGGTAAATATTTATGCAGTCAGCCAATCAGGCGGAGGCTCCCATGACATCATGCTTACAGCAGAAGACTTCTCCCCTTGACCATCCCATGCTGCTTCAGTCAGAAAGTCATTTCCTGGTTCTTCCTACTGGGAGTGGCCGCAGCCCTCCGGAAAGAAACGAGGTGTATTTTCCCGATTTTACGGAGTAATGTCGGACTTAAGAGCGGGACAACCGAGTGAACAGGACATGTTGAGGCAATGAAGGTAACTTATTCCTTGAGGTTAGTGAAGTTGGTCGCCGTTTCAGTCGTGCTCGTCCTGTTTGCTCAGATCTTACTGAACAGAGTAAACAAACTGAGTAAACACCCCAAGTTTAGTCCCCTCACCGAGGAGGAGTACAGGGTGATATCTCCTAAAACATACAGCTATATCCTCAACCAGCCTTTAGTATGCAAGGACAGAAACCCATTCCTAGTTTTCATGGTCCCAGTTACACCTCAGGATGTTGCAGCAAGGGAAGCCATCAGGAAAACATGGGGTGCTCCAGGACAGGACACCCTTACTCTGTTCTTCGTGGGCCTTCCTGAGGGTGGTCAGAGGTCAAGCACTTCAGGGGAGCTGGAGAAGGAGAGTGGGGAACATGCAGATATCATCCAGATGAATTTCCAAGAGAGTTACCAGAATTTAACAATCAAGACTATGATGATGATGAACTGGCTGGCCACCCACTGTCCAAATGCCTCCTACGCCATGAAAGTGGATTCTGACATCTTTGTGAATGTGTTCTACCTCATCAGACGCCTGTGGAGCTCTCCCAGGCAGGAGTTCATCACAGGATCAGTCATACGGGATGGCAAGCCGAAGCGGGACGTACACAACAAATGGCGTGTGTCAGAGGAGCTGTACCCACAGGACAGCTTTCCCCCATATCTATCTGGAGCTGGGTATGTCTTCTCAGCAGATCTGGCTGCCAGGATCTCCTGGGCGTCCAGGTTTGTTCGGATGATCCCCTTGGAGGATGTCTACGTGGGATTGTGTCTGCATGTGCTGGGTGTGAACCCGGTGTACTCCCGCAGTTTACCAACCTTCAGGAACCTGTTTGAAATCAGAAATCTAGAGTACGACAGGTGCTATTTTTCCAAACTGGTTATTGTAAATGGGTTTAAGCCATCAAAACTTCTGCTCGTTTGGCAGGATTTTACCACTGGGCAATCTAGCTGCTGATAGAAAGTAAACCAAGTGTTTCAGAAATGACATGAGTAGCCTATAAAGGAAAGAAGTCATTGGAAACAGCCATTTGAATGAGAAGATAAGATTCAAGGGTTTTTGGGTTTCAATGTATTAACAAACATAAGAGGTTGTTGAAAATGCAATATGTTGTGTGTGTCAGATATCAGGGAATTTCACATCTATAATGTGGTGGTAGAAAACTAAAACAGTGTTGAGAGCCAAGTCGCCAAAAACTTTGTCTCAACCTCTTTTCACATTTTTTCTTATCAGTGTTTGAATGATGCTGTTAAAAATGACTTGAAACACTAAAACTTGAAACACTAAGACCTAGTAAACTTTAAAACTCTGGTAAATGCACTCGCAAAAATCTAGACCAGCATAGACATATGTTGGGCTAAACACTATAAAAAAAAACGAAGAGTTAATTGTCAGTGTTCTGATACAAACAGCCAAATCTGATCAGGCTGTCCTGATTCTGAGGGAGGTACAGCCCTATGACAAACTCAGATTATGTGGCCTTCATGCCCTGAAATCCTTTTGTTGTTTTGCAAGTCTGAATGACGTGCAACTGCAAAGCTTCCTGCCCCTCAGGTTTTAGAGATTTGCTGTTGAAATGAAAGAGTCATCGACTGAAGTAATACAAAGAAATGCAGGAAGAAGGAAGTGCTGCCTTTTTACCTGACTCGACCCTTTGAACAATACTCAGTTACATTACAGTGCCTGTTAGCTGTAGCCAACACTGTGTTCTCTTTATGAGAGAAAAAAAAAAAACACATTTACTACAAGTGCTTTGCTTATTTATCTAAAGTGCTGGAGAAGTCCTCTGAACATAGATAACACAATGTGTCCTCAGAATTCACAGTTTCAACCAAAGACTATTTCAAACACATCCATTTTACTTTGAATGCACTTATTCTTACTTAGCCAGTGCCTTATAGATTTGACCCATTTGTACAGAACATAATATGTACCAACATTAGCCATTAAAATGTTGTATGCTGATATGATATGTAAAAAAATAGACCTAGAGAGTAACATGCAATGTATTTGTTGGGTTATTGTGCCTATTTTTGCACTCTATGTATGTATGACAGTGCCTACTTATTTATGCCTGTTTTGTAATTGTATATGACAACCAGCTGGTGGCAGTATAATCTCAAGAAATATGCAGCTTGCACTTCTACAAAGCAGAGACAGATTGTGTGACCTTTAGAAAGTAATAATTTTGTAACTGTACTTGTTGAACTTGATGCCTTTTTGGGTCCAACGGTTTAAAATGCTGCCTGCATTTCACCATATCAAAAAGCCTCCGGGGTTTATTGTATACCTCATTACTGGATGTTTTGTCAAGTTACTTCTGAATGTGACTGAGACAAATCAGTAAAATTAACTTTTGCAATTCAGTCTCTTTTCCCTTTAAGCTAGTACCTTGGTATGTACCATGCTGTAATAATGCTGCTTTTTGTCCAGAGAATTAAAAGCCTTTTGCCAAATAGATTACACTTTGTTTTAATTAGTCTCCTTTCAAATAGTTTCTAATCTTCAGATTATAATTATGTGATTAAATAATGTCCTGAATGAAAAATCTGTTATAAACACAAGGTGATGACTGAAGTGCGGTGCTGGAATTCACTGAAACATCTTTTAAGATGCAGTATATAAATCAGTGTGTTCAAGTCCAGTCCTCGAGCCCCCCCTGTCCTGCATGTTTTGGATGTTTCTCTGCTCCAACACACCTGATTCAAATGATCAGCTCGTTATTAAGCCATTACAGAGCTTGATAACGAGCTGATCATTTGAATCAGGTGTGTTTAGGCAGGGAAACATCCAAAACATGCAAGACAGGGTGGGCTCGAGGACTGGACTTGAGAACCACTGATATTATGAACAGACTTAGTAGAAATTAAGTACTATATTGATAAGCATGAATCACTTAAAGATACAACCATTTTGTTTTTGATAACTTGGAATGCACCTTTAATATCTACAGTATAAGGCCCTCTTCCTCAGAGGTTGTTATCCTGTACCGCAATGTTTATGCTGTAGCTCAGAACAGACAAACTAGAAAGGTATGTGTTCTTGCTTTAAGTGAGAAGCAGTGCAAAATAAACCTGTTGGAGTAAAAACAGAAATAGTAACTACTAGTGTGCACTAAAATATCTTCATTTAGAGGATTTTTGACAATAACTTGACAAATGGAGGATCACATCATGCATTACAGAACCTTCTTGTTTTGAGGGCCTACATTGCTTCATACATGGGAGAGGTGAGCAAAAAAGTTTTTTTTAAGCAAGAACAAGACTGCTTGATATTGTTAAATACTCCGATTACATACTGTAACATAATGAGAAGTATTTGGCAGCAACAGGTTCTTTTTTGCTGAGGTGGACTAAACTTGTGCTCTGTGTCAGTACATACTCATGAACTATCTCTTGTCCAACCATATTACTTGGTTGGAGCTACTTTTAATATATTGAGAACAGCATTTGAATAAATAAGCTACTTAAAACGTGAAATGTTGACTGTTATTGTACAAAATTTTAAAAGGTCTGAAAAAACAGCAATATTCTTAAAACCAGAGTGAGTCGAACTGTTCGTGAATGCAAAAGTGGCCTAATAGACACTGAATAAGTAGATTACATAATGCTGAATTTGATTCTGATCAGACCGTCCTGTTAAGTGGCCTGCCCTCTGGCTGATTGAGAAAACAGAGCTGGTGAGTGGGCTCTGAAATAAACGGCTGCTTGCTTCATGATTCACAAGTGTGGCTGAAAGTCAGCAGATGGCAGCCTCGCAGTAAACCCTGCAACACCTACAACAGCTTCACAACTCCACAATACTCTGCAGAAATCGAGCTACAGCTGAGGCCTGTTTCTTTTTTTTCTTCTGTAATGGACTTGAACCAAACAGACGATTGCATCTTAATTACCGGGAAAAAGGCTGATTATTTATCTTGTGCCAGTGTTGGCCTTTATCAAGATCATATCAAACCCTGTTAGAAATCTACAAGACTGCTACTGCACTCAACTTGTTTTTTAAAGTTTGTAAGAAGAAATGAGAATAAGAAGAACTTTATTAATCCCTGAAGGGAAATTCAATTGTCTGTCGTCTCATTTGTCATGTCAATCTAAAAGTCATCTACTATTTACAGAGGAGTTGTGCAGTCTGATGGCTGTAGTCACAAAAGATCTTCTGAATCTTTCTGTCCTGCAGCGAAGAGAGAGGAGCCGTCCACCACCATTGGTCCTTTGGTCCATTAAGGTGTTGTGAAGTGGGTGATCCATGTTCTTGTGAACAGTCTCCACTTTCCTCAGTGTAGATCTCTGAGGAGATCTACACTTCACCGTTAAGCTAAGTTTTAAACTCTACCGTCTTTATTTTTTTATTTTTAAGATAGTTTTAAGATCCAGCTTGAATGTGAACTGTGCATAGAAAATAGCTTTCAACCATTTTTTTTATTGTTTTATTATTTATTGTCTTCTCATATTGTGTCTTTTTTTAACCTTTTACATCGGTGGTTTTATTTCTCAAAATTTTCTGTATTTTAAATTGTGTTTTTTTAGTTATATTCTCTTCTTTTTCTTTGTTAGGCGTCTTTGAGCACCTGTAAAAGCGCGTTATAAAAAAATTATAATTATCATTACTATTATTATTATTATTATTATTATTATTATTATTATTTGTATTAATATAAATAGGTGCCTGTATGTCACCCCAGCTTCTTCTGCAAACTAAGAGAAGTGATCTGAGGTAGTTTCTCTTTTTGTTATGCACATTTCAATTTTTGAGAATGTATTAACACACACGATACAGAATACACTTGCATTGTGTATGGGGCACATGGAGAGATTTAAGTTCATCAGAGAAACATGGAAAGAGTAGGGTAGAAGAGCATTTCAGCCTCTAGTGGCAGATTTGAGTATTACAACAACAAACACAAAAATATTATGCTGCCAAGATCTTTTTTTCCCCTCTCCTGTGTGAAATCCACCCATTAATCTTCATGATAACAGATCTAGGAAGTCTTTTAATCATGTTATCATTCTGTAATCTACAATTATAAAATATAATAACCATCCATCACAACAGCTTTACCCTGTAGGCCCTCTGCTCCTCTGTTTATTTCACATACTGCTCTTCTCCATTCTCTGCAGTGCCCATTTGTCTGTTATTTGTGTGCCTGTTGTTCCAGTCTATTCATTTCCCACACTGGCTGAGTGGGAGTTTATGCTCGGGGCCAGAGCTCCTCATTGTTCAAATCACTCCCACCCCTGCGCTGTATCTAGATACTTCAGATCAGCAAAAAACACTTTATGAGCCCAATGTATTCCAGAAGTGAAGATTTGATAGTGTTGTCTTGAGTTTTTCCTCACAAAGTGGGTTTGAGGGCTGATAATGGTCTGGGAATGATTTAAAAACATGTGTATGAGTACTGTATATGACTGTGTGTAACCAAAAAATCAAATAATTATTGATGATAATGAAAACCTCCATCATGTCACAGTTATTCTCCCATCAGTAACACATTAACTTCCCTGCCTGCTGCTGCTGAGCTCCAGCCGGTCTCCTCAAACTCGTGGGTGGAGTTTCACCCACCGACGCGCTGTAGAGGCTGGTTCCTAAGACAACCCATGAAACATGCATTTCCATTACCAAGGCTTGTTTCACCACGGCATCAACCCGAGTAGCAAGCTGCAGAAACCCGAAAACATCGCCCGTACGCTGCAAGAGACGCTGCCAGAGGAGAAGTGTTAAAACCGGGACTTTCTGCACAGGCAAGGCCGGAAATATGACTCACAATACTTCAACCGGGCAATAAAAGCGAGCTATTTTTCGACGACAGAGCGGTAACTCATTCAGGTAAGCAGGCTATATTTGTCTCTGGTGTCTCTTCTGTCAGTGCAAGGTTGATCTTTATCACAAAACGACTGAAACGTGTAGAAATTTATTCATGCAAATGTTGATGCAAAATCTTCGAGGAAGTTTAACGACGTTTTCCAAACAAGGTTAAAGTTCGACGAACATTTGTGATACCACATTCAAAAGCATGTGCATTAAAGAAAAAGAAAGAAACTAAGAGGAGAATAAGTTAAGGTAAAGCTCCATGGATAATTGTAAACAAACCAATGACCCCAATAGAATGTCCCTGGACAAACACTACAACAGTGTGTGAGGGGCCCCAAAATCTACCTACTGGACCAGCAGCCATTGAATGAATAATAATCATAACAATAAAATGGGAAGGAAAGAGAATATACACAATTTTTGAGTCAGCCCTGAAAGTCTCCTCTACTCTGAATGACATAGGAGTTGTTTGGTAATGCACTGAGCTGTAATGGACATGTTTCAACTTAATATTCAAAGCCCATAAAAAGCCCACCCTCAATATCTTCTGTATATCTATATCTTCTGCAAATAGTAGATGACTTTTAGAGACATGACAAATGAGACGACAGACAATTGAATTTCCCTTCAGGGATTAATAAAGTTCTTCTTATTCTTATTCTTATTCTTATCATTGGAGGAGTAATTGACCTTTGAGGTGTGATGTAATTGATATCTGCACAGAAATCAATCACTCAGCTTTCGAGGTCCAGATGTAAGTCTTACGCAACAGTTTTTAGATATTTGCAGACATAAAAAAAAACTTTTATTAGAACATTTATCGTGGCTTTAAAACAAAACACTTGTTATTGATTTTGCAATGATGATGGCATTTTGTCCAATAGAGCACCTTCTGCCTCCTTAGTTCTCATGGAGCCGTTAATGTGGATTGTCTGCAGTCACGTGTTGCAGCACAGAGCTGAGCAGACTGTCCCAGAGCCAGCCCAAGCCTCAATGGGGCCCTAAGCAAAATTTGATATCGGGGCCCAATAATATTGATTGTTGATCATTCACACACCTTCACAAATCTCTTGAACATTCCATGACATGCAAACATACCTTTATCGTGGCGTTTTTTCTCTTCTTCTTTCTTCCACTTTCTTTTCTCTGCTCCTGAAGGATATGTCCTTTTTTGCGACATTGTTTTGCCCCACAACGACCTGCGCTTTGGATGCATCAAGCATCACTCATACATGCAAAGAATATTTTTGATTGCGCTTGGGGGCCCGCTATTGGCCACGGGGTGCACTTAGTTCGCTTATGCCTTGGGCCGGCTCTGGACTGTCCACACTAGAATTTGTCAAAAATGTTAAACAATGAACATTTTTCTGTAATTTGATAAGTTAATCAATAATATAGCCTTCTGTATTGCTTAGCACAGTGAAATCAGGGCACTCCACTTTACCGTACGTCATATGGTCCATTTTGCATACATAGACTGATAGACAGATTGATTGATGAATCTATTGTTCTGTATAAATAGACACAGTTTCCAACATATCCACAACTGCATAGTAGTCAATCAGTTATTTGTTTTATCCCAGTTGCCGAAAGCTGCCTATTGATGCAACAGATCTGTAAATGAAGCAATGCTCTGCTAACCTGTTCCAGGATAACGAATCCTTGAATAACTCTTTTTTTAATAACTTTTTTTAGGTAGCTTTAATTTTTGTGATGTAAAAGGCCTGTTTTTTATTTTTTATTTTTTTTATTTTTTACCTTAACATTACGTATTTTGTACTTCTTGTTGATTAAAAATAGTTCCAATGTAAACTTTTGATGCACTAGAGTCCTTAAGAGGCACATGTTGCTTTTGATCCATGATAAATCTCTGAACTTAAAGCTCCTGTGAAGAGTCTCAGTCTGGGTTGACCTTAGCACCTCCTGTGGACAAAGCGGTAACTCAGTATTGATCCTGGTCTTGCCTCATCCTAGTGAAAGTTTTGTGTATTAACCAAAGGTATACTGTTGTCTTAACACGGTGAAATTTATTATGACAGTGGGAAAATATAAGGCCATTTTTTCAGCGTATCCACCTCACAGTAGTTTAAAGCAGTAAAGATTACAATAAAGATATTATTAATCTTGTCTTGAATGGTCTCATTTGCTTTTGTACATCATAGATGTACATCACCATTCATTTCAGTCTCTTTCTTGACATATCAAAAACTCCTCACTAGAGCTTTAAGTTTCATAAGGCTAGTACATTAGCTAGCTAGCCTGCTGGTTACAGAGATCGCTGCTTCTTTATTGTCTTACCTCCTTTTTAAAGCAGACAGCAACCAATAAAAGGAATCTCTATCACTGACTATTTCAACCAACTAGTATGTTAATTTTTAGCACAATATCAAGATTTAATATTTCAAAAACGATGGGTGTCATCAATGCTGGTGCAGCCTCAATATCAATACCCCGCATTTTCCCTTTTTTTGTACTTTGGTTTTATATTTGTACATTCATTTACTTCACTAGATGTAGGTTTGCAGGAGAGGAATCAGTCATTCAGAAATTGCAAGGCAATTCCTGCACACACACTGTGTAACTGCCAGAAATATATTAATCAAGATTTTAGCATTAACACATTGCCAGTTAATGTGATATTTGCATGTGACTAAAGTGTGTACAAATAGTGTAAACAGCAATGGTGAATAGATTATTTTAATTTGTGTGTGCACTCATACTTAATGCCGCCCCTGCATTAGTGCCCCGTGCCCTAGTTTAGCCAACCCAGTCACAGAAGTCTGGACACACCCCTGCATGTTAATGTTTAGTGTTGCTTGTGTCATAGCCATGTGTGTTGTTTGTGTCAAGTCCTGTGTCTGTTGCTCAATTTCTGTTGCATGTATGTTGTTCCTCCCCAGCTTCAGCTCAAGACTTCTGGGTTTTGTTCCACCACCCACAAGATGCACATGAATAGCTTATTGAGTCAATGGAGTAAGTATCAAGACTTTATACTAAACTTTAAACTTCTCTTTTCTTAGTATTTTAAGGCATCTTGCAGTAATGTTCTGTATACTGTGTATTACTCAATTGGCAGTTTAACATAGGCCAGTGTTTATTACTTACAAACTGGTATAGACTCTCGCTGAAGTATCCGACACTGACCTGAGAAACTTCATCACTTATCTTGAGCTGTGATCTGTGTATGCAGAGGTGCTTGATTTCAGTGTGTCATGTTTGTTACAACACTCATGATTTGTGTTGAATAATTTTGTCCCAGGTATGTTATTGTGCCTTAAATGAGCTGCAGCTTTAAGCAGGTGAATCTGCTTGTGTGTCTAGCTTGGCGTTGTTCTGAAATAGAAACACCTTTGCTCAGCATCCTGCAACAGAGAAGTGTCCTGTTACCTGCCCTCCATGTTTAACACATCCTGTACAGCTTAGAAGTCCTTGTCTTCTTCGTACAAATTCCCTTTTGATAAGATACCCTTAAATCATATCAAGGTTTACTTGAATTTGTGCAAGATCTGTTTAAAAAGGCAACAACAAGAGTGAGGTTGTTTTAAATGAAGTAGTCAATTTCAAAACTCTGAAGCTTTTTTAGAGTACAGAGAACGGAAATTTTCCTTTTGCTGTTGGAGTCAATTTTAATGGTGTTACATGGTGTTCTTGCACTCAGCATTTACCCTATTATTTTCTTGTTCATCCTCTTCAACCATCCCACTCATCCATTAAAATGTACCAATGTGAGTGCAGCAGCATGCTTTTCTACTGAGAACCACCCCAGTGACAGTCATTCATATAAACTATCTAGAGAGTAACCTGAAACACTAATGTTGTAATAATGTGTTTGTCAGCTGGTTAGACCTTTCCCTCACTGTGGCATCCCATGCAAATAATATGCATGACCTTGCCAAAACATAGCAATACATACATAGCAAAACTTCTTGCATTTATGACAATAGGACTTTACTTTTAAAATGCACAAAAAAGAAGTGCAGTTTCTAGTGTTTTAATGCCTGGCCAGAGATTCCTCTCACTTGCTACTGTTTTAGTAATAGAGACAGTCAGTGCGTTTACATGCAAAGTTTAATCGGACTAAGCTCATAATTCGTTTTTTTTTTTCCCGCCAAATCAGACAGCTCTCCTTGTCTGCGTAAAAATGCAGCTGAGAAAATTGAATTATTGACATGAGCGTGTCCTCCTCCCCAAAACTAGGGGGCGATATGGCTGTGTCCAACCCCATACAACTGTCAACAACAACAGCAAGTCTGTGCCAGACGTTAGAAGTGGCTACAACTGCATCTGCTGGGTATTTTCAAGCAAGAAGATTGAGCATCGTACAGCGTTGTTTTTGCGCTACTTTTCCTGCAGATGAGATGCACGCTACTCCTCTTCTCTGGTGTTTTTGTTCCGGGATTATAGGGGCGTGGCGCACTTGCACATGCATTGTCCGATCATACTCCGACTATGCTGGTTACATGGTAGAGGAAATCGAATCACGATCGCATTATCTAGGTGTCTTAATCAGAGTTCTCAAACTTCGATTATAGTCGGACTAAGGTGGTTACATGCAATTCAGTTGTACAGTCTTAATCGGAGTAAGGCAATAACTCTGTTTTCTCGAGTGTCATGTAAACGTACTGACTGTCACTTGAAAGATGAGTATTCTAACCCAGGACGAAAATAACATCTGCATCAAGAATATTAAAATGTGCGAGGTACCAAAACACATGGAAGACTTTCTCCAGTGTTTGTTTCTCTGGTCAAAAAGTATACTCTCATCATTCAGCCTTGGTAAGATGACTTACGACCTAGTTAATAGTTTTTAAATTAGTCTAAACAGCTGGCTAAAAAAGTAGTACTTTGTGTTCGAGGTTGTTAAGACTGTACTGACAGTTGGCTCAAGGTCATAATTTACCAACGATTTATTTACCGTCTTTCTTCCCCTCACATGCCTGGGAAGCCTGGCTTCCTAGCTACAGAACTGTGTTTGCACAGCCTCTGTAGGTTACAGCTCTTTAAAAACAGCTTCAAGCAAGTAATCTGTGTTGTTCACCTCCATCCTTGACCCAGGACAAGGATTTAGATTAATGTGCAGACTTTAGAGGATATCTATGTTGTGGGTGGATGCAGAGAGAGAGGAAGAGAGGGAATCCTCTCTGAACGTCTTTTTCTACTTTGTATGCCCACGCTTGGATTTGACCCGGGATTTAACCCTCTATCCGGGGATCACACTGATCACCACTTATCATGTCCTCTCAGCTTTAAGCTTTTGCCCTGCAGATGTTAAATGTAGAGAATAATCTCACCCTGAAGTATAACAAATTTGAGGAATACTTTGTGACTGTCTGTATTCATCTTTTTCTGTGAGATGTTTGGGTGTAGCCTGAATCAGAGACACCATCATCACACCCTGAGGCAGTTGACAGTATTGAAACACAATTTCTGGTTTTATTGGAACTAGGGATGTCTCAACACGATGTTGATATTGGTAATTGGTCTGGTATCAGCAAAAAGAAACAAATATCAGATTATATTGGCCTGCATCTAAAATCTCTGATATCAGCACTGCGATATAAGCAGTCCATTCCAGACTCCACTCCGGCACCTGTAGCTAGCAGCACCTGGTTATGCTAAGGTACTGACAAAAGGGGAAGGAGTGATGTTGGCCGTGTAGCAGTATTTTCTGTAAGGTGCAATAAAAATGTTGCAGCTGAGTGCAAAACTTGTCATGCACAATTTTGTGCCAATATCAGATCAATATCCGTATCAGCCAATACAAAAGGGTACAATATCAGTATCGTATAGGAAGTAAAAAAGTTGTATCGGGACACCCCTAGTTGGAACCAGAGGCTATTTTTGGACACTCTCAAGCGCTCTCATGATAACTGTATGTTCAAGGTGCTTGGTGAGGTTTGTTCTGTTTCATGGCATCTTTTTGCCACAGAGGCTTTGATAACTCAGAGGGTTTGCAATCGCTGTAGGCAAAGTAGACTCACTCTGGTTTCCTGAAGTCACAGATTGTTGGTAGTGGACATGTTTAGGCAGAGGCATTGCTTTTCTCTATCTCACACTGCTTTGGCACACATCTCCCTGAGTTTGAGACTCTTGGAACTCTACTAAAAGCAGACATCTAGAATGAAGATCTTCAAATTTACACCCAAACCCATTTTCTCATCATTAAGTACATTATCTGGCTGCTATTCAGGGTCACCAATGAAACTAATCGAAAACTACTATTGCTGCTATATTATCCGTACCATATTACCTGCTATTAGATGTTAACTTCTCCAGACTTGGTGCTTTCAAAAATGTTGGTTGCCCTGTTTACACATTTCCAACCCACTTTCATTTCTCTGCAGGTGGCATGTTGTTCTCAGACCAATTGTTCTCAGAAAAAAAAAAAAAAGGTGTTACTAGATTTCTCACTCTGCCAACATTTCCACAAACTTTAGAGGATTCTCTTTTGCGAAGTAAGATCTGTATTGTATTTGTCGATGCCGTGCATAAATACAGCATGATGTTGGCTTATACAACAAGGCTGAACTACAACACCAGTTTTATAAGAGTTGGAGGGCTGTGCAAATTGTTGATCAAAAAACAGAGCAAGATGGTTTGCAAACTTTAAGCAAAATAGTGCAAAAAATATTTAAAAATTTGATCATGCTGTGAAAAATATTTGCTCATTTATTGATTTAATACCAGCTACATGTATTGGAAAACTTTTACAAAGTTTAGTAGTACTTAAAACACACCCGAAGAAACATGTCCCAACTAATAAGGTTGGTTTGTAATGGTTTTGTAACATAACTGGGTGTAAAAGTGCACCCCAGAGAGGCTTAGTCTCTCAGAAGTAAGGATAGGAAGATATTCACTACGTTGTCAGAGTCTGGGTGAGGGAAAGAGTGCAGCAATTTCAGAATAATGTTCCTTAGCCGAACACTGCAAAGAGTTGTGGATTTCGTCATCTACAGTACCAGCATAAAAGACTCAGAAAGTCTGAAGATGGATAGACTAATGGATTAAGATAAGCTTTGAGTTGTTTTCAGCTGTGAAACAGAACCCCACAGCTCCAGCCCACAGCATGTTAACCATACACTAATAGTCTTTGGGGTCACGTGCAAGTGAAGGGGCCTAGTGGATATATGCTTACAAGGAGGCATTTACATTGTTTTAAAGCTCGCGGTACAGCTGAACTAATGCTCCCTGAATTATTCACTGCTCTCAGAACATGGGAGAAAAGAAGAAAGAGAGAAAGGAAGGAAGGAAGAAGGAAAGAAAGGAAGGAAGGGGCTTTTTATTCACTTTACAGATAACAAGTGATCAAACTAATGCTATCAGACGTCCTTGATGGCTGTTAATGTTGAGCAATAACCGTGGTTGAAGGATGTGAAAATTAGACTTGCCACGGACACAGGACATCTCTGGTGTGTGACCTGACGACATTTGACTTAAAGAGCCAGCTGGTGTCTTGACAGACTATTTCTATTTTAAGATTTCATATGTAGTAGGTCTAAGGATGTAATGTAGTAGGTCTAAGGATGTAACACTGTACGTTGGTAGTTTGTGTGCTGTGAGCTCAGGAAAACTGAACACATGCCAAGTATTTGTTTACATACTAACCTCTTGTTTTTGTATTCTCTATATCCCCTTCTTGATTAACTGACTTTCTAGCAATATTGATCCCCTTAGTTCACTTAAATAATCTGACAATATTAATAACACTGAAAATAATTCATTTTAGATGCTATAAGTCCATTGAAATCTTACATGAAAGTTGAACACTCATTTAATTTTATTTTTATTTCTTTTTTTATTTTATCATAATGCTATTTGGACTGAACCAATTTTTTGCTAAATTCATTTTATTAAAAATTTGGTACAAAAATGTTAAGAAGACCCTCTGCTCTCCCTAATAAATCAGACTTTTGTGTCAGTTAGCATCACCATTAACCATGGAATCACTGCTGAAGTACATCACAGCCACAGTCATGCCAACTTTCTTTATTAATTTCTTGTTGCAAAATCAAAATAGTATATATTTTTTCCTTCCCAATAATTTAGTTTGATGTGTAGGTGTTTAACTAGAAGTAGAGAGAAGGGGGGAAATGGTTTGCCACGCTGATTTTGCTCAAGAGGGGGTAAAGTGTAACCTGAGCACAGGAAGGGAAACTGAAGATGTAGGGTGAGCCTCATAAAAAAAGAAAGACAGGGAAGATTAAATACATAATGAATCACTTCTTGAGTGACATGACACCTCCTAAAGATGGTGTTTGGTTGATGCTGAACTCAAGATGATGCTGAACCAAAGATACTATTCCCATTACAATCATCGGGCCCTTTATTAGACCTGTCACAAAGAGCCCTGGCGTGCAGCAGAGTGTCATCGCTATTTCCTGCCTGACACAGTTACCAATTTTCACACCCAGCTCCCACACCGTGTAAACAGCGAACGTTTTTGCACCCATGTTAGTTCTCGTGAGTGTGTTTTTCTTGAGATGAAGTGTGGTTAGGTGCACAGGTGATGCACTGCTATCGTGAGAATGTGTCTGCACCGTAAAGCGAGTACAGCAGTTTCCTGTTGGGAAGAGGTGTAAGAGTTCACAGTGATTGTTTCCTTTACACACTTACAGAGATGCCCAGTGACTGTTTCTTTGGTTCAGTGTTATAGTTTCAGAGGATGTAATATAAAACCATCCACTGTCCCTTTTCAAATTAACAAATAAAGTAAATGAACAAACAAGGGACTTCAACCAACCTCTTTGCACCTAGTGGCTTTATGCTTTTTTGACAACAGTAACAACCAAGACAGTCTGGCTGCAGACCTCCAATGTGAGGACCCGCTCCACTGAGCAGACCGGAAGTTAAATCAAGTGCACTGTTGAATTGGAGCCTTTCAAAATAAAAGCAACTGTACCGGAAGTACATTTTTTATGACGGAAGTTGATTTGAAGCCTTTCAAATTATAAGCGATTGGACTAAGGAGTATGTATTTTTTGTCTCGTGTGAATATACTTTATTTTTTTGGGACTTTATTTTATGTTTATAATGTTAAACTTCTGTTGACCCTGACTTCTGTAGAGGATTTCTGCGTTATTACAAAGATACAGCCGGCACCTCAATATGACGTATGGCCCAGTCTAACCCGTACACGGAGTAACACTACCGACTCACCACATGCTGTTCGTTATGGTGCACAGACTGTAACAGTCTTCACAACATCTAGGCTACTAAAGTTACTCATCACAGCGCACTGAACTTTTTTTCCATCCAAGGAAATTGAGTTTTTTCCTTATTTTGCAAATATAGCTGTGTTGATTGTTGTCTAGTTTGTGTGTTTTGTTTTTTATACTTCATTAACATAGTTTGCTCTGTGTTTGAAAAGAAGACATGACCTATCAAGATTAGTTCATGTCTGTCAAATGTAGCTTACACTGCCCCATTCATATGAACACACTTAAAGTAATCCTGGTTTGACTGATCTGTTTGATAACAAGCTTTAATGACTCCATCTTCTTTGTCAGGTTTAGTTAAGCCAGGCAAAAGATACCTGAGGTATGTTGAACTCATTTATACTGGGATTCATATACAGGAATTATCTTTACCATAACTTTCAAACAGTTTCAATAATCAATTTTAAACTTGCTGTGCAGGGGTGGTGTGAATATAGGGATTGATTTGCATTAGTTGCCCTCATAGATCCACATACACACAGAAGCCTCAGACTAATAACACAGGGTATGAGGGTAGCTATTTTTAAAGTGACACCTAAATTAGAAATACAGCATGATTATTGATTACGTAATCATAAAGATCTGAGTGGCTTTTATGTAACTCCATGTGTCATTGACATGTAGCCATAACATTCATTCCATGTCACTGCAGTTCAGTAGGACACAGACAGGTCAATATGCACTGCTCTGGTCTGGAGCATATCCGGACCAATGTTGCTTGGACAAAATAACCTCTACTGAAACTAAGTTTTTGTTTTGAAAGTCACTGTTGCTGTTCGATGGAAATTATTGAGTCAAAAATTATACAGTTGTATGTAATTTTGAATAAAACTTCTCAAAGAGGCAATTTTAAAGTGGCGATACTAGACTTTGTCATATTTGATAAGAAATTATCAGGTCAAAGATGTCAATACGAATAGTTTCAGTACCGAATTAAACATGGGTGGGTGTAAGCTGATGATAAGACTGCAGACTGCTTTAAACAACTTAAAAAAAAAAAAAACAAGTAAGAATTAAAGGGTAACTTCTGTATTTTTCAACCTTGCCCCCTTGTTCCCCTTGAAGTGAGAAGGACACAAAATTGTTTATATCATGATATCCCCCAGTGGTGAATCTCATGAAAAGAGCAGGATAAAGAAAACACTAATCAAACAGGACTGTATTGCTCTGTTCTTAGCTGCAAGCGATTTTTATGCCTCTTTCCAAACTTTCTGGAGCGCATGTGGGTCCAAAATATGACCATGTTTCAAAATTTCTCATTTTAAAGAGAGAAATACTGATTAACTCCTGGTTAACTCTCAAACTGTCCTTGTTTTGATTGATACTATCACCCAAGCGGTCACCTATTTCAAATACAAATAAATTTGTTGTGGCCGTATATCATTTTCATATGTTAAATGGTGTTAAAAGCCCACGCTAGCCTGCTTTCCAAAGAAAACTTTAATCCAAATTGGCTTTTAGTTTCCAAGTTAAACAATCTGCCAGTGGTCTTACTATTCTTAATGGTTAAAATACCACAAATAAAACCCCAACACCACGTATATTTCCTCAAATCTTTCAATTAATACTTACTGACATTTACCTTGACTTGCTTTCCATGCAGATAAGACAGAATGAAGATAATCTAGGAGGTGTGTCTGACTTTCCTCCCATGGCTGGTAGAGGCGCACAATTTGGAAACGCTCATATAGGTCGTATTAGAGGACCGGAACAAATGACCTACTCGGTCATATACATTGGAGGACTTGTTGCCTGCTTTGTCTTGTGAAGATGTTACATCATATTCTGTAATTTGTTGTGAAACCAAGCACTCTATAATCTTTTTGCTCTGTAAGATGTAAATGCAAATTTCATGCTCTGCAACTGTGGTGTACCTCATTATTGCTGCTTCCACTTTGAGTGACGCCAGTGTGGAGCCACAGCTATGTGTGGTCTAGCTGTGGCTGACCGTTATTGATCTGCTGTCGACCAGTCTGACATCACTGAAGTGTACCAACCATTTTTGCCTTCACAAACCTGCAGAGTACATGCAGAGACACATGGCTGCTGTTTTTCTGAGACAAGAGTTACAGAAGTCGCAAAAAATTATCAAAACATTTTACATTAAAGTCAATGGGAGAGGCAACTATTGTAGTTTTTCAAACATCCACCGGCTCTATATACTTTCACCTAGAGATTCCATTTAAACTTTAAAATGTAGACACAAGTCTTGTCCATTGGTGTATTACTCCACATTTCAATAGGTATTGTAGTTTTTCATGAATCACTGATCAATCATCATGATTATTTTTGGAGAAACTTGAGATTATAATGGGTGTGTATTGCACCAAACATCTTTTTAACTTGCCTAATTTCTTTGGCAAAGAGACCAAACACAACTCGCCTACTCTCTTCCAGCAGCCGCTTGTTTGTAGCGAGACCTCAGGCCAGTCCATTACGGACTGCAGCGGGGTGACGCAGCTCATGGAAGAACATTTATGATAATTCCTTTATCATTTCCTTGAAGTAATAATCACCATATTAATAATTTTGCACTGCAGACGTGGTAGTTCTTCTGCTTTAGCGTCTCGGTCTGATTGCATTTCCATGAAGTCAGTGGACTGGCCCGAGGTCTTGCTACAAACAAGCGGCTGCTGGAAGAGAGTAGGTGAGTTTTGTTTAGTCTCTTTGCTAAAGAAATCAGGCAAACCCAGAAAGATGTTTGGTGGCTAGTACTATGGCTAGGACCCATATGTACTGTTGATGAAGTTAGGTGCTGATCTCAGCATTATTTGTGGCTATAGAGTGGCGTTTTGGATGAGAATTATCAATGGCTCCTCAGACCGAAGCAGAGCACACACACTAAATCAGGGGAACGCTGTAGCCAGTCCTGTAACCAGAGACACCATGACGCACAAGGGCCAAAGCCAACAGGACGCTCTTGGGCTGAATAGACCACCGCTGCACCCGAAAAACATTATGAAGATTGGAAACTGGAATGTACGGACACTATACACAAGCGGCAATATCACACTAGCGGCAAGAGAAATGACCAAAAGGGGAATGGACATCTTGGGCATCAGCGAAACACACTGGACAGGACAAGGAAAAGTGGAACTGGCAGGAGGAGAAACCATCATTTACTCAGGAAGAGACGACGACAACCATAGACAAGGCGTAGGCATACTCATGTCAAAAACTGCAGCAAGAGCCCTGATTGACTGGACACCGGTGAACGAAAGAATCATTTTAGCCAGATACCACTCCCAGCACATCAAGCTGACAATCGTACACATTTACGCACCCACAGAAGACGCAGAAGAGCAAGAAAAGGACATATTCTACATGAGACTTCAAGATGTACTAGACAGTAGGAACAAACACGACATGCTGATTATAACAGGAGACATGAATGCCAAAGTAGGAGATGGATACCAGGATTATGACAGGGTCATGGGCAAACATGGACTCGGAAGGCTGAATAACAACGGAGAAAGGCTGTGTGAAATATGCGACATGAATGAACTAGTCATAACAGGAACTCTTTTCCCACATAAAGAAATTCACAAAGCAACGTGGGTATCTCCAGATGGGAAGACCAGGAATCAGATTGACCACATTCTCATCAACAAACGTTTCAGGAACTCAGTGAATGACACAAGAGTACACAGGTCTGCAGACATTGGAAGTGACCACTACCTTGTATGCACAACAATCAAGCTAAGACTCAGGAAGCGACACAAGGAAAGGAAAAGCACCAGAATCAAGTATGATACAGCAAAACTGAAGAATGAAAACATCTTGAAGACCTTTGCCATCCACCTAAGAAACAGGTATCATGTACTGGAAGAGGAAGAGCAAGGAGCACAATATGAAGAGGTAGAGCGTGACTTCCAAGTGATGGAGCGAGCATATGTAGAAGTAGCTGAGGCAGTCTTGGGTACACCACGGAAAAAGAAGAAGCCATGGATCAGTGAGGAATCATGGAGCCTTGTAGAGGAAAGAGAAGGAATTAATAAGAAGATTCTGGGAACGCATTCTGAAAGAATCAAGAAACAACTAAGAGAGAAGTATGCAGAGAAGAACAAAGAGGTGAAGAGAAGTATAAAAGCAGACAAAAGGAAATGGATGGAGGACATGACAAGTGAAGCTGAGGCCGCCGCAAGAAAACAACATATGAAAACATCATATGGAATCACAAAGGCACTATGCAATGAGAGACCTAGACAGAGCACAGCAGTACTGGACAAGGAAGGCAATCTCATAAGCGGAAGGGAAGCAGTCAAATCAAGATGGACAGAACACTTCAAAGAAGTATTAAACAGAGAAGAACCCGAAAACCCAATAACTGAAGAAGACGAATATGAATTCAACAACGGAATGGAAGAGATCACAGAAACTGAACCAACGCTAAGTGAAGTGAAAGAAGCCATAAAAAGACTGCAGAATGGCAAGGCAGCAGGAATCGACTCAATTACAGCTGAGCTATTAAAAGCAGATATAGAGTTTTCAGCAATGAAGGTACACCAACTGCTAGAGAAAACATGGAAACATGAGACGATCCCTACAAAATGGAAGAGAGGGTTAACTATTAAACTAGCCAAGAAAGGCAATCTCAAAGAATGCAAAAACTCAAGAGGCATAACACTTCTTTCCGTAGTGGGAAAGATACTGGGCAGGATTATCATAGATCGGATAAGAAATGGAATTGACTGCAGGCTGAGAAAAGAACAGGCAGGTTACAGGACAGGAAGGGGAACAACGGAGCAGGTCTTTATACTTCGAAACATAATCGAACAGGTCAATGAGCAGCAAGCAACACTTTATATGAACTTTGTAGACTTCGAAAAAGCCTTTGACTCTGTACACCATGAAAGCCTGTGGATCATCTTGAAGAAGTATGGCATACCGGAGAAGATTGTGAGAATGGTGAAACTGTTTTATGAAGACTTCCAATGCGCAGTTGAAGACCAAGGAGAAGTATGCGAGTGGTTTAACATCAAAACCGGTGTCAAGCAAGGATGCAACATGTCAGGGTTCCTGTTCTTAATTGTGATGGACTGGATAATGAGAAGAACTGTTCAAGAAGGAGAGAATGGAATTAGATGGAAGCTGACATCAAAACTTGACGATTTGGACTTCGCAGATGACATAGCATTACTCTCCTCTACAAAACATCACATGCAGAATAAAACAACCCGAATGGACGCAGAAGCCAAGCGAGTAGGACTCAAGATCAATACACAAAAGACAAAAACAATGAGGATAAATGCAAGAAACCAGGAAAACATCAAGATCAATGAGCAAGATATTGAAGAGGTAAACCAGTTCACCTACCTGGGAGCCACAGTATGTAAAGAGGGAGGCGGCATGAAGGACCTAAAGAACAGACTATCAAAAGCAAAAGGCTCATTCATCAGACTTAAAAAGACCTGGAGCTCAAACAGCATCTCAAGAAGAACCAGGCTAAAGCTTTATAAGACGCTAGTGGTGCCGGTATTGCTGTATGGATGCGAAACATGGAAAATGAACAAAGGAGACAGCAAGGCAATAGACGTATTCCATAATCGATGCCTACGAAGAATACTCCGCATAAATTGGCAAGAACACGTCAGCACCAAAGATCTGCTAGAAAGAGCTGAAATGAAACCATTGAGCAAGGAAGTTAAACTACGTAGATGGAAGATGATTGGACACATACTACGGCAAGACCACAACAACGACTGCAACATAGCAATGACCTGGGAACCAGAAGGAAAAAGAAGAAAAGGAAGACCAAAGACCACCTGGAGGCGTACCGTTGAAAAAGAAAGGGGAGAAGCAGGATGGAAATCATGGGCTGAAGTCAGGACTGCAGCAGCCGACCGTGAAAAGTGGAAGCGCTCTGTGAAGGCCTTATGTGCCACAAGGCACGAAGTGGATAGGTAACAGGTAACCTCAGACCGCTGTGTATTGCTATCCTGCGGTCGTTACTAAAGTTGGTATAACTAGAGATGCAAGCAGTCGGTAACATTCACCTCTCCAGGGGGTGTCTAACTCTGTGTTTCAGTGTGTTTGACCCTAAATTAATTAATTAAGTGTGATATGATGATGCAAATCTATTATCAGGATGTGAAATTGCCTTTTATTGCCTTTTGGAAAGCTGTGGTTGAAGTGTGGACACAGGAGTGCACAGACATACTTTAAGTTCAGCGAACATCCCAGTCAGTCTTCTGGACATTCCTCATAGACAATCCTTGTCTTGAGAGACGAAGCCCTGGGGAAAATCCTCACTTTGGTGTGAAGACTTCCACTTTAAAAACTTTCATGAGCAATATCAGCTGAGTGGACGTCAGAAAGTCAATGGTCTGTCCTGATATTCCTGTTAATGATGCGTGTTGTGAGACACAGGTCAGTCTCACAGCGGGTTGTGATTACAACCTTCCATTGCAGACAGACATTTTTTTCCTGCATGTTGTTTGTGTAACCCTCCCATTACAGGTTGGGAAAAACACAAACCTTGGGCTTCCAAAAAATAACACTGTGGCCCATGTGCAAGGACCTTGAGTCAGGAGTGTAGAGCTCTGAGCGCTGTGTTTGTAGACTGCTCTCTAACATCTGAATGGGGTTTTCCTACTCTTGAAAATGTGAGGTTAAGTGGTAAACCCAAACTGCAGGCCTTAAAATGTTCAGAGTGACATAAGAGTAGGAAAATCCAAGTTTCTACATTTTATGGTAATCATGGGACATTATGTGTGTTGGTGTGAGTGATGGAAAAAGAGGGTAAAAGCAAAGAAAGCAGAAACTGGGGTAAAAAGGAATGTGAAGCAGGACATTTGAGAGTAAGTAACAGGAAAAGTGACCTTAACTGCCCAAAAGTCTGCTTTTGGTTGTTCATTGAACCAAATATGTAAAATATTCTGACATTATTCGAATCTTTTTAAGTGAGATTGCATTTCTCTACCACTAACTTAAACAGCATTCGCTCTTAAGTGTGAGGAGCTTATTGTTTGTCTTGATTGTGGCACTCCTGCAGACTGGACTACAGAGTAAAAGGAGTGAGCAACAAGAATATCCATTGAGCATTTAGCGTGAAGTGGAGTAAAAAATGTAGTATTTGTCCTTCAAAAATGAAAACAGGAATATGCCCTCCACTATCCAAAAGTAAGAGTGCAAAATGACATCAACAGCAACCAGCTTCATAAAACTATTTAGACAAATGCATCAAGAATATTCATATCTAAAATGCATTGTCTTGTCTCAGTTTGTGCATTCACAGAAGGGACTTAAGAGTGGGCGTCAATTGTTATAAGCACGTGTGACCTGAAGGGCATGTGCTGTTCATAAGATGTGGTCTACTGTTTCAATAAGTGAAGGCAAATGTACTGTACATGTGTGGCCCTCTCAGGTATATGTAAGAAGCACTAAATGTAAAAATTTGGAATAGTTAGCATCAGTGCTTTACAGTAATTTACATTAGCCTTGCCAACTCCTCTGTTTTCAGATGTTATATTCAGAGCAGACTCCATGTAGATAAAAATTTAAAAAACTCAATCTCACTTTTTATTGTTTCTTTGCACTCCTCTACAAAAACAAATAAACTGTGTCTTCCCAAACCCCTTTTACCCCGTCCATGAAATCACACCTGCTGAATAGGGTTTCCCATCTGGAAGTTCAGGTCAACAAACACTACGGTATGTTCTGTACTGTTTGGACATTTATTCAGCTTTTAAATTGGAGCAAACAAAAACAATTCTGCAGACCTCAGCTCTGAACTATCTGTGCTTGTTGTGAAAGAAAAAAGGTTGCAGAGATAAAGGATGAAAATGAGAAAGACACAGAAAGTGGCAGCAAAATGATAGGGCTGCACTGTAAGCATTTCTCTCTGACAGTGTTGGAGCTGAGAGTGTAGTGATTGTTTAGTCTGAAACCCAGTGAACAAAAGCAGCATGAATAGATGGGGTTGATTCCCCAGCTTGATTGACAAATCCCTGCCAATTGTGTCAGCGTGTCAGTGCGCGCTTTCCACCGGCGTCATTGTGAAGGCAAAAGAGGCTGTTGTCATGGAAAACAAACTCTGATCTTCAGTGTTGTCACACCAGCTCTCTGTGACTGGAATTAGGTCAGGACTTCCCCCTTAATGACATACAATGAAACAGTGTTACTGTAGAAATAAGATGAAATCTCACAAACCATTGGCACTATTGGAAGCTCTTTGTAGAGTTTATCTCTTACCTGAATTGTCTGCAATGTCCTATTGAGAGACCCAGAGATAGAGAAGTAAATACTGTAGATATTGAGCATTAACTGGCTAAAAAAGCTAACAAAGTGTCTCATGTTTTTTATTTTAAAAGACTAAATTTATCACTACATTGTCTGCCTTTAAGGTTACATTCTCAGCTCCATAGCACTCAGGTTCACACAGCTGTGATCATCGCACCAGAGAAACATATTTGATGTGATTGAAATTCTTCCTGTTTTCTGACAGGGACAAAAAAAAAAGGAAATTCTCTGTCGTAAAAGAAAGTAAACATCAGATTCCCTTCCCTTCTGCCAGCATACTTACATTAACTCTCTTGATGTTGCTTGATGCACATGAGCAAAGTCCTTCAGTGGCCAAAGTAAGCCGCCTGGTTGCATAGGAACAGAAGAAAAAGGGAGCCAGATATAGTTACTGATAACAGGGTTACTGCCCTTTCCTCTGTTCTCTCTCACCAAAAATGTGCTGCACAGTCTTGTGTTTTGTGGAGAAGCTTTGACATTTATGTGATTGAATACCTCCACATTTGCTTCACTCTTGCCAACTTTCCCAATGTTGCATTCTCTAGCTTTTGGTATTTATTTGTATGTTTTTTATGTCTGCAGACTCTTAATGGTAGTGTGCAATTCTTTGCAAGTTAGTTATATATTAATTTACAGACTGATAGCTGGAGCTTTAAGTGATTGTTGCAAGTGATTTCTTTAAAATTGTTTTATTTTATGATTTTAAACCACCAAAAGTTACTGAAGTTTGGAGTTAAGTCCAGTCTGTAGATGGTTCCAAGTGAAAGGTGCAGAAAACCTAAAGGCTGTCTTTCCCAGTGCAGTTCTGACTTAGGGAATAAGAAATTGCACAAAGGTTGTGTGACCTGTCCTTTGGGACCAGTATAGCGGAAAAGTAGACCGGGACTTTGTCCAGAATGGCCTTATAAATAAAAGTGTACCAGTGCAGGAGTCACCTTGTGCTGAAAGCAGGCCACTTAACTATGGTGTATAAATCGCAGTGGTGGGTGAGAAAGCTACAGTTGGAAATAAATCCCTGAGCTTCATGATACACACTGTCCAGCATGTAAGGACTCTGGGCAGAGGCATGCATGTACAACACATCACCATAATCAAGGATAGGTGAAAATGTAGATTCAACCAGCCTTCCTTTTTACATGAAAGGAGAAGCAGGACTTATTTCTAAAATAAAAACCCAACAGAACTTTCAGCTTTTTGGCAACATACTGATTTGGTAACATACTGATTGTGCTCCTTAAAGGAGCACAATCAGTATGTTGCCAGTATGTTACAATCAATACAAAACCCTAAGTATTTGAAAGAAAAAAAAACTGTTTAATTTCATTACCGTCTTTGTTCCGAATTTTCTTAGACAGTGTTCTGAGCCATAGCTTTGCCTGGTTTTGTTAGCAAAGAGACCAAACACAACTCACCCACTCTCCTCCAGCAGCCGCTTGTTTGTGGGGGAGCCCTGATGAGTCGATCACCAAGTGCAGATGTATGCTTAATTTTACGCCAGGATATTCCTTTAAATTAAGTCAGATGTATGCTGACATTACTGTAAGATAAGTAATGATTAGCACTGAAATTGAGATTCTTACTATGTCTCATTCAGCATCTGGATATGAAAAGTGACCAGAAAGGATTTCAGAAGACAAACAGCTCTATCAGCTAGATGACTGAATTGAAGTGTGCCTGTCTGTCAAATGTGTCACACAAAAAAACCTAAATATTGCAACTTTAAAAGCCTGCATTTTAACACAGATTAGCACCAGCATTTGTGCACCAACATGTTGCACTAATTCTTATAAAAAGAAATGAGAAAAGAGAAACATTCGAAACACATTAATCAAATGTTTGGAAAGAAAGATAAAGGAAAGCTCTTATAACACTAGATGCACACTCAATAGCAGTCATTTCTGTTTTTATTTAAATGATGTCTTTTGTAGAAGCTTCTCTCAGAAATAATATTATACCTTCTTTTAAGGACCAAAAACTCATTTGACCACTTCCAGATGCGTGAAGTGACCACCCCTGTTATCCTGCGACTATTTTAAGCCTCACATTATTCAGGGTCTTTGTTTCACTCCATAAAGTGGGACCACTTTCCCTCATTCATGCAGCTAATAAGTGGGGGAGTGAAAATAGACCTTTTGTGAGCCTCTCTCTTTCATCTTGGGTGGCCCTCGTACCGCTGAATGCATAAATTGCTCTTTTGTCTTTTGCATTGGTGTGAGCAGTCAAGCCGCAGCAAGCAACAAAATTATCTTTAAAAAAAGAACAAGTACCCTGTCTGTACAAATGAGAATACAGAATAAACAAAAAACTTAATATGTACAACAACAATTCTTTCTCTTGTTTGAGCAGGGTTTAGCTTGGGGTGTTAAGGGCAGAGATATATGCTGTTCTTGTCCAGTTAGTATTCGGTTACCTTGGAAACCATTTTCTCTTAGTTTTGCACCTAGTCTTAAGTTAAAATGTGAGTTTTTTGTTTTGTGAAAAAGCCTTTTCCTGGCACTGCACTAACTGATACTGGAACTTCTTGCAAAAATCAGTGTGTAAAAAACAAAATGTCAGCCATAACTGACAAATAATTTTACTGCCAATCCTGAGACAAAAAGGAGAAACTACAAAAACTCATCAAATGAAGTGAAATCACTCATTTAAAATCTTTTGATAATACACATAAATTTGAAATATGTTGGCAGTTGTAACAAGCTGTAACTGTACCAACCTTAAAACTCTTTAACACCTGCATTGGCAGCAAACCAGGCATGCCTAACAAGATTGGAGTTTACCTGCAGGCTTCTCTGTGACTGACAGGGTCTCAAAATTATCTGTCTCCAAAATTAAGTACATTAAGTAGAATGATTTCTAGAAAAGACCCTCCTTTCCTGTGTGCTTTATTGTTTACAGATGAATTGACAGCTGAAGGAAGCAAGAGTGTACCCGGGGCACATACAGGAGATCCAACATTTACTTTGCTCATTCATATGTATCTGGTGTGCCTCAGTTTCACTGTAAATAGTAAGATACATAGAGACTTCATGCTGGCTTTCATCAGTTGGACAAACTGGAAAAAGGAAATACGTTGAATTGGTCTTAAAGGAATATTCCGGTGTAAAATTAATTTAGGGTCAAACACACCGTAACACCAAGTTAGACACCCCCTCAAGAGATGAATGTTGCTGACCACTTGTTTCTCTAGTTATACCAACTTAAGTTACGACTGCACGATAGCAATGCCCAGCGGTGTGAGTAGCCATGAACAAACCTTGACCAAAACGCCACTCTGTAGCCACAAATAATGCTCAGAACAGCACCTAACTTCATCAACAGTACATATAGGGTCCCAGTCATAGCACTAGCGACCAAACATCTTTTTAGCTTTGCCTAATTTCTTTAGCAAAGAGACAAAACACAACTCACCTACTCTCTTCCAGCAGCCGCTTGTTTGTAGCGAGACCTCAGGCCAGTCCATCATAGACTGCTGCGGGGTGACGCAGCTCAAGGAAGAACATTTATGATCATTTCTTTATTATTTCCTTGATTATCATAAATGTTCTTCCTTAAGCTGCTTCACCCCGCAGCAGTTCGTAATGGACTGGCCTGAGGTCTTGCTACAAACAGGCAGCTGCTGGAAGGGAGTAGGTGACCCTAAATTGTGTATGACCCTAAATTAATTTTATGCCGGAATATCCCTTTAAGTTTTCTCAAATGAAAACATCATAATACACTTTTTTGTCAAATAAAATGTCCCTATATGAAGAAGCCAAACTGATTCCTGTAATTGTTTACCAAATAGAAATTGAATTTGTAATTTTTATGCATCTCAGGAGGTTGGCAATTGTAAGCAGAACTTGTTGCTCTTACAGCATTAATCATTTCCAATTTACAAAAAGTGTCCACCTGAATTTTCATTTTTGTCTGTTCTCTAAGTCAAAGGTTGGGTTTATTCCTCGTAAAAAGTGACACTAGCTGTGGCCAATATCTTTACTATTGGATGAACTTGGACTTTAACCTGTGCCATTCAAATAGGCTCTTATCTACAGCTTTTATTTCATCTGTCACAAAGATGATTTAGATGTCTCTACTTTCCCAGCGGACATCTCCAGGATGTGTGATGTGGACGTGTCCTCAGAGCCCAGCAGTCCCACCCTGTTTGGTGAATCCTCGGACAAATACTATCATGTGGACCGCTGGCAGAAGCTCCGTACTGCTGTGCGAAAACTGGAATTCTGGGAGAACTTTACAGCTGAGCTCATCGGGAGTGGCTTCTTCTCTAAAGTCTATAAGGTAATCCTTCTCCCCCCTCTTTGCCTTGTTACCAGCCTACATGTGAGCTGCCATCAGAGCTCTCTTTGTTTCAGCTACTAATTGGGGCATTCTTGCCATTCCATGATTGGCCCACCAGCTTTTTAGACCATGGGGGCACCATACTCATCCCCAGCTGAGATGTTATATAACTCCTAATGTGATAGCAGTGCTGGTGAGGGCTAAAGGAGGAGCCGACTGGTGTACATTTAGGCTTTGTTCCCGATGAAATGAGCCGGAAAGAAGCAACAGCACAGAAGACTTAATGAGTCAGAGTTTGATATGTCATCCAAAGTGAGATTTGTATCCTGACCCTTGCTGTTGACACCCTCATGTCTTTCAGGTGATGCACAACACCACTCGCAAGGTGATGGTGGTGAAGATCTACAAAAATGATGTGGACCAAGACAGCATCGTACGAGAGATCAGCCTGCTGCAAAAACTCTCCCACCCAAACATCGTTAGGTATCAGTTTAGTTTTGTCACATTTCATACTGTTTAAAGAGATATTCTGGCGTAAAATAATTTAGGGTCAAACACACCATAACTCTGAGTTAGACACCCCCTCGAGAGATGAATGTTGCCAACCACGGCTTCTCTGGGTATACCAATTTTGGAACGACCGCACGATAGCAATACACAGCGGTCTACGTCTCCACTTGTCGTCCTTGTAGTCTTTGTAGAAACTAATAAAAGGATGACAACCACTACCCCCCACACTGTAAACCAACTACTTTCAATTATCCCTTACTTATATTTTCCACAATATCAGTGTTGACAATGTTTTTAAAAAGACAATTATCCTGAATAAAAACCTTATTCTGAGATTTAAGTAGTTTTTTAATCACTATAGTCGTGCAGGAGTCATTGTTTGACATGATTTCAAGAATTAGAGAGGATAGACGTGAAGTTTTTATCCATACTTTAAAGGGCATTGCTCACAGTGGATGAAAAAGAGACAGAGAGATATTGCCATCCTGATGGCACTGAGCCAGTAATGACATAAAGGAAGGAGAGCAATGGAGACATTTATTTGTTTTCTTTTTTCTAGATATCTGGGAATCTGTGTCAAAGAAGACAAACTCTATCCAATCTTAGAGGTGAGCTCTCTGCTTTAATGTAGTGTAAGTGTGTATTCATGTGTAGTTGTGTGTGTGTGCATTTGTATTTACAAGTGTGAAAAAAAAAAAAAAAAAAAACATGACACTGATAGAGGCTGGTAGTGATAATGAAATGATTAGCAAGCAAAGAAAAATGATATTTGGGTAACTGGACCAGGTCTCCCCACCCAAGAATGGGTTCTTTGTGGGTTTTTTAGGTCTTCATTTTCAAAGATTACATTCTTGAGTTTCTTTGTTGGCTGTTTCAGTATGTAAATGGAGGCTGTCTGGAGGAGCTCCTTGCCAGGAAAGACGTTCCTCTGTGTTGGAAAGAGAAAGTGGACCTTGCCTGTGATATAAGCAGAGGAATGATCTACCTGCACTACAAGAACATCTACCACAGAGACTTGAATTCAAAGGTAAGACCCTTAATCTCTTAACTCTTATTAAGCTAATGTGCCAGTCTAGTTTACACCAAGGGGCCACTCAGAATTTGTGTCATATCCTGGGCCAAACTACAAGATTAGTGGAGGCACACTTCAGATTTTTTAATGACTAGAACAGTTTGTCAGTCTGATATTTGGTGTTAGTCAAGTTGAACATGGTGAGTCTATTTGTGCATTTCTCTTTAAAACGGCAGCTGGTCTCACATACTAAAATCATGGTAATGTGAATAAAAATTGTAAATTTTGCTTTTGAACAAGTAAATAAGCTGAATTTCACCCAAAACCTTTATAAAGCTTTGGAGAGCCGTAGTTAGGGTAACTATGTTTAGTAGATTCATCACTGCAAGCAACTCCTTGTACATTGTGATTTCAGTACCATTGATTCCAATGATAATACTTGTTACTTATTAATTACATCAGTTACTTATTAATTACTAATAAACTGAATTAAATTTTTTTCCTGATTCCCTGTTGTTTCTTAACCCTTTAATGCCTGAAACCACAAATTATAGCCAGAAAATTCAAATTTTTTTGGAGCTGAAATGTTTATTTTATTTACTACTGAAAACCAAAAAAAATCAGAATGTCCTTAAAATTTAACAAATATATTTATTTATCTCGTTTGATACTTTAGATGTTTTTGGAAACTGATAAACCACAAGAGGACATTTTTATCATTTATTGGACTGTATTCAGGTGTTTTTTAGTAATCTTTTTATCATATTGATTTGATAGAAGTATATAAAAGTATGTATCAAATATAATACAAAAGGCATGAAAGGGTTATGTATTCAAGATCCAAACTGGAGCTATCCAAGATATGCAAATATTTAAGTGCATGGCCCATAATTCAATTATGATCAATTCAAAAGAGGTCACTTCTTTCTTCTAATTAATTGAACAATTGTGCACTCACAATCTCATTCATAGTCTTGTCAGTGTGAATGTTAAATGTGAGTTGTGTGTTAGTGAATGAGTGTGCGATCTTTGTAGGTTCTGACCAGTTGCCAGGCTTCGCGGAAGGATCAGTCAGTAATGCAAAGAAACAAGGCGACATGAGTTGCTCCATTGTCATGTTAACAGATGGTTGTTAACTAGGTGCTGTTGCTACACACATAACTTGTAGAATCTCACACGCACCCTGGATTTGTGTGTGAATGGGGCCCCTTTTTTTCTGCAGCAAAACCTCTCACCATGCACGTCATCCTGAGGTGACTCATTTGGCTCTTTTCCATTTCACTTTGTTCCCACAGAGGCCAACGTGGATTTATGTCACGCTTAGGCCATAATGACCATAAACCAGTCTATCATATATTACAAAAAATGTTTATAACTGCACCTACTTAGGTGTACTGATCAATAGTTTTCCAAGTAGTAGGTGAGTATGTAGATTTTTTCAGGATGTTATGGGGAAGATCTCTTCCACATCACTGGAAACACCCCTACATTAGGACCTGACTGTATTCTCTGCACTAGATGCAGAGATGCCTACTTGTAACCAGTCATATGATTTTTTTAAAGCTGACCTATCCTGTGTCATAGTAATTAGCTGTGGACTCAGCCAAGCATGTCAAATGTCAAAGCCATAAAAGCTGATGAAGAGACTGGCGCCTTGTAGATACCAGAGATGGTAAAAGTTTGAGTAACACTCGTAGTAGTCGGTATGTCAGCTTGTAGTATGAATCAAGAAGCTCATTGATAGAAGCTCAGACAAATAGGGTTTAGATTAACGGTAAAATGTTTTTTTTTTATGCATTTTTTAATTTGCATTGTAAAGGTTTTAGTTCAACAGTTTTGCAGAGCAATCGACTGCAAATCCACATTTGTGTCTGAGGTCTCTGATGCCAACTTTTGTGCACATCCAAAGTACAAATGACATTCCAGAGTCCTCTGAACCAATGCTGCCTTTGTGAATATGCTTCAGTAACTTTCCCTGTTGACTTTTATCACAGTTAAGGCTCCTGGAAAAGTCCCCCCTTCTTCAATTAGCAATTTTCCTCTCTTTATTCACTAATGTGCTCAATGTATTTTTTTTATTTTTATTCCCAAACTGTTGCTTTTCTTGGCAGGGAAGGCTGGGGCTAAATTTAGAGGTCTGGGACAGAAGTCTCTCCCAGAAGAGCCTTGTAATGACAGGCTATACTGGATGGAAAAGGCCTCTTGTGCACTGGCAGCCAGATGCTGATACGTCACACACACACAAACAAATACAAACACAAAGCCTTACAAAGAGAAATGGAAACTAACCATATTTAAATACAAGCAGATATCCACACTGGACTGTCTATATTTGCTTTTTTGTATTATATGTATTTTTTCAGGTGCACTTACACACCAACATATGTAATAAATTGTAGCACTCCACTTATTAAGCCCCGTGCACATACACCTGGAGCATCCTCATGTTTAATGCTACAGCTGTCCCACAGTACATATCCCACACTAAACTATGCTTCATTCCCTCAGAGATCATAGTCACTGAAAACCAGTTAACAAACAGTCAGTCAGTACCACACTGGCTGCCACACTGAGTCTTTGTTGTGTACCGAGGCCCTTTACTCAGGGGGTCCTAGTGAATTATTTAGTGTACAGGAAAGGTGCTGATAACAGACCCTATTGAGTCTATTGATAGATGGAGTCTGAAGACAGCCTGTTTGTCTGAGAGCTGGATGGTGTCCACCTGGGAGACAGGGCTAGTGAAAAGACAAGCATTTAAAGATCTAGATTAATTAAAAATGAACAACATGACGCGTTTGTGTTTGTCTGCCTTTACCGACATCAACACAATATTGCCCTCTGCTGGTTCATTTGAGCAATGCAGTTAAATTACATGTATTTGTCAAGAGACACATGTCGAGACTTTTCTGACAAACAGCAACCAAAAGCCTATTTGGTCCAGGAAGTTCTATGTGAATGATTGTTTAGTGCTGCCATACAAAATGCATTCAATAAGCACATTTTCAAGATTCTCTTATTCCACAACCTAAAAAACTTTCTCTACTACGAAGCATGTTTTTCAAACTTAGTCATACTGTTTTGAAAAGTAGGAAAAATAGAACTTTGGGTACAAACTTTGGCCTCTGCTGTAACCACCAGTTTGCACTGTCAGCAGAAATCCCCAGCAATTACACTTTTTTCCATTTCTAAGCAGAAAATTAGGGACACGGAGAAGTAGGACTGGATTTCTACTTTATTCCACAGTATGAGGGATTTTATTTCACATGATGTGGTTCTAGTTTATTAACCTTTTTTTGTTTTTGTATGTATATATGTATGTATATATCATTACTAAGTTAGTAAATTTGTAAATTTAAAAGCGTTTCCAAATCCCCCAAAATTGGGAAATTGTGAACAGTGTCAATAAAAACAGAGTCATAGTGTGATGGTCTGCAAATTGTCTGAAGCCTGAATTTAACTGAAACTACTGCGAGAAAAAATATTGAATGTAGAAAATGAAAAAAATTATCCTATGAAAAATATATAGTTATTTCCAATTTGACATCTTTTAAAACAACTTGGATAAGGACATGTTTACCATTACCATCATGTTGCATCACCTATTCTCTGAACAACTCTATGTGGTCTGTGTGATGCAGAACATCAGTGTGTTGCTGCTGGCAAACAGAATTGTTAAGATTAGAAGTAATTTAACCAAGAGGAAATTTGTTGGCACACCAAATTCTTAAAATCAGACGGAAGAGGGACCTGTAGTGACCCTGGGTATGTTATGTAGGTGCGTCCACCCCAAACCTGGAGGTGGTGGTCCCAAGGTACTCAGGGAGGAGCCCTGGTTGCACTGCTGATGACCCCTTCAAATGGCGGCTTTGCTGGTCCTGACAGGCGCTTTCCTGTGTTTGCTGCCCACAGGACACATCATCTTAGCTGTAAAGGAGCACTGTCAGCCTCTCTTTACTTTTTTTGTTTCCTCTGTGAAACACCAGGATTGATTAGCTGGAATGATGTCCATTCACACTGTTGTCAGCAGACTTAAGCATCCACACTCAAGAGGGGTCCACCTGGTGTGTAAGCTTGCAACTCTGTAAAATAATACACCAGCGTGGGAGAACAGCCTCCAAGCTGGGGGATCACAGAGGCACCGAGACTGGGAAGCCACCAAAAACAATGCAATTAGGCAAACAATGTTGGGAAAACAGCAGTCCAGAAGGCTGCCTGCAGATAGACACCCGACCTTACAATACGATAGCGGATACAATGTTAAATTCCACAATTCTTAAGTCTTTGTACAACTAAAGTCATGCATGAAGTGTTTTTAGGGTTGATGTTTTTTTGGGGTATGGTGAGGTGCAGACTGTAAGAAGGGTTCTGAAAAGATGGCTCCAGCTTTGACCCACGCTTGTTAATGATCATGTAACTTTTGTTTTTAATATTTATATGTCACTTGTCTATGCTTTTTAGAACTGTCTGATCCGAGTGACCTCTCGGGGTCAGGAGGCCCTGGTGACTGACTTTGGCCTGGCCAGGGAGGTGGTGGAGCTTCCAGTCAAAGACCCTGCCCGGAAGCTTTCACTCGTGGGTTCAGCATTTTGGATGGCGCCTGAGATGCTCAGAGGAGAGCCGTATGACCGGAAGGTAACAAACTCTTGATTTACCTTAAAGAATAGGATCAGTTCCAGCCTGCTTTAATTGGATGGGTAGGTGGAAATTGGAAGACATTTTTTATTTATTTTTTATTTTTTCAAGGAGGAGGAATCCATCCAAAACAAACAAACCAGAAAACAGTTTTTAAATGAATGAGTGATGAAAAGATTAGAAATGAACTCGGACTTCTCTTAACAGACTGTCCAATATTAAACAAGTCTTCATAATTAAAAAGAGACTAAGACAACATCAGCTAATCATACCTATACTTCAACCTCATCCTGGCCTGACTGAAATCAAAATATAATAGATAAAGAAATAGGTGACCAAAGCATTGTCCACACAGTCTTTACCAAATTGAGCATTGCCTTGACACAATTTTTTATGACAAACAAGCTAGAACAAGTAAGCATTTATAAGAATGATCACTTGTGAGACCATTTGCCTGTTATTACTGTTACAGTGTGTGCTTTTGTGTGTGTGGGTGTGAAAATCTGTCTCTGTAGACACAGAGTCCACTGCTCTGACATTATCACACAGCTCGTAGGAATGAAGTGTTTAGATCATAGACTGTATTTACTATGGACAACTCGGTTCCGCCTTCCGTCAGTACACGGATTTGAAGCCAAAAAGCTCTCGGTATTTCCATAATTTTTCTCCATTTCCTTTTCTTGTACAACCACATGTATTCGGTAGAAAGATTCATCCGATGTTTTTGTCTTGCTGGGTTGTGGTTTAAGATGTATTAATGTACCTATAAATTTGTACATTTCACTGGCATGTTACTTTTTCAAAAGAGTCATTATTTCAGGTCTTTCTTAAACTATGAAACTATATCTCACTTGTTCCAGGTGGATGTTTTCTCCTTTGGCATTGTGCTCTGTGAAATCCTTGCCAGAATCCCTGCCGACCCAGAGATACTCCCCCGGACACAGGTACAGCTGGAAACATTCTCATCAATAATTTTTTTGTAAATATGAAATGTCTTAAGAATACCCTGAACAGTTTCCTGACCAGAATTTTCAAGACACCCTTTTTTCCTGATAAAACATTTTAATTTAATTTAGAAATATGTAACTTATACTTTCCTCCTCATTATTGTTATTCCTGGTAAAGCCTGTGTAAAGATTTTCTAATACCAACATATCTTGAGCTGTAAAATTATCCATGCTCACTTTTCCTCATACATAAATATGACACACGCTTCTGTCGGTGTTCACGTGTTTCAGGACTACGGACTTGATGTGGAAGCATTCGGGGAGCTGGTGACGGGCTGTCCTCAGCGTCTCCTGGAGCTGGCAGCCAGCTGCTGTATGGTAGGAAGATGAAAAAGGCTTTAAGTTCATGAGTTTGCTTGAAGACACAAAAACTTCCATCAGAGTTGGCATCATGATCGGCTCTTGTTAGTTTATTTTTCTCCTGGTTTTGTTATTTAGTTTTAATTTATTTTAATTCAGATTTTCACAACAATATTTTGCAAAAACATACAGTTTGATTTGATATCATTACAAAATTTAGCTAACAATAATATATTGTCAAACGCTAGAATACTGTACATATCTTAAACTACCCAATAAAAGATAGTTACTCCAGCTGTCAGGATAGGCTCTTGTTGGTTTAGTTTTCTCCTGGTTTTGTAATTTAGTTTTACTAAGGTGACCATATGTCCTCTTTTACCCAGACATGTCCTCTTATGGGGGCTGTCCGATGGGAGTTTATGAAATCCTTCAAATGTTCGGGGTTTTGCATAGAAGTTTTGAGTTTGTGTAGCATGGACTAACTGAGTTAGGAGCACATAAAAAACATTCCACCCCGACCCAAAAAACCCTCAGAATTTTACACACGACTCCCCACATAGTAGTGTCCTCTTTTCGGGGATTCAGAATATGGTCACCCTAGTTTTTTTTCCTGTGTAATTTTCCTAGTGTTTCAATTCTCTGTTGTTCCTGTTTCCCTGTGTTCATCCGTCTTATGTTCCTGTTTTTCTCATGTTCTTCATTGTTTCTTAGTTGAGTTTTCAGTGTTTCCTGTTTTATTTTGTAGTTGTCAATCCCTGTTTGTCTAGTTTTACTTCTTTAGTTTTCCCTACTCTGTTGATTACTCACGAGTCTAACCTGTCCCTATCTCCCCCTCTTTCTTGGTTGGTTCATTGTCTATGCCGTCTATGTATCCCTGCGGTTTTCACCTGTCAATATATTTGTCCACTCCCTGTGCTCCTGTGTTCTTCTCTGCTGCTAGTGATTTGTCACTCTGGATTGTGACAGAGTTTTAATAAAGGAAAGAACCCAATAAAAGATTTAATTAACAGTAAGGCGAGAAAAAACAAAAACGTACTTCATAAAGTCCAATAAAAAACACTAGCAGCAGAGAGGAACACAGGAGTGCTAGGATTGACACACAGTGACTGACGGCCATAAAATAAAACAGAAAACACTGTAAACTCAACTATGAAACCAAACAGTGAAAAGCATAAGACCAACAGGAACATAAGATGAATGAACACAGGGAAACAGGAACAAAGGGAATTGAAACACTAGGAAAATTGCACAGGAAATAAAACTAAATTACAAATTAGGAGAAAACCATTGGAGTTTTTGTCTATTATTGAATGGTTTAAGAGATGTACGGTAGGTGCTTCTGTAACAAGACTACAGAACCTAAAAAAATGTGCCACTCTCCTCTTCCTCTCTCTTAGGTGGAGTCCTTCAGACGGCCAGCATTCACAGAGCTCCTCGATGAAATGGGAGAAGTTGCTGAGAGCCTGGAACTGCCACAATCTGATGTGAATACATGCTGAGTCGTCAATCTGAGGTTGTCCCCTCTCTGGAAGCTGGACCAGAGTATTAAAACTGGTCCTTACTGTTTGAACAAGAAACAGTGGACTGATCATAAGCAGAGAGAAACCCAGTGTATATCTGAATATCTCAGTCCTTTTGAAGTATTTCTCTTCTCTGCATACACACTGGCTGAACTTGTGCAGATATACTGGAGGTGTATTTGACAGGCAGTGAAAACACTTGACTCCCGGACGGACACTTTGCTTTGATTCACCCTGTGCCCAGAAAAAAAGTGTTTGACTCATAGGGGTGAAAACACAGTATGGTCTGTTTTCAGTGAATGTCTTACTTGACTGAAAGGTCTTATTTTTTCTCCCTGTCTTGGTTTACGATGACTTCTTGTTTTGTTTGTAACTAGACGGATAACAGATGCTCAGATCTGATGATGATGATGTGTTTTATGCCTCTTCTTCATGCTCGCCTGTCCTTTTTGACTCTGCAGGCCTGGAGTTTCATTCAGCAGTTCTCTAACTAGATAACAGGACATTTCTCGATGTGAGATGAAATGCATAAACATCGTTGGCAGCAGGGTAGCCATGGAAACATACAACAAATAGAGGTCAAACCAGGAGCTGAAGACATTGTGAGATGTCTCTGAAATGAAGAACAGATACAAACCGAAACTTTGAAACATGCCAAGATAAAACACAGTTTTGCACATTTCAAACTCAGATTTTTTTTTTTACTGTATATATCTTTTTAGTGTTAGTAGTAACCAGTTTGACATTTTTGGGCGAGTGGGGCTTATCCAGAGGCAAAAAAAGATAAATGAAATACAAAAGACATGCTTACCATCATTAGCTTGCAAGTTGATTGTGGCTTGTTTCAGTGGCAGAAGATGAAAAGGCTCTCTCTGAATATGACAAAACACCCTGCCACTCTGTTAGAAGTTTAGTTTCTCAGCTGTCTCTGCCTCGTTGGATATTTCAAGACATTTCTTTTCGTTTTAACAATTTAGAAAGCAATTTTCAACTGCTGAAAACATCAAATTTCCTCATGTGGCTGGTTATAAAGTCACCTCGACAACATCTCATTTGGGGACTTTTATTTTGAAGAATTTGTTGGGATGTTAGGATCGGGATGAATTAACTTAAAGCTACGTTTATTGGTGTTTTCAATGACTGTATATTGCTCTTTTAAACAGCCACAGTCTATGTCTTGAATGATGATGAATGTTCAGATAGGACGCACCTTCAAGCAGGCCAAGCTCTCACAATGCAAGTAGAAGTACCTGTTGCACTTAGCTCAAGTCATTCCAGTAGCTTCATAGCTGATGTTCAAGAAGACACACCAAAGACACATACTGCAAGTGAGCACACCCACTTTAATTTGCCGTTATTAGCTGACATCAAACTTGGAGCGGAGAGAACGCATCTTCATGATGACTGAGTCACTGTTTACGTTTACTGTAAACATTAACATTCACAAGGACGAGCTGGTGGTCTTTGGTAAAAGCAAGTGTGTGTGTCTGTTTGGCTTACTCTAAAGCGTCAGAGCAGGAGACTGTTGTTGTCTGCCACAGATAACTCTTTTCATGTATTTTATTTACCCCCAGTATAGCTTGTAGGTTCAGCACAAACACCTGAATTTGGCAGGTGGTGAGTGGCCGATTTCCAACCCAAAGCGGTTGTGTATTGTAAAGACAAACTAAGGGCATATAAGGTTATAGATGCCTGCGTATATGTGGTGGATTACTGTAGGGATGCACCAATCCACTTTTTTCTCCTCCTATATCGATACAGATATCTACAGTTTAGTATTGGCCGATACTGATCCAATTCCAATACAGAAAAGTTGTGCTGAATTACCTTTTGTAACTTGTAGTTTTACCACCGCCCCTCGAGACATTTACTGCACAGGTATTGCAAGTGGCCGTCAAGCTTGTAGGCTGAGGTATTGTGATAAAGATAGCAGACCCCTTGACTTGCTCCATTTTTATAACAATGTGGGCATCCACTCAGCATGTTTACTTGTGGATGTCACTCACGGTACATAGATAGAGTTAGACAGGCCCATTGTCACTAGACCCGATCTAGAATTTTCTTCAGTATCGGGATCAATACCGGTATCAAATATCGGATCGGCAACAGTACACCAAAAGGGGGCCAAGGCATCATTTCCCCTATTTTGTTTATCTAACAGAGCTAATGTTAGCCTGTGTGCTAATAAAATTAGCTGAAGAGAGAAAACCAATATTCCTCTGTATGCTGCTGTAATTTCTGATTAATGGGTCACAAATGCTCTCAATGTACATGATTTAATTCAACAGTAAAAGAGTGAAGAGTTGCTTTAAAAAGAACACACAAGCATATGAGATAATCCAGGACTTTTGTCTCACCATGTTTCATCACAATGTCCTCATTTTTCTTGCTGGACAGTGGTGGCTGGTATCGGGGAGAATTCAGGTTTTGAGACATAACTTCTGCTCCCTTTATTTTAGCACCAAACAACACAACAAGGCTACATTCTTGAGTCTAATGTCGTCCCTCTACCCTGTTGTGGGTATTTGTGTTTGCTTCAAGCCAATACAGTGAGGTCAGCTCTGAAAGGGACTTCTAAAAGTTGGTCTTTCTTTGAGCTGTCAGCAAACAAATTAGCTGTTCAGAATTAACCAGAATATTTCGTTCTATCCTTGTGGAGACTGCTTTTCATGTCTGAGTTAACTGAAGTACTTTTTTTTCCAAAGTCTCCACACATATTACAACAATTCACTCACACAGGGGACTGCTTTATGTGGCAATATGTACGCGATTATGTTCATTTCTTTTTCGGATTTCTCATACTTTCTCATAGCTTTCCCCAGTATATGAAGTTACTTTGAAGTGAACATGTATGTGTGATTATTTTGGCTTTTTTTTTTTCTTTTTTGGGAAAGGGTATTGTTAGGGTCACTCTTGAAATTAAGCAGTATTTACTAGTTTCTGGTTATTTTGGTGTAATATAAATTAAACTTTGAAAAGTCACATTTGGTTTCGAATTGATTCACGCTACAATAACCTTTTACAAATACAAAATCATCAGAATAGGTAAACAGTCTATTAACCACTGTTAATTGTTTTATCAATTTATGCAGCTATTGTTATCCATGTATCCAGTCAGTAGTTACTGCTTGGTACATTAAATCTTGGAAAACTAAGCTGAAACCTTCTGTCATCTCTAAAAAATTCAATTATCAGTCTTATTACTGTATTGATAACCTTCTGAAATTCATTACGATACTTCAAATTGTTATAAATAGTATTGCAGTAGCAAGCCCTTACCTTCACATCCTATCACATTCCCCTCACGATTACTGACCAGCTTTAACAACTGAAATACACAAACGAAAGAATCACGCAGCAATGTCTGGTCTTGCATGCAAATCACAGAAGACAACAAGATACAGAGAATGAAAGAAATCTCTTACCGAGCCGTCGTAACATTTCAACATTTTGGCTGTATTATGTTCCAAGGGAGATCAGTCGTATTATAGCTGCTTGTATTCATGTATTCTCCATGATACTGTTGCTAGGATACAGACTCAACATCCTGAGGCACTTTTAATAATACCAGGAGACTTCAACCATGTCACCCTCTCCTCTCACCTGACTGGATTTACACAGTTTGTTAGCTGTACTTCCAGAGGACATGTTTCATGAGATTCCAGACAAATGAATTTACCTTTGTGGATAAATAAATTGTATTGTAATGCATTTTAAGAGCACTTCTGTTTGGCCGAGACATGGTCCGAGTACTCTTCTCGTCTAGCACATTGTGGAATGCATTCAAGAGTGCACAATATGCCCGAGACTGAGTTTTATGGTTGTCCTTCTCTTCTCCCTCCTCTCTTTAAGTAGGACCAAGGAGCTTTTATAGATGCTAGATTGAGTCCTTGGATTTATTATCAATTACATGCTTATGGGTTCTAGGAGGGTAAATGGTCTATGTTATATGTTGGGGGTTCGGATCGATAAACAATACAGAAAGGAACTCAGTCAGAGGACAACTTTAAATGAAGATTAAGTTAAAAAAGCATCCATGTCTAACAACAACAACAACAACAACAATTATAATAATAATAATTATTGATATTATTATTGTTTTTATTATTATTATTATTATTATTATTATTATTATTATTATAAAGAGAGGCATTATGAGTCACAACTGTAAAAGCCTTGTTAACTGTGAAAAAACATCAAAAAGTGTTACATTTTGTTGGTTATTTCAAAAAAATAAAAAACAGCTTACCCTTTGTTTACAGGGAACACATGATAAAGGAGATCCTGAACAAACCAGTGAGATGCTTTGATTTATTCCTCTCATGACCTGCATAACTCAATGGGTGGTGTGATTTTTTTTATTATTATTATTATTATTATTTGTTTGAGAAACAATTTGTTTTTACGTTTTTATGTTTTAAATTCAAACAAAATGGGAAGATTGATGATCCTACAATTGATAATCAATGAAGTGGACAATACAAAGAACACCATTCATATAACACACTCAAGTACACCACCGTGGACTATAATGAATACAAAGTAGAATAATCAACTGTCTGATCATGTTAACAAAAAAACTGAAAATAAAGTAGTATTTGAGCTGTACTGGATTAAACTAGATTACCCAGGTGTTCATGATATTATGGCTAGATGGTGTATATAACTCATTGCAGCTCCTATATTGAGCCAATATGTTTCCAATCAAATGTTACGTCTGTTTCAGTTTCCTTTTTTTATCACCGAGTACCGTCTTTGGTGCTGTTAACCATGCTAATAAATGGTCTTTGAAGCAAACCTTTTAATCATAATGTGGGTGGAAAGATTATAGAAATATTTCCAATTAGAGGACCAAAGAGAACCATCTCTTTGGTCCACCATTACACACCTTGTTGTTCTGATTTTTTACTGCCTCTCAGCCTCCCACGTTTTGTCCACACACTCAGTCATGTAGCGCCTGCTTTGTGTGGTTGAAGTGCCAACCTGACACAAAGACACCACACAAACACATCAAAAGATCATGAAAGACTCCACAGCACTTATCTTCCACCTCCACCTCCACCTCCCACAACATCAGAATATCAAGAGCAGGCCTGATGAGGATGAATAATGCAGATGCTGATCTTTATTTGTGGGCTTCAAGAAGATGACAGGCTGTATTGGTCTAAGACTGTTTTAACCATAGACTGTATAAACTATATGCAGTCTATGGTTTTAACTCTCCACAAGGCAAGAAATTTTAACCTGTATGTGACCTTAAGGGTGTGTTTCACCAAGTTTATTGTTAATGCCCGTTCACTGTTGATTTTGAAGTTACAAATTCTGCTTTTAGCGTAGCTCTCATAAGAGGAGAGGGGTTATTTTGTGTGAATTTAATATCAGGAGCATGTGTGAATTGTTGCAGACTTAACAACTTCAAATTGGTAAAAATAAAACCCAAAAAAAAGCATTTTTTTTCCTTTGCAGAATCAATAGCAAAATTGTGCGATTTCAAAGACGCCTGTATATGTTATTTCTTTTGTCATGAAGTGCCTGATTTCTTTACTTTTATGGAAATTTAACAACAGGCACAGAGACTTCATACTGGATAATCACAAACAGGTGAAATGAACATGGCACAGGTGAAACCAACAAGGGAGGGAATGCAGGCAAATACAGAAAATACAAAACAAGTAAGCAGAATGAACTTATGTGATAAAACAGGAGGTACACAAGGGGTTTAGAAACCAAAGGAAAACATATACAGCAACAGGAAAAGACAAGGAAAATACAAAACTAAACTAGCACAACTTGTGACGCCTGTGAGCTTTGCATTTAATAATTAGGTCCAGGGTTTGGAAAGGTTAACACATGGCCAAGTAACAAAAACACTAAGACAAAGATGAAATAATGACACTATAATTCTGCCTAACCCTCCTGAGTATGTCATCTTCAGGGATGAAACCATACACTTTCAAAAGACAGTTTTGCCTATCACCTTTTTTTTTAATGAAAAAAATGACAACTCTGTCCCTTCTTTTGGCAGAGATGTGTTCAATGTGCACAGTTTTGAAGTTTCAACTACTGCTTGTTCACTAAATATCTACCCTGTAAGGCCATCTTACAATGTAGTTAGTTTATTTATCAAATTTACATTTTAAATTGTGCAGCCATATTTAGCAAATCTACAAAATGGTAAGGATGAATTCGGGGGAGTGCAAATTTAATGGCACACCAAAAAAAGATGATTTATATGTATGAAGAACACACAGAAATGTGTGGCGTGCACATATTTGGGGTTTCAAACTAAATGTTCCTAACAGACAGTGTGGAGTTCACTGATATCAGCAATTAATCTCTCAGTGGAAGGAAAGGGAAAACCTGCGCGCTAAAATGTTCCTTTTACTCCACTGTAAAAAAGTGCAAAGTTCACTTTTTGTTCTCTATGCTGCTGCAGGTGTTACAGTGACTGTCCACAGCATGGCAGTGTTTGCCTTTAACAAGAAAGTCTCTACCATCACATGCTGTACTCTGAGTCTACTGGGAGAAAAAGCCAAGGCAATATTATCAGCTGTAAATTCTCTTAATGTAGAAACACACACATACTGTGACAAACAAACTGTCGCTGCTGTTCAGTCAGTGCTCTCTAACTAAAACAGGTCTGACAGTCATTGATGGTGCTACTGACTAAAATCATGTTGTCTTCTTGTTCTTGATGAAAGCTGCGTTTAGCCAGAGGTGGTAAAAATAAATAGGCCTGTCTTTCCTACTCCAGTAAAAGCTGATAAGAAAGAGCAGAGGGGATTTGTCTGACTATTTTGTGTTTGCAACACTTTCTCCATGATAAATTACAGCAATTAAAAATAAATTCACTCTGATTTGTTCTCTGATCTGCATAGAGCACCACTAAATTACATGAATACATTACAGTGGGTGATTTCACCACTCAGTGTCGCTGTTGTAATTTTACACTTTGGATTAATTATCATCTTGTTATTATGCTTTGTTGTGTTAAATGCTTTTCAGCTGCTCTGCACAGGGAGTTAACAGCTGTTATTTCCAGCTTTTAGTCTGTTTAGAGGTAGTCAGGCATCAGAGTTATCACTTCACTTATCAGTAGATCTGAAAGGGGGGGTGTCATGCTTTTCCACATTTACAACAAAAACTGCAAAGTTGCAAAGTTTAGTGTCCATATTAGATGTATGCAAAGTTTCAAATCTCGAGATAAACTTTTTTTTGTCATAATCTTAAAAAAATATGTAAACTGCTCAAATCTCGGGCAAACGTGCAAAAATGCAAGACAGTAGTTTAAGTGCGAGACGTACTTAAAGAGACAGCAGCTAAACCATGATAATGACTTTTTATTTCATTATCACAGCATAACAAAGATCTTTTTCTCATGATAAAGAATTATTCCAGCCAACATTGCTTTAAAAACCACTCACAGATGGCAAAATAACTCTTTTACATTTTCCCAATTTCTATGTGTTAATTCAGTATTCTTTATTGAAAAAAAAAAAAACATAATTAGGTCAGGTTTCCTTTTTTCCGCCAAGTGCCCTTTAAAACCGAAAAGTAGATGCGCCCCTGTTTGGCTTACAATGTGGCTGACCAAAGGCAGTGGGGAGGAGAGCTCGGCGTTTTGTGGTAAGTGTCTGTGTGTTACATGTGAACGTGTGTGTAGAACGACGAGTGTGCACTCTCATTCGAACTACAAGACTTGTGGAGATGTGAATAAGTTTGTTACTTGTGACTGCTGTGGGGGACCAGGAGGGAAAGTTTGGCGTATGGTGTGTCGCGTGTAGCATGTAGCGTGTGCGATCGCCTCGCGTGTTTGTGCGCTAGCTAGCGTTGTGTCGTTCGCGAACGATTCATTCAAAGGAACCGAATCTTTTAAGTGACTGTACTGAACCGAATCACTTCCTCGAGGGATTCGTTCGTTTCTCACTTCAGTTGAGCTGAGGTGAAAAACAGCATTGCCAGTTGAGCAACCGGAGAATGAGGGACCACATGCACCGACAACTGAATCACTTTGTGAATAAATCATGCATTGAGCTACACTCTCTGGAATAATTTTTCTTGGACAAAACTACCCTCCCTTTTTTTTCAGTGCTAAATTGCCATCACAACAACTTGCATACAATAGGACACAGCATGTAACAAGCAGTGCATTAAACCCACAGCATCCTATCATTACAGCGGTTTGTGAGAGAACGATGCATGTTCAGTTTGAATTCCTCTAAACATTCAATGACCGAATCACCCACTGAGCCCAGTTTACCGAGCAGACCTGATAGATAGCATACCGTAGGACATTACACTTTAAACATCATGACTTCTAAACAAGTTAATTTTTACAAACCTGTTTGCCAAAACAACACAGCCAAACACTCTTGTCTCCCAGTCCCAGAAGCTTTGAATTGAACTGAATCCTGAAACGTTCAGCTGTGTATCAGTTCAGGAGGTCAGAGATGCAGGCTTCTGCTGACAAGCGCTTTTGAACAAATCTTTCTAGTGAACTGATTCTAGTAATTCAGTACATCCAAAAGAATTGCTTTGTCCATCACTAGCACTAGCTACACTCAGTGACAGGGCCTCTCCCTCATACACATTTTAAGTGTAATGCACATGCCCAAAGTGGAGCATGACTTAAGCATTTTCATAAAAAATCCCAGCTCGCTGTTGACAATGGTGGCTTGGATGTTCCAGAAATATCCCAAGCTTGGAGGGCGTTTTTGAAAGTTACCATTTTAGGTTGGCTAAAACACCATTTCTGTTACCATATATATCATAAATATTTAGTTTTCACAAGAAATAATAAGTCGTTATCACAACATGGCAGTGCATTAAAAAAAAAAGAAAATCCATGTCTGTTCTAGCCTTCCGTACTGAATATCCATCTGAAAGACATCTCTTCCAGCTGTTTCGTCTGTATAACCTAAAACAAAATGGAGGTCCTCATGACTCGTTTTTTTTCCAGCCTCTATATTTAGGATGAATTTTTGCTGAGACTCCTTGGTTGTCTTTGTGGAAAGCTTGTTAACATATCTTTCTTTTCAATAAGCATCAAGCAAGATAACTGGTCTATTTATTAGACTTATCAAAGTGAAATGTAAAAATAATATTGCTGCTCTCCAGAGATTTTAAGAACCTTCAAATATCCTTCAGTTTATTGTTCTTGGGTTACAGTCACAGCTTTATGAATATGTTTTAGGAGGCAGTGATCCTCACAAAAGTAATAGCGACAGCAAGCAGCTGCCTTCACTGTCAATTACTAATAATCACATCCAACCTTGAGCTGATAAATAAATCTCAGCATCAAAGTTAGTGTGTGTGTGTGTGTGTGTGTGAGTGTGTGTGTGTGTGTGAGTGTTTCCACTTTGATTGTAAGACACGAGCCCAATCCAGATTTAGCCTCCATGACGTCTGTCCTAGTTATTACCTAAAAGACGCCCTGATTTTGTCCCAGCTGGGTGTTTGTGGTGTTGAAGTTTGCACAGCAAATATCCTTGGCAGTGCTGGTGTTGTGCACATGTCTGAGTGTGTGGGAAAGATGTCGATCCACAGTCTCTTTGACACTTGGATTTAAGTGTGATGAGCCCACACCTGGTGGGATAATGAGTTTCTGGACTTGTTGGTAAGACGATGGCGAAAATCTCTCCTCGCTTTCACTGAGTTCATGTAAAGAACAGTGAAAATGTCTCAGGAGAATGACTCAACTGTCTGTACACATAAGAGTCTTTCTGTGTATATGTGGTTTATTTGAGCGAGTGTGTGTTTGTGTTTCCAAAGTACATGTGTACCTCTGTGAGTAAGAACAGTTTGTTCAGTCTGTGCTCTGCTGTATTAGCTATCCGTGTGTGCATGCATGCCTGTATGTGTGTTTACGTGACAGATCTAATTTACATGCTGAAGTGAACACTTTTCTGCACTTACCGGTAATGTGTGAGGGTGTAGGTGTTTAAATGTGTGTCATAAGTACCCGGAATCAAAGTTAGATAGCCGTATAACAGACAGTTGTGTTTTTTTTTAGTCCCGCTCTGAGACCATATCAGCATAGTAATCATTGCACACCAGACAGAGCCTTTAACAATTTAATGTTGTGTGCAGAATAGAGACGGGAATCGGCGCGTGAGGGGAGGAGCAGATGGAGAAGTGCAGTGCTACCCAGCTGAGCTGAAGCTTACACTTCTACAACCAGAGGAAAGGATGCCTGTGAAAAGGAGTTACGGAGAGGGACAGATAAACACTATAAAAGACAAAGACTATACGATCAGTATACGTCAGTTTAAGTCAGGGGTTTACAAGAGGAATTATATGGCACACATCACATTATTACATATTGTAAATAAATATCTACAACTCTGTCCATATCAGGGGAAGACAGCTGTGAGCCACTGTCCACAGAATCCTACGAAACATTGATTTTAGACACGTTGGGTGCCTATGGTCTGGCACTCTAAGCACTCCACGTCAGCCCAGACCCTCTACTTCATTTCTTCCCCTGTTCTATGCTCCCTACATTTCTTATATCTTCGGTTGACTTGTCTGCCCAAAATATAACCTTAAACTTTTTAGACATTTGTCATGACAAAAATAATAATTGTGTCTGTTTAAATCTGTGCTCAATTTTTTGTCGATTCAGTCAGGAGCATCAAAAGAATTCATTACTTCAGAAGGGCAGGAGACTAGAGAAAATACTATCGAAACATAGTCCATTTACAAATGTATATATGATATTGATAAGATCAGGTGCAGCAAAGAAGGAGGAGCTGAAATGGAGGTGGGTTGCAAAGCAGTTGATGATAAGGCAGACTAGAGCAGTTTGAATAAAGCACCCACGCTGACATTTTCACCTGGAAGTGAGGAAGGTAATCTACTCAGCTGTCAGCTGATGCGGACTGGAGTTAGGATCAACTGATGTATAGTGGATTGATATTGACTTTGGTGTCCTGCCTGAACAAACTACATGCTCAATTTCCCAATACTTGTTGTGTATACAACTTGAGCTGTGAAGATGTTGAATATTAAGAATTGTTCACTGCCTTTATCAGACGATTTAGTCCAGATAAGTTTCCGCTCGCTTTGAGACTGGCATTTTTAAGACAGAGTGTTTCTGCTACTTCCAAAGGCATTTCTATCTAGAGAACTTGAGTGTATTTTCAGAGACTGTCCGGATCCAATCCATCAAGAATGAAAGCAGTCTAAGATGATTTATGTTTAAATTTGTTGTGAAATAGTTGTTGATTTGTTTATCATATTGTTTGCTGGCTAGGCAGATGCTGCCATCTTTGTTATGGCTGATTGACCAATAAGAGGCTATTTCTACAATCAGCTTAAATGTTCAGTACAGCACAGAAGTACAACAGACAGAACTGTTTTAAGTGTTCGGCTTATTCTAGTATAATTAAATCTATGCTCTTTCTGTATCACTGCTCTCAGAATGCACCACTGACTTTGCACAAAGGAGTCAGATGATACAGTCATTTCTTTCAGGGAGCAGGGTTTTTCATCTGTGATATCTATAGTGCTCACTTTCCCCTCATCGCCAAGACAAAGAAAAACCCATTTTGGAGGCTAAAAGTATTAATTCACTGTTTTACAGTTAATTTCATGTGAAAATGTATTTGGAATTTTCTCTCTGGTGAAATTATACATGCCTAGTATTTACACAAAGAAACCAGGCGTCAGAAAAAAAATTGGAAAAGTGCCTTTTACCCCAGGTGGTTAAAAGGGTTTTGGCGCAGGACTTCTTGTCAGGAAATGTTGTTGACTCGTGATCTGCTCGTGTAAACAGCTAACAGTTGGTGCAAATGGCTTGTTGTTGACTTTGCATTAGTAATGAAAGGGAAATGTCTCTGTTCATGAACAGAAAATGCTAAAAATTGATGTTGTACACTTGTATATTGTACAGAGCTGTGTTTAACTTTTCAGCCCCATCACCATCTCAGCCTTTAGGGTTTCTGGTAATGTCTCATTGTTCAGGTCAGAGCCAACATTTGCTGCTGCAAGAAACAGTATAAAGTATGAAAAATGAGCTGTATGACTAAAATGTTTTTGGTGTTAGCTTTGCTAACATATAGAGGTACTCTTTAATAAGAGTACAGCAGGATGAAGCTCAATAGTTGCAGACAAACCTTCACTGGATTTGAATTGTCTGATCATTGTGTGTGGGCTGTTGATATTTACCTGCAGTACACCTGCACATCAATCCAAGCCTAGTACCATACAACAAAACTCAGTCTGATTGACATGGTAACAGAACACTTAGGCCTTAAAGCGCTCAGGTCAGATTATGTTTTGAGAGCTTTCTAACCTAAACAATGAAAATGCTGAAATGCTCCACAGAGAACTGACGATTGGTTCTCTGGGCTATTCACCTCAAATTATTAATTTAACATAGCACATTGTTTAACATAGAAAATCTTATGAGTTATGTGCATAAGAGAACAAACAAATTCAGCTCAAAAGTTCTACACAACACTGCTGAAACAGCACAGACCTGACATACATCTTTTACAAACAGCAGCTATGCTATCTTGACTTCACGGATAAAGGGTATGACAAGACAAATCCTGTCCTCTCCTTGGAGAGTAGCGCAGAAGCCTGTAAGGAAGCCCAAAGTGTCTTGTCTTTTTATCTCAGGCTGTCCAAAAGTTTGGTATTTACCCAGAACTTCCAGAAAATGTATAACCTCAGAGCTTTGATGTTTATCAGGACAGATATAGAGCACTAACTCACTGTGCCACGAGGTATAGCGTGACTGAAGCCTGCAAGAAGATACCCGTTGTCAGAGATATTCTCTGATTGTCTGAATCGCATCACAAAGATGATGAGGATAACGGGAAAAAACATTTTATGCTTAATTTTTCCTGAAGAAATTTAAATTATTGGTAACACTTTACAATAACCATAATTTATAAATGGATAGATAGTTTATTAATGTTTAATCATCATTTAAAAACAGCATATAGACCAATTATAAATGGCAAATAGTTTTTAATGTAAGATAATAGTTACTTTGCCATTAAAAAGCAATGAAATTTTGATCAATAATTTTCATTAATTATTTATAGACTATCTATTAAAGGTTTGTATAGGGTTAAAATATTGGTTGTAAAGCATCTAGATTAAAATTTGTGTCAGTAGCACTTTGTAAATGTTAATATTTGGTTTTTAAACCATCTATAAACATTACTTAGATGTTATTGTAAATAGGGTCAGGGTTAGGTTTTTAAAATTGTAAAATTTACAATTTATTAATGGTCTATATGCTATTTATAAATGATGATTACACATTAATAAACTATCTGCTTACCATTTATAAATGTTCTATTTACCATTTATAAATCATGATTATTGTAAAGTTTTACCAAATTATTTATTTTTAGTTTTTGAAAAGCATGTTATTCAAATTTCAGATTTTAAACGTGTTGCTAAATCCCCAAAAGTATCATTTAAATGAAGTGTTGCTAGAAAGTATTTCATAAAACATACAAAGCTGCTTGCATCTCCATCTGAGCTGTGTTTCGTTTTTAGTCTAACATTCACTTCTGACATTCATTTTATGTATACAGATTTTTTTTTTTGCATCCTTTGAAGCCATCATTATATGACAAGCATCACTGCAGTAAATCAATATTTCATTTTAAAGGCTGCTCATCATGTCTGTATTCCTTGAACATAATTTCCATCCTCCTTCTTTTTCAGACTTCATTATGACAAATTTGACAAACTAAATGCCATGACCTACATATTTCAATACCTGGCTTCCATGTAATTGGTTCTCTTAACTCATCAATCATCATAGGAGTCTTAGATTGACAAACAGCCTGAGATTTCAGTCCTCAGCCCCCCAAAAAGCAGGCCAAAGGGATACAGGGGAATTCTGCATAGCCTCTGGCTAGCTCTCTGCAGATCTGCGATGTATGGCCTGCATGATTCACTGAGATGGGATGTCTGTGAAATAGTACATTAAGGTGTGTCAAGGGAAATGGGTTTTTAGATCAATAGCTTGAAGTAAAAGAGGGTTACAACAGCAGTGTATGCAGTGCAACCGATAAGTCAGAGACTGATTGGAACATCCTCTCATGTTTTTCTGTGTCAGTGTTTTCTTATTTAGGACAGGGCTGCCGAAAATACAACAAATTACAGTGGGAGCACGCATGTTGTCTCTAGCTATTTAAATTTCATTACAACCTCATTTCATCAGCCAGTAGTTATTGTAGTAATCTTCATCAGTGAGAAAAAATGAGAAAATACTGAACAACATAGCAATGGAGGACTGAGTATCTATATCTGTATCTAAATCTGCACCAAAGACAATACACTGTACTTATGCATTGTGGAAATACAACAATGTTTTTAAATTTAATTTTTTTTAAATGAGTTTGAAATACAGGAGTTTTTTGGGGGGGTATTTTCTTTTTATTTATTATCCAGCTTAAGCGAGACAGGAAAAGATTGTCTGAAGTAGGCCAGGATGAGACACTCTTGTTTGCAGAGAGCCGTGACCCACCAAGGTGACCTGGTATCAAAAATGAAGTACAAATTGATTTTAGGAGATGGATTTTGGAAGGACATCCATGTCAAGCAGTGTGTAATGTGCAACCTTAAACCCTGCTGGAAAGAGTAGAGTCTATCATGGGGGCCAGCTTTCTGTCTGTTTAGATTGGTAAGTGCTAAGTGCAGAGTCACGTGGTCCCAAAATCTTCCAACTGTGGCATGTCGCTCCGCTGAGACGCAACACGATTGAATTGAATCTCTTTCTATCTGCCAAGAAAAATAAATCACCTAAACAGTCCCCAATACAATTTTAAACTTGTATTTTATTTTATACTTGATTTACTTGATATTTAAAGTAGCCCGCTATGTGAAAAACCTCACCGGATACCTCTGTGCTCAAGAGTTCTGCTATTTACCTTCACAGTCATTCCTGCGTGTACACTTTGTGTTTGTACTGCTGCCCACTTCCACTTAATTCTGCTTTAACTGGTTTCCTCAGTTAATAGCTGGAGGCGAAGCGTTGGTGTGAGGGAAAACAATCATTCTCCTGGACTGCAATGATTCAAATGCATGGAATTAGAGTTTTTGAAAATACAGTTTAAGTGTCATATCCTGCATTGAGTCATTACTGCTAATCGACAAAGTACAAAGAGTGAACAACAGAAAATAGGATCAGATTATTTTCATGGTAGGATCAGAAACCCAGGGATTTACACATGAAGTAGAAGTTTCCTATTTATCCAACATTCACGATTACCCCCCCAAAAATCCTACACTGTGTGGAAAAGGTGAATATAATTAAAGTTACCAACTTAAACTGATGAGAGACACACGTTTGGATTTTGGCTCAAGCTCCTCCTCCCACTGAGTTGCTTGCAGCCATGATATTCTTCAGCTCAACTCTGTGCTTTGGTTGGGTAAATAAAACTTAAGATTTATTGTTTTAAGCTTATTTATTGCAAAAAAAAAAAAAAAAAAAAAAGCGGCATGCAGCAGCTCTTAGGCATTGGATCCAGTGGTTTGTTCACCCTCCTCAGTGAAAACCAGATTTGACAGAGGTGTTGAGACAAGAGTGTATGCTGCATCCAGACTAGCAGTCTATGATTTATTGTTTTTTTTTTTCTTTTCTTCTTTTTTTTTTGTTGGGCCATGCAGATGTTTCCTCATTTTCCCCCTTTGCCCTTAATTTAGTGTTCAGAAAACGAGTCCCTCTATGTGACTGTGCCATCTGTGTCATCTAGGATACAGTCAGTGATTGATGACATCAAGGACTTGACAGTCCTGAGCCCTCTGCTATTAAGGCCTGCCATACCCAGATTTAGTACCCTGCTGAAATAACTGGCCATCACAGCTGCCAATGAATGTAGGCCAGAAGAATACATAAAGAGAGGGTACATACGTCTCCGTGAGGAAATCGATAGCCAGCCTCTCTTGGGTTAGTAATTTGCCAAAACCTTCAGAACCAAGAATTTGGTAAAGCAAGGACCCCATATACAGAGATTATAGTCTTTGAGGTACTGATTTGACTCACAACCCCAACTTTTGGGTGCATGTCTGCCTCACTCTCTTCATCCCACATTAGCTGTGTCCATATATTTGTCCAGTCTATTGGACCATCAGTATAAATGCACATAAATAGGCCATTATTTGTTGCTTACTTTGTTAAGAGGAAATCATACAAATACATCAACAATGTAAAAAAGAGTCTATAATAAATACAGCAAAAGACCATCAAATAGCAACAGTAAAGGACCGTGAAAACCTGACATTTCTTTTATTGCATTAAATATACTGAATAAGAGTCAAGTGAGTGACCGGAAAGGAAAAAAAAAAGATTTTTACGGTAAAAAAAGTAAAAATTATACATTTGCTGTGAAAACAAATAAATATGCATACATTTCAAAATAAAATACTGTAATATTAAAAATATCTGAAAACCTTAAATTTTACAGGATTATTTGGGCAAAACTAGAGTTTATGGGGTTGTGCACATTGACATTTTCAGTGTAAATCATAGACTGTATATACTGTGGACAACCTGGTTCCGCCTTCCGCCTGTATACGGATTTGAAGCCAAAAAGCTCACGGTAATTCCGGGTTTTTCTCCACTTCCTTGAAACCAGAGCTGCGCAGTAGCGATGCGCGTATTTGGCCGCGCAGTCGCCGAGAGTCCCTGTGATGACGCTCGGCTCAAACAGCGTATCCCCCCGGGTGAGCTACGCAATCCCTGAACACCCATAGGCTGTACCAGGTGTCAATCATAGAAAACATGAACCCCCTAATAACTTTTAAAAACGGAGCTGTACAGAAAAAAAAGGACTTGGGCATAAACCAGTCTTACAATAACTACATGTCAACATCACAAGCAGGGGGGAGAAAAATTTATGTTCTGTGTAATAAATTTCTAAAGTTTGACCACAGTCCCATAAACTTTGCTGGCGGAGGCGGGATTTATGACCCCACTGCAGCCCACCATCAGAGGGTGCTGTTCTCAGAGTGGCTTCACCCAGCGAGGAGGCAGACTCTGTCCATTCTTTATACAGTCTATGGTGTAAATCTGTTGATTGCTAAGCAAACACAAACCTTCATTTTTACAGAGGTGAACATCTTAAAAATATGGTCCACTGTAAAAAAAAAAAAAATCAATAGCAAGTACTTTTAAAAAAGTGACAAATATCAGCAATTGAAAAAAATAGAAACTAGAAATTGTATCTTATCATAAAAACATTTAATTTCACAAAATTTACAAAGCAAAAACAACTGTCAGGATAACATATTTAAACTCAAGGTAAAAACCAAAGAGAAGGTTTCACTTGATGTGAATTGTTTTGAGCTGATGATTTATCTGATTTACAGATGATAAAAAAAACCTTATAAGCACAAGAATCAGAGATGGCAGTTGTCACTGACTATAAAATACAGCTCTCAAAAATGCATCAGCAAATGTAAATGAATTAAAATAAGCACAAAAACACTATTGTGCGACTCATCAAGCCATTTTCCCTTTCTAAAAAAAAACCTTAACAAAAAAAGCACAGATATCAAAAAACCAACAATAAAGAAGAAGAAAGGAAGGAGGAAAATACAATCATTTTAGACAGAATTTTTATGAACATTTATTTACCCCTCAGTGGATGACTTTTACTGTACCTGAAGCCTCACAAAAGCCAACATAAATCTTATTGAGAGGAGTTTGCAGACTTCTGGTCCTTACCAAGAAAAAATAATTTTACCAAAGAAGAAAATTTAGAGTTTAGAGCATCCAAGGAAAGTCAAATTCAGTAACTACGTGAAATTAAAAAGGATCCGAATGAAATAAAACATAATATTAGATAAACCAAACGTGACCATGCTTCTATCACTATCACATGACTAGGTCTCCGGGTCTTACCTCATCCACTTCTGAGTGCAAACGGCCGTGATCAGCAACTGTTTGCTCCATCAGAGTTAATGAGCAGGATCTGTTGTGCTTGAGCTCCTCAAAATGAGCCTACCTCCAGGAACTGATCAACACATTTGGGTGGGATCATATATGCTAAGTCCCTCCACATCTTATTTGTTCAATAAATGGCTCAGAGGCCAGAGAGGACCTACACCATTCATTTGTCACCCAGCAAATGACTGACCCTTAAAGTGCTGAGAGAGCTGGAAGGCAAAGTGAATGCCCGACTGCAATTGCGTTCTGATAATGGATAGTTGGAAGGAGATATCCATAAAGAGTGTCAGGGATGACGGGAGAGGAGGGCAGGGAGGGAGTCTGGCCAATCCTGGAGGTTGTACAGTACAGATGACACCAGCTTTCTCCTCAATCCCCTCTACAAGTGCTGGATCAGTATTCCTGGAAAGCTTTGCTTCTGCTTCCAGTTGGTGTAAACGCCTTTGTACGTAACTGTTGTTTTCTGTAATTGGAGTGTGCCCGGTGATGGAGGATTTACTGGTGTGCCAATAACAGGTGACTGAAGATAGATCAGGGCTGGCAGAGCGGCAGCAAATTGTTGTTGTGCTTCAGTGACGGGGCAGTTTGTTATCCGCTGACCACTTGCCAAAGCTGGCTTGCTGCCAGCGCAAGGACTCTAGCAAAGGTAATGTCAGCCGACAGTGATGAAGAGCAGGAAAGGGGAATTGAATGGGTCTAAGGCACAAAGTAGATGGTGAGGGACAAGGGACGATAAAAACTCTTTGAGCTGAGAAAGTGCCGAAAGATTTTTATCAGATGTGGTCAGGATTTTGAATGCTCTTGGAATTCCACCAGAAACCACAATAAATAACTGAATTAGCGATTTAATTAAGCGGACATCAACTTTCAAAGCTCTTCGAAAAGTGTTATCTTTCCTAAAAATGTACAACTGAGACTGGATTTTAATCTAGCCAAAATGTTTGAGAGCATCTCCAAAATGTGTTTTAAAGGCAAACTTTATCAGTGCAGCATTTACTTCAACAACACATCTAATACATCTAATTTATTGCATCCAAGCAAGACACTGGAAATTATTGTTTTGTATTTAAAAAAAAGTGTTGAAATGAAAATAATGGGTTTTCAGACATGCAGTGAAAATCTTGTTTGGTCCACTGGTTTTTGAAAGTTAATAGATTGACTTTTGAAATTCTTCCAAAAGGAAAAAGTATTATTAACAAGTTTGTCCTTAAATCTGACAGTAAAGACAGACTTTCTTATGATGATTTAATCTGGAAGAGAAAACCTGGAGGAGAGCCATTAGTGAATAACAGATCGCCTGAAAGGACACAGGGACAGCAGCTGCTGTGGTTTTACTAGGACACTGGGACACTCTTTAATTCATAGTCAGCTACTGTAATAAATATTAACTCTCATTTAAACTCCAGAGATTATTGCAGGGCAACCCTTATTTTCATATTTTGAAATGGAGTTTAATTAAACACAGATATAAAGGTTTAAAAATATATTCAAAAAGTGCACTGTCATCAATTTGCTGTCATAACTTGTTCAATGAGTCATATGTAGAAAAACCATGAGGGACATGCCTGTGTAACTGACGTCACTCCATGTGACATCTAAAATCTGTATTCACTAAGCTGAATGAATATAGCATTGTCATTGTGGATCTCTCTTTGCCCTTTAATTTTAGCATTCAATGCTTTTTAAGTCAGCCGTAAATGTTGAATTCCAGGCTTGGTCTCATCCTGATGTTTGCAAAAGAAAGTATCTCTACATGCCATTAGCTGGGCCATGTGAGCAAAACAACAACTCGAAAAACAAGCTTAACTTCTCCTTCTGTCATTTGAATAACAATGACCTCTAACATGACACTAAAAGAAAAGATCTGGACTAAATCTAAGATAAGATAAGAAAAAATAAGATAAAGTATGATATGATATGATGAGATAAGATATGATATGATATGATATAGAGATAAGATATTATATGATCTGATGAGATATGATCTGATGAGATAAGGTAAGATATGATATAATGAGATATGAGATATGAAATGATGAGATATGATAAGATATTATATAAGATAAAATAATATATGATAAGAAATGATATATGGTTGAGGAGATGAGATATAATGAGATATGATAAGACACGATATGATGTGATGAGATATGATAAGACGAGAAGATTAGATAAGATATAAGATAAGACAAAATAATATATGATAAGAAATGATATATAATATGATATGATGAGATGAGATATGATATAATGAGATATAAGATAAGATATGATGAAATATATGATATGATGAAATATGATAAGATAAAATAATATATGATAAGAAATGATATATAATATGATATGATATGAAAAACTTCAACTATCCCCGAGGGGAAATCCAGTATCTTGGTTATTATGAACTGCTGCATGTACACAGATCCAGCCCTAGCTATTTTTATGACTCCCAGAGTGAGTTGAGGAGTTGAAAAGTCGAAGAAAGGGGTTGGGAGATTGATGTGCGTCATCAGCAGGTCAGAAATCTATATACAGCACCAGGAACACATTGAAAAAACCCCATGACACCCAGATTTTACACCTAGTCTAGCATGTGAAAATCTGAATCGTGCAGCAGTCCAGCTGATTAAAATGGAACACCTCTATTCACATGTTCAGTCAGCAGCCAGATTTTACTCAAATGTATAATTAATGCTAGAGGAAGAGTGATAATGCAAGGCTGCCTGTGATGACTTACTGCAAGAACTAATCTTTTTGTTTGTCTGTTTTCATCAGCGCTAGTCACCTATCCCCATCCAGACAGATGTACACAAATAACATTTTTATTATACTTTACCCTGACATTTTTATCATACTATAATATATTTTTCTCACACTATGGTATATTTTTTTCATTCTAAAAAAATGAAATTTTTATCATCATATACTATGAAATTTTTATCTTACTATATTATATTTTTCCATTCTAATAATGTGATATTTTTGTATTTTTGGGAAGAGAGAGAGCAGCACAACTAACAAATGAAAACAGAAAGAACAATAAGCACAGCAAATTATCAAATTATAAAAAAACTAAAGTAAAATTCACAGCTTGTTTGGAATATGTTTTGGAAGATGCCTCTATCAATTAAAAAGCTAAGCTGAAAAAAAGCCTATTGATTAGATGAGTGCTGTTGGGCTACAGCAAAATGATATCTTAAATCTGCTTAACATCAAAAGAATTTTAGCACTGTCATTACAAGAAGTTTCCTTTTCACTCCAATGACAACTTTGTGTCACCAAAAAGACTAAGAGAGCTGCCCTATTGAATGTATCCAAATAAAAGGTCTGTTGTGGTTTAAAGCAAAGTAGAGTATTGGATTTTAAGTTCACTTGTGGTATTTATTCAGACTCTAGGCCCATTTTAAAAGATGCATAGTCTGAAGCACATTGCTCAAAGTGAATTAAGGCACATAGAGGTTTTTTGTGATGTTATTTTTGTGTGTGTGTGTGTGTGTGTGTGTGTGTGTGTGTGTGTGTGTGTGTGTGTGTGTGTGTGTGTGTGTGTGTGTGTGTGTGTGAAAACCAACTATCTGTTTCCCAAAGAGCAAACAACTTCAGTCAAAAACTTCAAAAGACTTCTGTGAGGGTCGTTTTCAAATGACTCTTAGAAATATGAGAAATTCAGGAGGTAGCTCAAGGACAACTGTCAGAGCATAAATTTCAGCTCTTAATAGAAAAGTCATTCTTGGCATATACCCAGCGTCATTGGCTGATGTATTAACGGGCATTAGGACAGGAGGATCCGATGCACATTCCCTCTTAAATCAGTGAGGGCAACAAGTTTCTGTAGCTAAATCATGACAAACATCTTTATCTCTAAACCAAATGTTTTAGCATTACATCATATCCACTAATGCACCTTCAGAGTGAGCTGAAAGGAAACTCGCTTTTGATGCAGGTGGATTGGCTCTTTTTCTATTGATCATGAGGGAATAATTGGGGTTTGCTCAAAGCTCATTTAACCAGCCACATATGGCTCACTAGATGACATTGCAGCACTTCTAATTCAACCTCCATAACTTCCACAATGTCTGTATCTCTGTATAAGAAAATCACTGAACTCTGCAGTGCACTAATTACCAAAAATACAGTTAAAACGTGCTGCAGATTTTCAATCAATAAGCACCTGCTACCTACCTTGGGATCAAGCCCTGCAGATGAATTGCTCCTACTAAAAGCAAATTCCTGCTCTTATAAGAAAAACACCTAAGGTTGTGTGCATCATGAAATGAGAGTTTTCAATTATTTTCCAATGACTTCTTGTTTTAAGTTATTTTCCACTTAAATTAGATACAACAGTTGTTACCCTATTACATCTCAGACAAAGAAACTGCTAAAGAGGCCAGGCTGTTGTAAAATAGAGCACTTGCTGTTACCATGGTAACCATGCAATATTTCCAAAGTTATTCAGGTCTGAAATCTCGAGGTTTACAGCTTCAGGCTTGTGTCAATGTAATAGGCACCTGCTGCACAATTGTCTCTAAATAAGTGTCAATAAAGCAATAACTAAAAAGGCAAATCCCTCGCTTTCTTGGCAGGCCCCAGTGTGAAGTATATGAGGAAGGTGTGGCCTGCTGACACATGTACAATAAATGAAGGGATAGCACACTGAAAGTATGGTATAACCTGGGAATGAAAAATCAGCAACACTTTCAAATTGTGAAATAAACAGATATTTCATGGAAAATTTGCCATGTGAATTATTACACACACACACAGATACTCTCTCTCTCTCTCTCTCTCTCGCTCTCTCTCTCTCTCTCTCTCTCTCACACACACACACCTTCACGCACACACACTATGCTATTTTTTATATTAGCACTTTACTGAGGATCTCCCTAAAACTTTGAGGAAAGCCTTTAGACAGTGTCTGAAGGCCATTACAGTGAAGAAAAAGTGAGGACCAGCCTAAATGTCCTCACTTCTGTATTTGGACCTCGCTCAGAAGGTTACAAACTTGATGATGGTCCTCACAAGTATAGCTGGACAAATATATACACACACACACTCTAATTATCTCAATATATTTGTTTGTGCGCCAAATTTGAGGTTCTACGTGTGGCACTTTGCATATTTTCTCTGGCAAATCTGCCACACTGGACCACTATCTAATCCCACATAATTATCAAAGGAATCATGAGTCCCTATCATGCATATCCATAGCTATAAAAACTGGTTTTATTCAAACCAGAGTGTAGATTGCTTCTTGAAATATATACAGAATTCAAATATTCTTTCAGTGTGCTGGCAGAGGGGAGAAAATATAAGTCAACATAAATGAGCATGCATCTCCTGAGAAAAGCCATAGGAGACTCAGCACCTGCTATGGGAGGCCTTTCTAAATGCCTTGATAAACAACAGTCAGCTGGGGAGATTTAAGGTGAAGATATATTTCCCAGAGAAGCCAAATCAAATATAAATGTAACTTTAGTCCAAATAGCAGCAATAAGTATTGAAAAGTTATGGTAGCCATCAGGGCTGTTGGGATATACTGGTATTGACAGTAACCTTTGTCAATATCAAAATAGTAGCATCAGAGAAAAGAAAAAATAAACACTAATGATATGGTGCTAAAATTAAACATAAAGTAATACTGTTTGACTAAAGGGTTTATAATCAGGGCCAAACACCAAGGGTGGGAGAGCCGTATTAAAACCCCAGGGATTACTACAATTATTATTAAACTTTATGCCAAAACAACTTCTCTTTTGGAGGCCCAGAAATGTGTGAAAACTTACAATTTTTGGCACAAACATCAGAAGTGCTTGAACTTTAACTATTTTAATGCTCGCACAAAAAATGCCAGAAGTTTTCAAATAGCCCTTCCCATAGAGGTTCCTTGAAATGTTTTGTCATTTATGTATCGAGCAAAAACCCACAAAAAATCATTCCTACCCAAACCCAACAGGAGGTCAGCAAATTTGAATTGAGAGTCAAAATCGGTCTTATTTTTGGTTAATTTTAGGTTGTCTATTTGAAATCACACGTCATGGGTTTGATCCTATCATCTGCAGATTTGCACAGTGTGTTATTGACAGAATACTAAGCCAAATGCACCACACATAATAAGAGTCCCCCGGGGGGCACAAGGAAATATCATGCTAAACTCTGCAAGTTGTTACTCCAAGGCCATGAAATATAGCTGCGCAGAATAACCTTGAGAAGTTGGTCATCATGTGTGCCAAAAACTGAGTCTTCCAGTCCCATTGCTTGCTTTTACTGTTAAATAAAAAAAAAACTTTAAGAGTGTCAGAGTGGTCAGTGGGGCCCAATCCATTACTAGAAAGTGTTGGCTGGATAGGAGGAAGAGATAGTTGCTTAGGGAAAGGGGCTGGACAGAGAATGGGCAGAAGTAGGGGTGGGGGAGGGCAGCACTTAAATAGCTGCTTATTAGGCTCACCTCCCAGCAGCTGACTTACAGAGATTGGATTGGAAAGCATGTCCTTGAGAGGTCGGAATCACAATAAGCCCGAATTGAAAGTACCTCTAATGTGCAGATCAAAGACAGCCGGGCAGTGCTGACATGGACCTATCAGCCATAGGTGGAGTCCTCCTCTTCCTCACAAGATAAATGGAAATGGCAGGGCTAGGTCTTGTATCTAACATGTTGGAAGGTCCCACTCATGGAAAGTCTGCGTTTTGGATGAAGGGTAGAAATAATTTCTTGGACAGATCCTTTGTTGAGATTTAAAACGGTATTAATAAAGAAAATTTGAACTCAGACATAAGTTGCATGGAGAAAAAGAGACAATGCTACTTTTACGTAGCATAACATATCTACATATTTCATCATGTTTTATTGAAGATTGCAGATTACACACATTGCTGCATCTCTTCTATTCACAATACTGTTGTCATGTTTCATTTTTTTTTAAGCATCACAATCAATCAGTCATAATATGATGAGACCATTTACTGTAGAAAGTCCACTTAAGCAGACTCATGACCAAAACCCTGTCAGACTGAAATAATCATAAATAAAAAGCTTGCATCAGACTAATGTTATTGCAACCTGCTCTCCTGCCTGTGACAGTATATCTGTGGTGTAATGTGTTAATGCACCTTCGCTAATTTATGCTGGTTATTTTGGTCTTGCGTTTAAATGGAGGCACACACACATTTTATGTGTCATTCTCACACCTGAGTACCCCCTTAAATAATTTTCTATGGCTTCTCTGGGTTCCCTCTGGGAGAGTGGTAGCAAACCTTCAGCATGACAAGTTTATAGGATCAGCATTATCGTACACTAAATTTCAGTATTACTACAAGATCACAGCCAGCATTAAATTAGAATGACAGGTTGCCCTGCCTAGGTTATTAGGATGGTGGTGGACCACAGGGTATACACTACAGTGTATAATGTGAAACACATTGAGATGGAGCTACACTTATGTACATCTCAAAAAAAAAAAAAAAAATTTGAGAGAGGTAATTTTTAGTAACTTTATCCAAAAAGATAATATTTTATTTATTCTTATATTTGTGACATATGTGAAACCTTTTTCTTTATTTTTATTTTATAGTGGCAGAAGACTGTCTTACATGATTCTGGTTCTGCTTAAGGTTTCTGCCTGTAAAAAGGAAGTTTTTCCTTGCCAATGTAAATGCTGTAAGTGCTACACTCATGATTGAAGATGGGATGGTAGTGGGTCTGATCTTAAATGACTTGGCCCAATCTAATCACAACTTTACATTGGGTCTTTGTAAATAGAGTATGGTCTTTTTGTTGTTGAGTGTCTTGGGATAATACTGGTTGTGAATAGGTGCTATAAAGATTGTTTGATTTTTAAAGCTTGTGAAAATCAGAAATTCAGTATCTCATATATTGTTTTCTAAGATCAGTCAAAAAAGGGACAATTTTCCAGTATAGATGGTCCAAATGTGAAAGAGGGCTTACAAAGGTAAAAAAAAATGGCTAGGGGGTAGGGATCCATAGGTGAGGCCTGTGGGGGCCCATAATTTTCTTCAACGTCCCTGCAGAACCATGGTTAGTACTTTTGTATGGGTTTCTTGATTCTCTCCAGTGTGGCATTAATGAAGTCAGCCTCTGGCACTGCTGAAGTTGCTTAGTGATCTTCAGCTCATCTGTGTCCTTGAGATTGATCTCCCTCATCTTTTTCTTCACAAATACCCTTCTTACCTCTCTATGAAATTTATGTCAGGAAAAGCTGCTAGCCAAACAAGTCCAGTAATATCGTCAAACCATTTGGTAGGAGTTTTGGCACTGTAGGCAGGTACTGAGTCTGACTGGAGAAGGACATTGCTGCTGTTAACTCTACTCGTATAAGACTGTGTTGGTTTTGGTCTTATTAAAACACAATGGACCAACACCATAGAAGATAACATGGCTCCCAAAATCATCACAGACGGCAGAAACTCTAATTTGGATTTATAACACCTTGGATTATGTCTCTCAACTCCTCCTACTCATTCTAGAGCCTTGATTTCCAAATAACATAACACATTAGCTTTCATCTGAAAGGGTGACTTTAAAACACTGACCACCGGGCTGGTTTTATTTTTCTTTGTCTAACTGTACTCTGCCTGAAAAGCCCCTCGCCACATGAATCAATATCATTTCCTAAAAATTAAAGGTTAAAGATAGAGGTGATGTGAATAGGCTCTTTGTTCACTGCATAAGTGTTAACTGTGCACAGGTTGATTCATCATGTTGTGTTGTAAATGCAGAAAAAAGAGCTCACTCCACTTATCCAACTTCATAAAACAGTTTGAAGTTTTCTTTGCATTAAATAAAGGTTAATGTACTGTTTATAAAGTTATAAGCTTAGGGTTAGGAGTCGATTCCCAGGGGGTTTCTTCAATCTATCCCATGCTCACAGCCCATACATTCACATATATTTCATAGCTATCCTGTCTCATGTGAACATTGAATTTTACAGCCCTATGTATGTCCCAGAGCAGCATGATATATCGCTGCTGTAAACTGGTTCTATCAGGGGAAAAAGTCGTATATGGCCATGGAGCAAAGGCATGTCATGGCTGACTCCCACATGCTACACTCACCCATTTCCATGCATATTATTACTTTGTTGGGGCTGACCCTGGTTTTTATAGCTTGAATAGGAATTTAGATGAAGCTGGTCTGAATACTGATGTGCCAATGGACTCATACTATGTGGACACTAAGATTTTACTCACTGTGTATTCAAACATAAAGCTAGCATGATTGTATACTTAATAAATGGGTGACATGAGGGAGATGTGAGTCCTGCCACTTCATAACAAACTTGTATTCAGACTCCTGAGGTATTATTTTAAGGAAAACGCAGCACTGGCTCTTACAAAGTCCACATGTACACATTTACTGTTTATAGTGAAACAGCAACAAAACACAGTTATTTCATTGCACAGAGGGCTATGATCTTAGAGCAAGCACACACAAAGGAAATTCACATATCATATACAAGAGCAGCTCTGTATTGACTATATCATAAGAGCCAGATTTCAAAATCAATAAGGAATAAGGTGATGGCTACTGAGATGATATTTACAGGGCATTGGATAATTAAAGTAATAACTACGCCCCATGCTTTCACCTGTTGTCAAAATGATATGGCGAAATTGCGGCAGACAAGGGACGAAAAGATCGATTTCACAAAGAGTGAGGGGCTCATGACTTAATATTCTGTGGTCTTTTTACAGGTATTAGCAACAGGTGCAAAATAACTTTGTGGCACTGTGTCACAGATAATGTGGCTGGCTCACGGTCATGCACGAAAATTATCAGGTATCAAAGTCAATGTAAAACAAAAGGATCCTGTGCAACCATAGAGTGTCATGGCCACAGGTGGGAGCCCAGGGAGGCCCGAGCTGACACCTTATGACAAAAGGTTTGCCGCACTATTTGGAGAGGCATCTCTTTCTGGCAGTCATTCAGGCATATGTGCTATTACTGCTGACAACATTAAATACAGCATGACATTTTTGCTAAATTCACAAACCTCTGAGAACAAACCATACACCTGTTAATTATGCTACAATTAACCTTAATGAACAATAAATAGGCTGGATACTGAGTTCCACAAAGCAACGTCATCTGTTGTCAGACTGAAAATAGAGAGTGAAGGGGCATTCGAAGGGGAAAACACCTGTTGTGAATTGGTGCTCTATAAACAAAGATCCATTGCTTTCTCTTAGTGCTTTGCATCTTTTCTCCTAATTTTTTTATTTTATTATATTATATAATATGGTAACACTTTAATTGACACCTATCTCTGTAACGCATTATTTATATATGGGTAACACTTCACAATAACCATAAGTTATAAATGGTAAATAGACCATATAAATGGTAAGCAGATAGTTTATTAATGTTTAATCATCATTTATAAATAGCATACAGACCATTAATACATTGCAAATTTTACTATTTTAAAAACCTAACCCTAACTTTACAATAACCATCTAAGTAATGTTTATAGGTGGTTTATAAAACACTTATTAATCATTTACAAAGTGCTACTGACACACATTTTAATCTAGATGTTTTACAACCAATATTTAAACCCTATATAAACCTTTAATAAATAGTCCATTAATAATTAATGAAAATTATTAATCATAATTTCATTGCATGTTAATGGTAAAGTAACCATTAACATACATTAATAAACTATCTATTTGCCATTTATACACCATGGTTATTGTACAGTGTTACCAATATATGTATAATGTGTTATAATCACATTATAGCACTGTATAACTATAGTTATAAACACTCATAAATGATCATAATAGTTTATAGCAATAATCATAACACATTATATACAGTTATAACACATTATAATACCTGACCTTGTAAGTCATGATAAAATGCTTTACAATGTGTTATGATTGTTGCTTTAAAGCATTATGATCATTTATGAGTGTTTATAACTATAGTTATACAGTGCTATTACGTGATTATAATGCATTATACATGTTATAGAGATAGGCATTAAATAAAGTGTTACTTTTTTATGTGAACCTGTGTTTTTTCTTTGCTCAAGTTTTCCTGTTTACCTCCCTGCCTTCCAAGTGCCAGGGTTTTTCCAATAGTTTTCTCAATGGGGGTTTTCTTGCCGGCCAGATTCCAGTTTCCACTGCTTGTCTTTCGTTTTTGCGATAAACTCTTTAAACACACAAACCCTGTGAGTCCCTGCATTGAAGTCCGATCAACTCAAAACTTAACACTTGCCTCACACCACTTACATATCAAAATAGATCATATTGAATGAGTCTCATTACTGTGTTCATAAAAAAACTCAACTATAATTACCCATGCACCTTTACACAGTGGATCTCCATGGTGGATTGATTGTTAGTGTGGTTTAAAGGTCAAATGCATAAAAAAGGTTGTGTAATCTTCTTCTGAAATATTAATTGCATCCTTGACCAGACCCTGCTTCTGCAGGTGCTGATGAATAGAAAGCTGAACAAGCAGGTGATGGTTTTAAAGAAGAGTGTCCTTGCAGGGATTCTTTATTTATCCTGATGGATATTTGTACTTTAAAATCTTATCAGTCATACGTCATTGAACAGCACATTACATAGTTAGACTTAGTTATCCAAATGCAATGATTTGTAGTTATGAAAACTAAAAATGTTGTCATGAAGACCTAACAGACAAAAGCAAATAAAGAGTTTGTGTGAATGTGATCGCTGCGCCACATTTACACCAGAAACCCGAGGATCTAGATGTATTCAGGATTTTGCATCAAATTCATCTCAAAGTGTATTTCTTATGGTGACTGTAAGAGGTAATATTTTGTATTGCCACCTTTGTTAAATATTTGAAAGAATGGCTAACACTATTGTTTTTTGCTAAATGGCATTTTGTGTTATTGGCTTTATATTTGTGCCCCTCTCCCAAAAAGAAATGTCTTTACTTTGCTGCAGCTTAGGTATTAAACAGCTCTGAACCTTTGGGAGAAACAGAAAACACAGCAATAAGAAAACAACAGAGGCTGAAAAGTAAAAGTGACTGTCTTTTCCCTCCCACCACTACAATCCCCCGAATCGTAATCATCATGACAGAGTCAAGACTCTGTCAAACAGGTCACTTTATATGGCAGCACTACAAGGAAAACTCACAGTAGAAGGGACAGGAAAATTATCAAGACAGCAAGATTTTTTTCCTGGGCACTGCTGTGGCAAAAAGTGTCCTAAAAGTATTAAATATGAACCATCCCTTTGGGCAAACTGATTTAAGCAATATCATGTCACACATTTAACATTTTGGGTCATGAGCTTTTGGTCATATTGTGAAAACATGACATGCTGGTGAGTCATGATTTGTTGTGAACAAACATCTCTGAACCAATACAGGAAATATCAGAGAGTAAAAGACACCATTTTAGAGCTCGCACTACTGTCCTATTTTGTTTTTCTTAAATCCAACAAGTCCTGTTTTACTCTTTGGGTAACTTATAGATTTTCATAATTTAGGGACTTGTCATAAAATGCACTATAATAGCACACACTAACTCAACCAACTCAAACCTGTCCTTCTTTTTCAGTCTTTGGGTGTCCTGAGAGTCACAGGTATAACTCAAATACGATATGGTCTCACTATTATCTGCTCTGGCTGTCCAGCATGAAAGATGTTGGAAGAAAGAGTTCTATGGACTGATACCCTGTGACTGAGAAAGGAAGAAAAACCTCACTAAAGGGGTGTTCAAAGGGTGCTAAGAAATACCTTCCTATGTATTAGCAAGAAGAAAATAATAGCAAAATAACCAGACACTAGAAAAATAAAACCCACTTTGTGTGAGAAAGAATCAAAACACCCAAGAGTGGATGCTAAGGGGATTTAGTAACTAACTAGACCAGCCCAAATGTTAGACAAGACAAAAACAAACAGTCCTCCCAAAGAACTCCCTTTTTATTAGCAACATTTTTTATTAGCATCACTTCGGTGCACCTTTCTGACATGTTTTTACACCTCCCTAAAACAATATAAGGCTGAACTAAGGAGCTGGAGCTGTACTACCAAACACTTCTGATACCAGCCGGAGCTGGGGTCTATCAGGTCAGTACACAGCAAGAAATAGCAGCAAACCCCCTCTAACAAACCAACTATAACCTTTCTGCCAAACTACTCAGATACATGTGACTAATTTCCTTGACAAATTAGCTCACACCTGAATACCTGATGCTGGGAGAGGTTTGGAACAGGGCAGGTGGTACTACAATTAACAAAAGAATAACACCGGAGGGTTACATGGGGGGTTTGGCTGAATGCCATATCACTGAGTCTTAACTCATGAGCCTTTTGTAACTATTTTTTTTGCCTCAGTTCTTTCACAGTTTGCAAATTTATTAAGTTAGATGCAGATTTTGTTTATCAGCCATAAAACAGTTACAATAAATTATTACTCTCTCAGCTGTTTTTATATATTTTCCAGCATCAATGAGCCCATAATCAGGATGACAGCAGTTTAAGTCTTTGTAATACTGTCAGACATCTCTGTTTTTCTCACCAGCCGTCTGTTCTGCCAGCACAACACAACAACAATACTAAAACAGCTTGGCACTACAGGGTGCAGCCAACTCTCAGCGAAACACAAAACAGCACTGCTCCTGACATCCGACTGGAAAGTTCCTGAATCTGTGGATACAACGAGAATGACTCAAAGAACATCACAACACCTACAGAGTGCTGTTGTAAACCTGTCTTAGCATCATGACTGTTACCTCCACCTGTAGGTTAAAACAATGCTTTGCATGAAAAGAAAGTGCAAGTGATTAATCCAACCATGTTTGCTTTTTCTTCCATGCACAGATGGGAGCACAGATTTTTTTATCCATAGAGTCAAGATGGTTGCCAGTGTGAATATGGATTTCATGTAGGCTTCATCGTTAATCTTGATGTCAACAAAGAAATCTACACCTGACTCACCACATATATCCATACTGACTCTCAATGTATAAATGTAAAGAAACAAGAATCACGTCTTCTCACATACTTATTCTGTTTTTGTGCAGTACAGCGAAACTGTTCTTGATAAATGAGAAAATCATATGAATCTGCATCACTATAGCAACCACATGATGATTTAAGAACATACTTATGGGCTCTTTTTATCCTAAAGCTGCACAATATTTGCAACAGCTAACATGACATTTGCAGATAAACAGATTGACATTTTTTCAATAGCTGCATATAACTTACCAGAGAGAACAGCTGTGCTCATTTAAATAGGAATCACAGTGGGATCATTAGAGCAATGATGTCCTTGCAACATAAAGGAGATTGATCATTTGAGATACCTGTCCCTTTAAGAGAGAGATCAGATTTACTACAAAATGTGTATATAGACATGTGTATATAAACAGTACATGTTGTATCCAGTATATTGTCTGTATGCTAACTCTGGCATAGTTACTTTGATGCTTATGTTAATAGGTTGATCAATGTGCATTGTTCTAATCAAATAAATAAATGAATAAATAAAATGTGTGCAGAAAGTACTCATATTTTTCAATATCATCAATATTGTGTATTTTTTTTTCTTTAAGATATTGACTGTCCATCACAAACTGCATAGATGTTCACCATTTGCTTGAAGTTTAGTGTTTGACACCTGAAATATTCTGGGGGGAAGGAGGAATAAGGGCCACATGAAGGGGAAAAAATAATTACAGGAGGGTGATTTTTTTGATTTCCATTTCAAGATTAAAGTTGAAATTTCAAGATTAAAGTTGAAATGAAATGCCATATAGCTTAAATTTGTCATAGCCATCCATGTGCCAGAGCGCATTGGGTCCTTGGCTTCATGTGGCCCTAATCCTCTTTCGTAGGGGGAGACTCTCCGTTTGTACTTTTAAGTCTCAGTGAACCCTGAATTGTGAAGTAGACTTACTCTGTAACCTCTGAGCTACAGAGAGTCATGATGGCCTACATTGATTTTTCATGAGTCTGTGCCTGGACTCCTTTAGTTGGATTTTTTTTGTTCAACTTGCTGGCTTCAAACACAGTATTCTAAGATTGTTTGACTTCTGCAACTTACTTGTCCAAAAAGGTATCCCAGAGTACTTTGTTGGTATTTAAAAAAAATGTAATTGTCAGTAAGGTTTGAGCTGAACTGACACAATGAAACAAAAGAAATTGTCTAATTCTGGAAGAAATACAAACTGCTTCAAAGTCACCAGCTTCATGGTTCTCTGTTGTACCCGAATCAGCTGATGTGCGCACATTCAGGTCAAAATTATTTCATGAAATGAGCTTCAAGTAAAATATTCCCAATTCACAAACATTAGACAAATTAGACATGAGACCTCTGTGCTAATAACATTGTGACAGAATAGCCAGTAGGCCACACAGCGAGCCCATGTCTCAGTGGAGAAGTTGAATCATGGCAATAATGAGTGCAACAGAGCATGACATTGAAGATAGTGTGTTTGAACCTATTATAGCAAAAGCTAATGAAACTGCACACATACGAAGCCTACAGCTAATTAATAAATCATCGTAGCCTTGTCATAACATGAATGACCCAGTTCAGACATATAATAGCCTGAAAAGTCAGTCTCGAGCCATAAGACACAAGACTGGAATGAAGTTGCTGTTTATCCACATGTTTCTCGTGCTTCTTCTCAGCAGATAGAGAGACATGCATTCAATCCTAGGGAGCTTTAATAACATTTATCTTGTATGGGCTTCATCATCAACTATAAAAGGAGCATTTCCCTCCCAGCTTATGTGGACAGAACTGAAGTTTGTCAACATAACAGCATACAGATCACATCAGCACGAAGTGGAGGTGCAGACAGCTCCTCTTCGGGATGGGATGCATAACCAGAATCGATTACACAGTGGTGCCAAAAAGTATTAGTATATTATTTCTTATGAAGTGAGCACAGCTAGAAAAGTAATTTCAAGGGTAACAAGATGCCCTGTTTCCCATTGCTGCTTGTTACTTCCTGCTTCAAAATACAATTTTGTTTGTTGTGCTCATGGGATCAGGGTTGCTTCATAAGTCAGAAAACAAACAATTATTAATCACGGTTTTTGTGGTGAAAAACATCATCATGTTTGTGGCATTTTTTAACAAAAGTTATTAAGTCCTGCTTACTTTTTTAATTGACACTTTCCCTTACGTAAAATGTCTGCACTTCCCATGACATTCCGGTATAATTTTGTCTCTGATCCAGTGCCATTTCAGGTCTGAACTTCTTCTGCTTCAGAATATTTCAAAAGCCTCTAGATGTATTAGCTGGCACAGTCGGTATGAAAACCTCACAGCCTGATCCCGCTGTAGAGGGGGCTCAACCTGAAGGCCTCATGAGGCTTTCCCATCCCCTGTGCTATCTCTATCTGTCCTGCCAGGCCTCTGTCACACCCCCACTGCCACTAGTTCCCACTTTGCCTGCTGCAATTACAAAGAGTCTGATTAGGCAAGTGAGCAAAATGATCAAGAGTCGAAGTTCGAACTGCGCTCAGCTGGAAGAAAGAACAGGAGAAGTTGCTCCAACTTTTCCCTGTGAGGAGTACTTTTGTTAAACAATCTTTGCATACAGCTCTTGAGTCTATGTCACATCTCATTAATTAACCCTAACCCTAACCCTAGCCCCAACCCTAACCCTAACCCTAGCTCTAACCCTAGCTCCAACCCTAACCCTAACCCTAACCCTAACCCTAGCTCCAACCTTAACCCTAACCCTAACCCTAGCTCCAACCCTAACCCTAACCCAAACCCTAAGTAAACTTTTCAAAAAACTTCCCCCAGAATTAGGTTCTATAGACTCCCCGTGCCCTGAAACGTGCTCCTAACACAATTCTGGAAGGTGAAAAATTGGGTTGGCACTTACAAAATTTTTCAATTTTTATTTCCCATGCATTCCTATGGGAAAAAATCAAATTTTTTTAGGAACGTCCTAGAGACTCGGGAGTTGGTTCATTGCACTCAGAAAAATCCTAGCTCCAAGCCCAACCCTAACCCTAGCTCCAACACTAACCCTAACTCCAACTCCAACCCTAACCCTAACCCTAGCCCCAACCCTAACCCTAACCCTAGCTCTAACCCTAACCCTAACCCTAGCTCCAACCCTAACCCTAACCCTAACCCTAACCCTAGCTCCAACCTTAACCCTAACCCTAACCCTAGCTCCAACCCTAACCCTAACCCAAACCCTAAGTAAACTTTTAAAAAAACTTCCCCCAGAATTAGGTTCTATAGACTCCCCGTGCCCTGAAACGTGCTCCTAACACAATTCTGGAAGGTGAAAAATTGGGTTGGCACTTACAAAATTTTTCATTTTTTTTTTTCCCATGCATTCCTATGGGAAAAAATCAAATTTTTTTAGGAACGTCCTAGAGACTCCGGAGTTGGTTCATTGCACTCAGAAAAATCCTAGCTCCAAGCCCAACCCTAACCCTAACTCCAACACTAACCCTAACTCCAACTCCAACCCTAACCCTAACCCTAACCCTGGCTCCAACCCTAACCCTAACCCTAGCTCCAATCTTAACCCTAACCCTAACCCTAACCCTAGCTCTAACCCTAACCCTAACCCTAGCTCCACCCTAAACCTAACCCTATCCCTAACCCTAGCTCCAACCTTAACCCTTACCCTAACCCATGCATTCCTATGGAAAAAAATCAATTTTTTTTAGGAACGTCCTAGAGACTCGGGAGTTGGTTCATTGCACTCAGAAAAATCCTAGCTCCAAGCCCAACCCTAACCCTAGCTCCAACACTAACCCTAACTCCAACCCTAACCCTAGCTCCAACCCTAACCCTAACCCTAACTCATGCATTCCTATGGAAAAAAATCCAATTTTTTTAGGAACGTCCTAGAGACTCGGGAGTTGGTTCATTGCACTCAGAAAAATCCTAGCTCCAAGCCCAACCCTAACCCTAGCTCCAACACTAACCCTAACCCTAACCCTAGCTCCAACCCTAACCCAAACCCTAACCCATGCATTCCTATGGGAAAAAATCAAATTTTTTTAGGAACGTCCTAGAGACTCGGGAGTTGGTTCATTGCACTCAGAAAAATCCTAGCTCCAAGCCCAACCCTAACCCTAGCTCCAACACTAACCCTAACTCCAACCCTAACCCTAACCCTAACCCTAGCTCCAACCCTAACCCTAACCCTAACCCATGCATTCCTATGGGAAAAAATCAAATTTTTTTAGGAACGTCCTAGAGACTCGGGAGTTGGTTCATTGCACTCAGAAAAATCCTAGCTCCAAGCCCAACCCTAACCCTAGCTCCAACACTAACCCTAACTCCAACCCTAACCCTAACCCTAACCCTAGCTCCAACCCTAACCCTAACCCTAACCCATGCATTCCTATGGGAAAAAATCAAATTTTTTTAGGAACGTCCTAGAGACTCGGGAGTTGGTTCATTGCACTCAGAAAAATCCTAGCTCCAAGCCCAACCCTAACCCTAGCTCCAACACTAACCCTAACTCCAACCCTAACCCTAACCCTAACCCTAGCTCCAACCCTAACCCTAACCCTAACCCATGCATTCCTATGGGAAAAAATCAAATTTTTTTAGGAACGTCCTAGAGACTCGGGAGTTGGTTCATTGCACTCAGAAAAATCCTAGCTCCAAGCCCAACCCTAACCCTAGCTCCAACACTAACCCTAACTCCAACCCTAACCCTAACCCTAACCCTAGCTCCAACCCTAACCCTAACCCTAACCCATGCATTCCTATGGGAAAAAATCCAATTTTTTTAGGAACGTCCTAGAGACTCGGGAGTTGGTTCATTGCACTCAGAAAAATCCTAGCTCCAAGCCCAACCCTAACCCTAGCTCCAACCCTAACTCCAACCCTAACCCTAACCCTAACCCTAGCTCCAACCCTAACCCTAACCCTAACCCATGCATTCCTATGGGAAAAAATCAAATTTTTTTAGGAACGTCCTAGAGACTCCGGAGTTGGTTCATTGCACTCAGAAAAATCCTAGCTCCAAGCCCACACCTAACCCTAGCTCCAACACTAACCCTAACTCCAACCCTAACCCTAACCCTATCCCTAGCTCCAACCCTAACCCTAACCCTAACCCATGCATTCCTATGGGAAAAAATCAAATTTTTTTAGGAACGTCCTAGAGACTCGGGAGTTGGTTCATTGCACTCAGAAAAATCCTAGCTCCAAGCCCAACCCTAACCCTAGCTCCAACACTAACCCTAACTCCAACCCTAACCCTAACCCTAACCCTAGCTCCAACCCTAACCCTAACCCTAACCCATGCATTCCTATGGGAAAAAATCAAATTTTTTTAGGAACATCCTAGAGACTCGGGAGTTGGTTCATTGCACTCAGAAAAATCCTAGCTCCAAGCCCAACCCTAACCCTAGCTCCAACACTAACCCTAACTCCAACCCTAACCCTAACCCTAACCCTAGCTCCAACCCTAACCCTAACCCTAACCCATGCATTCCTATGGGAAAAAATCCAAATTTTTTTAGGAACGTCCTAGAGACTCGGGAGTTGGTTCATTGCACTCAGAAAAATCCTAGCTCCAAGCCCAACCCTAACCCTAGCTCCAACAACTAACCCTAACTCCAACCCTAACCCTAACCCTAACCCTAGCTCCAACCCTAACCCTAACCCTAACCCATGCATTCCTATGGGAAAAAATCAAATTTTTTTAGGAACGTCCTAGAGACTCGGGAGTTGGTTCATTGCACTCAGAAAAATCCTAGCTCCAAGCCCAACCCTAACCCTAGCTCCAACCCTAACTCCAACCCTAACCCTAACCCTAACCCTAGCTCCAACCCTAACCCTAACCCTAACCCATGCATTCCTATGGGAAAAAATCAAATTTTTTTAGGAACGTCCTAGAGACTCGGGAGTTGGTTCATTGCACTCAGAAAAATCCTAGCTCCAAGCCCAACACTAACCCTAGCTCCAACACTAACCCTAACTCCAACCCTAACCCTAACCCTAACCCTAGCTCCAACCCTAACCCTAACCCTAACCCATGCATTCCTATGGGAAAAAAATCAAATTTTTTTAGGAACGTCCTAGAGACTCGGGAGTTGGTTCATTGCACTCAGAAAAATCCTAGCTCCAAGCCCAACCCTAACCCTAGCTCCAACACTAACCCTTACTCCAACCCTAACCCTAACCCTAACCCTAGCTCCAACCCTAACCCAAACCCTAACCCATGCATTCCTATGGGAAAAAATCAAATTTTTTTAGGAACGTCCTAGAGACTCGGGAGTTGGTTCATTGCACTCAGAAAAATCCTAGCTCCAAGCCCAACCCTAACCCTAGCTCCAACACTAACCCTAACTCCAACCCTAACCCTAACCCTAACCCTAGCTCCAACCCTAACCCTAACCCTAACCCATGCATTCCTATGGGAAAAAATCAAATTTTTTTAGGAACGTCCTAGAGACTCGGGAGTTGGTTCATTGCACTCAGAAAAATCCTAGCTCCAAGCCCAACCCTAACCCTAGCTCCAACACTAACCCTAACTCCCTAACCCTAACCCTAACCCTAGCTCCAACCCTAACCCAAACCCTAACCCATGCATTCCTATGGGAAAAATCAAATTTTTTTAGGAACGTCCTAGAGACTCGGGAGTTGGTTCATTGCACTCAGAAAAATCCTAGCTCCAAGCCCAACCCTAACCCTAGCTCCAACACTAACCCTAACTCCAACCCTAACCCTAACCCTAACCCTAGCTCCAACCCTAACCCTAACCCTAACCCATGCATTCCTATGGGAAAAAATCAAATTTTTTTAGGAACGTCCTAGAGACTCGGGAGTTGGTTCATTGCACTCAGAAAAATCCTAGCTCCAAGCCCAACCCTAACCCTAGCTCCAACACTAACCCTAACTCCAACCCTAACCCTAACCCTAACCCTAGCTCCAACCCTAACCCTAACCCTAACCCATGCATTCCTATGGGAAAAAATCAAATTTTTTTAGGAACGTCCTAGAGACTCGGGAGTTGGTTCATTGCACTCAGAAAAATCCTAGCTCCAAGCCCAACCCTAACCCTAGCTCCAACCCTGACTCCAACCCTAACCCTAACCCTAACCCTAGCTCCAACCCTAACCCTAACCCTAACCCATGCATTCCTATGGGAAAAAATCAAATTTTTTTAGGAACGTCCTAGAGACTCGGGAGTTGGTTCATTGCACTCAGAAAAATCCTAGCTCCAAGCCCAACCCTAACCCTAGCTCCAACACTAACCCTAACTCCAACCCTAACCCTAACCCTAACCCTAGCTCCAACCCTAACCCTAACCCTAACCCATGCATTCCTATGGGAAAAAATCAAATTTTTTTAGGAACGTCCTAGAGACTCGGGAGTTGGTTCATTGCACTCAGAAAAATCCTAGCTCCAAGCCCAACCCTAACCCTAGCTCCAACACTAACCCTAACTCCAACCCTAACCCTAACCCTAACCCTAGCTCCAACCCTAACCCTAACCCTAACCCATGCATTCCTATGGGAAAAAATCAAATTTTTTAGGAATGTCCTAGAGACTCGGGAGTTGGTTCAGTGCACTCAGAAAAATCCTAGCTCCAAGCCCAACCCTAACCCTAGCTCCAACACTAACCCTAACTCCAACCCTAACCCTAACCCTAACCCTAGCTCCAACCCTAACCCATGCATTCCTATGGGAAAAAATCAAATTTTTTTAGGAACGTCCTAGAGACTCGGGAGTTGGTTCATTGCACTCAGAAAAATCCTAGCTCCAAGCCCAACCCTAACCCTAGCTCCAACACTAACCCTAACCCTAACCCTAACCCTAACTAGCTCCAACCCTAACCCTAAACCCTAACCCATGCATTCCTATGGGAAAAAATCAAATTTTTTTAGGAACGTCCTAGAGACTCGGGAGTTGGTTCATTGCACTCAGAAAAATCCTAGCTCCAAGCCCAACCCTAACCCTAGCTCCAACACTAACCCTAACTCCAACCCTAACCCTAACCCTAACCCTAGCTCCAACCCTAACCCTAACCCTAACCCATGCATTCCTATGGGAAAAAATCAAATTTTTTTAGGAACGTCCTAGAGACTCGGGAGTTGGTTCATTGCACTCAGAAAAATCCTAGCTCCAAGCCCAACCCTAACCCTAGCTCCAACACTAACCCTAACTCCAACCCTAACCCTAACCCTAACCCTAGCTCCAACCCTAACCCTAACCCTAACCCATGCATTCCTATGGGAAAAAATCAAATTTTTTTAGGAACGTCCTAGAGACTCGGGAGTTGGTTCATTGCACTCAGAAAAATCCTAGCTCCAAGCCCAACCCTAACCCTAGCTCCAACACTAACCCTAACTCCAACCCTAACCCTAACCCTAACCCTAGCTCCAACCCTAACCCTAACCCTAACCCAACCCATGCATTCCTATGGGAAAAAATCAAATTTTTTTAGGAATGTCCTAGAGACTCGGGAGTTGGTTCATTGCACTCAGAAAAATCCTAGCTCCAAGCCCAACCCTAACCCTAGCTCCAACACTAACCCTAACTCCAACCCTAACCCTAACCCTAACCCTAGCTCCAACCCTAACCCTAACCCTAACCCATGCATTCCTATGGGAAAAAATCAAATTTTTTTAGGAACGTCCTAGAGACTCGGGAGTTGGTTCATTGCACTCAGAAAAATCCTAGCTCCAAGCCCAACCCTAACCCTAGCTCCAACACTAACCCTAACTCCAACCCTAACCCTAACCCTAACCCTAGCTCCAACCCTAACCCTAACCCTAACCCATGCATTCCTATGGGAAAAAATCAAATTTTTTTAGGAACGTCCTAGAGACTCGGGAGTTGGTTCATTGCACTCAGAAAAATCCTAGCTCCAAGCCCAACCCTAACCCTAGCTCCAACACTAACCCTAACTCCAACCCTAACCCTAACCCTAACCCTAGCTCCAACCCTAACCCTAACCCTAACCCATGCATTCCTATGGGAAAAAAATCAAATTTTTTTAGGAATGTCCTAGAGACTCGGGAGTTGGTTCAGTGCACTCAGAAAAATCCTAGCTCCAAGCCCAACCCTAACCCTAGCTCCAACACTAACCCTAACTCGAACCCTAACCCTAACCCTAACCCTAGCTCCAACCCTAACCCTAACCCTAACCCTAACCCATGCATTCCTATGGGAAAAGATAATTTTTTTAGGAATGTCCTAGAGACTCGGGAGTTGGTTCAGTGCACTCAGAAAAATCCTAGCTCCAAGCCCAACCCTAACCCTAGCTCCAACACTAACCCTAACTCCAACCCTAACCCTAACCCTAACCCTAGCTCCAACCCTAACCCTAACCCTAACCCATGCATTCCTATGGGAAAAAATCAAATTTTTTTAGGAACGTCCTAGAGACTCGGGAGTTGGTTCATTGCACTCAGAAAAATCCTAGCTCCAAGCCCAACCCTAACCCTAGCTCCAACACTAACCCTAACTCCAACCCTAACCCTAACCCTAACCCTAGCTCCAACCCTAACCCTAACCCTAACCCATGCATTCCTATGGGAAAAAATCAAATTTTTTTAGGAATGTCCTAGAGACTCGGGAGTTGGTTCAGTGCACTCAGAAAAATCCTAGCTCCAAGCCCAACCCTAACCCTAGCTCCAACACTAACCCTAACTCCAACCCTAACCCTAACCCTAACCCTAGCTCCAACCCTAACCCTAACCCTAACCCATGCATTCCTATGGGAAAAAATCAAATTTTTTTAGGAACGTCCTAGAGACTCGGGAGTTGGTTCAGTGCACTCAGAAAAATCCTAGCTCCAAGCCCAACCCTAACCCTAGCTCCAACACTAACCCTAACTCCAACCCTAACCCTAACCCTAACCCTAGCTCCAACCCTAACCCTAACCCTAACCCATGCATTCCTATGGGAAAAAATCAAATTTTTTTAGGAACGTCCTAGAGACTCGGGAGTTGGTTCATTGCACTCAGAAAAATCCTAGCTCCAAGCCCAACCCTAACCCTAGCTCCAACACTAACCCTAACTCCAACCCTAACCCTAACCCTAACCCTAGCTCCAACCCTAACCCTAACCCTAACCCATGCATTCCTATGGGAAAAAATCAAATTTTTTTAGGAACGTCCAAGAGACTCGGGAGTTGGTTCATTGCACTCAGAAAAATCCTAGCTCCAAGCCCAACCCTAACCCTAGCTCCAACACTAACCCTAACTCCAACCCTAACCCTAACCCTAACCCTAGCTCCAACCCTAACCCTAACCCTAACCCATGCATTCCTATGGGAAAAAATCAAATTTTTTTAGGAATGTCCTAGAGACTCGGGAGTTGGTTCAGTGCACTCAGAAAAATCCTAGCTCCAAGCCCAACCCTAACCCTAGCTCCAACACTAACCCTAACTCCAACCCTAACCCTAACCCTAACCCTAACCCTAGCTCCAACCCTAACCCTAACCCTAACCCATGCATTCCTATGGGAAAAAATCAAATTTTTTTAGGAACGTCCTAGAGACTCGGGAGTTGGTTCATTGCACTCAGAAAAATCCTAGCTCCAAGCCCAACCCTAACCCTAGCTCCAACACTAACCCTAACTCCAACCCTAACCCTAACCCTAAATCCTAGCTCCAACCCTAACCCTAACCATAACCCTAACCCATGCATTCCTATGGGAAAAAATCAAATTTTTTTAGGAATGTCCTAGAGACTCGGGAGTTGGTTCAGTGCACTCAGAAAAATCCTAGCTCCAAGCCCAACCCTAACCCTAGCTCCAACACTAACCCTAACTCCAACCCTAACCCTAACCCTAACCCTAGCTCCAACCCTAACCCTAACCCTAACCCTAACCCATGCATTCCTATGGGAAAAAATCAAATTTTTTTAGGAATGTCCTAGAGACTCGGGAGTTGGTTCAGTGCACTCAGAAAAATCCTAGCTCCAAGCCCAACCCTAACCCTAGCTCCAACATTAACCCTAACTCCAACCCTAACCCTAACCCTAACCCTAGCTCCAACCCTAACCCTAACCCTAACCCATGCATTCCTATGGGAAAAAATCAAATTTTTTTAGGGAACGTCCTAGAGACTCGGGAGTTGGTTCATTGCACTCAGAAAAGTCCTAGCTCCAAGCCCAACCCTAACCCTAGCTCCAACACTAACCCTAACTCCAACCCTAACCCTAACCCTAACCCTAGCTCCAACCCTAACCCTAACCATAACCCTAAACCATGCATTCCTATGGGAAAAAATCAATTTTTTTTAGGAATGTCCTAGAGACTCGGGAGTTGGTTCAGTGCACTCAGAAAAATCCTAGCTCCAAGCCCAACCCTAACCCTAGCTCCAACACTAACCCTAACTCCAACCCTAACCCTAACCCTAACCCTAACCCTAGCTCCAACCCTAACCCTAACCCTAACCCATGCATTCCTATGGGAAAAAATCAAATTTTTTTAGGAACGTCCTAGAGACTCGGGAGTTGGTTCATTGCACTCAGAAAAATCCTAGCTCCAAGCCCAACCCTAACCCTAGCTCCAACACTAACCCTAACTCCAACCCTAACCCTAACCCTAACCCTAGCTCCAACCCTAACCCTAACCCTAACCCTAACCCATGCATTCCTATGGGAAAAAATCAAATTTTTTTAGGAATGTCCTAGAGACTCGGGAGTTGGTTCAGTGCACTCAGAAAAATCCTAGCTCCAAGCCCAACCCTAACCCTAGCTCCAACACTAACCCTAACTCCAACCCTAACCCTAACCCTAACCCTAGCTCCAACCCTAACCCTAACCCTAACCCATGCATTCCTATGGGAAAAAATCAAATTTTTTTAGGAACGTCCTAGAGACTCAGGAGTTGGTTCATTGCACTCAGAAAAATCCTAGCTCCAAGCCCAACCCTAACCCTAGCTCCAACACTAACCCTAACTCCAACCCTAACCCTAACCCTAACCCTAGCTCCAACCCTAACCCTAACCATAACCCTAACCCATGCATTCCTATGGGAAAAAATCAAATTTTTTTAGGAATGTCCTAGAGACTCGGGAGTTGGTTCAGTGCACTCAGAAAAATCCTAGCTCCAAGCCCAACCCTAACCCTAGCTCCAACACTAACCCTAACTCCAACCCTAACCCTAACCCTAACCCTAGCTCCAACCCTAACCCTAACCATAACCCTAAACCATGCATTCCTATGGGAAAAAATCAAATTTTTTTAGGAATGTCCTAGAGACTCGGGAGTTGGTTCAGTGGACTCAGAAAAATCCTAGCTCCAAGCCCAACCCTAACCCTAGCTCCAACACTAACCCTAACTCCAACCCTAACCCTAACCCTAACCCTAGCTCCAACCCTAACCCTAACCATAACCCTAACCCATGCATTCCTATGGGAAAAAAATCAAATTTTTTTAGGAATGTCCTAGAGACTCGGGAGTTGGTTCAGTGCACTCAGAAAAATCCTAGCTCCAAGCCCAACCCTAACCCTAGCTCCAACACTAACCCTAACTCCAACCCTAACCCTAACCCTAACCCTAGCTCCAACCCTAACCCTAACCCTAACCCATGCATTCCTATGGGAAAAAATCAAATTTTTTTAGGAACGTCCTAGAGACTCGGGAGTTGGTTCATTGCACTCAGAAAAATCCTAGCTCCAAGCCCAACCCTAACCCTAGCTCCAACACTAACCCTAACTCCAACCCTAACCCTAACCCTAACCCTAGCTCCAACCCTAACCCTAACCCTAACCCATGCATTCCTATGGGAAAAAATCAAATTTTTTTAGGAACGTCCAAGAGACTCGGGAGTTGGTTCCTTGCACTCAGAAAAATCCTAGCTCCAAGCCCAACCCTAACCCTAGCTCCAACACTAACCCTAACTCCAACCCTAACCCTAACCCTAACCCTAGCTCCAACCCTAACCCTAACCATAACCCTAACCCATGCATTCCTATGGGAAAAAAATCAAATTTTTTTAGGAATGTCCTAGAGACTCGGGAGTTGGTTCAGTGCACTCAGAAAAATCCTAGCTCCAAGCCCAACCCTAACCCTAGCTCCAACACTAACCCTAACTCCAACCCTAACCCTAACCCTAACCCTAGCTCCAACCCTAACCCTAACCCTAACCCATGCATTCCTATGGGAAAAAATCAGATTTTTTTAGGGAACGTCCTAGAGACTCGGGTGTTGGTTCATTGCACTCAGAAAAGTCCTAGCTCCAAGCCCAACCCTAACCCTAGCTCCAACACTAACCCTAACTCCAACCCTAACCCTAACCCTAACCCTAACCCTAGCTCCAACCCTAACCCTAACCCTAACCCATGCATTCCTATGGGAAAAAATCAAATTTTTTTAAGGAACGTCCTAGAGACTCGGGAGTTGGTTCAGTGCACTCAGAAAAATCCTAGCTCCAAGCCCAACCCTAACCCTAGCTCCAACACTAACCCTAACTCCAACCCTAACCCTAACCCTAACCCTAGCTCCAACCCTAACCCTAACCATAACCCTAACCCATGCATTCCTATGGGAAAAAATCTAATTTTTTTAGGAATGTCCTAGAGACTCGGGAGTTGGTTCAGTGCACTCAGAAAAATCCTAGCTCCAAGCCTAACCCTAACCCTAGCTCCAACACTAACCCTAACTCCAACCCTAACCCTAACCCTAACCCTAGCTCCAACCCTAACCCTAACCCTAACCCATGCATTCCTATGGGAAAAAATCAAATTTTTTAGGGAACGTCCTAGAGACTCGGGAGTTGGTTCATTGCACTCAGAAAAGTCCTAGCTCCAAGCCCAACCCTAACCCTAGCTCCAACACTAACCCTAACTCCAACCCTAACCCTAACCCTAACCCTAGCTCCAACCCTAACCCTAACCCTAACCCATGCATTCCTATGGGAAAAAATCAAATTTTTTTAGGAATGTCCTAGAGACTCGGGAGTTGGTTCAGTGCACTCAGAAAAATCCTAGCTCCAAGCCCAACCCTAACCCTAGCTCCAACACTAACCCTAACTCCAACCCTAACCCTAACCCTAACCCTAGCTCCAACCCTAACCCTAACCCTAACCCATGCATTCCTATGGGAAAAAATCAAATTTTTTTAGGAACATCTTAGAGACTCGGGAGTTGGTTCAGTGCACTCAGAAAAATCCTAGCTCCAAGCCCAACCCTAACCCTAGCTCCAACACTAACCCTAACTCCAACCCTAACCCTAACCCTAGCTCCAACCCTAACCCTAACCCTAACCCATGCATTCCTATGGGAAAAAATCAAATTTTTTTAGGAACGTCCAAGAGACTTGGGAGTTGGTTCATTGCACTCAGAAAAATCCTAGCTCCAAGCCCAACCCTAACCCTAGCTCCAACACTAACCCTAACTCCAACCCTAACCCTAACCCTAACCCTAGCTCCAACCCTAACCCTAACCATAACCCTAACCCATGCATTCCTATGGGAAAAAATCAAATTTTTTAGGAATGTCCTAGAGACTCGGGAGTTGGTTCAGTGCACTCAGAAAAATCCTAGCTCCAAGCCCAACCCTAACCCTAGCTCCAACACTAACCCTAACTCCAACCCTAACCCTAACCCTAACCCTAGCTCCAACCCTAACCCTAACCCTAACCCATGCATTCCTATGGGAAAAAATAAAAATTTTTTAGGAATGTCCTAGAGACTCGGGAGTTGGTTCAGTGCACTCAGAAAAATCCTAGCTCCAAGCCCAACCCTAACCCTAGCTCCAACACTAACCCTAACTCCAACCCTAACCCTAACCCTAACCCTAGCTCCAACCCTAACCCTAACCCTAACCCTAACCCATGCATTCCTATGGGAAAAAATCAAATTTTTTTAGGAATGTCCTAGAGACTCGGGAGTTGGTTCAGTGCACTCAGAAAAATCCTAGCTCCAAGCCCAACCCTAACCCTAGCTCCAACACTAACCCTAACTCCAACCCTAACCCTAACCCTAACCCTAGCTCCAACCCTAACCCTAACCATAACCCTAACCCATGCATTCCTATGGGAAAAAATCAATTTTTTTTAGGGAACGTCCTAGAGACTCGGGAGTTGGTTCATTGCACTCAGAAAAGTCCTAGCTCCAAGCCCAACCCTAACCCTAGCTCCAACACTAACCCTAACTCCAACCCTAACCCTAACCCTAACCCTAGCTCCAACCCTAACCCTAACCATAACCCTAACCCATGCATTCCTATGGGAAAAAATCAAATTTTTTTAGGAACGTCCAAGAGACTCGGGAGTTGGTTCAGTGCACTCAGAAAAATCCTAGCTCCAAGCCCAACCCTAACCCTAGCTCCAACACTAACCCTAACTCCAACCCTAACCCTAACCCTAACCCTAGCTCCAACCCTAACCCTAACCCTAACCCATGCATTCCTATGGGAAAAAATCAAATTTTTTTAGGAACGTCCTAGAGACTCGGGAGTTGGTTCAGTGCACTCAGAAAAATCCTAGCTCCAAGCCCAACCCTAACCCTAGCTCCAACACTAACCCTAACTCCAACTCTAACCCTAACCCTAACCCTAGCTCCAACCCTAACCCTAACCATAACCCTAAACCATGCATTCCTATGGGAAAAAAATCAATTTTTTTTAGGAATGTCCTAGAGACTCGGGAGTTGGTTCAGTGCACTCAGAAAAATCCTAGCTCCAAGCCCAACCCTAACCCTAGCTCCAACACTAACCCTAACTCCAACCCTAACCCTAACCCTAACCCTAGCTCCAACCCTAACCCTAACCATAACCCTAACCCATGCATTCCTATGGGAAAAAATCAAATTTTTTTAGGAATGTCCTAGAGACTCGGGAGTTGGTTCAGTGCACTCAGAAAAATCCTAGCTCCAAGCCCAACCCTAACCCTAGCTCCAACACTAACCCTAACTCCAACCCTAACCCTAACCCTAACCCTAGCTCCAACCCTAACCCTAACCCTATCCCCTTGCATTCCTATGGGAAAAAATAAAATTTTTTTAGGGAACGTCCTAGAGACTCGGGAGTTGGTTCATTGCACTCAGAAAAGTCCTAGCTCCAAGCCCAACCCTAACCCTAGCTCCAACACTAACCCTAACTCCAACCCTAACCCTAACCCTAACCCTAGCTCCAACCCTAACCCTAACCATAACCCTAACCCATGCATTCCTATGGGAAAAAAATCAATTTTTTTTAGGAATGTCCTAGAGACTCGGGAGTTGGTTCAGTGCACTCAGAAAAATCCTAGCTCCAAGCCCAACCCTAACCCTAGCTCCAACACTAACCCTAACTCCAACCCTAACCCTAACCCTAACCCTAGCTCCAACCCTAACCCTAACCCTAACCCATGCATTCCTATGGGAAAAAAATCAAATTTTTTTAGGAATGTCCTAGAGACTCGGGAGTTGGTTCATTGCACTCAGAAAATTCCTTGCTCAAAGCCCAACCCTAACCCTAGCTCCAACACTAACCCTAACTCCAACCCTAACCCTAACCCTAACCCTAGCTCCAACCCTAACCCTAACCATAACCCTAACCCATGCATTCCTATGGGAAAAAATCAAATTTTTTTAGGAATGTCCTAGAGACTCGGGAGTTGGTTCAGTGCACTCAGAAAAATCCTAGCTCCAAGCCCAACCCTAACCCTAGCTCCAACACTAACCCTAACTCCAACCCTAACCCTAACCCTAACCCTAGCTCCAACCCTAACCCTAACCCTAACCCATGCATTCCTATGGGAAAAAATCAAATTTTTTTAGGAACGTCCAAGAGACTCGGGAGTTGGTTCATTGCACTCAGAAAAATCCTAGCTCCAAGCCCAACCCTAACCCTAGCTCCAACACTAACCCTAACTCCAACCCTAACCCTAACCCTAGCTCCAACCCTAACCCTAACCATAACCCTAACCCATGCATTCCTATGGGAAAAAATCAAATTTTTTTAGGAATGTCCTAGAGACTCGGGAGTTGGTTCAGTGCACTCAGAAAAATCCTAGCTCCAAGCCCAACCCTAACCCTAGCTCCAACACTAACCCTAACTCCAACCCTAACCCTAACCCTAACCCTAGCTCCAACCCTAACCCTAACCCTAACCCATGCATTCCTATGGGAAAAAATCAAATTTTTTTAGGAACATCCTAGAGACTCGGGAGTTGGTTCATTGCACTCAGAAAAGTCCTAGCTCCAAGCCCAACCCTAACCCTAGCTCCAACACTAACCCTAACTCCAACCCTAACCCTAACCCTAACCCTAGCTCCAACCCTAACCCTAACCGTAACCCTAAACCATGCATTCCTATGGGAAAAAATCAAATTTTTTTAGGAATGTCCTAGAGACTCGGAGTTGGTTCAGTGCACTCAGAAAAATCCTAGCTCCAAGCCCAACCCTAACCCTAGCTCCAACACTAACCCTAACTCCAACCCTAACCCTAACCCTAACCCTAGCTCCAACCCTAACCCTAACCCTAACCCATGCATTCCTATGGGAAAAAATCAAATTTTTTTAGGAACGTCCTAGAGACTCGGGAGTTGGTTCATTGCACTCAGAAAAATCCTAGCTCCAAGCCCAACCCTAACCCTAGCTCCAACACTAACCCTAACTCCAACCCTAACCCTAACCCTAACCCTAGCTCCAACCCTAACCCTAACCATAAACCTGACCCATGCATTCCTATGGGAAAAAAAATCAATTTTTTTTAGGAATGTCCTAGAGACTCGGGAGTTGGTTCAGTGCACTCAGAAAAATCCTAGCTCCAAGCCCAACCCTAACCCTAGCTCCAACACTAACCCTAACTCCAACCCTAACCCTAACCCTAACCCTAGCTCCAACCCTAACCCTAACCATAACCCTAACCCATGCATTCCTATGGGAAAAAATCAAATTTTTTTAGGAACGTCCAAAAGACTCGGGAGTTGGTTCATTGCACTCAGAAAAATCCTAGCTCCAAGCCCAACCCTAACCCTAGCTCCAACACTAACCCTAACTCCAACCCTAACCCTAACCCTAACCCTAGCTCCAACCCTAACCCTAACCCTAACCCATGCATTCCTATGGGAAAAAAATCAAATTTTTTTAGGAACGTCCTAGAGACTCGGGAGTTGGTTCATTGCACTCAGAAAAATCCTAGCTCCAAGCCCAACCCTAACCCTAGCTCCAACACTAACCCTAACTCCAACCCTAACCCTAACCCTAACCCTAGCTCCAACCCTAACCCTAACCATAACCCTAACCCATGCATTCCTATGGGAAAAAAATCAAATTTTTTTAGGAATGTCCTAGAGACTCGGGAGTTGGTTCAGTGCACTCAGAAAAATCCTAGCTCCAAGCCCAACCCTAACCCTAGCTCCAACACTAACCCTAACTCCAACCCTAACCCTAACCCTAACCCTAGCTCCAACCCTAACCCTAACCCTAACCCATGCATTCCTATGGGAAAAAAATCAAATTTTTTTAGGAACGTCCTAGAGACTCGGGAGTTGGTTCATTGCACTCAGAAAAATCCTAGCTCCAAGCCCAACCCTAACCCTAGCTCCAACACTAACCCTAACTCCAACCCTAACCCTAACCCTAACCCTAGCTCCAACCCTAACCCTAACCCCCTAACCCATGCATTCCTATGGGAAAAAATCAAATTTTTTTAGGAACGTCCTAGAGACTCGGGAGTTGGTTCAGTGCACTCAGAAAAATCCTAGCTCCAAGCCCAACCCTAACCCTAGCTCCAACACTAACCCTAACTCCAACCCTAACCCTAACCCTAACCCTAGCTCCAACCCTAACCCTAACCATAACCCTAACCCATGCATTCCTATGGGAAAAAATCAAATTTTTTTAGGAATGTCCTAGAGACTCGGGAGTTGGTTCAGTGCACTCAGAAAAATCCTAGCTCCAAGCCCAACCCTAACCCTAGCTCCAACACTAACCCTAACTCCAACCCTAACCCTAACCCTAACCCTAGCTCCAACCCTAACCCTAACCCTAACCCATGCATTCCTATGGGAAAAAATCAAATTTTTTTAGGAATGTCCTAGAGACTCGGGAGTTGGTTCAGTGCACTCAGAAAAATCCTAGCTCCAAGCCCAACCCTAACCCTAGCTCCAACACTAACCCTAACTCCAACCCTAACCCTAACCCTAACCCTAACCCTAGCTCCAACCCTAACCCTAACAATAACCCTAACCCATGCATTCCTATGGGAAAAAATCAAATTTTTTTATGAATGTCCTAGAGACTCGGGAGTTGGTTCAGTGCACTCAGAAAAATCCTAGCTCCAAGCCCAACCCTAACCCTAGCTCCAACACTAACCCTAACTCCAACCCTAACCCTAACCCTAACCCTAACCCTAGCTCCAACCCTAACCCTAACCCTAACCCATGCATTCCTATGGGAAAAAAATCAATTTTTTTTTAGGAATGTCCTAGAGACTCGGGAGTTGGTTCAGTGCACTCAGAAAAATCCTAGCTCCAAGCCCAACCCTAACCCTAGCTCCAACACTAACCCTAACTCCAACCCTAACCCTAACCCTAACCCTAGCTCCAACCCTAACCCTAACCCTAACCCATGCATTCCTATGGGAAAAAAATCAAATTTTTTTAGGAATGTCCTAGAGACTCGGGAGTTGGTTCATTGCACTCAGAAAATTCCTTGCTCCAAGCCCAACCCTAACCCTAGCTCCAACACTAACCCTAACTCCAACCCTAACCCTAACCCTAACCCTAGCTCCAACCCTAACCCTAACCATAACCCTAACCCATGCATTCCTATGGGAAAAAATCAAATTTTTTTAGGAATGTCCTAGAGACTCGGGAGTTGGTTCAGTGCACTCAGAAAAATCCTAGCTCCAAGCCCAACCCTAACCCTAGCTCCAACACTAACCCTAACTCCAACCCTAACCCTAACCCTAACCCTAGCTCCAACCCTAACCCTAACCCTAACCCATGCATTCCTATGGGAAAAAATCAAATTTTTTTAGGAACGTCCTAGAGACTCGGGAGTTGGTTCATTGCACTCAGAAAAATCCTAGCTCCAAGCCCAACCCTAACCCTAGCTCCAACACTAACCCTAACTCCAACCCTAACCCTAACCCTAGCTCCAACCCTAACCCTAACCATAACCCTAACCCATGCATTCCTATGGGAAAAAAATCAAATTTTTTTAGGAATGTCCTAGAGACTCGGGAGTTGGTTCAGTGCACTCAGAAAAATCCTAGCTCCAAGCCCAACCCTAACCCTAGCTCCAACACTAACCCTAACTCCAACCCTAACCCTAACCCTAACCCTAGCTCCAACCCTAACCCTAACCCTAACCCATGCATTCCTATGGGAAAAAATCAAATTTTTTTAGGAATGTCCTAGAGACTCGGGAGTTGGTTCAGTGCACTCAGAAAAATCCTAGCTCCAAGCCCAACCCTAACCCTAGCTCCAACACTAACCCTAACTCCAACCCTAACCCTAACCCTAACCCTAGCTCCAACCCTAACCCTAACCCTAACCCATGCATTCCTATGGGAAAAAATCAAATTTTTTTAGGAATGTCCTAGAGACTCGGGAGTTGGTTCATTGCACTCAGAAAAATCCTAGCTCCAAGCCCAACCCTAACCCTAGCTCCAACACTAACCCTAACTCCAACCCTAACCCTAACCCTAACCCTAGCTCCAACCCTAACCCTAACCATAACCCTAACCCATGCATTCCTATGGGAAAAAATCAAATTTTTTTAGGAATGTCCTAGAGACTCGGGAGTTGGTTCAGTGCACTCAGAAAAATCCTAGCTCCAAGCCCAACCCTAACCCTAGCTCCAACACTAACCCTAACTCCAACCCTAACCCTAACCCTAACCCTAGCTCCAACCCTAACCCTAACCCTAACCCATGCATTCCTATGGGAAAAAATCAAATTTTTTTAGGAATGTCCAAGAGACTCGGGAGTTGGTTCATTGCACTCAGAAAAATCCTAGCTCCAAGCCCAACCCTAACCCTAGCTCCAACACTAACCCTAACTCCAACCCTAACCCTAACCCTAACCCTAGCTCCAACCCTAACCCTAACCATAACCCTAACCCATGCATTCCTATGGGAAAAAAATCAAATTTTTTTAGGAATGTCCTAGAGACTCGGGAGTTGGTTCAGTGCACTCAGAAAAATCCTAGCTCCAAGCCCAACCCTAACCCTAGCTCCAACACTAACCCTAACTCCAACCCTAACCCTAACCCTAACCCTAGCTCCAACCCTAACCCTAACCATAACCCTAACCCATGCATTCCTATGGGAAAAAATCAAATTTTTTTAGGAACGTCCTAGAGACTCGGGAGTTGGTTCATTGCACTCAGAAAAATCCTAGCTCCAAGCCCAACCCTAACCCTAGCTCCAACACTAACCCTAACTCCAACCCTAACCCTAACCCTAACCCTAGCTCCAACCCTAACCCTAACCCTAACCCATGCATTCCTATGGGAAAAAATCAAATTTTTTTAGGAACGTCCTAGAGACTCGGGAGTTGGTTCATTGCACTCAGAAAAATCCTAGCTCCAAGCCCAACCCTAACCCTAGCTCCAACACTAACCCTAACTCCAACCCTAACCCTAACCCTAACCCTAGCTCCAACCCTAACCCTAACCATAACCCTAACCCATGCATTCCTATGGGAAAAAATCAAATTTTTTTAGGAATGTCCCAGAGACTCGGGAGTTGGTTCAGTGCACTCAGAAAAATCCTAGCTCCAAGCCCAACCCTAACCCTAGCTCCAACACTAACCCTAACTCCAACCCTAACCCTAACCCTAACCCTAGCTCCAACCCTAACCCTAACCCTAACCCATGCATTCCTATGGGAAAAAATCAAATTTTTTTAGGAATGTCCTAGAGACTCGGGAGTTGGTTCAGTGCACTCAGAAAAATCCTAGCTCCAAGCCCAACCCTAACCCTAGCTCCAACACTAACCCTAACTCCAACCCTAACCCTAACCCTAACCCTAACCCTAGCTCCAACCCTAACCCTAACCCTAACCCATGCATTCCTATGGGAAAAAATCAAATTTTTTTAGGAACGTCCTAGAGACTCGGGAGTTGGTTCATTGCACTCAGAAAAATCCTAGCTCCAAGCCCAACCCTAACCCTAGCTCCAACACTAACCCTAACTCCAACCCTAACCCTAACCCTAACCCTAGCTCCAACCCTAACCCTAACCCTAACCCATGCATTCCTATGGGAAAAAATCAAATTTTTTTAGGAAAGTCCAAGAGACTCGGGAGTTGGTTCATTGCACTCAGAAAAATCCTAGCTCCAAGCCCAACCCTAACCCTAGCTCCAACACTAACCCTAACTCCAACCCTAACCCTAACCCTAACCCTAGCTCCAACCCTAACCCTAACCATAACCCTAACCCATGCATTCCTATGGGAAAAAATCAAATTTTTTTAGGAATGTCCCAGAGACTCGGGAGTTGGTTCAGTGCACTCAGAAAAATCCTAGCTCCAAGCCCAACCCTAACCCTAGCTCCAACACTAACCCTAACTCCAACCCTAACCCTAACCCTAACCCTAGCTCCAACCCTAACCCTAACCCTAACCCATGCATTCCTATGGGAAAAAATCAAATTTTTTTAGGAATGTCCTAGAGACTCGGGAGTTGGTTCAGTGCACTCAGAAAAATCCTAGCTCCAAGCCCAACCCTAACCCTAGCTCCAACACTAACCCTAACTCCAACCCTAACCCTAACCCTAACCCTAACCCTAGCTCCAACCCTAACCCTAACAATAACCCTAACCCATGCATTCCTATGGGAAAAAATCAAATTTTTTTAGGAATGTCCTAGAGACTCGGGAGTTGGTTCAGTGCACTCAGAAAAATCCTAGCTCCAAGCCCAACCCTAACCCTAGCTCCAACACTAACCCTAACTCCAACCCTAACCCTAACCCTAACCCTAACCCTAGCTCCAACCCTAACCCTAACCCTAACCCATGCATTCCTATGGGAAAAAATCAAATTTTTTTAGGAATGTCCTAGAGACTCGGGAGTTGGTTCAGTGCACTCAGAAAAATCCTAGCTCCAAGCCCAACCCTAACCCTAGCTCCAACACTAACCCTAACTCCAACCCTAACCCTAACCCTAACCCTAACCCTAGCTCCAACCCTAACCCTAACCCTAACCCATGCATTCCTATGGGAAAAAATCAAATTTTTTTAGGAACGTCCTAGAGACTCGGGAGTTGGTTCATTGCACTCAGAAAAATCCTAGCTCCAAGCCCAACCATAACCCTAGCTCCAACACTAACCCTAACTCCAACCCTAACCCTAACCCTAACCCTAGCTCCAACCCTAACCCTAACCATAACCCTAACCCATGCATTCCTATGGGAAAAAATCAAATTTTTTTAGGAATGTCCTAGAGACTCGGGAGTTGGTTCAGTGCACTCAGAAAAATCCTAGCTCCAAGCCCAACCCTAACCCTAGCTCCAACACTAACCCTAACTCCAACCCTAACCCTAACCCTAACCCTAGCTCCAACCCTAACCCTAACCATAACCCTAACCCATGCATTCCTATGGGAAAAAATCAAATTTTTTTAGGAATGTCCTAGAGACTCGGGAGTTGGTTCAGTGCACTCAGAAAAATCCTAGCTCCAAGCCCAACCCTAACCCTAGCTCCAACACTAACCCTAACTCCAACCCTAACCCTAACCCTAACCCTAGCTCCAACCCTAACCCTAACCATAACCCATGCATTCCTATGGGAAAAAATCAAATTTTTTAGGAACGTCCTAGAGACTCGGGAGTTGGTTCATTGCACTCAGAAAAATCCTAGCTCCAAGCCCAACCCTAACCCTAGCTCCAACACTAACCCTAACTCCAACCCTAACCCTAACCCTAACCCTAGCTCCAACCCTAACCCTAACCATAACCCTAACCCATGCATTCCTATGGGAAAAAATCAAATTTTTTTAGGAATGTCCTAGAGACTCGGGAGTTGGTTCAGTGCACTCAGAAAAATCCTAGCTCCAAGCCCAACCCTAACCCTAGCTCCAACACTAACCCTAACTCCAACCCTAACCCTAACCCTAACCCTAACCCTAGCTCCAACCCTAACCCTAACCCTAACCCATGCATTCCTATGGGAAAAAATCAAATTTTTTTAGGAACATCCTAGAGACTCGGGAGTTGGTTCATTGCACTCAGAAAAATCCTAGCTCCAAGCCCAACCCTAACCCTAGCTCCAACACTAACCCTAACTCCAACCCTAACCCTAACCCTAACCCTAGCTCCAACCCTAACCCTAACCATAACCCTAACCCATGCATTCCTATGGGAAAAAATCAAATTTTTTTAGGAATGTCCTAGAGACTCGGGAGTTGGTTCAGTGCACTCAGAAAAATCCTAGCTCCAAGCCCAACCCTAACCCTAGCTCCAACACTAACCCTAACTCCAACCCTAACCCTAACCCTAACCCTAACCCTAGCTCCAACCCTAACCCTAACCCTAACCCATGCATTCCTATGGGAAAAAATCAAATTTTTTTAGGAACGTCCTAGAGACTCGGGAGTTGGTTCATTGCACTCAGAAAAATCCTAGCTCCAAGCCCAACCCTAACCCTAGCTCCAACACTAACCCTAACTCCAACCCTAACCCTAACCCTAACCCTAGCTCCAACCCTAACCCTAACCATAACCCTAACCCATGCATTCCTATGGGAAAAAATCAAATTTTTTTAGGAATGTCCTAGAGACTCGGGAGTTGGTTCAGTGCACTCATAAAAATCCTAGCTCCAAGCCCAACCCTAACCCTAGCTCCAACACTAACCCTAACTCCAACCCTAACCCTAACCCTAACCCTAGCTCCAACCCTAACCCTAACCCTAACCCATGCATTCCTATGGGAAAAAATCAAATTTTTTTAGGGAACGTCCTAGAGACTCGGGAGTTGGTTCATTGCACTCAGAAAAGTCCTAGCTCCAAGCCCAACCCTAACCCTAGCTCCAACACTAACCCTAACTCCAACCCTAACCCTAACCCTAGCTCCAACCCTAACCCTAACCATAACCCTAAACCATGCATTCCTATGGGAAAAAATCAAATTTTTTTAGGAATGTCCTAGAGACTCGGGAGTTGGTTCAGTGCACTCAGAAAAATCCTAGCTCCAAGCCCAACCCTAACCCTAGCTCCAACACTAACCCTAACTCCAACCCTAACCCTAACCCTAACCCTAGCTCCAACCCTAACCCTAACCCTAACCCATGCATTCCTATGGGAAAAAATCAAATTTTTTTAAGAACATCCTAGAGACTCGGGAGTTGGTTCATTGCACTCAGAAAAATCCTAGCTCCAAGCCCAACCCTAACCCTAGCTCCAACACTAACCCTAACTCCAACCCTAACCCTAACCCTAACCCTAGCTCCAACCCTAACCCTAACCCTAACCCATGCATTCCTATGGGAAAAAATCAAATTTTTTTAAGAACATCCTAGAGACTCGGGAGTTGGTTCATTGCACTCAGAAAAATCCTAGCTCCAAGCCCAACCCTAACCCTAGCTCCAACACTAACCCTAACTCCAACCCTAACCCTAACCCTAACCCTAGCTCCAACCCTAACCCTAACCCTAACCCTAACCCATGCATTCCTATGGGAAAAAATCAAATTTTTTTAGGAACGTCCTAGAGACTCGGGAGTTGGTTCATTGCACTCAGAAAAATCCTAGCTCCAAGCCCAACCCTAACCCTAGCTCCAGCACTAACCCTAACTCCAACCCTAACCCTAACCCTAACCCTAGCTCCAACCCTAACCCTAACCATAACCCTAACCCATGCATTCCTATGGGAAAAAATCAAATTTTTTTAGGAATGTCCTAGAGACTCGGGAGTTGGTTCAGTGCACTCAGAAAAATCCTAGCTCCAAGCCCAACCCTAACCCTAGCTCCAACACTAACCCTAACTCCAACCCTAACCCTAACCCTAACCCTAGCTCCAACCCTAACCCTAACCCTAACCCATGCATTCCTATGGGAAAAAATCAAATTTTTTTAGGGAACGTCCTAGAGACTCGGGAGTTAGTTCATTGCACTCAGAAAAGTCCTAGCTCCAAGCCCAACCCTAACCCTAGCTCCAACACTAACCCTAACTCCAACCCTAACCCTAACCCTAGCTCCAACCCTAACCCTAACCATAACCCTAAACCATGCATTCCTATGGGAAAAAATCAAATTTTTTTAGGAATGTCCTAGAGACTCGGGAGTTGGTTCAGTGCACTCAGAAAAATCCTAGCTCCAAGCCCAACCCTAACCCTAGCTCCAACACTAACCCTAACTCCAACCCTAACCCTTACCCTAACCCTAGCTCCAACCCTAACCCTAACCCTAACCCATGCATTCCTATGGGAAAAAATCAAATTTTTTTAAGAACATCCTAGAGACTCGGGAGTTGGTTCATTGCACTCAGAAAAATCCTAGCTCCAAGCCCAACCCTAACCCTAGCTCCAACACTAACCCTAACTCCAACCCTAACCCTAACCCTAACCCTAGCTCCAACCCTAACCCTAACCCTAACCCATGCATTCCTATGGGAAAAAATCAAATTTTTTTAGGAACGTCCTAGAGACTCGGGAGTTGGTTCATTGCACTCAGAAAAATCCTAGCTCCAAGCCCAACCCTAACCCTAGCTCCAGCACTAACCCTAACTCCAACCCTAACCCTAACCCTAACCCTAGCTCCAACCCTAACCCTAACCATAACCCTAACCCATGCATTCCTATGGGAAAAAATCAAATTTTTTTAGGAATGTCCTAGAGACTCGGGAGTTGGTTCAGTGCACTCAGAAAAATCCTAGCTCCAAGCCCAACCCTAACCCTAGCTCCAACACTAACCCTAACTCCAACCCTAACCCTAACCCTAACCCTAGCTCCAACCCTAACCCTAACCCTAACCCTAACCCATGCATTCCTATGGGAAAAAATCAAATTTTTTTAGGAATGTCCTAGAGACTCGGGAGTTGGTTCAGTGCACTCAGAAAAATCCTAGCTCCAAGCCCAACCCTAACCCTAGCTCCAACACTAACCCTAACTCCAACCCTAACCCTAACCCTAACCCTAACCCTAGCTCCAACCCTAACCCTAACCCTAACCCATGCATTCCTATGGGAAAAAATCAAATTTTTTTAGGAACATCCTAGAGACTCGGGAGTTGGTTCATTGCACTCAGAAAAATCCTAGCTCCAAGCCCAACCCTAACCCTAGCTCCAACACTAACCCTAACTCCAACCCTAACCCTAACCCTAACCCTAGCTCCAACCCTAACCCTAACCCTAACCCATGCATTCCTATGGGAAAAAATCAATTTTTTTAGGAACGTCCTAGAGACTCGGGAGTTGGTTCATTGCACTCAGAAAAATCCTAGCTCCAAGCCCAACCCTAACCCTAGCTCCAACACTAACCCTAACTCCAACCCTAACCCTAACCCTAACCCTAGCTCCAACCCTAACCCTAACCCTAACCCATGCATTCCTATGGGAAAAAATCAAATTTTTTTAGGAACGTCCAAGAGACTCGGGAGTTGGTTCATTGCACTCAGAAAAATCCTAGCTCCAAGCCCAACCCTAACCCTAGCTCCAACACTAACCCTAACTCCAACCCTAACCCTAACCCTAACCCTAGCTCCAACCCTAACCCTAACCATAACCCTAACCCATGCATTCCTATGGGAAAAAAATCAAATTTTTTTAGGAATGTCCTAGAGAATCGGGAGTTGGTTCAGTGCACTCAGAAAAATCCTAGCTCCAAGCCCAACCCTAACCCTAGCTCCAACACTAACCCTAACTCCAACCCTAACCCTAACCCTAACCCTAGCTCCAACCCTAACCCTAACCATAACCCTAACCCATGCATTCCTATGGGAAAAAAATCAAATTTTTTTAGGAATGTCCTAGAGACTCGGGAGTTGGTTCAGTGCACTCAGAAAAATCCTAGCTCCAAGCCCAACCCTAACCCTAGCTCCAACACTAACCCTAACTCCAACCCTAACCCTAACCCTAACCCTAACCCTAGCTCCAACCCTAACCCTAACCCTAACCCATGCATTCCTATGGGAAAAAATCAAATTTTTTTAGGAACATCCAAGAGACTCGGGAGTTGGTTCATTGCACTCAGAAAAATCCTAGCTCCAAGCCCAACCCTAACCCTAGCTCCAACACTAACCCTAACTCCAACCCTAACCCTAACCCTAACCCTAGCTCCAACCCTAACCCTAATTATAACCCTAACCCATGCATTCCTATGGGAAAAAATCAAATTTTTTTAGGAATGTCCTAGAGACTCGGGAGTTGGTTCAGTGCACTCAGAAAAATCCTAGCTCCAAGCCCAACCCTAACCCTAGCTCCAACACTAACCCTAACTCCAACCCTAACCCTAACCCTAACCCTAGCTCCAACCCTAACCCTAACCCTAACCCATGCATTCCTATGGGAAAAAATCAAAATTTTTTAGGAACGTCCAAGAGACTCGGGAGTTGGTTCATTGCACTCAGAAAAATCCTAGCTCCAAGCCCAACCCTAACCCTAGCTCCAACACTAACCCTAACTCCAACCCTAACCCTAACCCTAACCCTAGCTCCAACCCTAACCCTAACCATAACCCTAACCCATGCATTCCTATGGGAAAAAAATCAAATTTTTTTAGGAATGTCCTAGAGACTCGGGAGTTGGTTCAGTGCACTCAGAAAAATCCTAGCTCCAAGCCCAACCCTAACCCTAGCTCCAACACTAACCCTAACTCCAACCCTAACCCTAACCCTAACCCTAACCCTAGCTCCAACCCTAACCCTAACCCTAACCCATGCATTCCTATGGGAAAAAATCAAATTTTTTTAGGAACATCCTAGAGACTCGGGAGTTGGTTCATTGCACTCAGAAAAATCCTAGCTCCAAGCCCAACCCTAACCCTAGCTCCAACACTAACCCTAACTCCAACCCTAACCCTAACCCTAACCCTAGCTCCAACCCTAACCCTAACCATAACCCTAACCCATGCATTCCTATGGGAAAAAATCAAATTTTTTTAGGAATGTCCTAGAGACTCGGGAGTTGGTTCAGTGCACTCAGAAAAATCCTAGCTCCAAGCCCAACCCTAACCCTAGCTCCAACACTAACCCTAACTCCAACCCTAACCCTAACCCTAACCCTAACCCTAGCTCCAACCCTAACCCTAACCCTAACCCATGCATTCCTATGGGAAAAAATCAAATTTTTTTAGGAACGTCCTAGAGACTCGGGAGTTGGTTCATTGCACTCAGAAAAATCCTAGCTCCAAGCCCAACCCTAACCCTAGCTCCAACACTAACCCTAACTCCAACCCTAACCCTAACCCTAACCCTAGCTCCAACCCTAACCCTAACCATAACCCTAACCCATGCATTCCTATGGGAAAAAATCAAATTTTTTTAGGAATGTCCTAGAGACTCGGGAGTTGGTTCATTGCACTCAGAAAAATCCTAGCTCCAAGCCCAACCCTAACCCTAGCTCCAACACTAACCCTAACTCCAACCCTAACCCTAACCCTAACCCTAGCTCCAACCCTAACCCTAACCATAACCCTAACCCATGCATTCCTATGGGAAAAAATCTAATTTTTTTAGGAATGTCCTAGAGACTCGGGAGTTGGTTCAGTGCACTCAGAAAAATCCTAGCTCCAAGCCCAACCCTAACCCTAGCTCCAACACTAACCCTAACTCCAACCCTAACCCTAACCCTAACCCTAGCTCCAACCCTAACCCTAACCATAACCCTAACCCATGCATTCCTATGGGAAAAAATCAAATTTTTTTAGGAATGTCCTAGAGACTCGGGAGTTGGTTCAGTGCACTCAGAAAAATCCTAGCTCCAAGCCCAACCCTAACCCTAGCTCCAACACTAACCCTAACTCCAACCCTAACCCTAACCCTAACCCTAACCCTAGCTCCAACCCTAACCCTAACCCTAACCCATGCATTCCTATGGGAAAAAATCAAATTTTTTTAGGAACGTCCTAGAGACTCGGGAGTTGGTTCATTGCACTCAGAAAAATCCTAGCTCCAAGCCCAACCCTAACCCTAGCTCCAACACTAACCCTAACTCCAACCCTAACCCTAACCCTAACCCTAGCTCCAACCCTAACCCTAACCATAACCCTAACCCATGCATTCCTATGGGAAAAAATCTAATTTTTTTAGGAATGTCCTAGAGACTCGGGAGTTGGTTCAGTGCACTCAGAAAAATCCTAGCTCCAAGCCCAACCCTAACCCTAGCTCCAACACTAACCCTAACTCCAACCCTAACCCTAACCCTAACCCTAGCTCCAACCCTAACCCTAACCATAACCCTAACCCATGCATTCCTATGGGAAAAAATCAAATTTTTTTAGGAATGTCCTAGAGACTCGGGAGTTGGTTCAGTGCACTCAGAAAAATCCTAGCTCCAAGCCCAACCCTAACCCTAGCTCCAACACTAACCCTAACTCCAACCCTAACCCTAACCCTAACCCTAGCTCCAACCCTAACCCTAACCCTAACCCATGCATTCCTATGGGAAAAAATCAAATTTTTTTAGGGAACGTCCTAGAGACTCGGGAGTTGGTTCATTGCACTCAGAAAAGTCCTAGCTCCAAGCCCAACCCTAACCCTAGCTCCAACACTAACCCTAACTCCAACCCTAACCCTAACCCTAACCCTAGCTCCAACCCTAACCCTAACCATAACCCTAAACCATGCATTCCTATGGGAAAAAATCAAATTTTTTTAGGAATGTCCTAGAGACTCGGGAGTTGGTTCAGTGCACTCAGAAAAATCCTAGCTCCAAGCCCAACCCTAACCCTAGCTCCAACACTAACCCTAACTCCAACCCTAACCCTAACCCTAACCCTAGCTCCAACCCTAACCCTAACCATAACCCTAAACCATGCATTCCTATGGGAAAAAATCAAATTTTTTTAGGAATGTCCTAGAGACTCGGGAGTTGGTTCAGTGCACTCAGAAAAATCCTAGCTCCAAGCCCAACCCTAACCCTAGCTCCAACACTAACCCTAACTCCAACCCTAACCCTAACCCTAACCCTAGCTCCAACCCTAACCCTAACCCTAACCCATGCATTCCTATGGGAAAAAATCAAATTTTTTTAAGAACGTCCTAGAGACTCGGGAGTTGGTTCATTGCACTCAGAAAAATCCTAGCTCCAAGCCCAACCCTAACCCTAGCTCCAACACTAACCCTAACTCCAACCCTAACCCTAACCCTAACCCTAGCTCCAACCCTAACCCTAACCCTAACCCATGCATTCCTATGGGAAAAAATCAATTTTTTTAGGAATGTCCTAGAGACTCGGGAGTTGGTTCATTGCACTCAGAAAAATCCTAGCTCCAAGCCCAACCCTAACCCTAGCTCCAACACTAACCCTAACTCCAACCCTAACCCTAACCCTAACCCTAGCTCCAACCCTAACCCTAACCATAACCCTAACCCATGCATTCCTATGGGAAAAAATCAAATTTTTTTAGGAATGTCCTAGAGACTCGGGAGTTGGTTCAGTGCACTCAGAAAAATCCTAGCTCCAAGCCCAACCCTAACCCTAGCTCCAACACTAACCCTAACTCCAACCCTAACCCTAACCCTAACCCTAACCCTAGCTCCAACCCTAACCCTAACCCTAACCCATGCATTCCTATGGGAAAAAATCAAATTTTTTAGGAATGTCCTAGAGACTCGGGAGTTGGTTCATTGCACTCAGAAAAATCCTAGCTCCAAGCCCAACCCTAACCCTAGCTCCAACACTAACCCTAACTCCAACCCTAACCCTAACCCTAACCCTAGCTCCAACCCTAACCCTAACCATAACCCTAACCCATGCATTCCTATGGGAAAAAATCTAATTTTTTTAGGAATGTCCTAGAGACTCGGGAGTTGGTTCAGTGCACTCAGAAAAATCCTAGCTCCAAGCCCAACCCTAACCCTAGCTCCAACACTAACCCTAACTCCAACCCTAACCCTAACCCTAACCCTAGCTCCAACCCTAACCCTAACCATAACCCTAACCCATGCATTCCTATGGGAAAAAATCAAATTTTTTTAGGAATGTCCTAGAGACTCGGGAGTTGGTTCAGTGCACTCAGAAAAATCCTAGCTCCAAGCCCAACCCTAACCCTAGCTCCAACACTAACACTAACTCCAACCCTAACCCTAACCCTAACCCTAGCTCCAACCCTAACCCTAACCCTAACCCATGCATTCCTATGGGAAAAAATCAAATTTTTTTAGGGAACGTCCTAGAGACTCGGGAGTTGGTTCATTGCACTCAGAAAAATCCTAGCTCCAAGCCCAACCCTAACCCTAGCTCCAACACTAACCCTAACTCCAACCCTAACCCTAACCCTAACCCTAGCTCCAACCCTAACCCTAACCATAACCCTAAACCATGCATTCCTATGGGAAAAAATCAAATTTTTTTAGGAATGTCCTAGAGACTCGGGAGTTGGTTCAGTGCACTCAGAAAAATCCTAGCTCCAAGCCCAACCCTAACCCTAGCTCCAACACTAACCCTAACTCCAACCCTAACCCTAACCCTAACCCTAGCTCCAACCCTAACCCTAACCATAACCCTAAACCATGCATTCCTATGGGAAAAAATCAAATTTTTTTAGGAATGTCCTAGAGACTCGGGAGTTGGTTCAGTGCACTCAGAAAAATCCTAGCTCCAAGCCCAACCCTAACCCTAGCTCCAACACTAACCCTAACTCCAACCCTAACCCTAACCCTAACCCTAGCTCCAACCCTAACCCTAACCCTAACCCATGCATTCCTATGGGAAAAAATCAAATTTTTTTAGAACGTCCTAGAGACTCGGGAGTTGGTTCATTGCACTCAGAAAAATCCTAGCTCCAAGCCCAACCCTAACCCTAGCTCCAACACTAACCCTAACTCCAACCCTAACCCTAACCCTAACCCTAGCTCCAACCCTAACCCTAACCCTAACCCATGCATTCCTATGGGAAAAAATCAAATTTTTTTAGGAACGTCCAAGAGACTCGGGAGTTGGTTCATTGCACTCAGAAAAATCCTAGCTCCAAGCCCAACCCTAACCCTAGCTCCAACACTAACCCTAACTCCAACCCTAACCCTAACCCTAACCCTAGCTCCAACCCTAACCCTAACCATAACCCTAACCCATGCATTCCTATGGGAAAAAATCAAATTTTTTTAGGAATGTCCTAGAGACTCGGGAGTTGGTTCAGTGCACTCAGAAAAATCCTAGCTCCAAGCCCAACCCTAACCCTAGCTCCAACACTAACCCTAACTCCAACCCTAACCCTAACCCTAACCCTAGCTCCAACCCTAACCCTAACCATAACCCTAACCCATGCATTCCTATGGGAAAAAATCAAATTTTTTTAGGAATGTCCTAGAGACTCGGGAGTTGGTTCAGTGCACTCAGAAAAATCCTAGCTCCAAGCCCAACCCTAACCCTAGCTCCAACACTAACCCTAACTCCAACCCTAACCCTAACCCTAACCCTAGCTCCAACCCTAACCCTAACCCTAACCCATGCATTCCTATGGGAAAAAATCAAATTTTTTTAGGAACATCCTAGAGACTCGGGAGTTGGTTCATTGCACTCAGAAAAATCCTAGCTCCAAGCCCAACCCTAACCCTAGCTCCAACACTAACCCTAACTCCAACCCTAACCCTAACCCTAACCCTAGCTCCAACCCTAACCCTAACCATAACCCTAACCCATGCATTCCTATGGGAAAAAATCAAATTTTTTTAGGAATGTCCTAGAGACTCGGGAGTTGGTTCAGTGCACTCAGAAAAATCCTAGCTCCAAGCCCAACCCTAACCCTAGCTCCAACACTAACCCTAACTCCAACCCTAACCCTAACCCTAACCCTAACCCTAGCTCCAACCCTAACCCTAACCCTAACCCATGCATTCCTATGGGAAAAAATCAAATTTTTTTAGGAACGTCCTAGAGACTCGGGAGTTGGTTCATTGCACTCAGAAAAATCCTAGCTCCAAGCCCAACCCTAACCCTAGCTCCAACACTAACCCTAACTCCAACCCTAACCCTAACCCTAACCCTAGCTCCAACCCTAACCCTAACCATAACCCTAACCCATGCATTCCTATGGGAAAAAATCTAATTTTTTTAGGAATGTCCTAGAGACTCGGGAGTTGGTTCAGTGCACTCAGAAAAATCCTAGCTCCAAGCCCAACCCTAACCCTAGCTCCAACACTAACCCTAACTCCAACCCTAACCCTAACCCTAACCCTAGCTCCAACCCTAACCCTAACCATAACCCTAACCCATGCATTCCTATGGGAAAAAATCAAATTTTTTTAGGAATGTCCTAGAGACTCGGGAGTTGGTTCAGTGCACTCAGAAAAATCCTAGCTCCAAGCCCAACCCTAACCCTAGCTCCAACACTAACACTAACTCCAACCCTAACCCTAACCCTAACCCTAGCTCCAACCCTAACCCTAACCCTAACCCATGCATTCCTATGGGAAAAAATCAAATTTTTTTAGGGAACGTCCTAGAGACTCGGGAGTTGGTTCATTGCACTCAGAAAAGTCCTAGCTCCAAGCCCAACCCTAACCCTAGCTCCAACACTAACCCTAACTCCAACCCTAACCCTAACCCTAACCCTAGCTCCAACCCTAACCCTAACCATAACCCTAAACCATGCATTCCTATGGGAAAAAATCAAATTTTTTTAGGAATGTCCTAGAGACTCGGGAGTTGGTTCAGTGCACTCAGAAAAATCCTAGCTCCAAGCCCAACCCTAACCCTAGCTCCAACACTAACCCTAACTCCAACCCTAACCCTAACCCTAACCCTAGCTCCAACCCTAACCCTAACCATAACCCTAAACCATGCATTCCTATGGGAAAAAATCAAATTTTTTTAGGAATGTCCTAGAGACTCGGGAGTTGGTTCAGTGCACTCAGAAAAATCCTAGCTCCAAGCCCAACCCTAACCCTAGCTCCAACACTAACCCTAACTCCAACCCTAACCCTAACCCTAACCCTAGCTCCAACCCTAACCCTAACCCTAACCCATGCATTCCTATGGGAAAAAATCAAATTTTTTTAAGAACGTCCTAGAGACTCGGGAGTTGGTTCATTGCACTCAGAAAAATCCTAGCTCCAAGCCCAACCCTAACCCTAGCTCCAACACTAACCCTAACTCCAACCCTAACCCTAACCCTAACCCTAGCTCCAACCCTAACCCTAACCCTAACCCATGCATTCCTATGGGAAAAAATCAAATTTTTTTAGGAACGTCCAAGAGACTCGGGAGTTGGTTCATTGCACTCAGAAAAATCCTAGCTCCAAGCCCAACCCTAACCCTAGCTCCAACACTAACCCTAACTCCAACCCTAACCCTAACCCTAACCCTAGCTCCAACCCTAACCCTAACCATAACCCTAACCCATGCATTCCTATGGGAAAAAATCAAATTTTTTTAGGAATGTCCTAGAGACTCGGGAGTTGGTTCAGTGCACTCAGAAAAATCCTAGCTCCAAGCCCAACCCTAACCCTAGCTCCAACACTAACCCTAACTCCAACCCTAACCCTAACCCTAACCCTAGCTCCAACCCTAACCCTAACCATAACCCTAACCCATGCATTCCTATGGGAAAAAATCAAATTTTTTTAGGAATGTCCTAGAGACTCGGGAGTTGGTTCAGTGCACTCAGAAAAATCCTAGCTCCAAGCCCAACCCTAACCCTAGCTCCAACACTAACCCTAACTCCAACCCTAACCCTAACCCTAACCCTAGCTCCAACCCTAACCCTAACCCTAACCCATGCATTCCTATGGGAAAAAATCAAATTTTTTTAGGAACATCCTAGAGACTCGGGAGTTGGTTCAGTGCACTCAGAAAAATCCTAGCTCCAAGCCCAACCCTAACCCTAGCTCCAACACTAACCCTAACTCCAACCCTAACCCTAACCCTAACCCTAGCTCCAACCCTAACCCTAACCCATAACCCTAACCCATGCATTCCTATGGGAAAAAATCAAATTTTTTTAGGAATGTCCTAGAGACTCGGGAGTTGGTTCAGTGCACTCAGAAAAATCCTAGCTCCAAGCCCAACCCTAACCCTAGCTCCAACACTAACCCTAACTCCAACCCTAACCCTAACCCTAACCCTAGCTCCAACCCTAACCCTAACCCTAACCCATGCATTCCTATGGGAAAAAATCAATTTTTTTTAGGAACGTCCTAGAGACTCGGGAGTTGGTTCATTGCACTCAGAAAAATCCTAGCTCCAAGCCCAACCCTAACCCTAGCTCCAACACTAACCCTAACTCCAACCCTAACCCTAACCCTAACCCTAGCTCCAACCCTAACCATAACCCTAACCCATGCATTCCCATGGGAAAAAATCAAATTTTTTTAGGAACGTCCAAGAGACTCGGGAGTTGGTTCATTGCACTCAGAAAAATCCTAGCTCCAAGCCCAACCCTAACCCTAGCTCCAACACTAACCCTAACTCCAACCCTAACCCTAACCCTAACCCTAGCTCCAACCCTAACCCTAACCATAACCCTAACCCATGCATTCCTATGGGAAAAAATCAAATTTTTTTAGGAATGTCCTAGAGACTCGGGAGTTGGTTCAGTGCACTCAGAAAAATCCTAGCTCCAAGCCCAACCCTAACCCTAGCTCCAACACTAACCCTGACTCCAACCCTAACCCTAACCCTAACCCTAACCCTTGCTCCAACCCTAACCCTAACCCTAACCCATGCATTCCTATGGGAAAAAATCAAATTTTTTTAGGAACGTCCTAGAGACTCGGGAGTTGGTTCATTGCACTCAGAAAAATCCTAGCTCCAAGCCCAACCCTAACCCTAGCTCCAACACTAACCCTAACTCCAACCCTAACCCTAACCCTAACCCTAGCTCCAACCCTAACCCTAACCATAACCCTAACCCATGCATTCCTATGGGAAAAAATCAAATTTTTTTAGGAATGTCCTAGAGACTCGGGAGTTGGTTCAGTGCACTCAGAAAAATCCTAGCTCCAAGCCCAACCCTAACCCTAGCTCCAACACTAACCCTAACTCCAACCCTAACCCTAACCCTAACCCTAGCTCCAACCCTAACCCTAACCCTAACCCATGCATTCCTATGGGAAAAAATCAAATTTTTTTAGGAAAGTCCTAGAGACTCGGGAGTTGGTTCATTGCACTCAGAAAAATCCTAGCTCCAAGCCCAACCCTAACCCTAGCTCCAACACTAACCCTGACTCCAACCCTAACCCTAACCCTAACCCTAACCCTAGCTCCAACCCTAACCCTAACCCTAACCCATGCATTCCTATGGGAAAAAATCAAATTTTTTTAGGAACGTCCAAGAGACTCGGGAGTTGGTTCATTGCACTCAGAAAAATCCTAGCTCCAAGCCCAACCCTAACCCTAGCTCCAACACTAACCCTAACTCCAACCCTAACCCTAACCCTAACCCTAGCTCCAACCCTAACCCTAACCATAACCCTAACCCATGCATTCCTATGGGAAAAAATCAAATTTTTTTAGGAATGTCCTAGAGACTCGGGAGTTGGTTCATTGCACTCAGAAAAATCCTAGCTCCAAGCCCAACCCTAACCCTAGCTCCAACACTAACCCTAACTCCAACCCTAACCCTAACCCTAACCCATGCATTCCTATAGGAAAAAAATCAAATTTTTTTAGGAACGTCCTAGAGACTCGGGAGTTGGTTCATTGCACTCAGAAAAATCCTAGCTCCAAGCCCAACCCTAACCCTAGCTCCAACACTAACCCTAACTCCAACCCTAACCCTAACCCTAACCCTAGCTCCAACCCTAACCCTAACCATAACCCTAACCCATGCATTCCTATGGGAAAAAATCAATTTTTTTTAGGAATGTCCTAGAGACTCAGGAGTTGGTTCAGTGCACTCAGAAAAATCCTAGCTCCAAGCCCAACCCTAACCCTAGCTCCAACACTAACCCTAACTCCAACCCTAACCCTAACCCTAACCCTAGCTCCAACCCCACACCTAACCCTAACCCTAGCTCCAACCTTAAGACTTTGATGATGTTAACACACATGCACAGAAAAAAAAACAGATATCCACAATGGCTAACACTAAAGAATTTACTCTTTATTCTTCAGTGTCATGTAAAGAAGTGGTGGACAGCAAAGGTGATAAATTACGTGACTGGGATTAATGTGTTATAGAACCTTTTCTTAAAAATTCCAATATAGTGATATTTACCTTTATTATTGTTATTATTGAAGATTGGTATGATGCCTTAAATTCATGTAATCTAAAACACAGAGCATGGCAGTATGACGTTGCAGTGACAGAACCCTCAACCATGAGCATTAACCCTCTTCCTGTGTTAGGGTCTGCACCGACCCGTTTTTGATTTTAAATGCCTAAAAGAACCATGAGCTTTTTTGCATCCAGGCTTTTTGAATTTGTCAGGAACCTCTATTATTTGAATTATGGCTCTTGTTGTGTTAGAGTCGCTGTTGACCCGGTTAGATCAATATCTAATAATTAGAGCAAAAACTAAAATCATAAGTGCACTGCCAGGCACCACACTGACAGTCAGATCCTCTTCATATCATGTAAGATTTAGGAAATTCTCATTTTGCCATGTTTGTCCCTTCACAAGAAAAAAAAAACAATGTCAGGCATGTCCAGACATGTGAGATCAATTCAGTATAGATGTCTGTATGAGGGGTACACTGACAAAGAAAGGCCCAGAGGCCCACAACAAAAACTATTATAAGTAATATTTTCATGGATAATGAAGCCTAACAAGATAATCTTGAGATGAAAACAAAATTGGATAATAGAGAATTGTTTTTAGTGTAACTTACAGCTGATTTAAGACAGGGGTCAAAACCAACCCTTAACATGGTGGGTGCGTAGTAAAAGCTAACACAGGAGGAAGGATATGTCTGATGATAATGGTTGCTGTGTGAACATGATAAATTCACTGTTAACATCATTTTAAATGAATAAATTTTTTCAATATTAATTTTTAGTCCAGAAAGAAGGTTTATTCCTGATTATCCTTTCACATATTTATTGGATGTTTTAAATGGCACAATATTTAACTTTATGGGCTCGGCAGATGGTGTGCACTGATGTTCAGTGTTATCCCAGGTGACTCTTTTTGATGTTTTAAATTATGTTTTTAAAAAATATATATATCCTAAGATAGCATCTGGCCTCATCACTGCCATGCTGTATTTTATATGAGGATTATACCATTTTTAACACACAAGTCAACACTTTTTGAAGTGGGATCAGAGAAAAGAGGACTGCAGTCTGTGACGATAAAGCACTGACTTAACACTGAAAAGAAATATTTGTGTTGTATTCATCTTCTTTATCCAGCAGTCCTTCAAAAAGAAAAGAAAGAAATACAAGTGATGATACAAAACTGTGTCACGTGGCGAACAAGGTAACTTAAAAAAGGTGAAAAATTTTGACATTCAGCATTCTCAGCAAAGATGTGACAGGCAGGTGCACAGGCCCAGTTCACTTCCTGCCATCTCCTGAATTGCCCTCTTTGCTCCCCAGGGTTAAGGTAGAGTGCTACCAGTGCAGGTTTTGCTGCAAACACATGCAGGTGGAAAGCTGACAGAGCTGAAACAGCCTCCACAAAACCATGTTTCTTAAAATAACTGTTTTCTTTTTCTTTTAGCTCTGTGAAGGTGTAAATTTAACTCTCCAAGACTTTAGCTGCTGGGAGATATTTTCTTGAGGGATTATGTAGTATTGACAGACTATAGCTTTTTAATGTACAGGTGTTATAATACTCATTTTTAGTTTAAGCCAGATTTTTACTTGCATTTAAACCAATTCAAGAGGGACAAACAGAGTGGATCTCTCTCTCACACAGCCTGATTTTGACTCACAGTTTTACATCAGGTTATTGAAATGCTGTTATGACAGATGATCATGTTTTTTTCTGAGTCAATCCCTCCAATCAATACTTTGCCTCCGGACAAACTACTATGTATTTTCTTGGTTGTATTGATTCTTTTATCCTTATAAAAATCTAGTTTTCAGAGAAGAGTATCTCTTCTTTATTTCCTGATAATGGTAGGATTTCATGTCAAATTCCACTGACAGCATAAAACCACGATCATTTCTTAAACTATTGACGTACAAATTAGACTGAAACTGGTGCCGTAAAGCCCTGTTTCACCTTCTCCATTTGGAGCGGTACTGTGGGGAAAACAGCAGCTGAATATAAAGCCGGCTGATTTGCGCCTTGGCTATTGTAAAAGCCTTTTATAGAATCAATAAAATCATCTCTGTGACCACCACCAGGAATGGGACTTGTCAGTAGAGTGGAGGAGGCCGACTAAAGGTCGCGCTTTACGCGTGTCGGATTTTACTACTGCTCCAGGCAACCATGCAACCTCATGTCAGTCCCTCTGTCAGGAAGACACAACGCCAATGTCTGCTGACACAGTAATTAAACATCCGTATGTATATATAGATTTATGTTTCTATATATCTATCCATCCACCCATCCATCCATCCATCCATCTATAAAATAACCCGCCAACCTGAAGCAGTAAAGCATCTATCTATCTATCTATCTATCTATGTCCATCCATTAGTCTGTCTGTCTGTATCTGCCTGCTGCCCTCTGAACTAAAATTTGAATAGACCCCTGAGCCGACAGTATTTCATCCCTTAATCAAAAACAGCTCAATGACACGAGATGTGTAGAACTAAGTTTATTTAGAAGAAAAAAATGAAAAACAAGTATTTTTCTCACAGGTTTTTTTTAACCAACAATGTACAATGCAAAACAAGTCTTGCTGATTCACGTACACTGGAGTTTTGTTCAGACTGCAGGCAAATCGAATCAGTTTCTCAAAGCTGTGGGTTATGGCAGTATCGAAATGGACCCATAGTTCAAGCTATCATCAAATCTTCCTGGAGCAAAATGAGCAAACTTACATTTCATCTTGTTATAACCTCGATTCGCTCAGAAATCTATTTGGACTCGCTGGAAGCTTGCAGTCTGAACAAGGCCAAAGTTGCTTTCTGAGGTTAAACTGACGATTCAAGGCAGTAACCCAAAAACTCAGGGAAGCTACCGAGGTGAGTTCTTCACTTTTACTAGTATCAAAATCACAAGATATACAATAATGGTAATTGCAATTATTACTTTTAGATAAACATGGTTTACTTTAACATGGCATAAAAATGATGTACATGTTTACTGAGTCTTATTGTAACATACAAACCCTACAGTATCTACTGTGTGTTAGTCTAAGAAAGCTATTCCAAAATGTTATCCTCAGTTACATGAAGTTGATACAAAGTGAAACAGACATGACATAAAGACATTATTTTTCACTTCTCTAAAAATACAATCACAGCCTGACTAGAGGTGTCAAGGCAATCAGAGCAGCAGCAATCCATCACTCTCATCAAACTCAATCACACTCCCGACTGAGCCCCAGCAATCTTCGTGGAGACTGGCAAGAGCGGCAGGGAGGACACAACAATGCTTATTAATAAGTAGTACCGCACTACTGGTGACACATAGAGCTCCATTCGGAAAACAACAGGAGAGGGAAGGTGTTCAAATATCAGTCTTATGATTTGTGTAATTATGTTCTTAGGAAATGGAAATGTCTGTTTCAGTGAGTCAGCATGAGTCAAACAGTGTGCATCGCTTACTTGCTGAACTCCTGTGTAATGGAGTCGCGCTAATATGGATTGCAATGCACATTAAATTGAGTCTTGATCATTGAGATCTGTGTCATCTCCTTAGTCATAGGTTTGTCTGCCTGCCACATACCAAGAAAAGATTGATATGTGGTGTTAGTCATGTCTCCTGCTTTTTCTAATGCCGAATCCCCCCTCAGGGATAAATAAAGTTCTTCTTATCTCATCTTATGTACAGAAAGTGATCAGTCAAAAGTCAAAGCTTAAGTAGTAAAATAAAAATTCTTCATATTATTACTTTTTAAATTTATTTGCACACACAATACCGCACAGAGGAAGGTCAGAAATTATATTGCCTTAACAATGAAGTAAATCTGTATTTGCTTATTTATGTGATTAAAATATACATTAGGGGTGTATGAAGTGATGCAAATGCTCAAGGTTTATGAAAGATAATAATCCTCGACACCTAATTGATGCGCAAGAAAACTTCATCGATCATAGATTTGGTTTACTAAGTGCTCACAACAAATGTTTCCTTTCATGATGTACTCTTACTTCATGTATGAACACAATAAAAATAATAAACTAGGGTGATAAAAGTCAAACTACCTTTCTCAGGTATCATTCTTCATTCACAGCAGAGTTGTTCAAAATCTTAAAACTAAAAACTGTAATCTCATCCTTCAGAGATTATTCCTGTTTCTCATATTGACTGGGATTAACCTGCAGGTAAATTGTAGTTTCTGATTTTTTATATATATATATATATATATTTATATATATATATATATATATATATATATATATATATATATATATTAGTTTTTGTAAGAGATGCTTTGTGTGCCAGCATTAACCAAATCTCTGATCTGAGGTGAGGAAAGCCTCTGAGAATCAGCTGAATGCCAAATGGTCAATACTGAGTGTCCGGCACAAAGAGCAAGGTCTTCCATCAAAAACTTCATTAGAAATCCATCAGCCGTGCGTCAATTCCCAGTGTAACTCAACTTTCCAATTAACACAACACAGCATCAGGATTAAATATATTGACTTGAACTGCACTTACAACAACTAAGCCAGCATTTAATTACTCTGAGGTTTGGCCTTTATTTAAGCAGGAGAAGTTCGAAACTGCAGCTCAGTGGAATTTAAAAGAGCTGAGCAGTCAGCAGTCTACGCATTTTGGTGCATTGTTTTCTTCAGTATTTTGATTCACGAGTCATTAAGGTCCAAAGATGTTACTGAACAAAGTTCCATTGTATAGATTTAAATCACAAATCATGAATATTCAAATAGAGTATTGCTACAGAAGAATGACTGACGTGTCAGTGGATGTCGAATAAAGAACATTTTAGCAGAATCATGGATGAAAATGAAGATATTTAAGATTCACTCTCACATGAGTGATGCAAAGCAGAGGAGATATTATGATTGAGAAGCATAAATCACTGTGCTACAATGCACAAGCAAAGAAGGAAAAACATTTTTACATTATTGTTTTCTAGATTTGTGTATTTACTGTAAACAAACAAGATGATGGCAGAACTCGCTGACCTTTCAGAACAATAAAAAATATATTTTAGCAGATATTCAAATGACATCTAATGTTAAAGAAACAGCTGACTGTGTGGCTGTGTAATAAAAAATGTTAAGGAGGCATGGCCACTGTGCAAGTTCGTATGATGAATTCAGCATGTTTGTTGTTCAGTCGTCATCAGTGAAAATTTGCATTTTCTGTAGATGCTCAAATATTTCAGAGCTGAGAAGATGCAGTTTAACTCCACTGAAAAACTTATAAACCATGAAGAGGATGCTGTTATTTGAAAGTGCTTGAACATGCAGTCAGTGAGGTCTGTCATTGTTGAAAACTAAAACCACAGCAGCATATTTCTCATACTACATCTGGTCTGGCCTGCCTACATGGTCTCAATTGTTTACAGTATGTACACAAAAATCACACACACATACATTGACAGTGGTCTTATGAAACATGCTACATCGTGGCATAACCACCGCTAGCTAATTTGAATGTTTAAGCATTTTTACAGGACTCAAACATAAATCATAATGTAGTGTAACACAATAATAGTTTCAGTACAGAAAGAACTCATCAGTCCGCTGAGACAATATCAGTGTTCTCAGCAGAAAAAGAAAAAGCTTATTTGTCCTTCATCCTCTTAAAGGGCTTGAGTCCAAAAGCTTTTTGAGCCATTTTGGATGAGCAGTCGTTCTTCTTCAAGGAAAAGTCTCCAAAGCAGTGATTATTGCAATCTTAAAAAAAAAAAAAAAGTACACTAGAAAAACAGTGCTAGAAACCACCAGTCTTTCAGGTCTAAAAGCATTTTTTTGCATCCCTTCTGGCAGGAGTTATATACCTCAATGTCCCAAGTGACCAAAGCTCCTCGTATAGAGCTTCTATGTCCTCATGGATGCATTAAGACGGACGCTCTGAATCCCCCCCTCAATCTCAATCCTCCGAGCTAAGAGCTATTCAAACACTCTACTGCAATGTGTACTTCTTTCAGCTCAGACGATCATGGATCAGAAAGCAGCAACAACACAAGACATCTATGATCACGGTACGCAGAGAAAGGGCTCAGTCAGCCATGTTTATCACGCACACGCTTAGAAAGTTAGGAGGCATATATGGGGATGTTTTGCACACTGTATACTCTATATAAATCCATCTTCTGAAACATTCCTGAACTACGTACAAATCTTATTTCTTATTTTGATCCTGAAGCCATATTAATATAGAAACTCTCCTTTACATGAGGATGTCTGGTTTGCAAAAAGGTTAAAGTTTAGGGGAAACAAGCATACAGTGAGTTTAATGACACGACTAAACTGCGTATTAGCAGTGGGATATACGATATGGAGCGACGTAAATGTTGCATTCTTTCAAATATTATTATCAAGAGAGGAAAAAGAGAAATTACTTTTCCACAGTTTAAAAAGGTGTAAAACAACCTCCTACCTCCATTAGATTTTTGTTAGTACAAAGTAGCTTTCATGGCAGATATTTCTTTAATAGGGTCCTATGTTATGTTTTTTTTTTATTTGTTTGTTTTTGTTTTTTTAGTATTCAGCACATTTTCATAAGGCCTTGTCCTGTCAGGATTACTTCTAAAAATATAGATCAGGTCAACATTGCAGCATCAGTCAGTGAAACTAAGTCAGTCAGGTAGCAATATATGATCTTAAAACTTTAGATGACATCTGCATGGAAAAGTTTGCCATGTTTAAGTTAAAGGAAATACAACTGATAATGGCATATTGTCAAATCATGTCATCAGGGATTCTCAGCTCGGGTTTTAGACCAAAAAACCCAAAATTTAAATTAATATGAACAACTGAATAAAAATCCCTTCCTGTTTGGATTATGGGACATGTTGGTTGTTTGTATTTTAAGGCAGAATATCTTGGCCTCTGCGAAGCAATCCTAAATCTAACTTTAAGGAAGATCTACACTTAATTGAAAGAGATTTTATCGTATAGATGCATCAAAGGACATCATTTTAAACTCTAGCCAGATATTTTTCTATGTATATTTACGCCAAAAATAGCAGGAATGTCGTATAAAATAAAACACACACTCCCTCAAAGTGTATATCCACTGAATAACAAATACAAAGATTATGAGTGTACTCATTACAGAAACATTAATTTAGTGAGGACAAAAATATAAATACTTTTACCACCACCACTCCATTGCTACTTTTAGCAGTTCAAGTTAGCTTGTAAATTTGAATTACTCTATAATTAAATGTACCGCTGAAATAAATTGAAATGCGCACACACGATGAACACGCTAACCTACGAACCAACAGCTAAAAAAAACAAACAAAAATAAACAGCTGAATTTAGCTCATTAAGGTTAAATGCAAAGCTGAAATGTCAAAAAAACATGCACAGGTTCATCTCTCTGTTTGGCTACAGTTTACTTTTTAGCTATGACAATGTAGAGAGCGTCTCATCTTTTCACATGTTTAATAAATATGACATCCCTGACAGTTATAACGTTCGACGGAAAAGGACTCGGCATGGAGTAAGAGGCCTTGGACTCTTCTACAGTTTGTCACTAACACTGAGTACAATTCTTAGTATTAAATGAATGGATTTAACCTGAGTTAATACAACAGTCCATATAAAATACTAATACATTTACTTTTGGTTAAAAAAAAAAAAAAAACCTGTGTTAAATATTAAATTTTATTTTTTTATCAAGACTAGTTAAATATCTAGACTTATGTTTAGATAGCATGGAGAGAGATGCTGAAAATCTATCCTCTAATAGTCCAGTAAGCACTTTGTTTATTTACATATAAGCTATACTTCCTTTAACGATAACTTCTACACCTGACGAGAAAAAAATACTTCCATCCTTGAAAGAAAATCGTTCATCCATTTTTCTTCGTGTTTGAAGAGGAAAATCCATCAACCTCTGAACTCCAAGAGGAGCAGTTCTTTCAGTTCTCTGCTGTCACTCTTTCGTCTAATGTCCTCTCTGAACTCAGGAATCTAACTCTAGTTAGTGTCTTCTGACACATTTAGGCTAAGATGATGAGTCCCCTGCTTCTTCTCCCTTGTCTCGCCCCTATCTTTCTCTATTCTCTGAGAGATAGGCGGAAAGTGAAAATGGATTAGGGAGAAGAACTACACCACAAGCTGAATCTACAGAGCTACCCTGTCACATCAGGAGGAAGGGGGGGAAGACCCAACTGCTCTGTTGCTCCCGCTCTGCAATGGAGCTATTCTAGGAGCCTCTCAGGGTCCCCTTCAACCAAAAGCCTGTCATTGCACAGCAGGCTCAGACAAAAGATAACCAGCCAGCAGGCCTCAAGATAGGGGGCCAAGTCACAGGAGGTCATCATAGTCCAGCATCTTCGAGTGCTGACGACTTTTCCACAGGCGGTACAGACGGAAGTCGAAGTACATCTCAATCATCTCCTTGCCTGCAGACAAATGAAAACACAAAGACACGACTTTAACATTATACGGAAGTAGCTGCTGGTTATTTTTTAAGGTGATTTTTTGTGTTAACATTTTACAAATAGTTTAAATTTGCACAAAATTTAAAGACGGCATATTTTATGTTGGATCTGACACTTTCTATTGTTTCATGAAAGACATCGAACAGTTGGTACTGGCACACCTCTCCTTTTAGTAACACTGTTAATGTTTGGGATCAAAGGAGACCAGTTTCTAGAGTTTGTAAAGTCAAATGCAGCTTGTTACTGCTTGATTTAAGACCTCATCTGGTGACAATTCTGGACTGAAGTCAGGTCAGTAAGCACTTGGACTCTCCTACTAATAGCAGAAGCATGCTGTTTTTGTAAAACCATATATCTTGCCGGTATATCATCTTGCTGTATTACGCAACGTCTTCCCTGAAAAAGGCACTGTTTCGATGGCAGCAAGTGTTGCACCGAAACCGGTTTATACCATTCAGGATTTATGTGGTCCCACCTACATCTGTGATTTTCCAAAAGTAAGGCCAAAATTACAACAACTTATCCTTTAGACTTCTAATTTACAGTCCATTTAATACATCCTATCAGTGACATGAAAGTGTTGGCAAATTGTTGATGACCTGGAGTTTATCTCTACTTGTGTACTGGCAAGAAATAGATCTCTCAGTCTGGTATTTACTATGTCTGCTGCCCTCAAATGTTGCAAAGCTTGAATTTTTTGGTCTTTCAACATATTACCTCACGTCAGCCTCTGAGTCTCACCAGACATTTATATTTGGAGGCTGAGCTGTAGTGTTAGCTAATGTTTTTTGCCTTTTTTCACTCCTTTTCTATTTGGTCTCCTTTGATTTTACAGGTACAGGGGGGCTGAATGGTTCTTAGTTGCACTATTGGCTGTTTAGACAGCAGTACAAAGGTGGTTTAAAGCGGCCATAGAGCAGAATGTGCTGGGTCAACAGACAGTAGGAAAAGCATGTAAACACTGATAACATTTTAATAGAAAAAAAATTAACATAACTTCAATAGATACCAGGAATGACTGATGAGGCATGCTCTTAGTTTTCTCACAGTCACAAGTGTGCTCTCTTTATCACTGGGCAGCTTACTGGTGTTGATTTATGGTCACTATTAATGTACCAGTGAGGCTGATAATGTGATATCAATACAGTGTGTGTGATGTTGTGCATTTAATGCTGTTGGCAAGGGTAGACTTAACATGTGTTATTTATAAAGAAGCTGACGAAATGTGTCCAGAAGTCTCGCCTGTGAGAGTTGGCAATTATTTTCAAATGCATGTGGGCAATACTCTTACCTTGTGCAGACAGCTCGAGAGGGGACTTGAATTCCACCGCAGAGGGTCTCATCAGTCTCTTCAGAGTGTGAATCAACTGGAGGAAGAGAGGGAGACAGAAATAATACTTGAACCCAGATGCCATCAGGCGTTTTCAAATAAAAACAAATAAATCAGTGTTGATGTAGGGATATGATTGTGTGCAGAGAGCAGAAGGAGGCCCTGCAGCTGACTGCATGAGAAAAGGTCAATGTGCCACTTACTACTTGCAAAAGCCGATCATAAGTGAAAAGCCCTTCTGGACACATCTGTCAGAGTGCGGCTAAAGTGAGCTACAGGCCTGTTAGAACAGGACTGCATTCAGAGTCGTGGAGGACAAACAGACCGTGACTCAAACTAAACTCAAATGACTTATGGATGGAAAACTTCAAATCTTTTTACACCTAAAAAGGTATTTGTATTATTCTGATCGGTATCTAACTAAGCTGCTTCTGTAGTTTACCAAAGGGGGAAGTTTTGCTTCATTAAATATTTGTAAAAAGGAAAGATAAGGGGTACAGAAGCCCTTTTAGGCAACGGTCTAAAAAAGATTTTGTATTCCATTTTGTAGGTCTGACATTATGTTTTCTCTTTCTAGTCTGTGACTGTAAAGCGGGAGCATAAATCTCCGAAAATCATTTAAACTTTTGTCATTTTGGGGAAGGTGGGTAAACAGTAGTACTGTGACGAAATGCTTTTCTCCAGATTTGATTCTTCTACGATTTTTTGGATGCTGATTCGATTTAAATTGCAATTCTACGATATTGTTGATTTTCTTAATTTTAGTCTGCATTTTTAACACCAGTAAAACAGTTGAATGATTATTATTGTCTACTGACTATTCCAGGAACTTTATTTCCCCAAAAAATACACATCACATGTGAGTCTGTTTTAAAGATTTAGTCTTAAATTTGAAGGAAAAAATCGATTTAAAAATTGTAAAACAAAAAAATTGCAATACTTATGTGAGTCGATTTTTTCTCCCACCCTTAGTAAACAGAATATATTTTATTGGATCATTTCATAAAGTCAAATATTACTTTTTCATGCTTTAACAGAAGAAATCATGTGGATAAAATCGTCTGGTTACAACTTTTCACACCAGTTTCATTCTCAGTTTTTTAACTGTTAGTTAAGAATTGTGATTCTTCCAGACACTCTGAACAAAAGGTACTTTAGTTACAAACTGCTCATTGTACGTTAGCAACTTACTTCACAGTAGATTATTACAGTGGGTTGGCGTGACAAATGAGTCCAAGTAAAGGTAAATCCACGAAAAATGTTAAAAAATTATTTTAGTTTTATTTTTTAGTTATTTGTTATTGCTTCAAGTATGCATGCTTTTGCATTTAAAGATATGTGAAAATGTGAAACCACACAATCCATGGAGAAATATGTGATGCTTCTTGGTTTTAGTTCCTTGTTTACTTGTTACACTTGTTTAAACCTGCATTGATGGTCAGAGTGGGGCATTTTCATTGGTTGTAAAAATCGACATTATATACCGGGCAATCACAACATGATTCCACTTTTTTACTTGATGATATCTCAATAATAAACATTCTCCTGAAGAGTTATCTCAACTATTTCAAGTCTCTTAATGCAACACAATATTTCTTTTTGTTAAATTGCTATCCCATAAGGAGAAAAAGAACTAAGCATGCTTTGTGCTTCCTTTGACTGACAGATTGGAGCTGCCACCTCAACCAGGGTGGATGTAAAGCACAGTATATCAACCTTATGTCTAAGTCAGATCATTTCTGACTCAAGATGCTGACAGAAAAAGAAAAAACATCAAAACTGAGGCTTTGAAATGTCAGTACAAAGATGTTAAACATGTGCAGGCACTTCATAAAGACCCCTCACGGAGGATACGCAGTTGAATTACGGGAAACTTGAAAAGATACTGATGGAGTTCATCTTGGCTGCCTTTGAGAAAATCTTTGAAATGTTTAGTTTCAAAGTGAGTGATGGCTTTCATTTTAATCTTCCTTTTTTTCTATGATATAAAGGTGACTTTGTAAAATCTCATTTAAAAAAGAAAGCACTCTGTTGTACAGTTAAAGTGAATAATTTTACAATCTTAAATTAACAAATTAATAAAACAAAGATGCCTGTTAGTGAAATATGACACCAAATATGTAAGTGGAATAATTTGGATCTACTCTTTTCATAAAGTTTTCCAAAATAAAAACATCAGCCTGTCCTTTGGATACACCTATTGCGTGTTTCTACAACACGTGAGCATCTGGAGGACTGTCAGAGCAGATGACACTCCAACCTTTGGCACTCGCTACACTTTTACTGCATCCTTGCTCCAGCCTGCCCTCCCCTTCCGTCCTCTCATTCCCTGGGGTCTGGTCCAGTGCCAGCTGGTGTGCCATCCCACATCGAGCCTGGCAGCCAAGTGACATTCACAGGTTTGATTTCCACAGGGCTTTGCTGTGCATTTGTCAGTCCAAAGAAGAATGGTTTTGATGCAAGGGGGTTATTTTTCCTTTGAGAAAGTAAAATGTTTTTTAGAGTTTCTGAGACTTTAAAAAAAGACCACAAAGAAATTTTGTTTTATAGCCGTCTCAACAGAGTAGTTAGAAAATAAGGATTGCATTTTTACATGAGGCGTTTCTCTAATTATTGTATTTAAATGAGAGTTTTCTTCATTTTCATAAAACTTATTTTGAAAAAGGAAGTTTGGCTTGTCGTATATCTAAATAAATGGAACACTTACTTTTGTTTTATCATTTCTCACTTCTCTCCTTTTGGGCATAACTAATGATTACTTTTGTACGAGATGTTAGACCGCACAGAAGAATGAACAGGAAGTGTCTCTTGACAGTGGAAAAACCCTGACAGGGTGACCTAGGGACTCAAACACAAAGCAGAGCCCTGTGATCCAGAATGTATCTTAGCCAGACACCATCACTTCCTGAAGTCTCGTTTCATTGCGAGGTTGGCTGCGGGTGCCTGTCTCTTTCAATTTGGTATCACTTGACACAAAGAGGGGTGAAAGAGGTTCTTACCATAAATAAACAAGTGCGAGGGAAAAAGGGGACAGACTTGAGCCCTATCTGCCCAAGTGAGCAACTGTCAAATCCTAATTACCTGGGCTGTTTTCTCCCTGGTGATAATTAAGGCACCGAATTGGGATAAGTCACACAATTAACAGGCATTTATTATTGGCTGATGAAAACGGCGGTGCTCAATGTGTGAGGCAGTCTGAAGTGACAGGTCACGAGACTGATCAGAGAACACGTGTCGTGCTAATCCCACCTAACCTGGCGCAGGACCGCTCTGAGGTTTTAAAGTGGCAGCCCATCGCTGAGGCATGACTTTTTAAGATGGGGTTAAGATGAACAAATGAGCTGTCAGCAAGTATCTGTGAGCAAGTAATTATATTTCACTGGAGCAGTAAATCTGATAATTTCCCTGTGTGCTCCTGCTGGATTAAATTATAAAAAATGAATTTAAGAGTAAGGCTGTCATTGAGCATCGCTTTGAAAAAGTAAAGATACCATTGCAGTCTTTGAGGACACCTTGATAAGATTAATGCTTTTCACGATGTCTAGACCATTTCTCAAAATTGTGAGGGCATAGCAGATCACATACTGAGTGAAATAAGACCAGCTAATGTGCACAGCAATGGTACGTTGAACAATCAGTGTAGTGTGTGTATTAGTTTTTATCTCCATGCTGCCGTTCTTGTGTTCTTCACAGTTTTGTGCCTACATTCAGATTACGTGTTTCCTTCTTTTTTTGTTTAATCTAATCCTTGTGTGTCTTGTCCACTTTAGTTTCTGTGTTCTTCCTTCTGTTTGATTTCGGTTGCTCATTTCACAGTATAGATTTAGACGGTCTCTCCCTCTGTCTGAGTCAGTTAATTGTATCTTTCACCATGTATCCACCAGCATCTTTCCTCAGTGTTTTCCCTTTTTTACACTTTCATATTTCTTGAGATGGACTTTTTATGTTTATACTTTGTGAGTTAATTTTTCTATTTTTCCTTTTGGTTATTAAAGTTCCCTTTTAAGTCTGTACTTTAAGTTTCCTACATTTATTTAATATTTTCTGAGACATCCTCAAGATAGCATTGCACCACCTTTGAACTTGACCAAACACCCATGGAAGCTGACGGGGGTGGGGTGTAAAAATGACTTCTGCATTGATTTGAAATCAAGAATTACTCACACCAAAATGCCCTGCACAAGCACAACAGTGCCATATTGTGTTTAAATTATCAAATTTAGGAATGGAAGCAGAGGCCCTGCAATCTGAAGTTACTGCAAAGTCCTTAATTATCTACCAATTTGGATTAAAAGTAAAGTCTTATGTAATTATACATAATGAAAACCTGTTTGGTCTCCATTGATATGTTGGTACAAACCGAAAAAAACAAACAGCGAAAAAAAAAAAAAAAGTCATGTCTCAAAAAGAAAGGCTAGCTTTTCAGTTTACCTTACACGTACAGGTTTCTTACCATTCAAAGTGTCTTACAGTAGCATAATTTACAGTATGTTCCCATGGACACATCTAAAGTTAGGGGTGTATGTTCAGCAGATATGACAGAAATAAAAAAAAAAAGTGAAGTGCACAAAGCTTTCTGTCATCACTATCTCTTGAGAATAGTTTCTGAAGACGCAGCAGCAGCTGGAATTGAATGTATTTCATTCATGTTTGGTGAGTCCTATCAAAGTCTTACAGATTGTGAAGGTTACAGTGTGATTGTGCGCAAGATGTGCTTCATATGTAAAATGAATTTATGTATTAATAAACTATGATTCACAGGACTGTCACAGATAATACCGGGTATCTCAACCACATAATGGCTCAGCTGATATCATCCACAATCATCTTTTTGTTACACTGAGTATTTTTTTCGAGACTGCTGTTGCTTTTATCCCCTTGACTAGGGGAGGTCTTTTTTCTGGTATTGAAATCTGTCCTCAAATGTTGGCTTTCTGTCAGGCTGTTATCACACCTGCAACGTGTTTGCTGAATAGAGTGCTCTGTGAAAAACAGATATTAAAATTTCATAATCTGGTGGAAATGAGACTTTGACCAGTAGTCTTTGAGTAGAGCAGAACAAGAAGTCTTGACAAAGGTGCTCTGATAAGGCCAGACTCGAGATTCGGATAAAGAATATACTGTCCCTGCTCTGATTTGTTGCTGCCATTTTCTGTGATCAGCTTACAGTATTTGACATGCTTTACATCACGTGTATATTTTATACTTGTTTATTGGCAGTACTATTGTCCTATCCTGTTTAGCATGTTTAGCATATTTATTCCTATTCATAGTGTGCAATCCTTTATTAATAAAACCAAGAAAAGAGAATGATTAAATATTATATCTATTATATTAATGTTAACTGTGTGTTTTTCACCAGTTTTTAACTGAGAAGCTTTAATCAAAATTGTGGATTTGGAGAATTCGTGACAGCATCAGTACCAAGTGTTGGAATGACTAACTGTTACCTCTATTGGCCCTAAACCTGTCAAACAGTTTGTGTTTTCAAAATAATGCGAGTAACTGGGTGAGATGATGCGACTAAAACTCCACAGTCACTAATATCAGCCTGACTGAACTAACACATGGTGCCGATTCTGTTCCTCTCGTAAGAAGAACAAACTTAACTTCAGCAGTATAGGATGGCTGATAGCAGTGCTGTAGGGGCTGATGCTGGGTGGAGTGGAGCATCATCTGAAGGAAGCTCAGTCAGTCTATTAATAGAGGCTCTCCAGCTGAGCTTGCAGGAGAGCACACAGGCAGCAGCAGGGGGATATTTGTTAAATGCAGTGGATAAGCCCTTCTCTGTTCAACCCGCTTCTCGTGTGACTTGTGCTAAATCACTGAAGAGAAGATACCAAGTGTCACAGTCATTATCACTGTGCGCTCCTTGGACTTCTTTATACTTCAAAGGTATAAGCTCTTGGCAAAGTCAACAACGACTGGTGTAAACATGCAGAAGGCGGAAGTTTCACTTTGAGACATTTTGTATTTTTTTTAAATTAAACCTAACTCTGGGTGCCATAAGTAATCCCTTGCACAGATTCTACTTATCGCACAGGAAGCAGATTGGAGTTCAGTGTCTCGCTCTTCCACATGTAACAATAACACTAACCCTGTAACTGACGGACAACCTGACGTCACCACTGAGCTGCAGCCGTCAAATTGCTTAGTTTGCATTTCGGTCTAAATTTGAGTTAATGGTATCGTATCGTACTGTATCGTATCGTATCGTATTGTATCTTACCGTATCACATTGAATCATATTGCATCGAATCATATCGTATCTTATAATATTGTATCGAATCAAATCGTATTATATTAGATTGTATCAAATCGTGTAGAATCGCATTGTATCATATCACATCGTTTCATATTGCATCGTTTCATATCGCTTCGTATCGTATCGCTTCGTATCGTATCGCAACAATTCATATTGTATTGAATCAAATCTAATGGCATAGAATCGTATCGTATCTTATCGTATTGTATCGTATAGTATCGCATCAAATCCAATTGTGTCAAATCAAATCGTATAGAATCGTAATGTATCGCATCGTATTGCAACGAATCAAATTGCATCGTATAGTATTGTATAAAATCGTATCTTATCATATTGCATCATATCCTATCGTATTGAATCGTATCATATAGTATTGCATCATATCATTTCGCATCAAATCGAATTGTATCATATCGTATCGTATAGAATCGTATCGTATCTTATCCTATTGCATCTTGTCAAATCGTATCGTATCGTATTGTGTCTCATATCAACAATACAGAGTTCCCAGACAACTCTCTTTGCTTATGTATGTCCCTATTATCCTCTCCTCACAGTTTCATACTGTAACAAGAGCTTCATATAAGTACTCAGGTTAAGAGGTAGACAAGAGTATAATATACAATAAATAGCCTTTACCCTGCAAACAGTTCTGACTCTCACCAAAGTGCAAAACAATGACTTATTCTACAGCAACCAACCATTAGAAGTTGTAGAGCGGTTCAAGAGGAGGCTGCACGTGAGAGTATAAACATCTCAGTGTGTGGGCATATTCATGTGCATACACTTTTTCTGAGTGTGTGTGAGCATATAGCAAGAGTGCATCTGTCTCTGTGTGGGTGGAAGGGTCGTTGCAGGGGTGCTGGAGAAGATACCAGTGAACATGATGTATTATTTTATCGTTCAGGACACAAAAAACAGCCTGTTCTTTCATTAATATATCATGCATATGCAAAAAGTGCCCTTGCATCACCTCCTCACATGCTGCATGACTCTATCAGTAGTACAAGACAAAGCCAACAGATTGTGCAGATGATCTATCTGCATGGTTTTATGATAGCATATGGCCTCAAGCATCTGTGTACATCTTTTTGATTTTGAGTGAGCAAACTGCTTATACATGCAGACATTTGAAGTAAACTTTTGCACTAATTAATGTAGTGTGGGAGTGTTATTTGCTTTGAAGGTTCACAATGACTCAGAATGAAAAGACAAATACCTTTTCGCCATTAGCGCTCCCCAGCACATAGCAGCCCATGATGTGGATAAGGTTAGGCTCCGGGTTCAGTTTACTCATCAGCTTACCGAGCCGTCGCCAGAACCTTCACACACGGGAAAAAAAAGGGGTTTAAAACACGGACAACAATCATTGTAAAATGTAAATAAAGCATGTGGAAAGACTATTGCAGATGGTGTTCTTTTACACTAAATGATGGTCCGATTACAGCAGGTATGAGTTATGATGTGAAAGTAACATTTCTAAAAACAACTGTCTCATGGATGACGGTTTCTATCATATTTTTAGGAGGCAAATAATCCTGGCAAAAATAAAACAAGTCTTACTGTATCATGTCATCCTCTTTCTCCACCTTGGCAAACGTGGCAACTTTGTTTTTCAGCAGGTACAGATGTCCTGGACCACCCTGTAGAGGAGAGATAGTGTAAATTCTGGTTAAGGTTCATACACATGCAGTAACTTAAGTTCCCTTAAATTGTCTTAGACTTGTCTTATAACCTCAAATAAATCAAAACGGTTCCTTAATATTTCTTAACTATTTGTCTATTTGTTACTCTGTGTCCTTCTGTTTCTTTAATTCCTTTTTCGAAACTTTTACTCTCTTTTTGAGAAACTTAAGAGAGAGACAAAAGGAATAAATTAGGTTTTATGTGTATTCTCCTAATTTTGAGGAATTTCTTGTCCTAAAAGCATTTTCTCTAAATTCAATGTTTAACCTTATCATCAGTAATGTCTCAAACACACTATGATTCAATGAGATCAAAGAGATCTGGTCTTTAACAACTGCAGGTACAGATGTCCTGGACCACCCTGTAGAGGAGAGATAGTGTAAATCTATACTTTAGTTTTTGTGGAGTGTAATAAAGAAACCATCGTCTTTAGCAGCTGGTATCGGTTTGTTTTTAAATCCATAACTTTTAGATAAAATAAACCGGCTTACTATTTGTGACCCAACATTTATTTTAGGACACTGCAACCCAATAATGTCACTTTCATTCCATGTCACTCCCGTCACTCACCTGGCAAAAAATGAGCATGTTCCAGATTTTACAGCCTTTTCTGTAAGCAGTCAGCTTTTTCTCGATCTCCTCTGGGTGAGAGAGAAAGAGATGGAGAGAGAGAAGGAGGGAGGGGGGGGGTGTCACTTTTACCACTCAGCTGTAATGGTGAGGCACATAAATTGGCTGTCCCTCCAGAGACAAACAAGCAGAAGCAATCACACGAGCACAAAACAATGAGTCATCTCTGCTCTCCAGCAAGCTGGAACTTATTCCACCCTCATCTTTTCCATATTTACACCATGGGAGTCATTTTCACTTGAGATCTAAAGTTTCACACACACATCACACTCACCGAGTATGTCATCAAACGTGGCGTGTTCATGGTCCTGTATATGGAGGATCAAAAGAGAAAAACCGCAGTTATTTTCCACACAAACAGTCATTTTCTTTACAAGAATTAATAATCAAATCAAATGTGTTCGACATCCTGCTTATTACAGTAACATCATCATTATATCTCTTTGCAGCAGATGTAAAAACTGGACCTCCAGTTTGTCTTTTGGTTCTGACAACAAGGAGAGCAGGGTCTCTCTTTGCAGACCCTTAAAGCCAGACTGCAATAAGTCTGTCTACAGCTTTGGAGAGACAGCCGATGACTGATAGCTCTCCTCCTCACATACTCCAGAGAAATGAACCCCGCACACTCGACGGATTGAATCCACTTGCTAGTGTGACTGATCTTTGCAAACATGACTTTCAAGCAGAAATATATATATTTTGTATTTCAAAAGTCTGATTTTTGAAGATATGTGGACAGCAGGGCCTGGAATTGATCCTCCAAATCTTGGACTGAGAGATAAGAAACTAACCCTTGCTTATAGTTAAACAGCAAATGAAAAAAACTTTAACCGAAATGTCAAAGTAGAGCGGCTGTGTCGATGGCTGCTACTCACATAAAGAATGGGGATGATGGAGGGGTCGTCCCTTCGAATGATGTTGGGAACATATTCTGCCTTGGGGACTTTTGAGGATATCAGCTGTATAGAAAAAAAAAGAAACCTCAACACTTTTTTCTCCATCAGTTTGAAAAAAAAAAAAAATCATGTTTATTTTTCATATTTTAGTTCAACTCAGAGAGCTGCTAGCTGGATGCTCACCATGATTTTAGGTGGGATGAAGTCTTCTCCTTCACAGGCTGCTCTCTCCATCTCCCTCTCATCCCCCCAGTCGGCGTCCTCATTCAGCCCTTCATCTAGTGTCCCTGAGGAGGTCTGAAGCTCACCACCTGAAACACACACACACACACATAAAGGAACAAAGGGTGAGATGAAAGGATAACCCGCAAACAAGATTAGACAGGAGGGTACTCCATTTAAAAACGGTGCACCTGTTACTTTGATTTCCATCGCGGGGCAAGAGGAACAGAGTGAAATTCAGACAACACTAAACGATACACTGCCCCTCGTGTGGCCGGTCGCATACACACAGATATGATATAAAACAGCAGGCGGTCAAACAACAGGTCAACAAATGAGAGTGAATGAACAGGAGTGAAGATTAAACTGGATGCATGTGTGTCCCAGACTGTATCAGTCAGTTTGTCTATATTTCTGGGAAGACTTCACAAAGTATAGATTTCAGCTGCTGACACACCATAAAATGCTCAGTACTCTGTCTTATCCCGAGATGTGACCAATATTCAGACCAGGAAGAAAATCGAATCCTATCCAGTGGCAAAAAGGTCAAATAATTTTGCGGGTGAGTGCAGTTTGCTCTTATTTAAGTCTACGGAGGCACAGAAAAACTGTTCATGTTCCCAGTCCTGAATTCCTTTTTTAGAAAATGACAAATTTCTCACAAATATCCGTACATATGTACAAACAACATTTCTGAACTGAAACACTGTGTCCTTGGCAGAGCAGGAACGGGCACATTTTGCTTTTTGTGGAGGATTTAAGGATACTGTGATTTCTTTCTTGTCTCTATTGCACAGCTTTGGAAGCCACAATGGACATTTAATTCTTACACGAATTTGCTCCTGGGTGATATGTGCTTCTCTGGGTACAAGTATGCCAGTTAATTTTGTCCGTGTCTTGAGCTTTGATGCGTCTAAAAGCCCAATATTGTGCCAGCATGCTGTGTTTGGGTGTGTAAAGTGTGTAGATATTTATTCTTCTACATGCTCCGTGTTGTGTTTTCTAGCTCTAGCTGTTGTATTGTAAAACTGTTCGCATAGTCGTGTTTATGAACAATGAAAGTGATTGAAAGTGTGCCGACTCACTGTCTCTGGAGTCATGTAGTGAATCAGGCTTGACAGGGGTGGGGTCACTCCATGAGCGACTGAAACTCTTGGCTCTGCGGTCGGCGAAGGCTGAAGGAGTTAGAAGGAGGAGAGTCAGTCACACATCATTCAACTCTCAAGATGATTAACGACTTCATCAATCAAGAGTCCAAACATGCCCATGAAAAGACTGAGAGACTTACTCTGGACCTTCATCCTGCGGCTGCCAACCATCCTTAGGGTTTTTCTGAAATTTCTACAGGGAAGAAAGAAACAAAGACATCAAGAGTTGAGGAAAAGAGTGAAAAAAAGAGCCAAAAAAAAAATCCATCAAACTTAATGACATTGATAAACACAAGGGGAACATTTCATATAAAAACTGATGCTTTTTGTTCGGTGACTTTTAACATCACGCAGTAAAATTTTTCAAGAGGCCTTTTCGTATGTTACTCATAATGCCGCTTAAGTCATATAACCAGGTCGCTGTGTCATCAGCTGCCATTAGAATAAGGCGAAGCTGTTCTCCTACTTTGATTTATTGACATTTTTATGGTGATAGGGCCATAGGTCACATATTAAAATCATGCTGAATCAAAGATGACTTGAGGCTTTTCGTTTGAGATCGTAAAGTGAAAGGTCGAGGTAGGTTGGTTTTCGATGGGCTATAAAGCAATTTGACCTCTTTTTTGCAACTTCAACCCTCCCCGTGGCCATGGGAGGAAAGTTTAGATTGCATAGTCAAGGTCAAGGTCATTCGCTCGTCAGACTGCAAGGATCTGCCTTTTTCTTGACTAAATCTCTCAGGACAAGAAAAAAGTTATCCCGTCTTCTCCAGTGAGTCCTCTAACCACTCTTCCCCAAAACCAAAGGTGCAACTCCATGGCTTCAAACTTATTTTCTGTTTTCGACCACTCTGCTCTCCGAAACTCTCCATGATGACAGCTGGTAGTAAATGCGAAATCCTCCATTAATAGGAAGGTCAGCGTCGCTTTGCACCTGTTATTAATTGCGCATGCAATCATAGTGCATTAATAGCTCATGCAATTTTTTTTTCATTTGCACAATTAGCACTCGTTATTTGGGATCTTAGTAGATCAGGACCTGAGTGTTTTCTGAAACAAATGACCTCAGCCAGTAGTCCACCACCCACATGCCATTTTGCTGAGTCATGAACAACTTCTTTGTGAGATCATGCTTTTATTCATTTATGTATTTTGATAAACAAACTCTTAAAAATCAATTGTTAACTCCAGTATGTTTTTTTTAATTTTTATCTTAACCAATAATGCGTGTGTGAAGTTACTCTGTCACACCTAAAAATTCACCTCAAACCCCTGAACTAATCTTTGATAGTGAGAATTTTACAGTTAACGGCAACTGAAGACATACAATGTCAAATATATGCTTCATCTGCAGAAATGAACAATTGTCTTTTTTGCTGACTTTTCTGTCCTCTCTGTTTCTGCTCAGTTGGATGCCTTCCTGCAAATACTTGCACAGGCAGGTACCCAACATTACATGTCCGCAGCCCTGATCACAAACAAAGGCGGTGTGTGATACACAATTTATACCCTTGGAAAATGGCACAAGGACATGCTGCAGTTTGCAAAAAAAGAACCAGAGGAGGAGACGGTGTAAAGAAACAGCCCAAGGTGGTGAAAGGAAATGATGATGTGGGGTCCAAACACAGCCTTCTTTTTATTGTCAAGACTTGTCTGAACTTGACAATGCAGTGTGCTGCTTTTTTGTGAATATGCAATGTGTTAAAAAACAATTGCCATGTGGAAGTTGAGGTAATATCTCACTGTTTCCCAAACTTCAGTTTTTTCTGCCCCCCCAAAAAACACAAACTTAACAGCGTCACCTTGGAAGACATTTTCTACCTAAAACTGCAGGAACATATATACTAAACAATATCTACATATGTGTGGACAAGGTCTGAAAGCTGATGGAAGAAAGTCCACTTTGTGTTAGCTGGATGTCGTTGTTAGTGGTACAACAGACATGCAGGTTGTACAAACTCACATCAACTCAGCATAATTTTGCAGCTCCAGAGAGGCCTGTAGTAACATTTTACAACATTGTTCAACTTGTACGCATTTATTAATGCTCAGTTAATGCTCAGATAATCATGAGTTAATGTATGACTCATTTATACTTTAATGATTATCACATCATTAACTAATGAGGAGTGATGAGTCACAGTCTGAGAAATAAATCTGAGTAATAAGCTAACAGTCTGCAAATTATTACCAGAATGCCTTAGAGAGTGTGTGTGTATAATCTCCTGAATAATAAACCAAAGCCTACCCAAGCATGATAAAACCGATACCAAGCAGGGTCATTTACTTTTATGTTTATGAAGCTTTAAATGCATTCAATAGAAGAATATAGAGTTCAAGGATTCAAGGAGTAAATATCTTCATTCTTTAAAGCTATCCTGGTGATGTCGCTCAATGAAACTCACTCGCATCAAACTGTTTGTGTGGGCGTCACAGGAAAATACAAAGTGCATTCCCTCCACTGTGTTTAGATGGTAGTCATTAATCGCAAACTAATTTCAAATCCAGAATGAAGTTTCAAGCTATCCAAAAAAAAAAAAAAAAAAACAATATACACATGGCAACGTTAATTGCAAGTTCTTTAGAGACGGTGCCCGAAATAGCGGGATGACTCAGAGGAAGGAGGATCCATCAGTCAGACAGGCTGTATTTTCATACTGATTGACAGGAGCTTTTAAAATCTGTAACACCCACATATCAAAGCTGGCTAATCAAATTTGTGTTGGTATGTGCATGACTAAGTGTGTGTGCTGCTATCTTAGCACATCCTCTCAATCCAGCTGTGACCTTTCCAAAGTATTTGCAAAAGAAATGTCTTGTCCATTCAGACATGCATAATTTGATTTGTGAAACGAACCGAGGTGTACCTTTCTATTAAAGGTTTGCATTCTGAAAGCTGGTGATACTGACCTATGCGCATAAAGAAAACACATACACACACAAACACGCACTCAGCTTTAAATAATGGTGTATCCGAGCATTAGTGGAAGTTAGGTTTATTACCAAATATTGATCAGGTTGGTGACATGGTGCCTACCTCAAAATATATGTCCATATCATAAAGATGGACATAAAGATGGTTATCAATCAGTAACTAAGGAAGCCTTGAGAGGCCAAACCAGAAAAGGAAAGTTTCTTCAGCTTTTTGTTTGTCAACTTTTACACTTGGGGAAAAAAAATCCCAGGTTAGAAGAATTGTTTTTCTTAGATTTGTTTTGATTTGTTTGATTTGGACCTAACTTTTCAACAAAATTCCAAGAATTCAGTCAAAAACTAACCAGAAAAAAGTCATATTATGAGTTTGAACTCATAGTGTTTCATCTTGAGAAGTTAAATTTAACAGCTGAAAGCAAAAATGTGGTTGCAGAGGCATGCACAGGCTGCCTAATAGCCTGCCTGTCTTCATAATTCAGTTTATGGCACAACCTATTGAGCATCCTGATGCTTATGATAATGCGGCGCTGATGGACAGAAAAGATTGAGTATTCAGAATTTCAAGAAGCTTTTACTGAAATATAACTTCATAAGATGCTCGGTGTTCTTTACTTAATTTCGGGTGATGGTTGCCTTCCTGGTCTTTCCAATCAATATATCGTATAAGCTAATCACAGGCTTACATTAGGTTTTTATTCTTGTGAAGCAGGGCTTGACACTAACTTATTTCATAGGGGGCACATGTGCTCCTAAGTTGAAAAAGTAAGGAGCACACAAATTACTTAAGGGGCACAATGAAAATTGATCAAATAATGTTTATCTTATTGGTCGACATAAGTACTATTATTTGAGATCAATTTTAGTTCAATTGGTCACATGACATGGAAGCTATTGAAGGAAAACAACCTTTTCTGGGAGCATCAACCGGTAATTTATTGATGGTCCCTTATTCAACACCCCACGTTGACAGCGAGGGTGCCAAATAGATTTAACTGCGCTTCTCTTGCTAGTCCCGATGAAGGAGAGTGAGAAGAAACCAGCAGATCTGCAGTGAATGTCCGTCAGATACCAACCTAAAAGTAACTTCACCGCGGAATTTACATTAAAAAACGGTTGCACTGTCAAGCCCTGAGAAGGCCTTAGTCTTCTAAATTTTTACCTGGTACTGTTGTTTATTTCTGTGCATAATAACTTAACTAAAAAGTCAGATTTCAAACTTCATTGATCTTGTTGGTGATACTTTAGTATCTAGTTTATCATGATTCAATGACAGAGGGTCATATGGAATCAGTTTCCTTCCATGTTGACTTGCCAAAAGCTGTTCAGTGTTAGAAGTACAGCTGCCAGCCACTCAGAAATGAGTACTTTGCAAGCCAGGAACTCAGTCCAGAATACAAGAGCTCTTGAGAGTTCTTGATAGGGTGTATCAAAAACATTCAGAGAAGTGTATCAGCATCTTGTAAACGGCAAAAAGCTGTTTACTCTTCATGTGTTCAAAAGTCAACTGAACGGGGAGGTTTCAGCACCACACAAAACAGGACAGGACTACAGCCAGGACACGGTACCTCTCCATCGTGGTGGCTGTCTCCTGCTCTCTTTTCCGCCTCTTTCTCTCAGCAATGCCTCGAAAAGCCCTGCCAGGATGTTGAGGTGTTTAGTGATCTTGTTGGGGAATAATTACATGTTTGATTGCCATCTGAATTAACACAAAATTTTCATCTGAACCCAGACTGACCCAAGGGGGAAAACAAACTAAATTTGACATTTACTTGAGGACTGATCTCCTCACTGGTCTTGACTCTGTTTTCAGAACCAAAAACGCAGCACCAGAACTGATGGTGAGTAACCTACAGAGTCAACGAAAAGATGTGACTCTATGATAACCTTTGAGAATCATGAAGATACGGTAATTTGTTTTCGTGTGCAGGTTAAATATTTACCAACTCTGGTGGTTAGAACTTTTAAAGATGTGTCATGGCAGCAAATCAGCCTAAACATTTACTTTATGTTTAATCAGAACTAGTTAACCCAAACCCCCTTTCAGTCTAGTTGAGTCCAGGCATGATTTTAGGAATCCATTCTTGTTTGGATAGAGGGGTTTCAGACAAGGGGTTGCTCACAAGGGTTAGTTAGGGGGTGTTAGGTTAGATTGCTGACTGGTCAGAGTCAGCAGCAGAGAGACGTTACATCCACCAAAGGCAGGAGACACTAGGGATACTGCTAGTAGTTCAGACACATACACCCACGCATACACACCAACACAGACAACAACGCACTGGTGAACGGAAAGAGACACTGAGGTGTTATAATAGTAATTGCTATTCTGCTCTATCAAACATCATACATTTTTTATTGTTATCTAACCCCTCTGCTTACAAATGATAATACACTTGGAGTTTCAAGTTAATTCAATGCAAAAGGAATATATGCTTGACATGACATCCATTGTTTCTATACCTGCCAGTCAATAATTTGTTCCATTTTAGTGTCCTTCCCATACGGGCCAGTAATGGCTCTGACAGGATGTCAGCCATAATGAGAATCATCTGTGACAACGTATTTCAGATAGGAAGTTGAGCCCTGCAGTCTGTTTTTGAGTGACAAACACAGAGACAGCTGATGAGCTGTATGGGCAGTAAAGAAACGGCTCAAGTCACTCGGGTCCAGCGGTACAGTGCTTGTTACCCAAAAACCTTCACTGCTATGTCTCGGTGGTCCTATTGGGCTGCATTATTTGTCCTCTCATGAACTGCATCACTTTCTGTTTCTTTTCCCCCAAAAAAGTTGAACATGTTTGAAGTGACTCAGCCTGTCACTTCTTCCACCATCTGCCATCTCTGAAAGCTCTGCAAACTTGAAGCCCTCTTCCTCATTTTAGACAACCCGGCAGATTTAGAGGTTAAAAATAAAATCCTGAGGGTTTTACTCCACATCCATCTCTTAAAAACTATCGTACTTTTCATCATCTCGTAATTAAAAGTAAATAATTTTGAAATAGCAGGTTTTAGAAATACTCAACTCAGGCTAAATCAATCAAAACCGAGTGCAACAACAAACCAGCTAGCTAAATGCTAACACACTAACTGTTGATGTATGCTCTGGAATAGAGACATTTATGTACACATCTATTCTTGAAAGAGCTTGCAGATAGCTTTGAATGGTGATTATGAATTGCTTATCTACTCTTAAGTTGAATACATGTCCTTAATAAGCAATGCTTTGTGCAGCACTAATGTAAGACACGTGCATCAATGGTTTAGCTAGAAATATCTTAATGTCTTACAGGAACATCCTGTTTTAAATTCAAACAGTTTAGTTTAACTGTAACTTAATTATTTCAAGAGCAACAACCACTGACATGCGAGGGCTTCCGACCAATCTACAGATAGCTGCTGACCTCACTGTGACTCCAACAAACATCATGGGAGGCAATGGCCATATTCTCAAAAGTACTTGCTAGTTTCGAAAGAGTAAACAGCTTAAATTCTTCAAGAAACATTTGCTAGACAGCCAGTCTGACACAAAGCTTACACCTAAGGAGGATGTTTCTCCTTCCCCATCAACAACATCTGGCCCAGCTAGCTGCAGAATTAAATCAGACAGCTTAACGTGTAGTGATGTGAAGTCAGTTTTTTACGACCCTCACCCTTCTGAGCGAGAGCGCCAACTACCTCCTGCACCCAAGTCTTCCGGCGAATCACTGGATCAATACATTACTGCAACACTCCACATCTACGAAAGGTTTGCATGTATAAAGAGACGTGCAAACTTTGATAGCGCATGCAAAACTTATCTACTAACCAGGTGCACTAAGACTTGTGTCTGTCAAATGAGCAAAATATTCAGTTCCAACGCAAGACACAAAAACATTGCTCTTCTGCAGTTGCTAGCTTCCCGAAACCGTTAGGCGCAATTCCTTCAAACTTTATCATTTGTTTACAGCCACTCTGCCCTCCCAAACTCAGCCGGTAGCACATGCAAAATCCTCATTTAAACAGGGCGGTCCACACCACTTTTGCACCTGTTATCAGTTGCGCACCCCATCATAGTAGATGACCCGCAACATGCCCAATAAAAGCACATGCAATTTTTTAGTTTGCATACACAATTTAGCGTTCGCTATTTGGGATCTTAGTAGATCAGGCCCATAAGTACCAAAACTGACAGGATCACATAGTGCTGTCAAAGGTGCTGATCCTTCAGGTGGAGCAGAAAAGCCGTCAGTGTTTCCCTTTTTTTTCTCAGTGCACAGTGATGGAAAGAAGATCCAGTATTGAAGATACTTATTAATTGTCTAATCCCTGTTTATCCATATGGACCAGTAAAAAAACCTTTACTGAACGCAGAATTTGCTTCACAAATCATAAGCACAATGTATGATTTGTCACTGCAAACAAAGATCGCACAAGGTCATGGCCTGATATAAATATTGAGTGTATTTTACAAGTCATCCCTGAAGAATTAAATTATCTGTTAAATGAAGGAAAACCTATGATTGAGCCGTTTAAATGGTAGACAGTTTGCTTTAACTGAACAGCCTGTTTGTACGGCTCATGAACATACAGTTGATTTGCGTTCATTTGGGAATGAAATTGAGCAGAGCTGATTTTCACCTAATTTCCCTGTGCTCCAGTTTAATGTTGACTTAATCTGTAACTTCAAACACCCAGTACAGCAGACACTGAGGTTATAGGAGTTAAGGACACGGCAGACTACATAGCACAAAGCCACATAAGGACAAAGGGTTTGAGACATGTTACCCAACTGGTACACTTAGAAAAGAAAAAGAGCAACAAGCAAGAACAGTGGAGGCGGTTGAAAGAGTTACTCACGATATTCTACAGTCGTGGTTTGGAAAGCGGCCACATACAGAGGAGAAGAAGCAGAGAGAACAAAATAAAAGAGAAGTTAGTGATAGGGTCAGCCAAATACTTGCCACAAACACACCAGAGACTGCTTTGAGTTGCAGCTTTGGCTTTCACTGAGGAAAGAGAGAGCCAAAAATCTCACCTCAGGTTGAAAAGTTATTACTACAAACTCAAACCATCAGTGAGCAAGGACAGAATCATCGTCAGGCAGGAACATCAGATATTAATGAAGAAAAGAAATGGGGACAGATGATGATTCACTTACCAACCAGATCTGATCTGATTAGGGAGTTTCCACATACAGGTAGTTTTCATGAAATTTTAAGTTTGTTATTTAAACTGGTCTATAATTTTGATCAAAGCCTAACAACAGATGCACATACTGTTTTAACTGATACATGGGGGGATGTATGTGGAAAAATTAAGTACGGTGCTGACATATGAGAGAGATGAGAGATGAGGTGGGTTAGCATACTGATAAAAAAAAAGATCTGGGTGAGGATTATTTTAAGAGATTATGTAGAAAATTTTCCGATAAAAAACAAGATTATCAGTGCACTCCAAATCAACAAAACAGCCAAATTAAGAGAAATAATTAGAAGCTGATTTAGCTACTTGGGAAAAAATCACTGTAACTGAAGAATAATGACAATCACACATCTTAACCATTATATTTTGGTAAAAGCTCTAGGGCCACATATGAGAAAGTGAGAGAAGGGTTTTTTTTTTTTCTTTTTTAAAATATTCATTAAGCGATTTAAAGAATAAAAAACACAAAATTCAATCTTGATAAAGAACAAGGTTGAATTTCTGTGTCAAGAAAAAAGTTAGAATTAAATTTACGAAAAATGTTGGTATTAATTTTTGACCAAATATCCAAAAGCACTTTCCAGAAACAAAAGTTTACTGTTACTATTACAGCATAAAATTATTTATAGTTGGGCTACTGAAATAAAACATCTTCCCCTGCGGTTACTTATTTATTAGCATTTTAGCAACTCCTCTGGATTACAGGTTAATTACTGCTTTAAATGCACTGAACTAAACTTACACTGAACTGTTATGCATTTTCCAATATTTCATATATTTGGTATAACTTGTGAAAGTCATACATGCATCAATGGGCCAGTATAGAGGTGGACAACTATCCGTGTCCAATATAATAACATCTTGTGCTAGCTTTAAAGTTTCTAAATAAAAAAGTGGAAAATGTGTGAAAGCTCATTAAGACTTCATATGAGAACGCTGAGCTGTAAGTCTTGGAAAGAAGAGGCTGAAGCAGATCCTGCCAACACTGTCGTGGAGCAGTATGACTGTGTGATGTACAGAGTGGGAGTTGGGGCGGATTTCCATGTCATACTCACGCCTGCATGGTGGTGGTGGCAGTCTGAAAGCTGAACATATTCTCTTTGGGAAACCAGCTATTAGGATTGTCCTCTGCAAACAAAGACAACAAAAGCAGTACGTGGTGTCAGTGAGCAGACAATTAAAATGAGCGGGCCTCAGATAAGCACAGGAGTCTTTTTATATGCAAAACATCTAATGGTGAATCTTTGTACTACCCTGTGTTTCGCTGTTCATTTCCTGAGCCCCAAGTATTTAGTATTACAGGATATATAAAAGAGACCTGTTAGCCGATCTGAATTTTAACATGTGCGTACAATGTCAAAATGATGGATATTATTTCCCATTTTCAAGAGTTTCTACATATTAACTTTTTTTTATCTTTTTGAAAGTAAGTTATTTTCTCTCCAGAATCATGAAAGCCCAAGAAAACTGCCTTTTTTCAATGTGTAACATAGCAACAATCAGACACATCCTATTTCTGAACAACACAGAAAATGTGGTCCATGCATTTGTCACCTCTAGTTTGTAATTCGCTTTTAATCAGGCTGTCCCAACAAGTCTTCAGCTGGTCCAAAATGGTGTATATCCAGTACTGACCAGAAACAGGAGAAGAGAGAACATCTCCTCTGTATTAGCTTCTCTACACTGGCTTCTCATTAAATTTTAAAGCTAGTTCTGTATTATCCTTCCAGAACATTGCGGTCCCAACTTGCAGCCCTGCTTATCACACTTAAAAGTCCTGAAACGTGGTCTGGGTGGTTATCAGGTCCCTCTCCACTGGAATCATCTACCAATCAAGGTCTGGGGGGGAAGTAGTCCTTCAATGTTCCTTTTTTTTAATAAAGCTTAAAGTTAGGGGCTGACTCAGGCCTGGACCAGCTCTTAGTTATGCTTCTATAGGTTTAGACTGCTAGGGGCACTGGCACATTGAGCCCCCTTCTCTCTTTCTCCATCCTCTTTCTGTCTGTGTCATTAATTTTGAATCATCATGCCCCATTAAATAATGTATAATGGGAGGATACTTAGGGACACTCGTATAAAAATAAATAAGAAGTTTGTGGGTCGCAATTCATGCAGAGCTGCTCAAAGGGGGCCCAGACGAGTATAAAGAAATGAAAATGAGTAGAATAGGTCTCCTTGAATATAAATTTCACTTTGCACTTCACAAATCAAACCAACTGACTTTCTACTTGACTAATTTAAAAGTCTGTCATCTGTTCAAGACTCTACTCATTTCTTACCCTTGTCCTCAGTAGACCCCCTGTCCTCGCTGTACATTCTCTCCAGTTTCTTACGAGGTTTCCCTCCCTCCCGTGGTGAGGTATCCAGGTCAAGGGAGCGCTGTCTCTGACAGGGAGCCTGAATGCAGGCCACGCAGTCTGGGGTATAGTCTTCTCTTGACCCCCTTCTTCTCGTTCCCCAGTCCCTGATGTTGTTGGCACTCCCAGAGCTGCGAAGTGGCTGAGATGTTGATGTTAGCCCACCCCCTTGCTGCTGGTGGCTATGGTGATGGCTGCTGCGGTGATGGCTGCTACGATGATGGCTACCGCGGGTGGCTGTTGCGGATGGCTGGCTGGTGCAGGAGGGGTTCTGGGCTGCAGAGGTAGGGGCCTGAGACTGAGGTTGGTCCCTGGAGCCCTTCAGCACCTCGAGCTCCAGGCTCTCCTCACTACTGCGGCTCCCGAGCGTCATACCTCCTTCTCTAGTTATTGTGTACACCCTTGCAGGCTTAACCACCACACTCCCTTCTGAGCCTCTGTGGCGTGGTGCGTCCTCTGTGGAGAGGCTGTGCTCAGCAGAGAATCGACGCTTGCAGGGGCCCACAGGTGCTTCGGCTTGGAGGGCGTTGACTTGAGACTTTGGCTGTGTGTTAGCACTGGGATTGGACTGGCAGGGCTGGCTGGGCTTAGCTGTGGTTAAACAGCGGCTCTGTGGCGGCAGATTGTTTTTCTCCAAGCGGCTGATGTCTGGAGAGTAACAGTCCTGACCGGGGAAGGTGTCAGATAAGAGATGATCTGGTGATAGATGAGAAAGGAGAGTAAAGGTGGAATGAAGAGATAAAAAGGCAAACAGCTTTTGTGAATTAGTATGGAATAAACCCTGGGGGTCATGGAGGATATTCCCTATGGATGAAGAAGCTGAAATAAAGCAGGCCTCTAACTCAGTGTTAACCTCTGGGACCAGATCTCTTCTTTCATATAATCTCATGTGGTTCGACAAATATAGGACACAGTTGCTGCAGAAACCGGTAAACTGAGGAGAAAGTTATAGAATTTTCCCTCCCAACACGTTCTATTTTTAGATTTGTTTTGGTTGCATTTTTAGTTTCATTGGAGGGATGCTATCTAAAATTGGGTTACAGAGTAGGCTGTATTCAAAAAGTACGCATACCCCCTTGATTTCGAAGCCCATGCACAAGAGACTTAAAGTACGATTTTTATCATGGTCAGAATGGGGCAGCAAGACTAGTTGCAAAAAAGCTCAGCTGTGTTTACGTTAAACAATAAAAGAACTTACATGTCACTTCATGTTTTATCACTTTTACAAATTTCCTGATATGTTCATGATCTCATTTGCTAATCTCAAATTTACGTCAATACAGAATGGCAATAAAATGAGATTTGCACATTTAATTCTGACATTGTTTCTGGTATTTTCTATCCCTTTGGACGAGAAGATATCTTTGATTCTGATGGTGTGCTGATGGTGGTGCGATCACAGTCTGTGTCTTGCTTACCTGCTCCGTTGCGGTTCTCAGTATTTGTGTTGGACAGGTAATCTCCAAAGGCTCTGGCAGCTCTGTATAAACACAACAAGTGTAGCTGTTAATTCAGAGCCAGACAGCACATCTGCTAATGTCAGACACAGCGAACATGGTCATAAAGAGTCAAGGTTTCACAAGATTTCTCTTTGCATAAACAGTCCGTCTGAGCTTTATTATCTGTGAGGTCTAGTCGTGGGTGATGGTCATCATATGCTTTAAGTCAAGTGCACTTGACACGCCATCAGAAAAAAACGTAGAAGGGTCATTTCGTTTTAAGTGTCCTGACTCCATGCTGTAACTGCTGTCTCTCACCAAGAAAACAGTATGTTCTCATACGGTGATTAGAGGACGTGTAAACAGCTTGCACACTACAGCTTGACTCCCCTGTGCAGCTGATAGGTGCCATAGGGATTGTGCAGGTGTCATCCATAAAGCTGATTAATATATACGGGCATCATGTATACATGATACATTATGATTCTGTTGTGAAAAACAAGGATGGGACAGATTGTGTTGGAAGCCTATTCATGTGGGAAAATTCCTCTCTGGAGAGTAGTTGCTCTTTCTCCTAACACCTCTGCTCTCAGACTTGAGCCTGAAATCTCCCATTTCTAGAACATAAAAATCTCACTTTTGAATAAAGGAGTATTTTGTACCTTACACAAGCATCAATTTTCTAGAGTGGTGAAACCAGACAATGGTTTGAGCTCCTCATGACTCATCCTCTATAAATTAATAAATAGTTACATATTTTTACAGAAGTGAAAATTTAAATATAATATAAACAATCAGCCATATTGCAGCATTATGAATTATTATGGGCCAAGTGAGTATATGTCACCTGTCTGCATAAGGACTACAGCTTTTGTGTCTGCAAACTGTTCAAAAACAGATTATCTAATTCACTATGCACAAATGGACTGTACTGCAAAGCAAACAATGTATTTTTGCATAAGAGCTATATGCATGCATTTAAATACAAGGACGCAAACAATGTCCCTTTTTATGCAAATAAGCCTCGGTGCAAATGACTAATTCACTAACACTGACGCTAACAGCCACACACAGTTTGAATAAAATATTTACCGCCTGCTGAGAGCTGGTGGTAGCTGCACAGGAATACTTAAAAGTATTTTTATGCTCACACTCTTGAGTGGTCAAGACAACAATTCCACCTCTGGATGACCCAGACATAATGTACTTGAATACTGAATCTGTTAATATAACTATAAGGTCACTAGTTTGCATTAAGGTTATATGGGGCTCAGTTCCTTCACATACAAACTTTTTTTGCGAGCTATAGCCCCGGTAAGTAAGCTGAACTGACGCACAAGACACTGGTTGTCACAATAAAATAAAATGCAAAACTGAAGCAAACTGCACAACGCTGCAGCACCCTGTGAACATTTTAGTCCATTAGCAACTCGGTATGGTTTAAACAGCTGCAGTTTAGTCTTAGTGAGTCACGAATCAATGATTCTGTAAATTCATGAAGTTAATAACCAATCAGTCAATCATGACTGACTCCCAGACTATGCATGAGCTTCTACACACTAGGAATGCATCAGTCTTGTCCGTTTTGTAGTAACAAGGCTGTCTTGATACCATTGTGGACTTTTGACAGTAATACATGATAGGTCTCCTGGGCAAAAAAATGTAGTTTCACTTCAGCTGTGGGTAAAAGCAAGGAGAAGTATCAGGCCAATTCCTCAGCAGAAATGGCGAACACTTGTAGCAGAGCAGAGAGATGGTTATTACACTGTGGATACTCCAGCAGCCTTTAAATCTACACTTCAAATCCCAGACCTATATGTCAGGGGATGTAAGTAGCATGAGAAGCCACAGTTGGAAAATCTTCACTCTAAAAATACTCAAGATGATGCAAAGAAAAAATTCCAGTCCATTTATGAAGACATCATGTGCAGCCTCACTTTCCCATAATAGTATGGGGGTTAAAGAGTCTCTAGCTAGCTTTTTATTGGGGCTGTTTCATATGAAAGACTGGAACTTGAGGAGGGGTCAGCTTATCTTGATTCCAGCTGATTGACTTTATCAGGATGTCTTCACCTTTCATTTTTCTTTATGATATTTAGACAAGCAGATTTATTAAATGCAGCGGTCTCCTTGTATTTTAAAGCAGAAAAATCCTTTAATCAAAACACAGAAGAAAAAGCTCATGATAAAATCAGCCTTTCTCTGAGGCTCTCACCAGCTCAAGCTTCGCCTCTTTCTCTAATCAAGATACAGACATCCTTTTTGTGGTTAAATCGAGTTAAGGAAACAAAGTAATGGGATTTGGAGCACCGAGGAACATTGCAGTGCTAGGCCATCCTACTGTCAGCCAGCACAAGTCTTCAGATGAAACATATCACCTGCATAGGTTGTAAAAGAGTTGGGTGAACTCGAGAACAAAGGAACAAATTGTTTACCCTCCTTTTTTCAGCAGCAGAATTACCTTTAAAAAATTATAAGTCAAGTGATATGACATGCTCCAAAAACCATCCTGCTAAACCTTTAAAATGAGTGAAAACAGCTGCAGTATCATAAGCATTATAACCGCCTTATTGACTACTATCACCTCCTGAAACACCCACATACTCAAAAGATATAAAAGATACAGACAGGCCACACACACACACACACACACACACACACACAATAACCTATAGAGAAACAGTAAAGCCTATCATCACTCTCCACCCACTCACTCCAACCTGGCATTTCTGCCAACTCGCACACACACACACACGCACACACACACACACAACAGACAGCCTCCCTCATCATCAAAGCGTGCATGCGCAGCAGCATGTAGAAAAACAGGCTCCACACATCCACATACACGACATGCTTTCAACACGCACACATGGCTGACTCTCAAGAGGAGTGCAGCGAAACAGAATTGCTGTGTTGCTGCTGTAGCATATATGCCATCCTGCTACAACACTCTAAGTAATTAAATATGAGGCGGCACGTGCAGCCGTAGCGCTCCCCGTGAAAACTCTCCTCCCAGCCTGGTACACGAGAGAGGAGGAAGGAGGGAGGGAGGGAGGAAGGGAGGGCATGAGGAAAAAATGCAATCATCTCTGATCTATCTGCCTAGCTCTGTGAGCTTCTTCCAATAAAAATTCCATATGCTTTTCTGAGAGAAGTGAGGTGCCAAAACACGTTGCAGCTTGCTGAGGACGAGCACAGCAGCCTCACAAGCTAACATATAGCCTTGTCAAACTATCGAACTATCGATTTTTGACAAGAGGCTAACAGATCAACCGAGAAGGTAGGAAATGTCATACAGAGCTAAATCTCCTATGAGCTACTGGAGGAAGTTAAGCTGTTTACGGGCATAGATAGATTTTTCTGTTCACTTAAAAAAAAGTGTTTACCAACTGCTGTAGCAAGTGTGGGGATGTTCAGAGCAGCGCCGGTCTGATAGGCTCAGTGGTCGAGAAATGAGACCACTGAGTCTACAGATTGGTGGTATCATCTTTGGAAAATATTCTTTTGCAGTGTTAAAATTTGACCTCCTTTTGTTTTGGCATTTTTCTTTAGTACAAGCTGCTCTAGTCCTTCAGTTGGTTTGAGTTCTTCTCTATGTTGCAAAACTAGAGGAGATGAAGCCACATGACTACACATGGTGCTAATTTTTCAACCAACTGCGCAGCCCCTAGTTTGGAGGCAGCTAGTTTCCTGGTTGTTAAAGCAGAAATGTACATGTTGACAAACAAAGTGGTCCTCAGCTGAGAAAACACATTTTGAAATCAGTCAAAATTGAGCACAGCCTACGCAACATGGCTAATCGCAGGATCATTAAGTCTGCGGGTAAACAACGTCAAATGGTTCGCAGTCCTCTGTACTGGGTTAATAAACACATGTCTGATGACGCATTGCTTTTGGTCGGTTATCACAGCCTACGTACAACTTATCTCCATTTAGACCAAAATACTGACAAACTACCGACAGAGATGCCATTTGTTATCTGTGTTAGCTAAGCATTTTTAGCTGGATAGTGTAGCTGAAAGGAGACTGTGCAAACAGCTATAAAAATATCAGTCAGTGACTTTCAATGCTTCTTAGCACACACTTAACACACAACTAAAATCAGCACAAAATGAACACCTTTCAGCTACAACTCAGTGGAGACACACAAAACATACCTATGAAACATCTATTCTCTAGAAGTTTCTCCACAGGCACAGCAGAGGCTGCATGCTCCCCAGACTAAAGTGCTTAACACAGAGCTGGGTCATGTCTCACTTTTAAAATGCATTTATTCATGTATTACCCCGCAGGACTGTGAAACACAATACATATAAGACTTGTTTGTCTGAGAGTTTTAACACATTAATTATACATCACAGTTTCTTCCTGCTGAACATCGTCCGGTTGTTGTGCCTCATCTCGCCTAACTCCTCGCAGCCGCGGTGCCGGCAGCTTTTCTCTGTGTTTTGGGGGATTTATCATACAGCATGTTTTCAGCCATGTGACATGAGGATGGGGAGGAGGGGGAAGAAAAAGCACAGCGACAAGAGAGAGATGTGTTTATAAGACCAAAATAGAAAGCAAGGAAGGAGTAGGAAGCAGAATGAGGGATGGAGATGTATTAACTAAAGATAAATATGAAATAAAGAGTGAGAGGGGACCGAAAGAAGATATCAGGTCCAGGTGGTAGATGATATTGTGGCCATGAGAGTTGATCACTATGCCAAGCTTCTCTTCCTTCTTCATCTCTATATGTGTGAAAGAGTGGGATGAGTGTTCTGTATATATATTTATATAAGGCTTATAAGGATGGTTCTATGGCAGGGTATAGATGCCTGGGGACATATTTAGACTATTGTGAAAGCTTCAGCTGGGGCACCAAACCGAAGGACCACTGTAGTACACATGCAAGAGAAAAAAGCATCCTCTAAGAGCTTAACTGAGCGCCTCTACTGTTGTCCATGTTCTCTGAAGTGTGGCATGGTCATATTTGTTATATCAAACATCCGTACATGGGCGAGCAATAAAGTGGATCTGCAACACTTACAGAAATTGTTTCAGCCCCTCAGAAAAATGTCCACTCAGGGCTGCATCTATTCTTAATGATTTAAGAGAAAACTCAAGATGTACTTTAATTTTGTTTGAGTATTTTAGCATTTATCTCTTTCTAGTTTTACCGTGAGGATTGTCTTTTATTAAGCTATTTTGTTGCTCTTATTTTAGTATCTTTTTTACTTTGTTTTCATTTTAATTGATTGTTTCTTAAACTTCATTTTATGTTACTTTGTCTTTAGATTTTAACATAACCTCCAGTGTTTTCTGATCTTGAGTTTTAAGATGGCGTTTTCTCTGTTTTTACTAAATCGAGTTCTTTTGCATCTACAATCTGCCATATGCAAAGTTAACATTAACGGTAGCTGATGAAAATTACAAGTTAACTGCAAAACTAGATACGATTCTGAAGCTACTCTTAAGATTAATGTCAGTTTTAACACTCCCATAGAGTCTTATGTTAAATTTAAAAGTGGCAGAAAATCATTTTAACATTGAATTTAATGGGCAGATGATTAAACACAACCGTCTTTAACTTATGCTTATCAAACCATCAAGAAAGTAGCTCAGACTTTACTGCCTGCTGAGAAATAACTGTAATGTATAATTGAAAGCGTATGAATTTCTCTTCACGCTGAAATAAAGCTTACAAAATAGGGGGCTTCGGCGAGAAATATCTTAATTTCAATGAAACCTTTAGGGCATAGATAAAGAATGGAAAGAAAGAATGAATTGCCACTTGAATATGTTGTCTAATATTGAGTACACCGGACCGGGTTTGGAAGCTCCATTCAGGCAGACACTCACGGGCTAATGTTCAATAAAAGATAACATCAAGCTCCAGCTAACAGAGGGGGGTTGGGCTGAGTTGTGACCCTGCTGTGCACTCCATGTTCCATCCGCTTGCTGGGAGCTGATCACTTGTACAGACAATAATTAGTCCAGTCATTGAGGAGACTACCAGCTATAATACTGCTGGACTACCTGCCTTTCTCATTACCAAGGAATCATGACCTCCTAGATAGTTTTCTGTCATTGAATCAAAGTGGCTCATCTTCGTGACAGTTCATGGACAAATACGATTAAAGCTTCATGCAGGAGAAGGAGGTCAAAGGGTGGATAGATGGTTAAATAAACAAATAAAGGAGGGTTATGTGCTGGGTTGAGCATTTCTATGTAGACATTATGAATGGCTGTTGAAAGTCGTCATTAGGGCTGGGCGATAAACTGAAAATTTACCGATACCGAAATTTAAGACAATAACTGACGCCATTTTGCCCATATTCGTATATTCAGTGTCAAAATAAATAAATAAGTAAAAGTTTGTTTTGGATGTGTGTAGGTTGGCTATGGTCTCATGTCCCTTTAAGACGTTGTCCTATGTCAGAGACGTGACTCCACCCCATCCAGTTCGTGACAAACAGGGAAAGACAGGTGAGGAGATGGAGGATGGTTTAAAAGTTGGAGCGGCTGAAGTAGACGAAGTTAATGAGGGAGGAGGTGAGCAGCTTGTGTAGTAGTTATCGTCCATTTATCGTTATTGAGGTGAACTGCTCAATAAATCGTGATATTGATTTGAGGCCATATTGCCCAGCCCGAGTCGTCATAATAATTGTTTTCAGGATGTGCGTAATAAAAATTCATTGCAAAAAACAATCAAAACATGCCTTTAGAGTCTGCATATATTCACACATATTCGCTGAATAGCATGCCCAGTTAGACAAACTACTACTCTGAGCACACACACATCATGGCTAGCTAACCTAGCGTTAACTATCTGCATGGCTTTCGTTCAAAATTATTGAACGAACAGCAGCAGAAGACAAAACACAAACACCACCGACTGTGAATCATCGTCAGTCATTAGGTTTAGTTGGCAGATGTGGGTCAGCCTCATTGGTGTGGAAGTGGTTTGGCTTCATAGAACAGATGAACTCAAACAATGCCAAATCTGCAGACAATCTATCACAGCATCTACCTGGTAATGAACCACTAAACAGAATATTAAAAAGTATCCAGAGTCCGTGTTCAACCATGACTTTCCAGCTAAGACTGAACAATACACTCAGCAAATTTTGCAGTGTCAGGGTTGAATGCTCTTCCTATAGCTTTTGTCGGTCCTCATTTAACACATTTTTTGCAGGTCGCTTCACATTTCAGTTATCATTGTTGGCGAAATCCTCCAAATATTCTTTTTTTGGTCAATGTCCCACATTTGTTTGCTCTCTGTGCCATCACCCACTCATTGTCTATCTCTCACCAGACGACATACGGGGAGGGTTGGCTAGTAAAAGGCTGATAGCTTCATTAAGAGACGTTTACACTCCACCGACAACAAAGGCCATGAGTAAGGTAATTACCCATATCTCCCAAGAGGCTGTACGTGAGTTAATCAATAGGCGCTGTGGGAGACAAAGACACAAGTAAGGGAGCTCATAGCCTTCAGGTAAAGAGACAAGAGTCGGGATCGTGAATCAGATCACTCTGTAGGTCAACTGAAATACCGGCTCAGATTGGCTTTTTGTGAAAGGAACAAAAGATTTCTTTAGCCCGGAATAACCAATGTGATGTGAGGATGCAGGTTGGAGCACTGTGGGTTACAAAATTCGATCAAAGTCTATTTTCTTAGATGCTCTTAAAAATTATATTTCAAAATCCATGAGGCAGACCGACACATTTCAATTGATTTATTGTACTATTTCTTAATAATTCATCAACAAATTCAACACACTCATAGAAAAAGCCATCCATATAAAAATGAGCTGTCCATGACAGAAGAGGGTTTTATATTGGAGAACACGTGATCAACACTAACCGACAGAAGCTAAGTGAAGAAGAATTTAACCACCTCCAGATTTTATGCAGAAGTGTGACGTCACTTGGTATCCGATCGACATTTTTTCCCCAAATGAACTTAGACTTTTTTCTCAAAGTGCATCATGTGGATCCTGGCTTTGTAAAAATCTTTTGAGATTGAAGTTTACAGTTGAATCTGCTCACTCAACATTATCCTTTGGCCTTCACTCTCGATAAAACCCCTTCTCATGGAACTGTGACCAAAATATCAATCGCAATCACAAGTTAGGATCCATTAGCTCAAGGAGACAGTGTAGGACAAGCCCCATTAATACAGTTGTTCCCCTGTGGTCATAAATAAGGGTCAGCAGAGACTGCAGATGACTTAATGACCCTTAAAGAAGACTATTACCCCACATCTCTGATCTCTTGAAGGTTTTTTTTTTTCCCTAAAATGATCAGGTTTTAGTGCAATGACATGTTATATGATCGACCAACAATGAGTCCTACAAACCTGAGGGGTCCTGCAAAGCTAACATTTGATATAAACCACATACTCTAGTTCAACTTGTTACACTTTTTACACTGTGATCATGTATCAGTGCAAAGCCATGCAGAAAGGACAAGAAGTGCAGACCTTTGTTGTCACTCGTCACCTCTGGTCTCACCTAAATCAAAGCCACAATCCACAAGGCAATCTACCGCCCTGGATTTCCTGAGACCCCACACAGGAAGCATCTTAACACCAGTGTTTTATCCCCACTCTATTTTAGTACCAGTGTCCTCAGAGAAAAAACAGTCCTGTTAACAGCAACAGCTCCTAAAGGGACAACATTTAAGTAACAGCACAAAGTGAACATCTAGGTAGGCCCCCCACTTCAGGGATCCATGAGGTAAACTATTTGTTTTCCTCTTTTTTTCATGTTGATCCATGTTCAGCCTCTGTGAACCTCATTTTCTGACTATGAATTTTAAAGTCTTGTGCACATAACATGTGGCATTTGGTTTGATCTAAATAAGATGAAGGTTCAATTATGTTAACCCTGTTATGGCGGAGAACTGTCTTACTCATCATTACTTGACCTCTGATCTGACCGCTGAAGGCCATGCTTTGAGTAGAGATGAAAGAAAATATTGATAGACTGAAATATAGCTGAAGTTCTGCTGTATTGGCTCTTTGGGTCCCCACATGGATGGGGGAATAGGACATTGATTTTTTTTTTCTTTGTTTCATTGTTTCATTTAAAATGCTATTTAAAAAAGAAATCTCAGCAGTACTACAGCTGGGACTGATGATGTTGCGATTTGAACAGTGTGCGAAAACAAGTTCCTACTGAAAGAAAATAAATCAAAGTTTTATACCTCGTCTCATGCAACTAAAATAATGCAATCTGTATTTAATTCTACTTGCAAAGATCTGTGCCCTACGATGTGGAGGATGACCGTTTTCATGGTATGAGAACTACACTTTAGGACTATAGTAGGAACTGTGAATTAGAAATGCAGGTCTAACTGTTGTGAGTGAATTCATAACAATGAATTAAAGGCGTCTTTGTTTTGCATATAACATTGTGTGTTATTTTGACTATGAGAGTTTTTTTCTAACTGGTTGTTTTGGAACAGACAAATCGCAACACATCATTTCTATAGTATCCCCCCTGTCACTCCTGTATCAGGATATGTAAGCTGTATCACCAGATTCTTGCCAGAACGGCCCAAGCTATGAGAAAATAACACATGTGATCTGATTGGCAGGAAAACTGTCATTTTAAAGAGCAAAAAAGTGTGACGTTTGGTGGTCCTTTTCATCAAGTATAGAAGCAGACTGCCTCCCAATCCCTCAGGACAACAACATTACTTCGGTTCAACGCATGCATCAAAATTGGCTGCAAGTTGGCTATAAAGATTCCTAATCAAGCTTTTAGAAAAGAATTTCTCAAATGCATTTATTGGAAATATGTGGACATGTCAAGTGTTTCATGGATTCGTTGTACTGTACAAATTATTGTAATAAATGACACGACATATTGGGCTAAACACCTTTGACTTTCTGCAGCATTTACTCGACTAAAATCTTTGTCTTTCCTTGAACTCACTACATTTTTCTTTTTTGCACTCAAGAATTTATAAAAGGTGTCAAAAAGCAATAACTGCTACAGATATGCATCCCCCTTAGGCTTCAGATTCGTTTTGTAAACATTGCTTCTGACAGGTTTATGTTTTGAAGAGGGGGCCCAGATGTTTCTGAGTTAATAAGAACACTGGACCATAGCTGGAGCTAATCTGTGCCATGATGGGGATAGAGCTGTTGCTGATCACACAGTCTTGTGGGAAAGAGTCCATGAAATCACATTTTCACCTAAGTAGAGACTATTACTGTCTGAAAAGTGTTTTGCTGCTCAATTCCTTTCAGGCATGGTCCAGACATTCTTGAAATATTAAAGACCATGCTGGCTCTAAAGTGCTCGTAATCTTTTCCGTCGAGTGTGTGATGAAACTGAGCAGTCTGGTTTTGGTGAGCTTCTTTACAAACATCCGTCATGAAAGGGACAGCGAAGCAGTTTGGGCTGACAGTAAGAGCTTCAGGCACAGCGAGGAGAAAAAAAACACTGATTTTCTCTCACCTCTCCCTGAAAACAGTCATTAATCACACAATTACATACACACTAAAAGACAGTAACACGGGACATCCATCAACCTGAACTTTACTGTCTCTTTTTCACACTGTGATCTACAATCTACAGTACAACACTATTACTATTCAATTAAAGGGACAATCCGCCCCAAACGTGCGGATGTCAGTGCCCTAATGATCTTTTATTTACAGACTCAGATCTCCCATATAATATTCTAACTAAAGTCTGGGCAGATGATAAGAAAATGGGTTCATGATCACTTTTATGCCAATAATCAATAACATTACAATGTATATGGTTAAATATTGTTACCTATTTGGTAGGTATGGTTGTCCAAAAATGTTGTTTTTTCTACAGCTACATAGTAGGTCAGCCGATGGCAGACATGTCGTGCTGAAATCACACTTTTGTTTTTATGTTTTTGCTTGTTGTTGTTGTTACAACACTTGTTTAATGATAGCAAATAAGATACAAAATCGCTGAACTTAAATTAATATTGTTTTGAATAAAAGTAGACAGAAAAATACTTGGCCTAGTAAAGTATTGGCACAAGGGACTCCTGGATTGCGGTCCAACCATCTGTATTTAGTGAAAATGAAATTTGCTGTTCAGGAGGAGTAAAACATTGTTCAGAAAAGATTATGGTGATATCAGTTTTATTAGCATACACATGGGCTGATCCTGATTTTTTTCAATATGCAATCAATCAGCCAGCCAATTAATTGGTCTATCTCTATAGTGGTATCCCAAAAATGAAACCAGAGAGTTTATCAGTTTATGTTAAATACATATCAAAGAAACACCATTTAATCATAATAGACTTTTTAAAGACAACTGGCCGTGCTACTGTTAACATTTTTCCTGATTTGGCAATTTTGTATTGACGGCTTCATAATCTTTGGAGAAAACCAGGGGTTAGAGCATAGACATTATATACATAGATGCCTCGTTAAGTGCTGGAGCATACTCCAGCGTGGCCACCATACTGGATGGCTCTCCTTATTCTAGGCTTGTGCTAGAGTCAAACAGAGTCAACGAGCAACTATGCCAGTATTTTTTTAACCCTACAGTTGCAAAAGTGAAACAATGTTAAAAACAGATCACGTAGGATTACATTTCACAAGATTGAAAAATGATTTTGTTTGTTTTTACCATGTGATAGCGTCCTGTATCATAGCTACACCTCTGCCATTTGTAACAAACCAAACCGTGTGAAAATCGGGTAAAAAATTCAGGGAGTTATGATGAATATAGCCATGGCCATTCCTACCTTCCTCAATAGAAACAAATGCACTGGGACGCAGCACTGATGCATGAGCTCCAATAGGCAGCCTCAGTCTATGAGGTGTCTACATATGGGTTAGAGTATTGAAACAAAAAGAAGTATCAACTGGTAATTATCAATTTCCAGTTAACTTTCCTCATCGTGGAAACAAACTTGACCAAAACCGACCAGAAGACTTGCTGGATATATACAGATTTGAGCAGCAACACTTGGGACTGGTGTGTGAGGCATCTAGTTGAAAGCAGAGGTGTTTGGAAGAGAATCCCATTAAACAATTATAATCCCTCCACTGCCATGATAATCACACTCACCCAAAGACAAAGGCGTGGGATCAGATGAGTTAAAGAGAGGTGAAACAGCTTTGCCCCAGCTCATTCTTTACACAAAAGATGATCGCTGATTCTCCGGCAGGATCAGACTGAACTAATTCCAACCCGCCTGGGATTAGGGGGGTAGTTATTTTCTGCTGGGAGCGATTAAATTCTCTGTCAACTACAACTGTAGAGTGCAGCCCACCCTCGATGATAAAGAGAGAAGAATGTCCAAGCAAAGTCTTCTTGGCTTTAGTCCTCACGCGTGTTTGGAATCTTGGCCGTGATTCGCAAGATTTATGAAGAAATAAACGTGAGGTGTGAAAAAGCAAAAGAGGCAAGAAAGTAGGCGATAAGCAGATAAACTGGGAAAGAAGACAGGGACAAATACAGTTAATGTGTGCATCAAGAATTGTTGCAGTGACTGTGTAGACAAAAGGGAAATGTTTTTTGTGCATGTGAGCATTTGTTTAACCGTTAAGTCTCTGCACAAGACCATGTATTAAGAGAAGAGAGTGGGTGGAAGCACACCACCAAGGGCAGAAGTGCTACATTTGTGTGAATTCTGCCTTCTGAGGTCAGCAAGTGGGCATTCATACCGCATCTCCTACCACCCAGCATTAGTCATCCTGCAGCCCTCAGACCGAGAACACACTGATCTGACATCCATGACACAAAGACTTCTCCTGACTCATAGGTCCAGAGTTAAATGTCATCAGGAGAAATCACCAGTCAAGTGAGTCCAGATGGATGTTTCTGGATGCCACTGAGGTAAAAAATAAGCACTGCTTTTACTGCGTTCAGCATGCAGCACAAACACAAACAAGTCTGATCAAAAGCTTTTCTCGATGCCTAATTGATGCAAAGGGCTCGGGGAGCTTCACAAATGTTTTATCTAGGTCATTATGAGGGAGGAAAGACAAAATAGGGCTGCACCTCTTCCATGACATATTGTAAAATTAAGGACTTGCGGAAGAATGTGAACAGTCAGAAAGACTTCAATTGCTGATTACTTCAACTTGATATATATCTGATAGTAATTGGCTTAATTAAATTACACAATTAATGGCCTTTTTTAGCCTGATGAACAACCCAAAACATACACAAGCCAGCCTCAAGCCTAATGGTTTAAAACCATAGACTGTATATACTACAGACAACTTGGCTCCACCTTCCGCAGTTATAGAATTTGAAGCCGAATTGCTCTCTGTATTTCCAGGATTTCTCCACTTCCTGGAACCACCACTGGAGCAGTAGCGTTGTACGCATTGTACACATGTACGCACATAGGCTGTATCAAGTGTCAATCATAGAAAATGTGAGAGAATAATTCATATTCTGTGTAAAATAATTTCTAAAGTTTGTCCACAGCCCCGTAAGGATTGCTGGAGGAGGCAGGTTTTATGACTTATACTGCAGCCCGTCACTAGAGGGTGCTGCTCTCAGGGTGGCTTCAGCCGGCGAGGAGGCAGACGGCGTCCATTTTATGTGCAGTCTATGTTTAAAACCAAATAGTGTATAATGCATGAACTTAGTCATGTGACTTTTTGGCAGCTGCCGCCGTACTAGAAATAATAACTTGAGCTGACTTTACGTCAACCACCAGGAGCCAAGGAGTTACGTTGTATCCACAAATACTATCTAATTTGATCTAAATTGCTTAATTTCACAATTATCTGGACCCACAAGTTCTGTGTGTTTAGTTGCTTAATTCGCACGAATGCTTAATTTGTATGTTTATATCGCACCTGCTGAGAGCCCAAAAACACGTGATCGCAGGAGAAGAGACAAAGTGAAGTGGTTCCTGCATGTCAGGTTGACGAGTTTTCATTATACGTAGAGGTGCTTGACTACATTGTGAGGATCTGTTGTGTCTAAACAACTTAACAGATAATCAGAACGCCTCACTCACTTTCCTTTCAGCTGAGCTCTTTTTTTATTCCTGTCTCAGAAAAGTTGTAGCCTACAGCTCAGGTGATCTGTTTGTCTTCCATTTTCCACATGAATAAATCCTCACCGGTCTGTTGTTTACATACATCACCAGCTAATCTCCATGCAGATTGGTTATCGCAAGGCGAACATTCCCTTGAGTTCAGATTTTTTGACTAAACATTCAAAACGTTAAAGCGAGTAGCACCTTGGATGCGGCACGAATTTGCGTCATACATGCATATGGTGTGAACAAAACATTAGAGTTAAAGAAGCCCTTCAGCCTCCTTGCAAATACCCACCGTGTGCCTGTCTGTCAGTCAAACCAGCCTCCGATTGGCCAAACTCATAACTTTAATGTCTCCTTAACTAATATATTAAGAAAAAAATAATTTCCTATACAATGAATGGGATGAGAGAACTGACCGATTCAGACCAGACTCATTTTTTTGAACCAGGACGGGGGACTTTCGAACAGGTTTATATGATGTTTACAGTGGCCCTGCAGCCAGCCTTAAAATGGACACTCAGGAAACTGCAGTTTTTAGCACTTTGGCTTCATTTCTCCAAATGAGAGGTGGTTGCTTGCTTAAAATGGAACCTAAACTTCTATATATTTATATATTTATATATATACTTTAAGTCAGGGATGGAGAGAGTACTGAAATATTCAATGCAAGCAAAAGTGCTTATTTTGACTTCTGTTTGAATAGAAGGTAACAGTCTGTTTTTCTACTCAAGTAAGCATTTTTAACCTCCAACAAACATGTTCAATCCTTCTTTTTAAATTTCAGGCTATTTTTTTTACCATTAAAAAAAAAATTTCAATTAATTTGGGCTTTGATGTTTTTCCAACCTTGATCAAATATCTTAAAAAAAAATCAAAGTAACTTTCATTTGCTTAATTCATTTTTGATAGATTTGATTGCATTTTTTTAAACTGCACTCAAAAATGATAGAATTTCGCACTCTTAGAATTTCAACTTGCTGAAAATGAAATTATTTTTTTTGTGTCTTTATCAGTAAGTAAAGGTCTCTTTATACTGTGTTACCTCAGTCTGGTATAGAGAAGTACAGTTTTACTGAAATGAGTAGGTGATCTTTTATCATTCGTACAAGAAAAAGGTTTATATGTGAAATTAAACTTTACTGTGAGTTTTAAAATGCAAAAAAATATACTAACAGTGACAATACAGTGCTCAAATCATCTAAAAGTCCTGTGCCATTCAGCCCACAATAGCCAGAAACAGACTTGGGGTGCGTTTATACAAAAAAATAAACCGGGTCTCTTTGAAGACTGATCCAACCGTCCATCCTTTGACGGAAAGATCACATCTTCAGAGATACAGTGACAAGTTTTATTTTGTTTATCTATTCATTCATTTAGAATACTAAATATGTCTTTCAAGACAGCTAAGATGGAACAGAAATACAAAAGTTATCTCAATCATCTGTAATCCACCCTGACAAGTCACTTGCTTAAAGTTGTCAACATTTACGCAAACTGCAGCCCTCCAGATCACAGTGAAAAGAAGCTCCTGCGCTCTGTGAACGCCTTTTATACTTCAGACTCGGAGCTCTGTATAAACCTGAGAGAGATGAACGTGTATATACATCCCATTTTTGGTTTAATATATAAAACATTCAAGGGGAAAAAAGGAGTTCAGGTAAACTTCGAAAGGAGCTCCACAATCTGGACTTGGTTTAGAGAAGTCAACTTCTTACATGCAGGTGCGTTATCTTCACAGAATTTGTAAGGGGTTGTAAGCCAACCACCATCTTACCAAACAATTTTGCATATAAATAAATTCTAATAGAGGCTCGTTTTGTCTACAACCACTACAAAGTCTGAGCATCAGTACAGTCAGCTTTCCCCCCACAGCGCCCATGGGTGCTCTCCCCCGCGTAAAAAACCCCAGACATACTCACCGAACTTTTGCGGCCACGGAAGATATCGCGTCACTCTTCAAATTCTTTCTTTTGGACACCGCAGTTCCCATGCTGAAGTGGAAACGACTTGGGGGAGAAAACGCAGACCATTCCACAGCCTGATCAACGAGGGGAGCAAATACGAGAAAAAAAAATTTACCACTCGAGGAGCAAGTGTTGTGTGTAGCCTACTGACCAAACAGCAGCAGCATGAGCTATGTTTGTTTCATATTTTTCACAGTCATTGCATGGGAGTAAAATGGAAAAACTGGATCTTCCAGAAGGATGGAGACTGGTCGAGGAGCGCAGTGGCACTGCTTCTCGATAAACGTGGTGTGATGCGCTACGCTATGCTCTCTTCTCCTCTCCACTCCTCCTCATCCAAGTGGCGCTTCCACGGGAGGAAACGGAGACCATAAAAGGAAGAGCAGCCCGCCTTCTGTCTGCACAGACAGAACAGGTGCAGAAAGAGTTAAAGAGAAAAAAAGGATTTATATCATGTGCATTGTGGTTAGTTAGGGATGAGGAAAAGTTCTACTTACCAAGGAGGATTTTCTTGATATGTAGAAAAGAAGTCATAATGTTGAGAAGAAAGTTCCTGCAACTTGTTTAAAAAAAAGATGAGACAGAGGTATAGCCTTCAGATTGAGTCCCCTCTTCTTTTAACAACACTGTAAAGACCAGGTTTGGGGAGTGAAAGATCAAAAGTTTGGGGTCTCTATTCATACTTTTTATTCCTTTTTTTATGAGTAAAACAGAGAAGGACTTTAAGTTTGTGAGAAAGCAATCCTGGCATCATCTTGCCTTGGACGATTGTGATCTGTGAAATTGCTATCCACTGGTCCACTGGTGGGGTGTTATTTATAACAGATAGATCATCATAACAATTCAAACAAAGAGAAAACTTAATAAAAAGGTGTGAGGCAGTTACACTTTTTATAGCCAGTCAGTATTACTTAAGGCTTAAAGCTGAATGATTGGTAACCTCGGGTTACAAACCATTAGATAACACAGGAATTTCATTGCATATTAACAAAAGCAATGTACAGTTGAAAAACACAAGTATCACTTGACCTTCATTTCGATTTCCCAGGGACATGTTTATTGATGTTTCAATCATGCGGAATATTTCTTGTTCTCTGGGGGGAAAAATCAATTTCATGTCAATTTTCAATCAGGAAGCTACTCGAAATAAGTCTTTCTTCCTCCCACAGTGTGACCATATATATGTTTTTATAAAATGTATACGTCATCTGAAAAATAGGGCAAGAGGCTCTGTTTAAGCTGAAGAACTTTTCTTGAAAAAAGTGGATTAGCGAAGTCTTACGAACCCCAAGAAGGTCTTTATTCACTTCCTTCTGACTATATGAGCAGAACGATAAAGAGGTGGGGGGTAAGTATAGAACGGGTGGGTACCATGCAATCTGTCATCACAGCCATGAAAATAAGATCTGTCCCAATGGATTACACTTCAGAGATTTTATACCTGCTCCGTTATCGCACACAAACAGGATATGAGGGTGGATGGTGACGAGGAGATGAGTAAGAGGATTTATATACTGTGTTCACATTGTTGTGCGGGCTTAAGGCATGATGGTTGAACACTCAGTTAAGTTTGCTCACTGTATATGTAAATATTCAAAGATTCATGATAAGATAGAACTGTATTAATCCTGACGGAATTGTATTGCAGCGTTACTCCAAAGAAGAATAAATGTGAATTATATATTTTTTTAAACGGGAAGAAAAGAAAACCACATTAAGACCCTATTTTGGTGGTGTAAAACACATTGTCCAAAGTGCTTAATGTAAAGTAAATCAGGACATGTGTGCAGAAGTTAGCCTTTTGTTCCAGTTTTGCACAGGTTGAGTTGATTATGGCGTTCTGTCCTCTATGTATGCATATCAACAAGGCATGATGAGGTCCAAGCCAGGACTGTTTTGTTATTGGGAGGAAATTACATGAGTGTCTGAATAGCACTGATATGAGAAACTGATGAAGTAGATAACAGCACCAAGTGAAGTGGTGTTCATTGAGAAGAGAAGGGGACCAAGCAATGACCCTTGGGGCACACCTAATGATGAGTCATGTCGTTTTGGACACTCCTTACCTTCATGTACACTCAAGTTTGGCGACCTCTGGACTTAAGTTTTGCAGCCAAAGAAAAAGTACAGAAAAACTGCAGTTCTGAGTGTTTCTGCACAAGACAGGACCCTAAAACCACAACCCTTCAAAATAGCCCAAATTTGTGGCCAAAATAAACACGATTACATGAGTTTAATGTAATTTGGGGCATGGCTAACTTAAGTGACAGATAAGCACACTACATCTGCTGGCAAGGAGGCTAAAGGCCCACCTAAACTCCATCCCTTTGCCTTTTGTTAAGTCAACATGAAGTTAAATTTGTGTGTCAAGCACTTCCAATCTGAACTCAGAATGATCTGGGTCGCTGTACACACAGGTATTTTTTAAGGAAGTGAGAAATGCAAAGGTTGTAGTTTTCAACCTGCACTGGGTTAAAATGGGTTTTTCAAGCAGTGGGGTGACCCGAGCTTGCTTGAAAATGGCTGCAAAATTCACCAGTTTACAGTAAAGACTTGGTGATGTGCATTACTATAGGGTTGAGTGTAGCTGAAATGGTTTGTGGGGGTTAGATGGCATTGAGTCCACTGGACATGTAGTGGGCTCTGAGTGTAGCAGAAGCCGGGAGGACGCCGTCCTTAGTCAGAGGAGAAAATGAGATGGATAAGGCACCAGTTAATGGCAGTCACTGCTTTGTAAAGCACCTATTAATCCATTGACATACTGCTGGGCATGGTCAGTGGGGCAGTTCTGGGTCAAGTAACATGCCAAAGGGAACATTGGAACATGGACCTGAGATCAATCCTCCAACCTCATGATTGAGAGAGCAAACTCTCCAGCCTTCCCAATCCAATCTTCACCTCTTATCACAACTGGTCCAGCAATATTTTGAGTGGCAAATCTCTCATAAAGGAGAAGATAATACAGTCCAACATTATATGCATCATACTGTATTAAATGGATGTTTAGAATAGCTACGAGAAAAGTCAATCACTTCCACCATGTCTTCCAAGGCAATTAAGTCACTATTTTAATGATCTCTCAAGAAAAATGACTCGGAAAATAATGACAGCAATGATTTAGGTTTTAATAAGGCAATAATTACATCCCCCCCAAATATTCCCAATCTCTTTGAGAGGTTTTTGTGTAAACAGGTCTATCCTGTTCAGGCATAAATCATAAGAGTGCAGCGCAATAGATCTGAACTTCATCAGATTTCCAGTCACAGCTGAGGAGGTCAGTCAGCAGCAGATCCCAAGTGACCGAGACAAGTCTGCTGCCAGATATTTCACCAGAGCAATATTTAAAGCTTAAATAAACAAAGTCATTCGTGGAGAGAGGTTTTGCACTCTTGTAAAAATAAGATGCTGACTGGTCATTAGTACAGAGGACCCTTATCTGTGACTGGACTTCTAAGTTGCCTTGCTTCGTCTTGTTTTGTCTGCTCTGCTGCTTTGAGTTTGGTGAACAGAGATGACAGCACATGAAGTGTGCTTTCATACTAATAAGCACGAGGCGAAATTTGACAAAGCAGCCAACCTGACCTACATAGAGCAGGGTCATTTCAAGTCCTCTCTGTATTGATGTATGCATGTCAGATACAACAAATGTCAACCCTTCATCCATCACTTCTCCTTCCCTTCACTTTCCTCTACCCTGCCTCTTCGTTCTCTTGCCTTCTTTCTCCTCTTGGCTCCTCCTTTTCTCCTTGTCTTCCTCCTCCTTCTCCTGCTCCTCCGCCTCCAGCACGTGAGGCTGGTCAGGCAGCGATGAGCAGAGCACGTTTACAAATCGGCTGTATGAATATTTGAGCAGCCATCTGTTTTTTTTCTCTCTTTTTTTTTGCTTTGGTGTGCTGCTCCCACGCCCATCCACAGTGAGATTTCTTCACTACCCATGCGCGAGCAATCACACACAAACACACGAGCAGTATCTTCTTCTTTTTTGCTTTGGGAGTGTGCCTTGTGTAGAGGAAGTCAAGGAGACAAGACAGGATTTTGCTCATGTGATGATATCTGCAGCTTAAATACTACTCTCTGCAGAAATAAACACTGTTCTTTTTTTTCTACTATCTCACTTCAAACCTGAGGCATGTGACTGCACAAAGCATGTCAGATGCTGAGCGAATGAATAAAAAAAAGGGGTGATAATCAAAGTGGAGTGGTGTTTTTTTTTTTTTTATGTCTATGGAATGATGGTGAAGGGCAATCATGATTGATCTTCGTAGTTTACTGCACCCCACATCTAAAACTTTGTCAGATGGTGGTTTAACACTGTGGATCGCCGCCCACGTGCAGGCAGAGTAATGAGGAAAAAGAACTGAGGCAGACAGTCTGGCTCAGGGGACAGTTTATGTAGAGCAACACGGATATCTGAGAGAGGAAGAAAATTGGAAACACTTAATGTTAAGGTCCTTCAATACGCATTTGTTTAAGTTGATACGCCCATTAACAAGACCTTGTAAGGTGCTTGTAAACATTTACAAATGTTGATAAAAGCATAATTTACATATTAATTAATGCTTATTATGCACTTATATGCTCTCACTAAAAAAACGTAATATTTCGGTGACACTTGACGCCTCTCTCTATAACGCATTATAAATATATGTGTAATGCGTTATAATCACGTTATAACACTGTATAACTATAGTTATAAACACTCCTAAATGATCACAATGCTTCAGAGCAATAATGACAACATATTATAAAGCATTTTATCATGACTTACAGGGTCAGTGTTTATCATGTGTAATAATCTGCTTATAAACTTGTATAACTATCATTATAAACACTCATTAATTATCATAAGGCTCCATAACAATAAGCATAACATATTACAATACCTGACCTAGTAAGTCATGATAAAATGCTTTATAATGTGTTATAATTATTGCTATAAAGTATTATGATCATTTATGAGCGTTTATAACTATAGTTATACAACGCTATAACATGATAATAATGCATTACAAATATATTTATAATATGTTATAGAGATAGGTGTCACGTAAAGTGTTACCATAATTTCTACATTTGTCATAAACATCAACTGGATGTTTATAAACATGTATTAGGCTTCATAAGGGTTAATAAAAGTTTTACTTACATATTAATCTTCATAGACACTGTTTCCACTTTAGATCCAATAGCTGCAAAGGTGCCTTGTTAATTGTTATAAAGTGCTCAATAAAGTTTTATAAATCCTAATAAGCCATTGATCTTGATCTTTAATTGTCTTGTTTGTGTTGAATAACATC